TGGACCATGCCGAAATGCACCTCTTCGCTCGGAAGGTTTGTGATGACATTGTGTGACTTGCGGTGCGATCAGTAAAAAGTCGGACCCCTGGTAATCAAGCAAAATCGAAGTTATGACATACTTAATGAGGTCCAATAGCACATGGTGCATCTCACCAGCATCCTCCTAAACAAGGATGATGCCGATGTTGGATGTGTGTATGGGGGAGTTCCATCCATCAAGCAGAACGTGAAGTGCATGGTTACGATGCTGGGATCACGCACAGTAAATACTCAATAACATCCAAATACAGAAAGCACATACCTCGAAATACGCCGTCAGATGAGGTGCCAAGTCCTCGTAAAGCCTCTCGACATCATCGCGGACTGTGTCCTTCAACGGCACTTTGAGATTTGGGTTCCGCGAGACAAGCCTTAACTCATCGAGATACTCCGGGTCTTCAACCGAGAGGAACGACCGCTTCCAAGCAGATACATGGACGGCAATGAGTGTGCGATGGCAAGCTTCTGAATATGGTGCTAGATGTTGTATAGCTGAGGGACCCTTTCCGTGCCGAACGTCGCAGCTTGCCGCAGCGGTGTGAAAGAGTCGCTCATGTAAATGTGGTCGGTGCGTGGGATTGCCGTACTTGCAATTGAGACGAAGGAAGATGATTGCCTTGCCGTTGATCAACTGTTGAAGTATAGACTTGGTGTAGTGTACATAGCACGGTGCGTGCAAATGGAACTCAATGACCTCTGCAAATAAAATGAGCACTGTGTGTGCCTAGATTAAAACCATGATGATATGAGACGTACCGAGGATCAGCTCATCGTCCTTTTGCAATAACTCTAAATCAGATAGCTTCGAGAGCTCGTTCAGCTCCCTCTCCGAGTCGTGCTCAGTGCCCTGAGGGAGGCTGGTCTGATTGCGCTTCCAAACGGGCTCAACGGTGGCGGGATTGAAAGGTAGATGTTGCGGCTGTGCATGCAGATGACACCTGCGTGGGAACGGGAGATAATGCGGACGGAATGGATGCCTGAGAACCTGAACTTGATGGAAGAGAAGGGTCTAGAAAGGAAGGATGTGACAGAGCTGGAGTACTACTAGTAGCGTGACCGTGAGTCTGAGTGATGTAATAAGGAGTAACGTTCGGGTGATGAGGGTTCATACCAGTACTGTAGTACTAATAGTAGTGACTGGCGTGTTCCGCACTCCTGACTCGAGGGGAGGCAATTAGTATTGGGTTGTCAATGGTGCGCATCACCTCATTTATAGGACGGGACAAGCTCGCACTCACCAGTCCCGTGCAGTTCAACAAAGACGACGCGTCGGCACGCGCATCTCGTGCTACATACAATGCAAACGCGTCGAGTGACGGGACACGTGTCGCTTGTAACTGTCGCATTACAGTATGTGACTCATTGTGACCTTACATGTCATGGGAAAAACTGGCGTGGAAACGGATGGCTCGCCCTGAGAACGGATGGCTGGGAAACGGATGGCTGGGAAACAGATGATATCTGCAGATATCCGCGGATAGCCCTATCCAAACCAAGCCCTGACAAGCCCCTCTAACGACTGGGCAATTTGGGCCCCGTTTACCTTGGTCACCCCGTGGGAATCGGGACTTGGTGAAATCGTGCATCTGCGCTCTGCACTCTTGACCTGGCTTTCAGCTTCATGCTTCCATACCAGCATTTGAATGTCAAATTGAGATATATTGGATGTCCCGTAGGTCACAGAATGTACAGTTGTATACGTATAGACTTGTGAATAGATTGCTCGCCTGCATGAAACCCCCAAGCACGCTGGCAATGCAGGTGGATGGGACATGTCCAAGGGCGAGAGGGGCCACCACCATCAATGCCGAGAAGAGAATATGCGGGAGGTGGAGAGGTGGAACCACACTCATGAGGAGCAGGTGAGTACGTTGAAGGAGTGCAAGTGAAGTGGTGCAGCCGTATTTAGCAAGAGCGGCATTGAATAGGCTGAATGCCGATACTGGTGAAGGGTCGGGTGGGCAAGGAGGCGGGGCAATGAGCGCGCGGGCGTGTGAGCAGGCGTGCGCCGAGCAGGCAATCATACGGGGATGCGGGGGTGCGGGTGAGTGAGTAAGCGAGCATGCACGTGGAAAGTGGATGGGTGTATGGGTGGGCGGGTCACTCACCGGCCTGCCCATCTGATCACCGCTGGCCTGCTCGCTCATTGACCTTGCCCCCCGCCCATGGTATCCGCCGTTTTGCTCGCGCTCGACCTTGCGTGTGTCGCATCTGTGCATCCCTGTTATGGACTGGGATTGCTAACTTACCAAGTACTTACTTAGTAACAACCGTCGGTAGTTACGTAATCGTAGTCGCCTTAGTTAAGAAATGAATTGAGGATTATCTCGTTGTGAAGAGGATTAACACAATGATTTGAGTAATCGACTTATGAGGATTAGTCGATCGAGAATCGATTTTGCTCAACAAGTTCAAGCACTAAGTTCGGAGTGGCACAGTAGTGCCTACGTTCTCAGTGAAGCTAAGAAACTTGGTTGATTGAAGTAAGTCGGTTACGACTTTAGTGAATAGAGCGTTACAACAATAGTTGAGGATGCCACTAAGCACGAACCCGACTCTAACCGTAGATCGATGAAGCTTACTCTTACCAAACCCTTCAGAGTAGCGCAAGGCTATACTATTGAAGGGGTCAAGGTAGATCGACTTAGCGCACGGCTATAAGTACGATTGACCTTAGTATGTCCAGTGCGGGGCTATGGACAATCGAGTGGCTCACACCGATGGATTGAAGTTCAAGAGAGTGTTATTCGTCTGGTCACTACCACAGTGTTTAAATACATTCAAAATGTACTAGAATATTCTACAAGAGAACAATAGCCTTTCCAATGCCCTCAGTCGAGTGCCCCGTATACTCATTGTTCTTAGACCGAACCGATTGGCTTTAGTTCGGTCACCCTTGCTGAGTCTAGACAAGTTGATCCCTCGACCGAGCAATCTCCGGGATCAGCTGATACTGACTCTAAAGGGTAAGTAAGGACTTGTACCGGAAAGGAAGGTCTTCGCCGTAAGTCACGTGTCAGCGCTTAACCACTTTGACAGGCTTTCGCGACTTAGGCAATCCCTTTGACGTTAGGCCTACCTAACAATCCCCGCCCACTCGTATCTGCCATGCCATTTGCCTATCCGGGCAGCTCGAGCGTTGGCCCAGTGGTTCAATGACCTGCTGGTCTGCTCGTGCACCCGTCCTCTTGTTTGTCCGCCAATCCCCTCGTTCACTCACCACCTCCCGCCCGCTCAGCCGACCACCCAGTGCCCAGACACATGCCTGTGGTCTGTTCATCGGCTGTGCTTGCGGGCAGGGCAGTTGCTCTGCGTATTCGCAGTCGGTGTGAGCTAGTATGTGCCTGCAGTCAACTCGCTCGCGTGTGCTTGCACTCACCTTGCGTCACCGCCTCTCGTATACCGACCTTCACGTTGAGTGCGGGTGCAGCAATGGTCGTTGGTCGCTTCCGCAGAGGTCGGGCGGCGAGTACTCGCGAGTCGAGACAGCGTGAGCGGGCGGGTCCTTGCCCATGAGTCGTCTGTCTTTGCGTCTCACGCGGACACGGCAATCCTTGTAGGTAGGCGAGGGTGACTGGGACGGACAGCCTGCTCCTTGCATTGCTGCCTGACCTTCAAAGCTCATTGCCTGAGACTAGAAGACTTGTCAGCATAGTTCCATTTGATATCACTTTACAGACCTACATTGCACGGGAAGTCATCAGGAAAATCCCCCCCTCGGAATTAGCATTAACGCTGCAACATCCACAGTATTACTGCGAATACGTGGGATTACTCCGCATGCCGACAGCCATTCATGACATTCTCGTGAAATCCTAGGTATGATAGGAATCGGTTCTGTATACTAAGTAATATTGGTGTCATTGATGTCATTCACTGTGTCAGGCACTAGGTTCACATACAGAACGAGAATAAGCATGGCATTCCGACACATGTACATAGTGGTACTAATATAAATTGTAGAGGCTATGGGGGCTTTGGTACTAAGTTGGACATGGTACATTCATTTAAGACGTTCTCGCTTGTCCAATGTACTGGAGGCTTACGCGCGGGCACGGTCAAGTACCCGCCCCGTGTGTACAGTCATCCCGGGTCCTCGCAGGCTGGCGCGGGTACGGATATTGGCGACGCATCAAGCGGGCGAGGAGAGTGGACGGCGAGCAAGCGTGCAAGGACGAGGGCGATCGCGCGGGAAAGCAGGGGGTGGACATGCGTGCGCCGTGCGGGCAATCGCCAGCAACTCGGAGGAGTGAGTGCGTAGACAGATGAGCAGGCGGCAGGACCTGCCCGCTGCCGGTCGCTGTGCATATAATGGGTACGTGCGGCCTGTGCTGCGCGCATGGCGTCCACTTGTCAGCCGTCGCTGTGGGTGGGGCATTTGCCCTGCGCACTGCTGGTCGCCATGTGCATCGCCTGAGCGGGTAGCTTGACCGGTTGCCCACCGGTCTACTCCCCTGCTAGCCTGCCTCCTCATCTGCCCCTGTCTGCTCGCCTGTCCACTCACCCGCCTGCGTGCTGGGAATTTGCCACGCCCGCTTGCGGTTGCCGTGCATGTCGCCTGGGTGTGCGCAGCTCAATCGCTTGGGTGCGACTTTGCTCGCGTTTGAGGGTGTGCTGCGTGCCGCGTGCTTGCATGCGAGTGGGTCGGGTGTGCGAACGCGCAGGTGGGAGGGGTGGGTGGTCGAGCAGGCGGGTATGTGTGCGCGTGAGTGCGCGTGAGTGAGCGTGTGCGCAGGCGGGCTAGGGGCATGGCGCACGTCCACAGCGAGATGTGCTGCTGATTCTTCAGTGTACATAGACACCGGTACTACCTATAGATCTTCGTTAACATGCTTGGAGGGAATGCTACTCACCTTTAATGAGCCCGGCTCCAACGATAAGACGACAGTAATGGCTGAGTCGCTGCGGCGGCCAAGTCGTGAAGGCCTGGATCTCGACCGGAGGAGAGCACGTGCCACGATGCCACTGCCACGTCAGGCGCTCCCAGAGTCCCAACTCTAAGTCTCCCTCCTCTTACTGCCTCACCCTCCCTCGCCAGCTCCCACCACGGCTTCATCCCCTACGCGTACCACCCCGATGTCGACATGCACTCTAGGCCCGACGAGGATGGCCTTATCTTTGACCCGACCTACGGTGAGTGCCGTGCCTGGTGGACGAACCTCAGCTGGCGCGGCGTCCTCAACGTCACCGTCACACTATCCCTCCTCGCCCTCTTCATATCCTACCCCATCATCTCCCACCACAACAACGTCCTCACCCACATCGCCACTGCCGACACCCACATCAACACCACTGGTCAATACGATTTCTCCTTCCACTGTCCCTTCATCTCTGCCGCTTCCCTGTTAATCTGACACATCATCCCCAGGTCCAACGTGCGGAGATACCCGCTGCCCTTCCCACAAGACACGCCATAGTACCCCGGATGCACGCGTATGCCCTCACCATGACGACGTCTCTCAGGTACGTTCACCCCTTTTCCTGCTATCTGTGCCTACTGTTTGTCTGCCGTTGTACCGTATGCATTTCCTGACTATCCTCGCTGCACTTCCCTAGCAGTCCGAGCCCCGCAGTCCAGTAATGTGCGCGTGTGAACACAATATGCAATTGGTGTCCACCTAGCTCGGGCCGTGGCCAAGCACCCCCGCTGCCCATGCCGGTCCCATCACAGCAATGTAGTAAGTCTTTCCCGGTCTCCTCGCAAACCGAACCTGAAGTTGACTGTATATGGACCATGCACGAGCATGAGCATACCCATGACACTCACTCGGCGCCAAGTGCCGCGGCGATGAGCTACAGAAGGACTGGAATCTCGTCAAGAGCCGGATCTGCGCAGGGTGAGTGTGTTCCTCATCTCATGCGAGGGAGGCGTGTAGACAGCTAGCATCTCTCCGCCTCGCCCTACAGGCCGCCTGTCTCGCCGCTCTAGCCAGTGTGGGTAGTTCATATAGTGTTGTTGAAGGTAACGTACTCTGTCATGTCGCTATCAGTTTTGCTTGTCTCGTTGTGATTGTTCTCTCCATTTACGACTTTTGCTCTTGTAATCTCGGACACCGGATCTGCGTAGTGTAACACTTGTTAGGCCCTTATGTAGTAGTACCATTGAATGCAGTGCAATACACGTTATGTTCTCTTCAGTATCCTGTGTGAATGGAAATAAGATGCCAGACTGCTGTGAATGTCCACGGAATACTGCAGAACAGATTGCTCATTACATAGGTATGTCAAGCAAATCCTTTGTAATTACACGTATTACGGAGTATTCATATTTGAACCCACCGGGACCAGGGAATTTTTGTCTTTACGAGAACAGAAAGAATAATCGGGATTACTATCAATATCATGGAATAACACTATGTTCTTGCTCATTCATCAGAGGTATTTTTCCTGATGCAATAGAGTGTATTCGAAGCGCGTTTGGTTTTGTATTAGCCGCGCTCCCTTTTGTATTATGGCCCGCCGTGGGGGGCCGGGAGACTGCTCTAATCCTTGGAAAAGGCTGATCTAACTAATCAAAGAGCCCAGCCGCATCGAAGAGGGCCAGTCTGGCCAATTGCGGTGCTCACCTGGGCAATGCTGGGGCAGGCGGGGCAGCCTGGCAGCGTCCCCAGTTTTTCACTGGCACGGGAATCATTGGTATTAGTGGGGAGCTCCAACGCCCATTTCGAATACACTTGAATGTGTTGCGAATGTGAGGGTCAGTGAGGGTCGCAGGCTGACAAGGCTGAGAGAGCAAGCAGCGCACGCTCAAATTCTCTAAGTCCCGTTTCCCACGGGTCGACCAAGGTAAACGGGGCCCAATTCGCCCAGCCGTTCTGGCGAACTGAGGAGTGCCACGACTGAATTTGAATTTCTTGACGCCAGAACGGCTGGGAACGAGCCTACAAATCAATATGCAAGTCACTGTAGCTGTCAGACATTGTTTGCCGCGTGGGAATCTGGGTGCACAGTCACGTGATATCTATCACCAGCGCATAAAACTGCTCGACGCACGTCTCCCTTCCTCACTCATTTACCGGACTCGCACTATTGTCCCCCTGTGACCGAACGCCTTCGGGCCCTTCTCGCAGGAGTCTACCGCTTGTCCCAGAGCGCACTCACCGCCCCAGCTGGAGCGCACGCCCTTCCCTTCGGGTTGTCGACGTCGTCGGCGCTGGCGTGCTTTTCCTTACCAGGGGTGGTACATTCCCTCCACTGTTTACTCGCTTTTCTATTGCTGCCCTCGACTCATGGTATCGGTCTAGACAATGGATTCAATGCTTATGTATGTTGTGTATGTAGTATGTACCAGTCAAATTGAACTTCTATGTTGTACGTAGTGTATGCACAAGATGCAATGCAACCTTCCAGACCCTCGACAGCCGGACTCGAGTGACAATGAGGCTGAAGCGCCACGTCAAGGAGGCAGCACGCCTGCGAGGGAAGGGAGGAGTAGAGCAGATCAAAAAGGACAGGTGTGTGTGGTCATACTGGGATGAGCTCTCAACACGAACCGCTACATCACCTCCGTCCGCGCACGTCAGACGGCTCCCCCTAACGTACGACGCGCCTTCCCCGACAGCGCGTCTCTACTGGCCGCATTCCGAATCCAAACTATACCCCAGGGAGCGTCCCACCACACCCGTCCTGTACCGCTACCAGTCGCCCCTCCCTACAATCGAGTATAGCCCGAACATGTTTAGGCCGTTGCGGGCTTCTTGTTCCCCTTTGCACCCTCCTTCCCGGGCACGAAGAGCCACCAAATCGCCACGATCGCCCGGATACCGCAACCAACGCCGAGGGTGCCCGCGGCGCCGATCTGGTCAATGAGAGCGCGGCCAACGAAGCCGCCGAGGAAAAGCGAGAAGATGGCGATGACCTTGTGGTCGCGGGAGATGATGTGGCGGTTGAGCTGGAAGAGCTTCGGGTCGGCCATGAGCTCGCACCACACGGTCGTCAGTACGACTGCAAAGGGAAGGTGTCAGTTCGATGATTCACGATGCTTCGGGGTCATGCGCGCGGCATCGGACAACACCTAGATCGCGGCGCGACCCAACCAGCTCACTGCAGAGTACCCACCAGTAGTCGTGAACTGCGTGTTGACCCGCTTGCCCATGATGCCCTGCAGGCCGATGCTCGCACTCATGAAGCCGAGCGCAACAAAGCCGAGTGCGTTCGTCCAGGCGGGGTTGAAGCGCTCGGTAGCGACGGAGATCTGGCCGCCCTGCCAGGCGGCGATGGCGGCGGCCATGGTGAAGAGGGCCTGGATGAAGGTGCCGAGCATGAGCCAGGCGCGGGACTGGGGCCCCATGCGGTCGCCGAGGCGGCCGATGAACGCGCCGGCATTGAAGGTGATGAGGGAGCAGAGGGCCTGCTGGTCGGCGATGTGGAAGGTGTGGTCGGTCGGCCTGGAGAATAGACGGGCGATGGCGAGGCCGAGCTGGGGATGAATGAGCGGGTGTGAGTGATAATACAAGGTAAGAGGGCTGCGTACGACGCACCTGGACCGTGTTTCCTGTCTGGAAACCTGCCCACACGAAGACGGCGGTGAACGCGACCGAGTCACTGGGAGACGGTGAATTTGTGAGGATCAGTGATACTGTCACCACGCACATGAAGCCGGTCATGAAGCAGAACGCAGCCAGCGGGATAGTGGCCTTGACTGGGCTGACATCGCCAAAGAAATGCTCTCTGGTGAAGAGGGTGGATGGCGAGACCCAGAGACGGGCGGTCTGCTGCATGGTCGTGACCGAGGCGGGGTGGGGGAGCTCTTCCGCTCTGTTCTCGGCGTAGTGCGGGCCGGGCGGGACATCGTCGCGCTTCTCGGAGCTGTGGGCGGACATGATGCCGGGCCTTCTCTGCGGGGGAGGGAGGGGGCGAGGGGGAAGATCTGGGACGCGAAACGAGCGGGACGGCCGGAGGGCACAGGGAGGAGGGCGGTGGCGGGGCCCGCTATTCTTGTACCGTCTCCTCCTCCATCGCGCAATGCGGCGAGCCGCCCAACCGCGCTCTCCCATTGGCCAGCGATGTTACGCCCGCCCAATCCCCGCCTGTGTCTCTCCCCGACTGCCATCCATCCCTTGGCCGAACAACACCGCAAATGTCCAACATGATTGCCAAGCATCCTCCCATGCCTTCCCGAAGATCTGTCTGGCGCGGTGGCTTTTTCTTCCGCTCAAACGGCACTGTGTCTACATCGAGTACACAAGTGCGAGCCAAGCTTCTTGGACAGTTTTATGAGACAGTATTCTTACCACGTCAAGAGCCCAGCGAAGTAAACATTTCTCGGCATGTCATGTATGGAATACACTTGCTCATAAAAGTCTGACGGCGTTACGTGTCTTCTCGCTTCCCGTCCAACTATTCTGTCAGACTGACGGGAGTAGGACAGTGTACCCTACTTAGGACGGACCTGGACGCGTTCCGAGTGCCACTGCCAAGTCACGGTCGCGACTGGTCCGCTTGGCTAACGAACTCTGGGGCCACTGCAACTGATCCGCGGAGAGGTCTGGTCTGAGACACTCAACTTCACAGCAAAATGAATTGCCCGAGGTAAGTCTACTGGACAGAGGTGGAGTCGAGCGACGCTGCGCACCCGAATGTGGTATGACGCACCCTTGTCTCTGTGTTGGACGGACTCAAATGCATTCCCACTCGGAGTGGTGCTCTCTCAGCGGAATCTTGGATTTGATTGGTCCGTAAAGTACTCACGGCACGTTCGACAGGAACCTATGATCGCGAGCTCTTCTTCCCTGCAGTCTGAGTTCCAGTCAGAGCGAGACCTCGAGAAGCGGCGGTACGATGATGACTGTGATGAGTCGAAAATTAAGCACGCTGGCAGCTTCTACGATTCGGTCAGTGAGCACGGAATCAAGTGATATGCCAATAAGAGGCCCACAGCGCTTTCACAGAACTTCCCTGAGACCATGTTCATCGACATACATTTCGAGGATCCTGTCTGGCATTCCGCATGACAGGCATCAACTCCTTGAGTTCAAGAATAGCGAGTACTATCTCAGCGGAACGCGAAGAAAACTCACCACCAAACGAGAACTTGCCCATTCCTGAAGTGATTGAGCCTGACAAGCCCGGACTAATCTCAGTCTGTGGGCTGACCTTGTTCAAGCTGGCTACCTATCCGGTTCGAAAGTCAGCGCCTCAACGAGTGAGTGGGCCCACGTCACTGCGGACAAAGCAGGTTGCGCGGAGCGCTTACATTGTCTGAACATTGTCAGAACGTGTATGTCAAGATCCGAATATTATCTATTTTCCTAGACCGAACATTGAAAAGCAGCCAATGAGGAGCCGTGCCTTTCAATGTTCGGTCACCGATAATAGTTCATGTTCGGATTTCGAGATGATATACTCATTCTAACGATGATCTGACACTTATCCGACGCCAAACAAAGGGGTTTGTCCGCAGTGCGTACTGACCTTGACAGAACATCTCGAGTACCGCCTCGATCACGACAGGCTCATCCTCCCTCCATAAGACACGCTCCACCTAGCCATGCTAGATCAGCCCGCGCTTCACGACAAAGGCAACATCGCCTCCGCTCGAGTCGCACCACGGAGTTAGATAGTCTCCGACTCTCCGTTGGGAGTTAGAGGGGCACAACAAAGAGAAGGAAACCGTCTATGTCGATGCATCATTAGTCGTTTACACATGCAGTTATAACTACGAAAGCGTGATAGATGTACTACAACAGCCCCAGTCCAATCCGCCCGCACCCAAGAACAGCATCGCACCCTCCGCCATCTTACGCCATCTTGCCGAGCACGCGCGGCTGCTGCAGGTCCGCCATGTTGATGAAGATGTCGTCGGCAGGGTGACGGTAGAGCGGCGCGCGGAGGCGCTTCTGGTCGAGGTGGTGGCCGATGAAGCCAATGCTGCGCCCGAGCACGAACAGGCCGTTCAGCGTGCCGATCCTGATGTACTCGTCCGCCTCCTCGGGCGCGAACGCGCCGCTGTCCCGGAGCAGGTCGACGAAGCAAACTGCGATGCAGCCGTCGACGTTCAGGATGAGCTGAAGCAAAGTCAGTAACGGGAAAGAAATGTGCAAGTGGATGCACGTACTGTGTCCTTCTTGGACGTCGTGACCTTCTCGACCGCGAGCGCGTAGTCGAGCAGGCTGTGGCTCGGGAAGTGCTTGTGCACATACTCCTTCACGAGCTCGACACGGAGGTCAGGGTTGTTGACGCTCTTGATCTTGTGGCCGATACCGCTGACTGTTGTCCTGGTCAGCACTTCCCCACCGCCATACATCACGGAGCCACTTACTCAGCTTGTTCTGCTTGCGGCATTGGTCAACGAACTCGCGCGGCGTGAGACCAGTGTCGCGCGCGCCAGAGAACATCGAAGCGGCCTCGTCGAGCGCACCACCGAAGCGGCTGCCGATGGTGAGGAGACCGGACGCGAGCGAGGAAATCAGGTCCTTGCCCGCACGGGTCGCGACGATGGTGTTCATCGCACTAGACGTCGTCAGTCTCACATCAAATGATCCCAGTGAAAGCTACTCACCCAGAGACAGCCGGACCGTGATCGGCAGTGAGCATGAGCACCATCTCAATGAACTTGGTCGCCCACGGCGGGAGGCGGCGCTTGAACCACAACAGAGATACGACACCGCCGAGGCCGATGTCCTCCTTGAAGACATCCGTGATGCGCATGCCGGCGTAGAGCAGCTCCTGGCCGCGCTCGTCCGAGATGGTCGAGATGAACGCCGCAGGCTTCCTGATGAGGCCGAGCTCCTGCGCCCACTTGTAGTCCATCGGGATGACGGGGGGCTCGCGCTCCGGCTTGGGCACGATCGCGCCGCTCGAAACAAGGCGCTCGTAGGTCTCCTTCAGCACCGCGGGGAGGTCCTCAAACGTGTCGGGCACAATGAAGCCCGCCGCGCGCATCGCGCGGTTCTTCGCGTCGGCCGTCTCCATGTCCGAGTTGGCCATGGAGCCCGCGTGCCCGAACTGCACCTCCGTCGTGAACATCTTCGCGCACGTCCCGATCGCCCATGCGACGATCGGCTTGCGGATGATGCCCTTCTTGACGGCTTCGATGACGCGGTATTCCTCCACACCGCCGACCTCGCCGAGCAGGACAAGCATCTTGCAGTCGGGGTCCTGCTCGTAGCGCAGGAGATGGTCGATGAAGGTCGAGCCGGGGTAGCGGTCACCACCGATGGCGATACCCTCGTAGGTGCCGTTCGTGACGAGCGAGAGGATGTTGTTGAGCTCGTTCGACATACCACCAGACTTGGATACGTAGCCAACGGAGCCTGCGCGGTAGAGCTTGGACGCGATGATGTTGTCCATCATACTGCAATGAAACCTGTCAGCCTGTATCGCTTCAAGCTAGACATCAACTCACCCTCCAGAGTTACCAATACGGAAGCAGCCCGGCTTGATACCACCAACAGTAGCAGGACCAATGATGAGGACGCCCTTCGCCTTCGCCGTGTGCAAGATCTCGCGCGCATGGCGCTCGGGCACACCCTCCGCAATGAGGGCGATGCACTTGATCTGAGCGAACTGGAAGATCTCGAGTGTGCTCGAGTACACACTGCGCGAGCTCGCAAAGTTCACAACAACGTCCGCATCGGGGTGCTTGCTCACCGCCTCCTCAACGCTGGTGTACACCGGCAAGAGGGTCTCCTTCGTGCCCCAGTAGAACTTCTGGATGTGGTGTCCACCGAAAGGGTAGATCATCGCCGCGACCGACGGCGCCTCGCGTCCGCACGAGTAGTCAAAGTCGAGCATGCCCTGAATGGCGCGGGGCTGGAGGCCGTACACGAACGCGCGTGTGCGGTCGTCAAAGGGGCGGAACGCGGGACGCGTGCCCTTGGCCTCGACGTTGTCGAAGCGCACGATCTGGTCGTTGGGCTGCGAGCGCTCGCCGTCGGGGCCAATCGAGCCGATGGCCGTCGCGGGGTCCGCGCTGGCCTTGATCGTGGGCGAGGGCGGGCCGACAGGGGTGGCAGCGATGGAGTGAACAGGGTTCTTGGGCTTGCCAGCGACGCCGAGTGCGAGAGGGACGATCTCGGTGATGTGCGTGTCGGGACCGTATACCTTGATGGGGACGCCGAGCGACTCGCCGAGGAGACGCATGGCCTTGAGGCCCTCCTGGTAGTTCGGGCCACCGCGACGGATGTAGATCTTGACGTTGTGCGCGATGAGCGGGGACTTGTACTCCTTGAGCGCGCGGATGATGCCCTTGAACGTAGCGGCGACGTTCGTGAAGTTGGCGATACCACCGCCAATGATGAGGATCTTGCCCTCGGAGTGGGGCGTGCCGCGGGTCATGAGGTCGATGATTGTCTTTGCGTACTCGTACGTCTGGCCCTCGGACGGCGCACCCGAGTACTCACCGTAGTTGGCGAGCTCGTGCGCGAAGCCGTGCGCAGCGATGGCGTCAGAGTACACAACGGAGGCACCACCACCCGCGACCATGGTCCAAATGCGACCCTCGGCGTTAAGCACGGTGAGCTTGAGCGAAGCACCGGTGGAGGCATCGAGCTTCTGGATGTACGCCTCCTCCTTGGTCAAATCACGACCGAAGGGAGCGGGCCAAACCTATCATGACGGAGCAAATGAGCACATAGCATAAATGAGGTTCGGACGCTACTTGCCATGGGCGGACCACGGTCAGCAGAGACAGTCTTGCCCTTCGAGGTCGTCGCCTGGCTGCCAGGCTCGTACACAGACAGGTCACGCGCGATCGCCCACCTGGGGCCGCAGATGGACTCCGCGGTCTGGTCGAGCTTCGCAGCCATATCGAGGTAGTAGATGGTCGGCGCACCGCCATCGACACCATCAAGGCAGATGAGCGGGTTGATCTCGAGGTACGCAAAGTGGAGGTCGACGTAGACCGAGTAGAGGCGGATGAGGAAGTCGACGAGGGTCGCCTTCTTCGCCTCGGGGACGTACTTGAGGAGGGTGTCCGCGATGGTCTTGCGGTCGGGCACGGGTGCGTTCACGTGGATCTGGAGGGTCAGTGCCTTCGCGTCGACGTCGCCGATGTCGACGCCGCCCTCGTGCGTGAAGAGGATGTTATCGCCATCACGGTCGGAGTTGATGCAGACGTAGTACTCGGTGTTGGAAGGGTGGGGGAGGAAGGGCTCGACGATGAAGTTGTTGAGCGTGCCTGTGATGGCCTCGACCTGCGTGTTCCGACAATCAGCTACGGTTCATCTCGCTTGTAAACTAGGCTGGCCAGAACAGCGAACGCGTCAAGAGGCCCGACGGAACGGAGAGAGCGTGTTGCGGCAGGGTCACGTGGTGACATAATCGGTACGCGCCTCGCCCACAACGCGAGGCGATGTATGTCCCCAACGCAGTGCTAGCGGACCAGGCTGCGCGTGCCCCCAGAATGGGGAGCGGAATGCAGGGATTCCACTGCGGGGGATCGTCCGCGTCGACAATTGACGCCATGGGGGCGGAAAGGAAACAAGACCGTTCGGAAGCGGGGAGGCATAGCGGAAATCCGTACCTTCTGCGGCTTCCCCGCGCGAGCCTGAATCCACTCCTTGGCCTCGTCCCAGGTCTTGTTGAGGGCAAGGAGCCCGGCCTTGCCTCGCCGCTTGATGAGCTGGTCGGGCTTCGCGACGAGTTTTGTGGTGAACACCCAGCTCGGGAGCTGCGTGTCGGGCGTGATGGCGTTCGTCTCCGGGTCCCACGACACCTGGGCAACCTTGGGGGCGGGGAAGGCGAACTTGGTGGCCAGCTGCCAGGAAGGGTCTACGGCGGGTGCGCGCTCGAGCCAGTAGGCCAGCAGGAGTTTCGCGTCGTACTCGCGGATGGCTGGGGTGGTGTAGCTGGTTAGCGATGGTAGAACAGATCAGGCGGAATCGGGGCGTACCTTTTGAAGACATGGCAGCAGCTGGTGGGTCGTGAGGAGGAGGGAAGGAGGGCGCGAGGGGCGATATTGGCTGGAGGGTATTTATCAGTCGGATGTCGCCTCACTTTGCGCTGGACGATATTCGAAAATGGGGAAATGGGCCTCCCCCAAGTTTCGCACGGTCCATCTCGCCACGGCCGTTCTGCGCTGCGATTGGCCCGCTCGCCCTCTCCAGCCTTGCCATTGATCTCTCCGCTCGTTTCAGGCAACAGAGTCGTACGAGCTCATGGCCTGCTCGTGTCCGACGCTCCTTTGACATCCTCTACGTGTCGGTACGCGGTCCGCAATCTGCTACTTATCGCTGCATCTCCTTCTGCAACATGCGGTGCGGCACCCACTCGTTCGTACTTGCCATTTTAGCACAGTGTTGCGCGAGTAGCTCTGCTCGCGACACATACCGCGAAGAAGCCCCGGTGAGTCTCCCGGACATCCTCTACGCACTTTCGCAGCGTAGACTGCTGTCAGTTGTCATCACACCCACCCGAGATGCTGTCGGGCAATCCGACGGGCGCATCATTGTGCTGCAGTACGGCAATAAGCCCACTTGAACCGCTGGCAGACAAATCGACAGGTCCTGCATCACCACCACTGTAAACACTTGCTGCTGATGATCATACAGACCTCACAACGCGTATCCCCATAAGTGCCTGTCGTGGTTAAACCTGTGTCTAATCCGCGTAACAGGACTGCGGTCGGGACGGAGCTTTCTCAACGCGTCACTGCTAGACATAGCCAGACGCGTGATAGGTTACATTGCGGGACTATCATCCGGGCGTTGTCCGTAGGGGATGTTCCGAACCTGCTAACGGGATACGACCAAGTCATGGCTTCGTCCGAGCCGACCAACGCGATCGCACTGCCCGGATTCCGGCTCAGTCGATCCTTTGCGCGGAAGGAGGTGTCCGAGCGATACCTTCTGTAGGCCGACTCTGAGCACGACCTGTTCAGGGTGCGTACGCGGTCGAATACATACGGAGCGTCGCATCGACTGAGAGATCTCTTATGGTCTGACTCTTGAGCTTTATAGGCATCACTGACGGGCGTATATGAGCGGCGCTCAACTTTGTGCGACGGGCGGCGATACGGATTACAACAGTGCTCTCAAGCCTATTGCCCAGACGAAGTTGTCCAGATAGACCCAGCGGCGTCTAGGCGTCGAGGGGCTGGACTTCGAATGTCTTTCCTTCGCGGACACTGGGCTGCTCCACCGATCGCCGTGTGTGTACCACGAGCTTGCGTCATGCACGCACGTCGAGTACTGGTCCGTACTGTGCCTCGGTGCCATGGTGGCGTCTGCTTCACAGCCGTGGTGAGTGCTACTTGCATTAATATTGTGGTGCAATCCGGGCCCATCCAAGCAACAGGTCTAACACCGTCCATATCCAGGTAGTCAGCTGCAGAGCATTCAACTTGGAATGTCCGAAACAATTTGACTGAGTTTGAACAGCCAAAACAAATGCAGGGTTACATTGTTCGATTCACTTTATCTGACGCAACTGCGTAGAGACCCGCTTCAATCCACCCTCCGAGCAGCCCTCGTTGGGATACCTGCAGTACCGGAGTCTAACTTCAGCTGACACTGTATAGCCACTCGGACTAGCACCCGTTGACCACAAAACATGTTCACAGACTCTAGGAGGCTCATCCCGGCTGGCCGGTGTCTTTCCCCCATCCTCCGCTCCCTTGCGGCGACCGCGGTGAGTTTTGCATGTGGAAAGCGACCCTCGTCATGGTTGTGGTGTGACATAGATATATGATCTTCTATGCCACCAACAGGCGAACCTACCCTCACTTTGTGCAAAGACATGCAGGGCAACTCGTGGTTGGTCAAGAAACCCTTCAACGGCAGCACGTGGAAGCACTTTTCGGACATAGTACAGTATCCGGAGTATCCGGACGTGTCGGACAAGAATAGCTTCCTAGAGAAATGCGAGGAAGCTGCCGCGAAGGCAACCCACGCCGCCATGGTCAAGTACGATATAGGTCTACGCAAGGGATGGGCGTACGAAGAGATCGAGGACATGAACCACATAATGTTCGACAATGACCTAGCCAATGCCATTTTGTGGGACTGGTCTGGGGCGAGGAACATCGAGCACTCGGATGGACCAACGGTAAGCGTTTGCTGTGTCAGGTCATCAGCGGCAAGGTGCACTCTGACAATGTGTGCCAGTTGACGAACCTGAGGGACCAAGCTGAGGACAAGGTCCACCATGCGCTGCTGGTGTACTGTGACTACCCGGTGTACCACGCAGGGGGGACGGATAGTGCTAGCGAGGCCTCCGATCCGGACGCTGCTATGCGCCCTCTGACGCCTCCTGACGGAGTTGGCTTTTACTAGGTTGCGGAGATTGATGGGTAACCGGTAGACTCACCAAACCGTCTATCCTGGAGAGAGTAGAGTATACCTAGGTGGTGACATGGCTTGAGAGTCGCGTGTAATCTAAGTTCACCTTTGGTCCTATTAATGGCACTCTCCTCCGTGACCGGTGCTGCGAAGCGTGACGGTCCCAATATTGGCAGCTGCAACGTCAGAGACTATGCAGAGCCGGGGTTAATGTCAAAAATTGGCAGAACAAAACAGCTGTACAGCACGTACTTCTCTCGGAACGCATCGAAGGTCGTCCTATTTTAAGTCATGGCGGAGCTGCCACTGCCACATCTCAAAAACCAAAAGTAACAAAAGTAACCTGCCACCGAGGCGGCACATACTTGTTGTTTTAGCAATCCGGACTATACAATTTGTGCCGGGACACGTGCGATGTGACTGGGCCACGCCGTCGAAACCGCGGACCGATGCGACGAAGTGTCAGTGAGCTGACAGCGCTGAAGTACGAGGTAGTCACTAGTAGTGAAAACGCACCTCCGTCGTAAGCGCATATGCATATGCGTCAGTCGTGGATGTATGCGCGCGAAGTACAACGACGAACCACAAGTGCGGTTGACTATCGTGTCGCGCGACGACTGACGTCGCGGCCAACATCCTGCGCGGCCGGCAAGGACCACTGACTGCCGCGAACCTCGCACGCACACGCACAAACACAGCACGTCCAGCAGATACAACAAGTACCAATATGGATGTAGCAAGCGGGACCGACCCCGCGATACTTAGGGATCGATGTACGCTGGAGGCTCAGCAACTCGTCCGTGCCCGCGTAAGTAGGCTCGATGGTCGTCGCAAGCGCGCCTTTCGCATACTCAATCAGATAGGATACCGGTGCATATCGAATCGATCTCTCGAGACACTCGTCAGAGTCAGAAAAGAAATGGGGCATGGCGACGATGATGCGAACGTCAGCGACTGTAGCAGACCTTCGCTATGCCGCGTACTGCTGCAGCACAGGGGAAGTACGAGTAGGTCGTCGCTCAACACACGGTTGACCGACGGTGGCCAGTAGTGGACAATCAATGAACGTCATGTTCTATGTGATCCCAATTATTCGTTAGTACAAGACGGCTATGCTGTGTACTACGTGACACTCACCTGCGAACCGTCTCAGGCTTTACATCAGGCACCACCGCGTTCAACCTCAGACTGTTTTTCCCGCTTTCCCGCCCGTCTCCTCCTTCGCCGGCATTTCAGAGAAACTCAGAGCTACCTCCGAAGGTTGAATCACGTCTGCGCCACTGGGCGAAGGAAGAGAGGTGCGTTGAGGCAGGCACACGATGGACGCTGACCGCACCTCGTACGACAAGGAACCCCGGACCCGATTGCGTCCAGTGGTTGTGCACCTCACAGAGGGACTGTCGTGCGACGTCGCGGTGCCGTCGTCGCCGGCCACAGGCGACGCGTTCTGGTCGCGACTACGCACGCCACGTCGAGCCAACTGTGGAGTGACATTTTCGCCTCGCAGAGGGCGACAGCGAGGTTCGAGAGCGCATCTTGTGTGGGAGGCCCACGGAGGCGCACCAACCGGTCGTGTTCCCTTGGACGGAAACGGGCGGAGGGGCGCCACGTCGTGGCCCGAGGCATTTGGGAGCGGAACGCGTCGGGGAGGTGGTGAGACGTCATGATGGGCGACGCGCGGGCTGGGTCAGGGAGGATGGCCTCCTCGCGCTCCGAGTTGAATGTCGAGGGTAGGATGAGAGGTGTGAACGAGAGCATGGCGGAGCGAGGCGAGGCGTACGCAGAGTGTCTGGACGGCGAGATCCAGATCGAACGGAGGCCGCCAGATGGCATCGGGCAGAGGCGGCGGCTATGTGCGGGACGGTTCCTGATTGGCTGTGCTTGCCCCCGCGGCGTCTTCAAATTCAGCTCGCCTGGCCAGCGGACGACTGTGTGCGCCCGCCCTCCGCCCTCGCTGCCCCTCCGCCTCGCCCGCTGCCCCTCGCCCTCGCCAGCCGTCGCACGGATCACACGCTCCCATTCAGTCGCCTGCCTTCTCGCACGCCCCGTGACCCACTCTTCTCAGCCTCTCACGCGCACCCAGCCGACGCAATTAAAGCCCGTCCCCGCCTGCACGCTTCCTCCCTCTGCCCGCCATGTCGTCCCCCGCACCAGCGCCGCCCCACCCGCCCACAGACGACCCCCACCCGCCCCCGCGCTCCTTCTCCCAGCCCCAGTTCCCCTACCACTTCGCCCCGGCGCCCCCCTCCGCCGCCCCCTCCATCCGCGAGGCCACCATCGTCCGCCTCTCCGCCCGGCCCTCCACCGCACACGCCCCAGGCAACCCCCAGCTCGGCCTCGGCGCCTTCGCCCCCATGTGCGCCTCCGCCCGCACCTCCTACACCCGCGTCGACCAGACCGCACCCGGCACGCCCCAGCCCGAGCCTGCAGAGCTCGAAGACGCAGACCAGCCCCCAGACGCCGCGGAGCTCGATGCCACCGAGAAGGTAGATCCGGAACATGCTCATCAGGAGCAGGCCGTCCCCCAGATGCCCCAGGTCGCGCTCACCTTCCTCACCATCACCGGCAAGCGGCGCACAATGTCCTTCGACCCCGACGCGACCATCGGTCGCGTAAAGGAGCTCGTCTGGAATGCCTGGCCAAATGGTGAGTCCTCCCCTCTGCGGGCGCAATTGCAAAGAGACCTGCCATGCTCCGACGCCCCGTCGGCGGAACCTACGTCTGCGTCTATCTCTCTCGTCTTCCCTTGCCGCTTTCATGCGATCTGCGCATCCGCTCCGCGCACCAGGAGCCTACGCAGAACCGGCGGCCTCGCGAGATCGGAATCTCCGCCGTCTTCGCCGGCGTACCCACACCCACAGATCACTGGGAGATTCTCAGTCCACAGAGCCACGGCTGTTCGCGAGCACAGTAGAGCTGGGCACGTGCCGCCCTCTGCCCCGCCTTCCCTTCCATCTTCCATTATTCATCTCGCATTCATCGCGCCCGCATTTCCGTGACCCCTCCGCGCGTATCACGGCCACCTTACTCACCCTCCAATTGCAGAGTGGCAGGACGAGCGGCCGCCCGCGCCGTCGTATCTCCGGGTCCTGTACCTGGGCAAGATCCTTCAGGACGAGGACACGCTGTCGAGTGCGTCCCACTCCTTCTCTCGCGTGCATCGCAGGCTGACCGGGCGCCGCTCCCCTGCTCTCTCATTCTCCGGCGCATCGTTCTGCCCCACTCTCGCGATATACGTCCTCCCACTCACTGCACGCTGACCGCGCCGCGCCCGTCCCGCCGCGCAGAGTGGTCCTTCCCGGTTACGCAACCTGACCCCGCCGCGCCGCCGCCCCAGGCGACGGTCGTGCACCTCTCCGTGCGCGCGGTGCCCCCGCCCGCGGACGACGCGCCGAAGAAGCGGCGCGGCGCGGGCGTCGGCGACGAGGAGGAGGGCGCGTGCGGGTGTGGCGGGTGTGTGATATGTTGAGCGCGATGTAGGACGGCGGGGCGGGGCGCACACACGACTCGGAGCGCCGCAAGTGTGGTGGATCGCTCCGCCTGCCCGCGCACGTTCCAGACGTCCGTTAGGCCGTCCCCCTGGCCATTGTGGTACGATACCTATGCTTGCCCCCTGCCCCTGTTGAGACTGCCTTGCTCGTTCATCCCTATTCGGATCCCTGTTCTCTCCCTCGAACCCCTAACCCTACGCCAGGCTCAGCCCGCCTTCTCCTGTCCTCCCGACGCCCCTCTGCCCGCTCTCCCCGACCCCTACGCGACACGATATGACCGCCATGACCACCGCTCACCGACTAGTTAGTGCTTCCTTGCTCTCGCCGAGCACGCCTGGATATCCACACACATCGCATATACCGCCCGCATGCACACACCATACATCCCATCCCATCCCATCCCATCCCGATTCTATCTTGCACCCATTCGAGTTCTGGTTACGATCGCCCCGTTGCCGCTGCTGTGATTCTTAGTACGAGTATAAGTACGAGTTGCTAAGCTTAGCTTACCTTAGAGTGTACCTTTAGTGCTTAATGCTGGTTTTGGAGACGCTGCATTTGTTTGTTGGACGGGGTGTGCGTGTGAGGATCCGTGGTCGGCGGGTAAGGCGCAGTGGATGCGAGTCGCGTGCCATGAGCACCTGCATATGCATTACATATGCCTACAGTATGTTCTCCGCATCCCTGCGTTCCGCCCGCGAGCTTCACGCTCCGGGGACGAGCGGGGCACGACAAGGTCCCGTGTGCATTTTGGCCATCGCCGGGTGAGTCGAGTAGCCTCTACGCACACCCAGTGGACCCTCTACTTACGGCATACAACGTGCGCGTGTGCGTACACGCCACAGACGCGAGCCGCTGGGCCAAGAGCTCCCCACAGCCACCGTTCCAACCATCCGTGTGCCTTTGACCACACCCTCCCGGAACTTCACCCAACTTCTCACGTAGCAATGTCCACGAGCCTGTTCTCCCTCAACGACGATGTCCTCTCCATCATCCTCGCGCACCTCTCCACACGCGATGCGTGCCAGCTCACCATGACCTGCCGCACGGGCCACGCCCTCGCGATGCCCCAGTTCCTGAGCGAAGTCAAGTTCCTGTGCATCTCGCCCAGGAGCGCAGGGCGCATCCGCCAGTTCTGCGCGTTCATGCTCGCGGACCCCGAACGGCGGATACCGTGCCTCCGCACGCTGCGACTACTTGGGCCCGCATTCGCCCTCCCGGAGTCTATGGGTCCCGACGGAAGCGCAAATCTGAGGTACGAGTGTCCGTGCCATCTGAGCAGAGTCCTCCAGCAGGCCTCGCGGCTGCGCGCGCTGCACCTCTGGAACGCCGCCGCCCTGCTCCGCGCCTCAGACGGCTGCTGCTTCCCCGACGCACTCGCGGGCCTCCCCGCCCTCGACGTCGTGCACACGCACGGGCGTCCGTGGGCCTGCGCCCTGCTCGCCCGCACGGCATCCCGCCCGCGCGCCCTCCACCTGCACGCGGAGCGCGGCCTCGCGCGGCCGCCCACGAGCGACTTCGCCGCGGGCAGCCACCTCCCCGCGCTGCTCAGCGCCGCCCTCGAAGAGCTGCGCCTCCAGCAGTGCGTCGCGCTCGCGGAGAACCTCTACCACGCAAGCGTGATCTTCCCGCGGCTCCGCACGCTCACGCTCTCGGGGTATTGCGCGGCGCTGGCGAGCATCGCGAGCGTGTTCCCCGCGCTGCGGACGCTCCGGCTGCAGGACGTGACGTTCGCGGCGGGCCAGCCGATCGCGGCGTGGCCGGTGCTCGAGGGCCTGCAGACGAACGGCGACCTCGCGATGCCCCTGGTGGGCCGGGTGCGGAGGCTCGAGCTGCAGGTCTCGCTGAACGTGCACGAGCGGATGCCGCTGTTCGTGGCGCTCCTGCAGCGGACGACGCCGGCGGTGCTGTTCTGCACGGTCGCGCATAACCGGGTCGCGGAGTGGATGAAGGAGGTTGCGGGCGCCGCTCCTGGGCTCAGGTACCTTCACCTGGCGTTGCAGTCGCTCGACGCGAGATTGGTGGTGGGTGGCAGGGATACAGGGCTAGGTACTCTCAGAGCTGAAAATCCTCTTTATGCAGACGAGTTGCGCTGCGGCGCTGGGCGATGCCCCTCTGAAGGGTGTGTCCTTCGGCTACACCGCGCGCCTGCCCTTCGAACGCGATGAGCGCTGGGCTGCGTCCCTCGCACTCAAGGTCGCCGCGTGCGTGCCGTCAGTGCAATATGTCGGGTTCAACGTCCAGGGGTTCTCGTCTGTCGTCTATAATGACCTGGACGCGGTTACGTGGTATAACGTTGATCGCGCGCAGAGGGGGGCGCAGGTTGAGCGGCTGACGGACTGGAGGGCGGAGCAGGTGTTGGGGGAGTTGCTGGTCGCGAGCACGGATTGACAGAACAACCGTAGGGTAACGATCCGTCAACACGCATTGGCGCTTCCTGATATGCCTGGTAGTGGACGACGTGCTCGTCAGGCTTAGAGTGAGTATATCCCGTTATCCACGAACCGGGAAGTCAACATATGTACACTGCAGCGGGTCTGCGCTGTGTGTACCACTTGCATACACTGTATTAGGGATATTTTATGGTGATGCGACCGCTCGAGCTTTGCATTCACCATCGGGCTCGGCTGAAGACGTGGATATCCACTTCAGCCCCGAGGTCCATGACGGGCTGATACTCTACGCTGGTGCGCCACGCGGGCGGTGCGACTTACATATGGGTGCCATCGCTCTCGGGACCGCCTATCTGCTCCCGCTGTAAGCCCATGGCATGTGTGTATTTGACGAAGCAGGAAGGGCAGAAATGGCACGAGAGGCACGATGTCTCTCGTCCGGTGCGTACGATGTATAGGGCCGTGAGCCTCTTAATCGCCATGTCCATGTTAACGCCCTGCCTCATATTGAGTCACAGACTACTAGGTGCACGATACGGGCCAAGTGTTCCCTCGTATCGTAAGAACAATCTATCATACGCACTCGTTATTCCATGCCTCACTTCTGAACAACACGTCCGTCAATCTCAGAGCGTTTCCGGTATTGACCATCCGTAGAGACGATGGTGCTGTTCGCGTCGAGAACGTGGCTCTGTCCCAGGACTGCACCCCACGCTGAATTTCGACGCAACTCGTGAGCAATCAGCAATCATCAGTGTCTGCGGGAAACTCACCATCATAAGCTCTCGCACGAGCGTACTTCGCGGAATCGATAGTGATCTCCGTTTCAAAGCCGTCCTTTGGAACGACTGCTACTGGACGCAGGATGCTAGGGTGCGCGCCTGTCAAGATCTCCCACTCCGCGACCTCCGTCGCGCCGTTCCTATGCTCTGTCAGCGCGACTCGCTCAAACGTGCACCCCAAGCTTACCAGCTCGCCCATACGGTCCTGAACAGGGATCCGCTTAGCGACTATCGACTCAGATATACAGTCACTCACGATCCGTTGAACGCGATGTCAGGGGCTGTTTGCGGATAGCCAATCCATGTCGTTGTCTTCAGTGAGCGGTAGTTCTGTCAATCATCACTTGATGGCGAGCACATCAGACGAGCAAGCTAGCGAGCCATACCTCAATCAGCGAGTCTACCAAACCTTCGCCGCCTAGTGCCGCGGAGTAGATCATCGTCCCATTGGGTCTGTTGGTATATCTCAGTCACACTGTCGCTCTATTTGCGGTACGCATCTCGATACGGACAAGTACTCGGAGATCCTAAGTCACTTGTGGTTATTACGAGACATGGTCGACAACTGAACGCGACCTACCATGGGTTCGTGCCTCCTCCGAAGACGACATTGCCATCAGGGTCATACTAAAACATAAAGACTCAATGGATGTTTCGCCAAACACGTCCCGTCTCAACGCACCCTGAGAGATCCCTGGGAAGTGCTGGTGTATGGTGTCAACGGAAGGAATTCGACCAGCATCGTCGCCTCCATAGTCGTAGTATTGAGAAGAAGAGACAGTCCTCGCTCGGCTGTCCGTGCGCCGTAAGCGATCCATGTCTTCCCGAGACCCAAATGTCCAAATGGAAACGCAACGTACTGGTCTGGCCCGTGGTGGCTTAGGACAAGTCATCAGTGTCAGTCGAACAAATCTCGTGGGCAATTCATAGTAGTATTCTCACCTTCGCCAACATGCATACTGACCACAGTGGGTCCGTCGACGAAGCGCGCATCTTGTTGCCCGTAGAATGTCGCGTTGAGCCCGAAAGTGAAGCTGCTGTTCTTCCCGCCCAGCTTCCAGATGATCTCACCGTCCGTGCCGTCAATGTAGTAGAGCGCTTGCGTGTGACTGAGTGGTCGCGTCAGTACAAGATCAAAACTTTCGGATGGGGCAGAGGGGCTCGTCTAGCATACCCAGAGGAAACAAGATAGTTGCCAGATGTATCCTTGTCGATCGAGTTGATACGGAAGCTACGTATAGGGGGTCAGAAAACGCAATTGGGATGTAGAGTGAGAACTGTACTAGTCCCAGGCGTAGTACGCGGTAGTGCTGTTCGCCGCAGTAGTGTATGACTCCGAGAACGGAACGTGTTCAGAGGAGCTGATCGTAACACATCAATGCGTCAGTAGTGCTCGGGGACGATGTATAAACAAGAGGTACACACTTCCACTCGAAGACGATTTCGCCCGTAGCGATGTCAATCCTTGCAGCGCGCGATCTGTCATCAGAACCGTAGGAGACTCGGATGCCTTCTAAACTTACTCTTGGAAGAAATTGTATAGCACCCATCCATCCTCAGTACCGCCGTAGTCGGAAAGATCAGCCTGCACAGGCCAGTAGACGGGGAGCAGAGCGGTCGAGTTTGTGGCCTTGGGTATCGTGAACTCGTGCAGATCACAAGTGTCGTTGAACGTGGTCGCGAGCACATGCGTGACCGCATACGTCGAGTCCATTATGTACGCCTGCGGCAATAACGGACATTAGAGGCATACGTGTGCGGAGGATGATGCAACGGCACTCACTTGACCTATGCCGTACCGCGAAAATGGGTTGACTGTGCCATTCCAAAATGTGAGCACATCCGTCCCGTTGAGCTATGTGAGCCTTGAACCTCTGATGCCATCCAATTTGCTGCGCATGTACGCACGTTTTGAACGTCCAGGTCGAAGCACATGCCCACTTCAGGATCTGTCCATACTAGATCTCCCTTGGAAGTGTAGATCGCCGGTGCGGGCTGCGGAACGTCCGTACTCCAAGGACAACTAAGGAATCGATGAGCCAAACGCGCGAGATCTCCGTACAATCCATAAACCTACGTCATGTAGTACCCGTCATGATAGTTCTCGGTGGGTTCTTTCGCGACAATCCACTTCAGTGGTTGGAGGTCCGGACGCGAGCGGAACTACCCGAAGGATACTTTTAGCATACCTGCACAGCGAAGCACTGAGGACATATAGACGTACGCTGAGAAGCTCCTGCGCGCGTGCAACAGTTGCACTTAGAGCGAGCAGAGCCAGGGGCGGCGAGGGGAATAGCTGCATTTTGGGCACCGTTGTGGACCGGGCTACACAGCACGGTGAGGATCGTCGCCATATATACTAGCCAACCTTTGCAACCAGTTTCCGAAGTGCCCCGTAATGACGAGAGCCTGTATTACACGTCGTGCATATTTCCGCCCTAAGGCCGCAAGCACAAGGAAAAATTCGGCGTCTTTCCTACTAGCTGTCTATTCAGTCCTCCAGAAGCAAAACGTACGTGCCGATGGCTGCCTTGCTCATTAACACCCACCATTCCGAAAGAACGGAGACTTACCTCGGCTAAAGGACCCACAATTCGGAATTGAGGGAAACCCCGGGATCCTTGATGAGTATGTTAGTACAAAAGGGGATATACGATATGCGAGGATGCCCGTTCATGGCGTACCTCATGCCAGTAACTTCACGTCGCTGCCTCCAGCAACGAGAACACATGGCTAGAATCGCTCTGCGATACAGGATAGCACTAGTGCGTATGCAGAGAGGAAGTGACTTAGTACCGAGTACAGACATCGCGCGTAGGTAGTCATTCCGAACATCACCGTGTCGTGAGAAGCCCGTTTTGCTACCGCGAGTTGAAGTGGAGACACCCGGTGCCATCCATCAGGCCTTCGTTCAAGCCTTCAGGTGCGTGACGCAGCCTCGGCGCGACGAACATTCAAAGGCTAGTCCCCGGAGATATACGCTGCCGACGTTATATACGTCTCGCTTGATATGACGTCGCGTCAGTTGTGAGTACATATACCAGAGTGCAAACGACTTGATCGCGTCGCTGCGTGCCTGACGCTGCAACGGCTATGTATCAATGTAGAGCCACTGGGTGCAGGTACGTACAGACTCACCTTTCATATACCCTTGCTGGCCGAACTCAGACACCTTTCGGATAATGGCATCTGCTTGGGTACGTCGCGCAAGACTCCAGCTGCCTGAAGTCAGATGGGTCGGGGCGAAACTACTTCACGTAGTCACCGTAACAAATTCTTACAGGTTTCGGTGTCTGCCACGGATTACAAGCGAGAGCTTTCTAAGGGGCGATACATTGGATACATGGCCCACTCACGCTGCAGTGGAAGTTGAAAGCATACGTGGGTAGTACGTGGGTATCCAACCAGTGTTTAATGTCAGACTGAATGTACGCCGGCGAACGTTCAATGGACACCATCAACATGTCACGATCGAACTCCGCCGCGGTCACGTGTTATGGGGTACACTTCGCAAGTCGAGTCTCGACTCCACAGAAAGTCCGATCCACGGGGACATGCGTTCCCGGAACGCGTAACGCGGAACGCGGAACGTCACGCCCTGTGACGTTTAGTGACGTTCCTAGGGAGCGCAGCCGCCGCTTTGTTGACTCCTTTTCACTCAAAGTACCATCTAGAACTATGTTTCCAACAGTAGCATTACTAGTATAGACCTTTCGGCTTTGCGATGCAGCTGGCGGAGCGTGTTGTATCATCTGTGATCATTGAGGGTGACCGTGACGAATTTGACGATGTTACCGGAATAGGCAACTATTGCTCGGCCACATCTTGCCTCAGCCTCGCGGGTTGGTATAATCAGTTTTCGTGCTATACTGAGCATGCAGACAGTGTTACAATGCTGTCAATATATCGGAGTGTAGGCCTCAATAATATTGTTCTTACTGAATGTACTTTGTCGAAATCAATTTCAATTTGTACTAGTCTAGTATGCATTTCTGTGATGACGCCGAAGACGTGCCACAATTGGTGCTGAAATACACAGTGGACAATATTCACAGCTGCTTACGACCATAGTTATTTTCCAATGATCAGTAGGTGGTAAGAGCTTTACAGAGTGATTAGTCAAGATTTCATATACTGTAAGTAGTAGCCTTCAACTACGCTTTGAGCTCTCGTCACGATGTGACGCGTTCCCCAAGGCCGTTCCGCAAGAGCGTTCCCGGAACGCGTTTCCGGAACGTACCTCCCAGTCGATCGGACGTTCTCCGACTCCAAGTTGGGCTGGCGAACAGCGTGCTTTGGCGTGTCTCGGGTGAGTTTAGACTGTATGTTCCTCGAACTCGAATATCAGAACACTTCTTTATTTACAGCAATAGTTTCCAGTGGCTAATTTATATATAGGTATGCTCGTAGTACCATTGAGATGGCACCGGCGCAGCACTGACACTGGCCTGTTCTTGTCATCAACATCAGGTTATAGCTGTTCAAACAACAGATCATTTCTGCCCTCACTTATATACAGGACTACAAGCCAATGATCATCCTACTTTGAGGACCCCTTCATCATCTCTGGATGGTGCTCCAATGTTGAGATACCTTTCTTCAAGATATTGAGGAAGGTCTTGTGAGGGAATGTGTCTTGATGAGGTAATTCATCATCCATATTTGACTGAATAGCCTGTGAGCAAATTCATAATGTCATGATGTAACAAGAAGCTCTCACATCACCATACATGGCTACAAGTGCTTCATGATGCCTCTTCTTTTTGTTTGCAGTCTTGACTTTTTCCAGTTCCTCTCCTAATCCATTCAGGACATCTGCAAGAGCCATGGACACATGTTCAGCTGTGAACAAGAGACTTTGCTTATCAGTATCATGCATGTACACCCAATAAAGGGGTTGAATATTGGTGCGCTGGGCAATGATACCCTGAACTGTTGTTTCGCCAAAGCATGTCTGGAGACCCTCCTTCAGAGACACTGGACAGCCTGGAGTGTCAACCAGGTGTTGCCAGACAGTGTGCCCCAATACATATGCAATAGACTCAAGGTCATGAGCAGCTGTGTGAGGAATCAACCATTCAGCATTCACTGCTCTGAGCAATTCCAAGGCAGTGAATTGTAGTGCATCCTGAGGTCAATCACTCCATGTCAATCATGTGAGTAGTAAGATATGACTAGACCTACCATTGCAGGCACACTATCAATTGGTCTAGAGGATATACCATTGGCTGCTTGCATGCATGCATCTGTCATGGGTTGTTGTTTGAGCCACTTCCTCTCCATGTACAGCTCTCATACCTGATATTCCAAGCATTGAGCCATCTATCTCAGCCATGCCAAAGTCGGCCAGAAACCCTCTAATTGGCCAATCATTCGAGCCGGCCGGAATTGCCGGTTCATCACGCCAGAGCAACATGGTCCCCGGATTGACATTGCCGTGGAGTATCCCATGTTCGCAGATATACTGATGTGCTAACACGTAGAATTAGAAACACTGCGCACGTCAAAGAACAGATGACTCACCTTCGACAATCGAGTAAACTGCACAGAGTAGCTCAAGTTCGTCCCTATACTTCCACAGCGGCTCTGCGACCCTCGGGATAACGGTACGATGCAAGGTCTTGGACGGATGCACCCGGGGACACTCGATCTCACCGCGGATCCGTGCAACGGTAACCTTAGACCACGTCTGCGGGTCCGCATCATGACAGCAGACGTCGCCGCCACATAGCAATCTGGGGATACCGCGCGGGCAACCCTCAAGTTGGTCAATCAGCGCGTATACTTCTGTCTCAGACAGACTGAGGGGATTGCGCCAGTATGACCTCAGGAGGTGGAAGTCGCCCTTGAGAGCGAACCCTCTCCCCGACTCGGTCAGCTCGAGCACTTTCCATACCACCGTGCCTCGGCCAACGAGGGAGAGGGAGGTCCAGATCGGCGGCCCTACTGTACACCACTGGCGAGCGTCGTCCCCGATGTGGCTGATACGATAGGACGGGTAGTACTCCGGACGCTCGAGGCACACTTGCTGTTGGGCAGAGCTGGAAACAGAGGACAGTTGCAAGCACAGCCTCAGGTCGCCGCGAGACAGTGGCACCACGGACGGGTCTTGCCCCAGCTGATACTCCGTCAGGTGCCGCGTGAGAGCGCGCACGACGCGTACGAACGTCCTCGCATCGCGCTGGCCTGGCTTACATCCAGACGTCGCAGCATCGTCGACGATGCTGCGAGCAGGGGAGAAGATGACGCCGCTACGATCGGCGATCATGACTCGGAAGACGGTGCCAGATATAAGGAGGGTGATACTGAAGTTCCAGAACGGCCGCAGAGACATGTGGTAGCGAGCGTAGTCCGCACACTCGAGGATAGCTGGTGCCGCAGTCGGCGTGCTGTCATTCGCGGGAACAATGTCTTCGTCCATAAAAACCTTCACCTTGGCGAACCCAGCGCAGCAGCCCCAGATTGGGCGGTCTTCATTTCTATCGGTGAGGGTGAAGTCAGGACAGATATTGGTGTTTCCGGGCGTACAGGCTCCGGCCGCGCGAACTGGAGGCCAGGAGGACGGAAGGTCAACCGCGCGCTGGAACTCGCGTAGTGCTCTTGAAGTGTCATCCCCAGAGTCCGTCAAGAACGTCAAAATTCTTTGCTGCGAATGCCGACATCATGATGGTCAGCACTCACGCGTTATATCTTCGGGACAGACTCTGTGCGCACCAACTGCTCGCACATATACTTCTGAAAATCGACGCGTTCCAGCCTTCTGCGGATTGCCCTCAACGCCACTTCATCGAAAAAATCCCGGTCAACGGCGCGTAGCTCCTCCTCAGCTGTAGCAACGACACGGAGAAGAGTGTCGATGTTCTCTGCCTGTTCCGCTTGATAGCGTTCATGACAGCGCTCGACGGTAGCCTCGTCTTCTTCGTCTATACGGAGACGCTTGAAGACGGAGGGGTCGTCGTACTTGATGCTATCCTGGAGCTCCCGAGTCAGGAGTAGCTCTGTCTGCCAGTTTGGGCTTTGAACAATCTGCACTACATCCGAGTTAGTACCAATGTCAACTCACGGAGGGTTTGGTTAAATGATAGTCGAGGAAGGGAAAAGAAATACTCACGATAATGCTCATACTCTTCCACTGAGTCGAAGTAGTCGAACAAGTCCGTTGCCATGATTCAGACTCGGCCGGTGTACGGGCCTGACGCCAGACTGAGAGACAAGCTGTTGACGGTGTTGGATGAGTCCTGTGTTCCCTTGTACTACGCGAGCTGGGAGCTAGCGGAGCTTCCTGAACATGCAATCGTAGCAAACAATGGCCTCCTCCTACGAAATGCGAAGAAAAAAGCAATGATAGTCGGAAGACGAATAAGCTCTGTGGGGTGTGTAAGCACGGTGGCCGTAGTCTCCCAGCCGCGCGCTACGGGGCCAACGTCTGTGTCGCGACGCTTTCGCCAGTCTCTCGTCAGCCCTGTCCCGGATCTCGTCATGCTGTCAATCCTCGTATATAATCCTCGCTACGTCGTCTGTGCATCCTATCATCTACGACCATCTCCGACCACTTGGCGCGCCGGAGATAGACTTTGTTTCCCCAGTCCCATTAGCTGAGACCTGCTCAAGCTTTTCCCCGCTCGCCCGGACTTCTCTGTACCCACCATGTCCCCTGTCGCGGTGAACGGCAAGACCAACGGTCTGCATGCGAGCAATGGCGTCGCTAAGAGCCACCCAGATGGTTTTGGGACGCGGGCGATTCATGTAGGCTCAGAGCCAAATCCCGAGACCGGCGCTGTTATCCCAGCCATCTCCCTGAGCACAACGTACAAGCAAGATGGCGTTGGGAACCACAAGGTGCATTGCCAGACACTCTTCCGTATCTCATACTCACTCCGTTCGAAGGGTTTCGAGTACTCGCGTTCTGGGAACCCGAACCGCAATGCACTCGAGGCGACCTTGGCCTCGCTAGAGTCAGGCGGAGCTTATGGCCTGGCATTCGCGTCGGGCTCCTCCACCACCGCGACGGTGTTGCAGTCTCTAGGCCCTGATGCACATATCATCAGCGTGAACGACGTCTATGGCGGAACTTTCCGGTATATGTCGCGGGTCGCGGCCGAGAATCAAGGGTTGCAGACGACTTTTGTAGACTTGGAGAGTGCGGACGACGAGACCATACTCGCGACATTCCGATCCAATACGAAGGTACGCATATCCCATGCTGGAGGGAATGAATCGCGCATTGATAGCCGTCTTCTCTAGCTCATCTGGATAGAATCACCTACAAACCCAACTCTGCGACTCATCGACATCCCCCGAATCGTCTCTCTTGCACGTTCGACTCCCGCTTCACCTCTTGTTCTCGTAGACAATACATTCCTGTCACCCTACTATTCCTCCCCACTCCTGCAAGGTGCAGACATCGTCGTGCACAGCCTGACCAAGTACGTCAACGGGCACTCCGACGTCGTCATGGGCGCACTCATCCTGCCGGCACACCACGCCGCGCTCGCGGAAAAGCTGCGCTTCCTGCAGAACGCCATCGGCGCGGTGCCGAGCGCGTACGACTGCTGGCTCGCACAGCGCGGCGCGAAGACGCTGCACCTCCGGATGAAGGCACACGGCACGAACGCACTCGCCGTCGCGCGCGCGCTGCAGCGCTCGCCGCACGTCGAGGAAGTCATCTACCCCGGGCTCGCGACCCACCCACGGAATGACCTCGCTTACCGGTCCCTCTCGCCGCATGCGCGCAAGTTCGTCGACCAGTACGTCGCACAGGACGGCGAGGGTGGCTTCCCGTACGGCGGGATGATCTCGTTCAGGATCCGGGGCGGCGCGGAGGAGGCGGACCGCTTCCTTACTGCGACGCGCCTCTTCACGCTGGCGGAGTCACTCGGCGGCGTTGAGAGTCTGGCTGAGCTGCCCGCGCAGATGACGCATGGGAGCATCCCTCCCGCGGAGCGTGCCCTGCTGGGGATTGGCGACAACTTGATCCGGCTCTCCGTCGGTGTGGAGGAGGCTGAGGATCTTGTTGCGGACGTTGATCAGGCGTTGGAGGCCGCGGTCAAAGCTTCAGATTAGACGGATGGACGTTTGCGAATTGTGAGAGTAGTGTGGGCTTGTAGCTGCAATCTGGAGAGTACTGTACCCTATTGTAATAGACGATATTCAGGATTCGAACGCAACAAGGACGTGAACTTGAACGACATGACAAATGTCCACTTGTCCCCAATAAGATGCGCTTGGCAGCTATACAGTGAAACCGGCAGGAATGTTGATGAGATATACTATGGGGCACAAGGTCGCGGCAGACGCAGTGAATGACTGGGCGCTCTGTGGCTCACAGCGGGCGTCTGTGGACGCACTCCGCTCGTGAACGACTCACTCTCAGCCATTCTTCTCTTATATTAGGTTTGCGTAGCCTCGCGTCTGCCTCGTTGTTGAACGCGCTCCTGGGCCTTACTTGTCTCCGTGGTCAACTCAACGACAACCTGAAGACGACACATCTCTCGGCCTCTGGACAGTGCGATCTTGCCTGCCGCCACACATACGCGTCGAAGTCCAGGTAAGCCTGTCCCTCCATTTCTACGTAGCGCACACAAAGATCGGGGAAACGTGAGACACGGGAGTTCTTCTGTGAATCGAAGATGTCGATGGCGCCGTTCTTGAGAGCACTCGACACTAGAAACTCCGGACGCTGACGTCCTTTCCTCAGTCCGTCCATCCATCCGCGCGATGAGCCAACCAGGATCATCAACAGGGCTCCTGCAGGCCGTTCTCCCAGGGTCGTCCCACTCAGCCGATGCGCCCTCCGTAGATGCGCTCGTCGCCCAGATTGTCGGGAACGACAACCCCGACACGCTCGCCCGAATACTCAAAGACACCGCGCCGAAGGAGTCGCGCGACAATGCGCTCGTGGGCATGCTCGCGAACGGGCAGGACCCCTTGCTCGTTCTAAACCCTGAGCAGCATACACTTGGCTATCTCTACATACTGTGAGTGCTTCGGTCTTCTGTGTGGGGTACATGGCGTCTGAATGCGGGGTGGCGGCGGGTGTCGGATGGGTGTAGATCTGCGCGATTGAACAGCGCGGGGGCACCGAGGCCGAGTCGGGAGGTGATCGAGGAGTTCTGCAGGAGGTTCAACCCGGAGCAGGCGCGGCTTGCTCCCCAGAGAGGTGCGCCATCTTGCCATCGCGAACTGGCCTCGCTTGACTAACACGTCCACTCTACTAGTGACTGCACTCGCAAAGTCTATTTTGCGCGCAGCCCATGATGCAGGACACGTATGTGCTGTTCTTTCAGAGTGCGCCAGAGATGTATTGATACCCGTCTGCGCAGGACAAACTCGCGCTGGGTCCATTGTACGACCTTCTCACGCGATACCCGCCATCACTAGCGTGTCTCACCACTCTGCATCCTCTATTCGTCACAGTACGTGCTTTCCTTCGAATGTCCTCGCCAGAATACCAAAAGACTAACCCACACTCGACCAGTATTGCGTCGCCACGAAGCACTACACCCTCGCGCTCCCTGTTCTCGGTGTGCCGATAACGACTATTGACCTGAAGCTCTCCGACTTGACATACACGGACAACTTGCAGTACCACTATGCGGGTGGTGTGGCGCTGGGAGCGTTGAAGCAGTGGAAAAAGGCGGAAGAGTTCTTTGAGATATGTGCGAGCTCCCCGGCGCAAATGCCTGCCGCGATCCAGCTGGAAGCAAGCAAGAAGCTCGTCCTGGTCCAGTTGATCCTATATGGGAAGGTTAGAGTGTCAGTATAGTCCGGACCATTCTCCTACTGAAGCTCTGGTGTATATAGACCGTCCCCCCGCCTAAATACACGAATGTCACGCTACAGCGACTGCTCAAGAGCTCTCCGTATGGGGCGTTCGCGAAGAATTATCCTCAAGGCAAGAATCGGCTGCTAGCGAGCATCCACAAGGACAGGGATCTCTTCACGAACGTCAGTGCTAGTTTTCTCTTGGTATGCATCATCATCCGCTGACTGTACCCGTACAGGAGAAGCACCTCGGTCTGGTTCTTCAAGCGATAGACCGCGCGCCGCGCTGGCTGATCCAGAAGCTCACCTCGACGTACCTCACGCTCGGCCTCGCGGACATCGCGAAGGAGGTCGGCATCGACAGCGAGGAGGAAGTGCGCTCGATCATCCTCAGCATGGTGCATTCCCTCCACCCCTTCACTCACCCTGGCTGACCATGCGTGGAATCAGATTGAGTCGGACGAAATCAATGCAACGATTTCGGAGGACGGCACGGTGACATTCTCGGACCCTGTCCCGCAAATCTCGAAGGAGGATGTGGACAGGATGCTCCGCCTGGCGCAGGAGCAGACGAGGCTGCTCTATGAGCTCGAGCGGACCATGAACGCAAACAAGGACTACTTGACGAAGGTCCGCCGTTCCACTTTCTGATCCTTGTACGATGTTGGGCTGATCGTGAACGTGGGCGTGTAGGCTGTCAAGCATAAAGACGAGGCGGGCTGGGGCCCAGACGAAGATGTGTACTCTACGGGAGGCGGTGGTGGCTGGGTGGAAGATTCGGTCATGTAAAAGAATAGTATGTACAGGTATCCTTCCCGTGTTGCTTTCGAACGATTTGCTCGCTGCATGACAAAAGAAGATCTGTTCGAAGTAGTGGGCTGCTGGCGGGCGATATAAGTATGCCCTGAGATCGCGTGTTGCAAGCCCCCCGACCAATTGAGTGACATGCTTGTGCAGGTTGATAGGCGATGACAGTCATAGGATGCGAGGATAGGTGTCCTTTCAGTAAATTTCAGTAAGATGGAGGGATAAGCCAGTCTGTGACTCTCACTGTGTATGCGACCCAGAGGCACGTGATCGCGACGCGAAGGTTGTCTTGGACATTGACCTCAGCCCTAGCCCTACAACCTAGCCAGACCGGTTCGAATCACACTTTGTGCAACAGGGAGCTTGGGAAACACCCACTGCTTTCATTGACTAGGACTCGGCTGGTGTTGCCACAACGTGGATAATTCTCAGCGGTCAACATCAATCGCAAACAGCTGCGTCGAATTCCTCTGGATCCACAGGCACTGCAAGTGTATCCGGAAGGCTCCTGTGATGGATTACTATGACTACTTTGACTCAGACGAAGAGTATATGCGGTATAGTAAGTGGTTCAAGTGTATTTCCCCGACATCATAGAGCCGATTTCCGCAGGCAACCGCACCTCTGAATTACCGATGGCTTGGTACTAATCTGCTTCGAGAACAGCACATAGCCCAGACCAACATGAGCTTCTCCAGAGGGTGCTTAAAGGGAACGTCAAGTACAATGATCCCTCTGTCTTCGAGCGTCTCCGCTTTTGACAAAGACGATGACGCCGTCATCGAGCATTGTCACGAATGCTATCAAACGGAACAGGAAGAGAACATCAACAGTTTCATCCGCGTCGTTGCAGAGGCTGAAGAGGATCTACGCGCCGTCGACCGCGATCTTTTCGGCGACACAGCACTGGGGGCAATACGTGAAAAGCTAGCACACACAAGGTTTGTGTGAGCGATTGGTGCGCAAACAATGTATTGGGGATGTGGTCCGTGCTGCTAACCATCATGATGTCGGCATTTGCAGCAGAAAATTTTGACGTCCTTGACGGACTCTGGAGGTGACACTTCAAGAGCACTACGCGAGTTTCAAAGCGCGGCTGAAATTTCGTCCTCCTGGTCTCCAACTCGCGCGGTCGGAGGAAATACACCCGGGATCGCCAACTTCTGTCCTGAGTTCGCCCTCGTTGAGAGGACCGAAGACCGTCCATCTTGGGATCGCTGTTCTGCGCTCGTCAAGGTGACGCTCTTCATGGATGAGCACGTTGTTCTCGAGGACGACAGCGCGGCGACGGTCACACCAGCGATCCTCGAGTATGCGGACTACGCTCGCTGCCACATGTCTCTGCGGCCGTTCTGGAACTTCAGTGTCACCCTCCTTATAACTGGCACCGTCTTCCGAGTCATGATCGCTGATCGTAGCGGCGTCATCTTCTCCCCTGCTCGCAGCATCGTCGACGATGCTGCGACGTCTGGATGTAAGCCAGGCCAGCGCGATGCGAGGACGTTCGTACGCGTCGTGCGCGCTCTCACGCGGCACCTGACGGAGTATCAACTGGGGCAAGACCCGTCCGTGGTGCCACTGTCTCGCGGCGACCTGAGGCTGTGCTTGCAACTGTCCTCTGTTTCCAGCTCTGCCCAACAGCAAGTGCGCCTTGAGCGTCCGGGGTACTACCCGTCCTATCGTATCAGCCACATCGGGGACGACGCTCGCCAGTGGTGTACAGTAGGGCTGCCGATCTGGACCTCCCTCTCCCTCGTTGGCCGAGGCACGGTGGTATGGAAAGTGCTCGAGCTATCCGGCGAGTCCGAGAAGGGATTCACTTTGAAGGGTGACACCCACGTCATGAAGTCGTCCTGGCGTGATCCTCTCAAGATACCCGAAACAGAGGTATATACACTGATTGGCCAGCTCGAGGGCTGTCCGCGCGGGGTTGCGAGACCGCTTTACGGTGGCGATGTCTGTTATTATGAGGTCCTGCAGACGTGGTCCAAGTTGACCGTCGCGTCGCGGCGACGCCAAGGATCCGATGCGCCCGTCCAAGGTCCTGCACCGTGTTGTTCTTCCGAGATCCGGAGAGCCGCTATGGAAGTATACCGACGAGCTGCAACTGCTGTACGTTTCCACTCGATCGTCGAAGGTGAGTTGCATCATACAGTCGGTCAAAGTCCGCAGTCGTTCAACCTCAGCCTTTGGTAGCGCATCGGTATCTGTGTGGGCATGGGATCCTCCACCAGGACATCAATCCGAGCAATATGTTCCTCTGGTCCGACGAGGCGGCCCTCCCACCGTATACGGAAGATAGGCCAGCCAGTGGTATCCTAGCCAGCTCCGACATGGCCGCAGTGGATGACTCGCTGCTCGCAGTCAGCTCTGTGAGGAGAATCACTCCGAGCAACGAGGGCATGGCAGATGACAAGATCCCGGATAAATCGAAGATTGAGACCCGTCAATTCACACCGCGTAGTGTGCCTGAGATAGTGAGTGCATGTATATCCTGTCTATGACTGATCTGACAAATTTGTACTCAATAACTTAATCACCACACTAGGATACACTACAATTCATGGCATTGGAACTACTCCAAGCAGTACATGCTGGAAGGGACATTCCCCATACAGCTGCTCATGACCTCGAGTCAATTGCATATGTCTTGGGTTACACTGTCCTGCAGCATCTTGTTAACACTCCAGGTTGTCACATTGCCCTAGCAGAGGCCTTTCAGGAACACTTTGGCTACATGACAGTCAAAGGCATCATTTATCAGCACTCTGGTATCAGGCCCCTCAAGTGGAACTATCTGCAGGACTGTGGTAGTCCAGCAGAGGCATTCATAGCAGACCATGTGTCATTGGCTGCCATCTCAGATCTCCTTGATGACTTAAGGCTCAAGGTGTCAAAAATCCATGCAGCATATGAGCAAAGGAAACTTGCTGAAACACGTGGCAACATGTACAATGTGAGTAGCTCCTATGCAAGGTATTTGTCATGCTCATATGACCTATGCAGCTACAAAGCACAAGGCAATTGTCTCAGGATGAATTCTTTGATCACGCTATGCTCCTGGAGCTATTGGGTAGCACTATCTCATACCTAGAGCAACATCCAGAGGAGATTAAGTATTCAGCCATTCATGGGAGTATGTAGATGAGGCTATCTAGGGCTGAAGGGTACAAATTTGTTGAAAGTTATGGGCTACACCTCGATGATGTATACCATAGAATGAGCAGAGGCATAGCTCTGTAGTGCCCATTGTGTTCAATTTCTATCTTATATTGTCTGTTTTTTGTTACTTCATAGTGTACTTGAGCTGGGATGCAAACACCCATGCCATCATACTTCCCTGGCCATTTCAAGCTAGGGCATTGATATTCTCTGTATCTGTATACAAACATTGATAGTCAAGTTTGTAGCATAGGTTGCCTTGCTTTGTACAATAACAAGGTGATCAGTTCATCCACAACAACTCACATATCACATCTTGACTGATTTGCAGACCTTGTGGAGCATCATGGGATCAAACAAAGAGACCTGTTTGTGATTCCTAGTACAATTTCTCTACATGTGGTTACTTCTTCCTGCCCTATTTTCATCTACTTCTCATGACTAGTACCGTGCAAGACCGGAGGCAAGTCACTCAACCCTATGCTTCTGGTAGTAGTGGATGACACCCGTCGTCTGCAGAGTTATGCATGTCAGCGGCATGGTCATCAGGGAGAAGTGTGGGCTTACCGAGCTGTCGTGGCCGACGACATCCTGCGGCTTGTCGAGTTGCGCGAGGATGTTCTTCGCAAGCACCTTGCCGAGCTCGACACCCATTTGGTCTACGTCATTGTTATCAGTTCATGTTCTCCAGACATGTAGAAGCTCTTAGAGCCGCTCACCGAAGGAGTTGATGCCCCAGATGACACCCTGCGTGAAGATCTTGTGTTCATAGAGTGCGATGAGCGCACCGAGCGTCGCGGGTGTGAGCTTCGGGAACATGATGCTGTTGCTCGGGCGGTTGCCCTCGAACACCTTCGACTTGATCAGCGCCTCCGACGCGTTCGGGCCCACCTCCTGCACGACCCTGTCAGCAACTGCTTATCCGACCACGACCCAAGCGGATACTCGCCTTGCGGACCTCCTCCTCCGTCTTGCCGAACGCGAGCGCCTCGGGCTGCGCGAAGAAGTTGCTGAGGAGGATGCGGTGGTGCAGCGAGTTGCGGATCGGGTTGTGCGTCGTCGCCGGCGCGATGAAGTCGGCCGGGATGAGCTTCGTGCCCTGGTGCACGAGCTGGTAGAACGAGTGCTGGCCGTTCGTGCCCGCCGCTCCCCAGATGATCGGCTACGATGCTCGGTCAGTCAACCCTCGTAGCTAGCAAGTGAGCACGTACACCAGTCTGGTAGTCCACGCGCTGGCCGCCCTTGGTGACGAACTTGCCGTTCGACTCCATGTCGCCCTGCTGGAAGTAGTCTGCAAACTTGTGCATGTACTGGTCGTACGGGAGGAGGAGCTGTGTCTGCGCGCCGTAGAAGTCGTTGTACCACAGACCGACGACCGCGAGGAGCACGGGAAGGTTCTGCTCGAGCGGCGCCGTCTTGAAGTGCTTGTCCATGCCGTGCGCGCCCTTGAGCAGCTCCTCAAAGTTGTCGTACCCAATCACGAGCGCGATCGACAGGCCGATCGCACTCCAGAGCGAGTACCGGCCGCCGACCCAGTCCCAGAACTGGAACATGTTCGTAGACGAGATACCGAACTCGGTCACAGCCTTTGTGTTCGTGCTCAGCGCGACGAAGTGCTTCGCGACGTGCGCCTTGTCCTTCGCTGAGGCCAGGAACCACTCTCGCGCGGTGTGCGCGTTCGTGATCGTCTCCTGCGTCGTGAACGTCTTACTCGCGATGATGAACAGCGTCCGCTCGGGGTCGCACTCCCGCAGCGTTTCCGCGATGTGCGTCCCGTCGATGTTCGACACGAAGTGCGCCGTCAGGTCGCGTTTCGCGTACGGCTTCAGCGCCTCCGTGACCATGACGGGCCCGAGGTCGGAGCCACCGATGCCGATGTTGACGATGGTGTTGATCGTCTTGCCGGTGTAACCCTTCCAGGCACCGCTCCGGACGGCCTCGGTGAACTCCTTTATGTGTGCGAGCACGCCCTGGACCTCGCTTGCGCCGGCCTCCTGGATCTGGAAGTCGTTGAAGTTGCGGAGCGCGACGTGCAGCACGGCACGGTCCTCGGACGTGTTGATGTGCTCGCCGGCGAACATCTTGTCGCGGTACGTCTCGAGCTCCGCCTCGCGCGCGAGCGAGAGCAGCGTGTTGAGGATCGGCTCCGTGATCAAGTTCTTGGAGTAGTCGAGCAGGAAGGTGACCGGCGGGCCATCTGGCGAGACGTACTCCTTACTGAACTTGGCAAAGCGTTGCGGGTCCTGGGCGAACAGTTCCTTGAGGACGAGCTTTGACTTGTCAGAATCATAGGTCTGCTGGAGCTTCTTCCATGAAGGGTATTCTATGCCAGGCTGCGTTAGCAAACTCGCGCATGAACTACATGCGAACGATATAGAAACTGAAGTTGACTTTGAAGCCCGCGGCGATCTATGACTCCCGCCATGCTACAAACCATTACATCCCTCTCTCGCGCGTATGACCGCACACGTCCTGTGCGCGATCCCCACACCACGAGCGAGCTAGGCCAAGCCAAGTTCGATCGCTCTCGTCCTCGGCAGAGATCAGAGACTGCAAGCTCATTGACTAAGTCTCGGTCGTCACTGCTGCATCGCTACATCGCTCGTGGCCGGAAATAGCAAGTCGTCCGAAGCGAGCTCATGGTCGCGCGCTTCTTGTCTTCGTCCCACACTCACCTGAGGCAGGTCTTCCGCTCATGTTGGATATGTGATCTGTGGGATTGGGAGAGGTGAAGGGAGGAGGAGGGGAGGTCGAGGATGGCGGACCGGCGTGGCCCCAAGGTTATATCAGGACGATCGTGCGAAACCTGACGATATACCTTTTGCCCGACCTCCCACTTCGTGCTCCCGCTGCTCACGACCGTCGATGATTTCCAGACATTATTGCCATCCTATCATCCGGCATCCTGTCCCGCTCGAAACGTGGCTCGGATTCCCAGACCGAAGGGAATGACTGCGGGACTTGCTGCGGGCGCTGGACGCTCACTAATCGCTCGTCCGGACCACAGCGGTATCGTACGGCCTGACTGGCGCAATGACAGAGCAGACGCGGGACTTTGACCAGCCAAGGCGAGTTTCGGATGACTTCTGCGATCCTCTGTTGCTGCTCTCAAGCGGGCGGATGTCCGGTACTTTAGACACGTGCGTGTTGATCGTCGTCGTCGGTCTCCGAGTCCCTAGGCGTAAGCAGGCCTCAGGCCATGCGTTCCATGACACATGCAAGGTGAAGTACCGTGCAACATACCTGTAAGCGTGCATGCTGAGTATCTCGGAGCGGGAGGCCACGGGAGCGGGGTGGGGGCACGGATGGCAACCTCAGACGGAGGAAATGAGACAGCGCGAGTGCAGTCGCACACTCCTCCGAGGACCGATAAGCACCCGTCTCTCCGTCTCTCGGCAACGTGCTAGTGAGTCTGTCTTTCACAAACACGGCAGACGTCAGTGGTTTACTGCCTGCTAGCAGACGTGGTCGATTGGCCGCATTTCGAGGAGGACTATATTGCGAGTGGCGAGACGAGTGAAGGATGCAATTCTCCCGGAGGATACACATTCCACGACCACATGTTGATACTCACACATGTTCCTGTTCCCACAGTCTACAGGCCTGCTCGAGTAACTCATGCGCTGTTCTAGGTACGTCAATCCATCTCAATAATACCCTTGGTTGCATCCTGACATGCGCATGATACAGTCCATAAATCACTCCGTAAGATATGCTCTATGCGGAGACCAATGGCACAGATGTCGACATAGGGACCCCTCGTAGACCTATTGCGTCGATCGCTAACCTCTCTCGTGCTCAACGCAGAAGTCAATAGTTCCACTCTGATACATCACCCTCCGGCTGTGGCCCTGCAGCTCTGCCTGACCTGTCGCGCCGTCTTCTTGCTCGAATCTCGAATGTACAATATACGGACATCGAGCATGGCATCATCGAGAGTACGCATTCATTGCATTAGTGTAATGTCATGGTGGGACTGATACGATCTCAAAGACTTCGACCAGCCATGGCATTGCTACCGCACTCACGAATGATCACCATGTTTCTGTGATCATGTCGCGCTAGCAGGAAATTCATTGCACGCTCTGTCTCGAATTCTCGATCGCTGGTCGCCCCTTTGCAGACCACATGTCGTATGACGTACCCAGTTGATTGAATCCGTCATGGGAGGAATACAAGCCGGTCCTGGGCACCCATGGTGTTTTTTTCGCGTCACCACAGTAAGCGATGGTATTCTGCGCATGCAATCAGGACACGATGCTAAGACGCCGAACACCTCGAATGGTATGCGTAAGCCTGTAGACGTCGACCTCTCGTCGGGGTAAGTAACTGGAATTGGGAGGGTCAATGCAAGGCGTTGGAGTATCACGCCGCCTGTCAGTTCCATGACTCCTTGCCCCCGAGGCCCAGGGTCCTAAGGCGCACATACATAGGGCGGTACGCTGGTTGGCAGTCGTGCAACCCGAGTCTACTACAGCGCGCCGACTCTCCAAGTCACTCTCACTCATTTTTCGACTTTCCTTCGCATGATACGGTTGGATTAATTTCCTCGCAAGACTTGTTGGCTTCGCCATGACCATGTATGACAATATCCTAGCCCTCGCCGTTAGTCCCCTTGATATAACTTACCGGTCTTGCAATCCGTATCTATTGTGCGTCATCGTCGTTGCTCAATTTACAAGGACCAGAAGCTGTATATCTCTTGACAGGTCAGAAAGAGTCACTTCATGAACTTATTTGACCTCGCTAACCTCCAAACACCGACAGGGGATATTAGACAGTGATTCATCCGGGAAGCCGATGCGTCTCAGAAGCAGGTTCGACCGTATACGTCGCACTCAGCTATGACTCTGTCTTGAAATTGAGCGGAATGATAGGGATGAGTGTCCAGTAGCCCCGAACCATACACGGCTAACTGTATATATTCCAGTGGCCCATGCTGTATGTGTCCGACCCGAGGGAACTACATACTATCTCACCAAGGAGGAAAAATCGTATTTACACCGTGACCGCAAGGGGCTCATGCACAAGGCAACTTCGTGTTTTCAGCCACTCCGTCGAGGATCAGCCTGGCATATACGGCAAGTCTTCTGGTGATCATTATCCTTCGCATGCCTCTCACAACTTAATCTCCCGTAGGCAGACCACTCGACGGCCTTTCTGAGGGAGACTCGGATACTCACAACTGTCAGGTTTACTGTAGTATCTGACCGACTTGAAAACAGTCAGAATTTCACCGTTGCCACACGCAACTGCTGTCGAGTCTACCGTGACGGAATAGTCAGGTTCAGACATTGGACCGTGCATGAGCCCGAAACAGGCGTTCTCGTAAGCGGAAGCCGTGTTCCTCCCGCTGACTGCGTTGATCATTCACGCGACGGAGCGCATCACCCTCTCCGAGTCGGAAAGGTACCGGAATTTCACGGTAATTTTGAAACGAACTGCAGGTAAGCGGCAGCGCCCTTCATGTCTGCCGCTTTCCCGTAGTTCGACCCGACGCTTCCGCCACTCTCTTCGAGGTCCATAGATGCATTGTACTGTCTAAAGCATCAGCAGATCCACTGGCCGACACGTACAAGTCATCACTACACCTCTGTTCACTCGTTGTTGCTATTCAATCGGTTCCAAACCACTCAATACAAACAATCCCTCCGTACTAGTCGAGAATCACGAAGATAAAAGACCATCACAATCTTGACCGATGCATCCATCGCCGTCGGTCTAGGCCGCGGGTAGACCAAGACTCGATAGGAGGCCCGCACACATCCATCCGCTGCTACGAGCCGACGAAGATGCCTCGAAAACACATAAAAGGGACAGGTTTTCGCCAGTGTTCGCCATTATTCTCGTCTTTGCATCAGCATCCGCACACTCAGTTACAGAGTTGCATATTCTTCACGATGCTTGTTGTACTTCCTGACTTCACTGGCATAACCCTCGACGCTGGTCGTCTCGAGCTACTCCAATCCGTGGGCGCTGGCGCCTACGGTGAGGTGTACCTCGCCATTGATCATGAAGCCTCGGCCTCCTCCCTGGTCCCTGTCCGGCGTGCAGTCAAGATCGTGCCGAAGGCTGGTCCTTCGAAGCGCGACACGCAGCGCCAGCGACGGGAGATCACGATCCAACGACTCGTCTCGGACGTGCCCGGCGTCCTCGAGTTGCTCGATGTCATCGAAGACGACGCGCACTTCTACCTCGTGACGGACTATCGCGACTGCGATTTGTTCGATCTCCTCGTCGAGGGCGTCGTTTTTGAGGGCAACGACGAACGGATCCGGTCGGTGTTCGTGCAGATTCTGGATGCGGTACACGGGTGTCATCAGAAAAGGATGTATCACTGTGACCTTAAACCAGAAAACATCCTCTGCACGGCCGACGGGAAGGAGGTCGTTGTGGCCGACTTCGGGATGGCGACGCCTCTAGCGCGAAGCTACTCCCGCGGCCACGGGACGGGCTCCTATATGAGTCCTGGTAAGTCCTTGGTGCACAATCATTGACGGGCAGCGCTGACCTTCATCGACAGAGTGTCTCGATTCCGCTACTGGGCCGTACTCCACCAAACATGCGGACATCTGGGCGTTGGGGAGGATCCTCATTGACCTCATCACAGGCTGTAGCCGCCCCTGGTCGGAGGCCTCGCTCGACGATCCCGACTTCAGGGAGTTCCTCGAGGATGAGCAGTACCTCGAGAACGAGTTCGGCATCTCGAGCGGAGCCGCGGACCTCCTGAAGCGGATCTTCAGGCTGAACCCCATTGCGCGCCCCAGCCTTGCGCAGATCCGCAACAACGTCCTCCGCCTCGACACGTTCTTTGCCGAGTCCGAGGAGGACCTTGAGTGGGACGACGAAGACAACGAGTCAATCGACTCCACTCCCACACCTGAGGACAGCGTCGCCGTTGTCGGTACGCCCGGCAACAAAACTCCGATAGCTCCTCGCTTCGTCGTTTCCAAGGAATACGTTCGACCCCTGCTGCTGCCAACACTGGCAAGAAAGGCCGATGCCGATGAATTCGCGCTCGGCTTCCTTGACGGCCTGGAGATGCTTATATGAAAGTAACTCCAGTGCCAACCTAGTCATGCGAGGAACTTAAAATCTGGGCGCGGATTCCCGCCGCCTATTACCAGCTGGATCATCACAGGTTAACGAACGATAGAGCCTGAGGGGGGAAGGAGAGCGCCTAGTGCCAATGGACATCTACGGACACATGTCTTGGGACACTTATGCATATGGACGCTGTGCCATCGGACACTTCGAGTACACTGCAGGACAGTCAGTATCGGACAATGTGCCATGGTCACGTAGGTTAGAACAAAAAGCCAAAGGAAGAAAAAAACAGCACATACATAAAGTCAAATACATCATCATGACAATCTCTTCTGCGTGCACGTTTGCTACACTTGCGTCCCTCTCTCCGAGTCAGCGAGATCAAACTCGGCAGCTAATGATGGTAGTACTTACCCAGGCTCCCAGACGCTACTAGTACAAGTCATGTCGCTCGGGCACTGGTGCGTAGTCAGCACACAGCTGTGCGTGTATCTCATGCCCTCCCCGACAAGTGCCCTGTAACCTCAGAAGTTCAGTGTGTTGGTCCAGCTGCATGATGATACATCGAAGTGTGACTAGTTGACTACCGGCCACTAATGCGTAGCGGATACCGCCGTCACGTGCACATACGCATTCTGTAGGATATCGATCACTGACAGTGGCAGGGTACCTGCGAAGCTGCTACAGCAGATGTTGGATTGAGGTAACGACTGGTTCCCTACAGACTTTTTAGTAGAGGGACGAGCGGCTGCTCTGGACGTTCATAGATCCAATAGTAATAACCGTCTAATCAACTGCCACTGGAGTGGACGCATCGATGATGTTCGACTTCATGCCAGTGCAGAGTTCATTGCTTCGATATAATACACAACTTGCGCATCCTTCCAGCTCATTCCGACAGCTAACAATACAACAACACATACAACAACACAGCACACGCGCATTCAGTATTACTTCCTGCCAGCCTTCTTCGCGGCCGTCCGGGCCCGCGTGATCTGCTTCTTCCAACCGTAGCACTGCGTGCAAGCTGCCGGGCGCACCCTCAGCCACACGCCCTCCTTCACGTAGCGAACAGCCTGAGCTTACCGGCAGAGCCATGCTTCTTGCACACGTACTGACCTTCCTTGTTGACGCTCGACGCAGGCGCCTCGATACCTTCGCGGTTGATGGGGTCGAACTGCGCGAGAGCATGTCGTCAGACACGCCAGAGGCACGCTATGAAAGTCATTGGTCGGGACGCACCCCAAAGAAGGTATCGTTCTCTTCCCGTCCGTCGAAGGAGCAAGTAGCGCACTGCAGAGACGAGCAACGCTCAGCGACACGCGGCATCAAAGGTAGTGGACAGCGGGACTCACGACTTCCTTGAAGTGAGGGCAGAAAAGGGCGTCGTTAATCTCAACAGACGCTACGCTGCTGTCTGACATATTCGACGGGTTCGATCGAGAAGAGACTAGGCTCAAGCAGAAACAACGACACTAGACAAACTCAGTGCAACGAGACAAGAGGCAATATGGCCGTGGTGTCTGGCGAGAGGGATAGGGAGGTGGGAACGCACGGGGGCGGATTATATAGGGAGCTGCGCGGAAGACGGTGCATCTGGGTTCGCGACGCTACCTTGCCTGACGAAGGCTGGAGTGCACTGGGCATCTGACAGCGGGTGTGGCCAGATGACCCTCGTCTCCTCTCTCCTGGGTCCAGGAGCGGTCCCATGACATCACGTGCGGATGGGTGCCATATTTCATGCACACTTGTTCTCGACGACGAAGCTGGCGATACATTGTCAATGGGAAGTGCTAGTACTGGCCTTGCAAGCGGAAGTAACATAGACGATGCATAGGCAGGTACCAAGTTCTTGCATAACTTGTACCACCACTTTAAGCGCCCACCCATGTAGAGAAGTCGATACCGTGTAGCACGACTGAATAGGCGTATTGAACGCTCGGAGGCCCGCTGACCATGACCATATCTAAGGAGGAGACAGAAATCAATCCAGTAACACACTTGCACGCGATCTGAACAGCACTCTTTAGCGGCTTCACCCTGCTCATCCGAAGTGCTACGTACCTCCGAGTAATAGGCGAGTACACCGTGACCAAGGCCGCAGCACGTCAGGAAAACCATCGCAAGCTCAGCTCGTTCGTACGACCTGATGGCAGAACCTCCCACCAAACTCAATCGCCCCACAAGACGTCCCATCCTCCTCAACACCCAGATACCCCGCCTCCACGCGCGTCCACCCCGCCCACGGCGCCCTCCTCACAAACAGCTCCGCCCACACCGTCGCCCGAAAGCTCTCAAACGCAAACCTCGGCTCGTGGCCCTCCCGCAGGGGCGCGGGTAGGCCGATGAACGAGTCCGGCGGGGCGCGGACGACGACGCGTAGCCTGCGGGAGAGCGTCCGGACGTCGAGCTCGACGACGCCCGCGCGGCTGTCATGGTGGACGTGCATCCACGGCGAGAACCCAAAGACGCCGGCGGTGAACGGCGGGCGGAAATCCCACTGGAACCGCGGCGAGCGGTAGCCGACCAGGAAGGCCTGCACGCCGGGCAGGGCCTCTCCGCCCGCGAACGACAGGCACGTCCTCCGTTCCGAATCAGGCCCGAAGGCCTGACACCAGATCCACCCGCGGGGGAAGGACGTCCCCCAATTCTTCTCGAAGTGTGTTTTGCCTGTGAGCTCGTGTGTGAGGCCAGCGTGTGTTAGCCTGGCGGAGGCGTCGCTTGCGACCGTCTGGACGTGCCAGTTGAGAGGGAGGTAGGGCGAGAGGGGCGCCAGTGGACCCATCGGGCCTAGGAAGGAATGCAAGTTGGACCATGTTCGTTGATTAGAGAGGTGGAGGTTCAGGGAGAGCTTGGCGTCGGGGACGTTGATGGAGTAGTCGACAGATTCAGGGCCCACGCTCATGGTACCGATACCTTCGGCTGTGACGCTGAACGACACAGGCTCGTTCGGAACGACATCCTGGACCGAGATAGACAGGTGATCCGGAAAGAACTCGTGCGTGAAACCAGTAGCCTCCTGGCCTTCGGGAGGCATATACGACACGCAGACAAGGTTTGGCCGTCGATCTGCCTGCTTGACCAAGCAGAATATGATCGCTAGCGTGGCGCCACCCCCCAGGAGCGTGCGTGAGTAGTAGCCCTCGAAACCGGACGCTTCATGAGGTGCGAAGTCGTCGATGACTCTCCCAGGAGGCCGGATGCGCAGACGTGAGCATATATGCGTGGCGAGTGTCTTGAGAAGCGCAAGCGGCAGCAGTGACCAACGTGATACGGTTTCCTGCATAGAAGACATTCAGATCCGTGCATACCGTGCACATGCGAACGAGACCTTTGTCAGGCAACTCACCATGACCTTGCGCGTAACAAATGCGTGGACAAGTCACCGTGACCACCGAGTTAACGGGCAGCAGACGGGACGATGGACTGAGTGGTTGAGAAGAGGGCCGCAAGATCATGCAGAGCCCAGAGCTCGGTACCTGTAGATATAGGGACTTGGGTATGCGCGAGTGCAGCGGCAGAGCCCTGTCATAACGTCATCGACAGCAGAGTGCGACTACCCGCTCAGCGTGTCAGTATCCGCATAATATGGGCCATGTCGCCGAGTATCCAGTTATGCAAGGGTCATACTCGGTCAGACCGTGATCAAGGACAAGCTGACGAATATACGCAAGAGGGGAGATTGACGGAGCGTATATGATTGTCGAATTGACAATGACCAGTGCACGGCAGAGGGTAGAGATGTCACACCACGGTACATGACGGTGTTATGTCACGGATCTTGTCACACAGTGACACGCACCGATCACAGTAAGTGGCAACTGGCCCCAGTCTGGCTCTTTCATGCCTCGAAGCGAACGTATTACAGTCACAGAATGAGTCGACGTATTGGCAGCACGGACACATAGCTTCGAGCACAGATTGGGACACCCTCGCGCTCAGTTCGATTCCAACACGCTCTTCAACAGCAACCCGTGTTTCCTCTGTTTCGTAAAGTCGACCCCGCCGTTCTCCTGTGCGCGCTTGAACTCATACTCCACCTCAGGCTTGATGCCCGCCAACAACAAGTCCTTGGTAGCATACTTCGGCTTCCACCCCATCGCAAGCGCACGATCCGCGCGGCAACGGCAGGTCGTGCCTCCATATTTGCCCGCAAGCTAGCACACGTTCAAGTCAGCCGGTCGGTCGAAAGCACTGCGCAGCGGAGACCCTGAGACGTACCACGGATCCCCAGTGCTTCAAAAGCTCTTCGTCAGTGAACGTCGTCGGTTCCGCGTCTTTTGCGAGCCCGAGGTCCACGAGCGCTTGTCCGATGGCCTGCCCGATCTCGTAGAACGAGACGTGGTCGCTCACGCCGAAGTAGTAGCCCTCCCAGCCGTGCCCGACACTCTGCGGGTCTGCGCTGATAGCATCGAAGAGCGCGATGTACATGTCGACGGCTGTGTGAGAATCGAGGCGTGTCAGTTGCTGTCACGGTGCAGACGAGCTTGGAAGGACCACTGACTGTCCTCGATGTTGATAATTGACCAGACGGCCTTGCCAGGCCCGATCATGCCCGCCCGGTTCCTGTCCAGCGCCTGCTTGATGAGGGCAGGAATCTGGATAGAGAGCGGGTTCGCGATCCCAGCCTCGAAGACAGGTCCAGACGCAAGGCCGTCTATCATCCCGGGTATCATGATGTACGAGCGTGTGTAGCCTGCATAACTGCATCAGCGTGCCCGGCCGTAGCTGAAGTCTGAAGTGAAGCTACCTTGCTCGTCTGCGCCGATGACGGCGAGGGAGACCTTGCGGTGGAAGGCCGTCTCAGGAATAGCCTTCAACTGCTCGACGTTCAAGTCTGAATAGACCGTCTCCGCAGCGTATTCTCCGTTCGCCGCCTCTGCGATCTCGCCTGTGCCCGACTAATAGTGATCGTCAGTCGTAAAGTGGACTATACGCGCGCATATGCGCTGTACTAACGGTGTGGATGAGAATGGGGAGCTCTCCGGTAGTCTCGTACGCCTTGCGCACACCCTTCAGGAGTGCGTTTATGGCCGGTAGGTCGTCCGAATTTGCCTGGACAGAATAACTTGCGTATCAGCGTTTGTTCTCAACTGGCAGAGGTACGTATGAAGACTGACGACGTTGAAAATGACATGCGCGCGCGAGGCAAGCTCCTCTATCTTGTCAAAATCGCTGAGAGAGGCTATCTCGGCTTTCACTCCCAGCTTCTCCAGGAGCTTCGCCTTCTCGGGAGAGCGCACAGTCGCGGTGATACTAAAGGTATCTGCTTTGGGATGGCTGAGGAGGCGGTTCAAGACAGACCCTCCGATATAGCCTATGATATACAAAAGTCATGTTACCGCGTACGACGTGCGACATTGCACATACCTGTAGCTCCGAAGAGAAGGATTTCGGTCTTGCTTGTCATGTCGATCTTATTCACTGTTAGATGCGGGGTCAGGACTCAGAAGAGATGCAGCTGCAGGGCATCGACGCTCATGATTTATATACGGAAGTCAACCGAAGTCAACCGAGGTTCCCTAGCATCCAGTCCGTCGATGGGCCAACCCGATGTCAGCGGTTAGATGGCGGATACGGCTTCATAAGAGCGTTCAGTACGCGACGGGGTCTGGGTGGCGCATATCTACAGGCTGTAGACGGCTTTCCTGCCCGCGGTGGCAACAGCCTCGGACTCGGAGCGGGGCGTGGCGCCCAGAGCTGGCCCCACAGCCCACTGCGGACAAAGCAAGTTGTGGGGAACACTTAAACATCGTCAGAACGTGTGTACCATCTCGAAATCCGGATATTATCTATTCTCCGGGATCGAACATTGGAGGCGGCCAATCACAAGCCGCGCCTTCTAATGTTCGGTCACTGATAATAGTTCTTGTTCGGATTCCGAGGAGGTATGCTCATTCTGACAATGTTCTGAGACTTACTGTAGTATGTACTGTATCCCCTTTAAACAAAGGGGTTTATGTGCAGTGGCCAGGGCGCTGACTAATCGTGTCTGCGCCACGTTTCTGAAGATCTCTAATCTGCGATCGAGCTGAAGCCGAAGCTTATTCCTCTGTCCACGACCACCATGGCTAGCGCAGCGTACGTGCTTCCAAATATCATTGAACTCTCCCTAACACACGAACGCAGACCACCAAAAACATCCTGGGCCGACGACGTCGACGAGCTCGGTGAGTAGGTTTTCGTCCTCACCTCGTCCTCACTAAATTTCCGCTTCAGAGCAGCCCGCCACTAAGTCGGAGGACTACGTCGACGAGAATGGGATCCGTACAACGGTCGAGTACACCGTAAATGACGATGGGAAGAAGGTCAAGGTATGCATATCTAAGCTCGCGTTATCTGAAAGCCAAGCTCACGGCGCACACCGTTCAGATTACCCGCAAGATCAAGCGGGTACTCCATAAGGCGGTCGTCGACCATACAGTCGCTGAGCGGCAAAATTGGACGAAGTTTGGACAGGAGAAGGGCAACAAGGCGGGTCCTGACCGGGCAACAACCGCGGTCGGTGAGAACGTTTACCTGAAGCTGAGCGCGGGCAACAAGGTGAGCAGTACACGTCGCTCCTGTTTCATCAGCTGTGTATCTCCCTTGTGTGAGCTCATGCCCTGGCCTACTTGCGCCGGAGGAGGCATCCTGTTATCCGTCTATGTGTCAATCGACGCCAGTCATTGGCTCGAGCATCCCTAGGCTGCCGTAGCGCGGCCTGGCGCGCGAGGGCACCTGGACGTCCACTACATATCGCCGCGATACATGGAGCCAATGGCCCTTCAGCGGTTCATCAGCTGTTCGTGTCCCCTGCTATCCTACGCATATGATGCATATGTCGCTCAGAGCGTACTCAAATGATCGCACAAAACTAAACTTTCCTACTAACACGGTACTGCGTCTAGTCTTCCGAACCCGAGCCCAGCGCGGAACAAGCCGTGAAAGCCAACCTCGTACGCGCTGGAGCGGGCAAGGTCGTCTGTCGTCTCTGCAAAGGCGACCACTTCACCGCCAAGTGTCCCTACAAAGACTCGCTCCCGGGGCTCGACGGCGCGGACGCGCCTCTCGGCGGGGGCGACGACACGGGCACGCCCGCGGAGCCCGCCGCGGCGCCGACTACCGGGGGCAAGTACGTCCCGCCGTCGATGCGCGGCGCGCGGGGGCCCGGTGAGTCGATGGGCCGGCCGGGCGGGTCACGCGACGACCTTCCGACGCTCCGCGTAACGAACATCTCGGAGGACACGCAGGAGAACGACCTACGGGACTTGTTCGGCGCGTTTGGCCGCGTCGCGCGCGTATATGTGGGCCGCGACCGCGAGACAGGCGCGGGCAAGGGCTTTGCGTTCGTCAGCTTTGAGGAGAAGTCGGTCGCGCAGAAGGCGATGGAGAAGATGCATGGGAGGGGGTATGATAACCTCATCCTCAACATTCAGTGGTCTCGTAAGTCGTATTCTTGTGGTATGCGGTGCATTGCGGACGCTGATCGTATCGTCGGCAGAACCGAGGGAGCAGCGGTGATCTCCATGCTGTTGTATTGTACTGTATATCCTTGCGATGCTTATGCTTTCACGACGGCGTGCCTATCCGTGTCGCAACATGTCTTGCGAATCTCTCGTCAGTATCCTCGCTTTCTAATCGAACTTGCACAGAAGCAGCTAAGTCGCGTGACAATCTCACCGTCCTGAAACCGAGCGGCCCGGCGGGTCAGTGCTCATGAAAACCTGAGTGCCAGGTTGGGGTCAGGCCGGTCAGGGCGCAGCCTGAGCGAGCGCAGTTCAACAACGCCATTGCCGCATCAATGGCGGCGTGTGTGACGCGGCGGTGATGATACCCCACGTAGGCATCGAGAGCACGACTCAGATCATGAGGCGACAAACTCAAGCACATCTCAAAGCATCTCAAAGAGTAAACTGGCAAGCCGTAGATTGTATAGACCTCTGTCCACAACGCGGATATGTCCATGCTCACCGCATGCTACAAGTGACTCACAGGTCACACGCGATCAATTGACGGTCGCATAGCACCCCGCCAACTCGTTTGCATGTCCAAACATACATTAACTTGACTATCGAGGATCTGTGTGGAGTCATGCAGTACATACATAATTGAGCATCGCGAGTGCATGATTGCGATTGGTGCAACGCACCTTTGCTCAACGAAGCGATATGTCGCTTCAGCTCTCCGACACTATTCGATAGGACAAGCACATTAGCCGACAAGCCCTGCATGTCCTTCCTGAGAGTACTGATCTCCTGAGTGAGATCTTCATCCACCGTACTCGGTGTCGGTCCATTGTCGAGGGTGCGATTGGACCCTGAGGCCCTACTAGTACATGCTGTGTACGCGCACATCGGCGGCGGTCAACACAAGGCCGCATATGCCTCCCATCTGAATGATAGTGCTCACCAGACGACGTGCCCGCGGGCGGCTCCAACTGACGTCGCTTTGAGCTACGCCCTCGATGCGATGGTGACCGCCGCTTCCGCTGCGCAGGCAAGGAGTCGTCAGTGCGACTACAACGGCAAATTGACCAACTGACCTTGGAGTGAGTAGACTCATCGTTGTCGCCCTCAGACGACGTAGAGCTGTCTACATCACTTGCAAAGGACACGGACCGACGTCTTGACCGCGACCGCAACCTCGATGACGACCGACGCGAGCGGGATGCCGACGAGCCACATGAGCATGAACGGCAGTGCCGCCTGACGGACCGACTGCGTCCTCTGGAGCGTGACCTACTTCGCCTGCCATACTCGTCATCGTCACAGGGAGCGATGCACGCCTGTCTGTTCTTGTGACACCTGTCGCATGCAAAGGGCCCTTCACGCGACTCCACATATTCTGGGCTCAACGAGATCCAGCACCCAACATGATGGCGACGACATGTTACACAAGCAGGCGACTATTGGTTGGTTAGGTGAGTGCATCCGTGAAACCCGCACCAGCACCTGCTTACCATTATTCGCCTGTATTGGCGCTTTCTGTTGACAGTCTCTATGAGATCAATTTGTCCGCCGACATTACCCCTGCCATACACTCTCTGGGGCTTCTTAAGAATCGATTTGGGTAATGCTACACAACGTCAATGTCAGTGTTGCTATATCACTGGAGCAACCAACTTCACTTACTTCCGGCTTGAAGCTCAAACTTGACTCTTGGCGAAGGTGGCGCAACGTCATCGCTCTGTGAGTTGATCACTCAAAGCTCAGCGACGTGACTTCAAAAGCCCATGGTCTACTAGTACTCACAGACTCATCTGACTCAGACCTATTGTTTTCATTGTTGCCAGCGACCTTTCCATTCAACTGTCCGGACTTCCTCCGGGCATTTGACCCCGCTGTCTGCTCTCGCTGCCGGCCCACGCTATGTCGTGCCATCGGGTGCGGCCCCGGGCTCTTGCTCGGTGGTACGTCGTGATCCTGTTCGCGGCGACTCCCGGTAGTTCTCGCGCCTTGCCTCGCGCTGCTTTGAGCATATGGCTGCCCATTGCGACTGCCAGACGCCTTGGCAGGCTGTGTACCGGATTGACGTTGGGTAGCAGTCTGATCCTAATTCAGACATGAGCGATAGGTCAGCGCAGGGTGTGGTGCATGACTGACATTCTCGGCGACAGGAGCTGATCGTGATTCCGAGCTGTCTCCGTTGGAAGCACTGTTCGTATCAGATGCATCGACTACCCCGCTTCCTGTTGAGCTCGCATTTGCCAACGTTGTTGTGGTATGTAGCTTGCCCCCACCACGCTCTCCTCACCATTCAAAAATTCATGAATAATAGAGAGAACGTGATTGCTAGGACTGACCTGCTTCGATCCTCAATTTCAAGTTGCGGATTTCCGCGCGAGCAAGGTCTGGCTTGTACTGCGGATAAGCTGTGATACGTGGGTCGTCAGCGCGCACACGCGACGGCCGAAGGCCAATCACCGACGCATCGTCACACTCGACGAGGAGCGAGCATAGCAGCGGAGGGATCGCGACAATGAGTCGCATGTTCTTGGCTTCGTCCAGTACGTTTTTGGCTCGCATCTGCAATCATCAGCATCGGAAGACGAGGTGCGTAGTGCGAGACGAACCACATATACTGCGAGATCGGTACGCTAATCACCAGAGGCATGAACTACTCTGAGAACATCGACGGTCAGGACGAGGGGGACTCACCAACAAGATCTGTTCCCTCTCGTTGATCCCCTCGATTTCCCCTCCCAGCAGCGTCTCTAGGATCTTATTGATGTTCGAAAGTGTCGAGTTCATGTGTTGGAGCTTCTGAAGCTTCTCTGACGCAGACCCAGGTGTGGAAGTGGATGCCATAATCTCCGAACGAATCAGCCACAGAGGGAACCGCAAGTACGAGGTGAGGGAAAGGGGGAATATGCAGAGCAAACCCTGCGCGATGCGATAGATTTCAGGGCTTCAACAATCGCGATTACGCATTGATGTACAAAGTTAGTTCCATAGATTAAGTACGACGCAGCAACGGCAGGACATCGCGAACCTTTTATGTAAGTTCGCCTGCATCCCGCGCCAAATCAAGCATACGTTTTGGACGGCAGCTGCAGAGGAAGACTTCCCCATATGCTTCCATCACGAAAGTATCAATCCGCTCTAAGACCTCCACCAGTTCGGTGACGCATCATTCTCGTGCGAGCCTCTACCTCACGGTCGAACCAATATGACGCGGAATAACGAGGATCTCGTGGCCAATATACTGTACAGGCTGAGAGCATCGAGCGAAAGCCATATCAATGGGCACAAGACCAACGTAGGGAGTGTACGTACCCAATCCGTCAGCTGGTTAGTATGGTTACAACCGACGTAATGCCGCGCGCCTGAACGAGTCTGCTTTAACGCAACATCTGCTTGTGAGATGCCGTCAACGCCGACGTCGTACAATCAGCATTCGCGAACCGCTGCAGTGTCTGCCCACCTGAAGCACGAGCATATTGTCCCATCGGATATCGATCAGGAGGGCGTCACCGAGTTGGCATGGTCGCAGTATCAGACCATCGGGAGACTGTTCACCCTCGCCTTCAAGAACTCGCCCCCCCGGAAGAGTTACCTAGAGCATCACCCGTCAGTCGACAAGTGACAGTAGCGAGACAATTAGGGGAGGAGGAGTACTGACAGTGTTACTGATGAGTCGACAGTAAAGAGTAGTAGAGCGCCCGAACCCACGCGCAATACGCGGTCAGGTGACCGCGATTGACAGTGACACGCTCATTGTGCTAACACTGTGATAGAGCGACATGTCTGCGCATGCGCCGTATATTATCGTAACATACTTAGAGGCGGTGCCATGGTATGAGGTTGGCGCTCTGTCTAGACATCAATAGACCTGGCATCTGAGCGTGGCATGCCCGCACTTGCACCGGCGCAGACACTGCGTCAATCCTTGGGAATAGCAAGAACCGCATACCGATCAACCCATTCAAGGCTAATTAGTAGCTACCCACTCACCTCTCATTCTCGACCGAGTAGCGTTTCCAACACCATCACCCCGTCCGCCTCTCCGTCCGCGCCCAACTATGTATCCTGAACGGGCGCGCACCGGCAGCGACGTCGACGCTCCAGTTCAATTCCAGTCCTCGCATCTCTACTCCACGCCGGCAGCATTGTGACGAGGATCACGCAATACGAGGCGTAGACGCACAAGGTACGGCGGACCCAAGTATGGGACCAGTAGTGCCAGGAGCGACCTGTATCACTATTAGTAGGCCAAATGACAGCCAGCAACCGTCAGAAATCAAATCGTAGTATTTAGACACTCTGACGCGGACGTACCGCCCAGGGCACCGGTCGACCCCTTTGCAAATTGCGACAGCCCATCTGTATCGCTGCAGTCTTCCCGGGGCCGATCCGCGTAGACTACAAGCCCGCGTCGACAGGAAACCATATGAGCGCAAGACAGTGACGAGCCTGAGTCTGCACCGGTTAATCAGCGCAGCACATAGCGAGTGCAGGATACGTTTGTTGGACACAGGTTCGCAACGCCGTCAACCCAGTGACCCGCTGACCTGATGGTGACGTTAGAGTTGACGTCGACGCGCCGTCGAACATTCCATCGAAGCTTTCATAGGTTCGCAGTGGTTCGCACGCAGGCGTCGAGGCGGACTCTGGAGAAGCCGAAGCTAAGTTGAGAAGGGAGTGAGAAGGGAGAAGATCGGCGCCCGGGTCCGCGTGAGCCATCGTGCCATTGACCGGCGAGTTCGCGTGCGTAGGGACATGGGAGCAGCCACTGCTCGCTGCTGGACAAGACAAGGAAACGGCGTGCACACCGACCTCATCACCTCGACCCACAGACATGCCAGAGCACGGCAACAGCCACGACCCGACAGCGAGAAGAAAGCGATAACAACAAGACGCTACAATACGGATACAATGTCATTCGAGCACTAGTCCTTACTAGCTAGTCCCTCGTACACGCTTAGAACTTGACCTTCGAGACGACGCTGTAGAAGTGCTCGCCCTGCAGCTTCGCGAGCTCGAGCTCGAGCGCGGTCGGCTGGCGCGAGCCATCGGCGCCCGCGAACGTGCCGGCGCCCCACGGCGAGCCTGCAGATGAGTTGTGGTCAGCCATCGGTGCGTCATACGGGGAGCGGTGGGTATATGCTATATGCGCGCCCCGGCACTTAGGGAGAGGAGGACTCACCACCGCGGACCTCGGTGAGGTTGGCGAGCTGGCCGAAGGTCTTGCTGTAGCCGAGGGGGACGAAGATGAGGCCGTGGTGGACGAAGGTGGAGAGGAGGTTGATGACGGTGGTCTCCTGGCCGCCGCCGGGGGTGCCCGTCGAGACGAACACGCTCACGTACTTGCCCGCGAGCGCGCCCGTCGCCCAGAGCTGGCCCGTCGCGTCGAAGAACGCCTGCGCACATCGTCAGCATCCGCGCTGCAGCAAGCCGGAGGGGGACGCACCTTGAGCTGGGCGGGCATGTTGCCGTAGCGGGTGGGCACGCCGAAGATGAAGGCGTCGAACTGGGGGAGGTCGGCGGGCTGGAGGACGGGGTAGGCGGGCTTGGCGGGCGCGTGGAGCAGGTCGAGGATGTCCTGCGGGAGGGTCTCCGCGACCTGGTAGATGGTCGCAGAGCCGCCGGCGGCCTCGACACCGCTCTTGACGGTCTCGGCCACTACACGCATGTCAGTACGCAGCAAGGACCACAGAGCGAGGACGGGACGCACTCTTGGCGATGTGGCCGTACATGGTGTAGATGATGATGGCGATCTTGGGGGAAGACATGGCTGGTGGTGCGGGTGCGGAGGACTGGGCTGGCTTTATATCCTTGGGTGGGGCGGGCTTATCGTCGTCGAAGGCGGCTTTAGTCTTTCTGGAGGGGAAGCACATACACTGCACGCAAGACGAGGAGCAGGCCCCCCCTTATAAGCATCGATCGAGCGCCTAGGGCGAGACGGCTGCAGGGTTCTGGAAGGGCCGTGCATCGAAGGACAGCGAACGCGCACCCGCCACCGCCGGGAACACGCTCCTCGACATGGCAGCACCCCGTGGGACGGCCCTCCCATATCCGGCCAGGCGCCTCCCGCTTCAGGCACTCACCGCGCGCCCACCGCTCCCGCGCCCGCTTGTCAGCACTCGTCAGCCCGCTGAGTCCGCCTGCGGTGCCTGGGGTCGCTGAGCAACGCCGCCCGGACGTCGCCGGCGGGAGTCCGCGCCCAAATGCGGCAGGCGTGGTGCGCGCGCTGCCCGATGTGGCGGATACGCCCCCGTGCCCGATGGATCTCGCGGCGCGGCGAGTGCGGCGGACGTCATGGCCGCGTCCGATCGCGCGAACATCTTGCCCGAGACGTGCGCGCCCCCAGGCAGTCCCCAGGCGCCCCTGTCCCCGTCGAAGCGTGTCGCCCGTTGGAGGAGGAGTCTCCCACACCGCCATCGATATCCAGTCCTCCTACCCCGCGGATCCCCTCGCTTGCAGCCGCGTGCTGACAACACCCTCAGACAGGGAGCGTAAGGCCGCTTGCGTATGGGACCGTATGTACTCGCTCGCTGACCAACCCTTGCAGAACCTCGCAGCGACTGTTTTGCGTTTCGCAGGACGCCCGGCTGTCGACGTCTGCTGGTCACCGGAGCACGCTTCTTCATAATATTAACTCTGTGCTTCACCCTGGCGCCGCGACACACCGACGGATAATCGCAGGTTTACGTACGTCCAAGACAAATGCAACGCCTAGGCTACTAATCAATATTCTCTTCGCATCCTATGCTTTCGAGAGGCAGAACCTACAAGCCGGCGGTCGGAAACCCGGCTGTCCTACGCTGCTGAACGTTGATCACATCAGTACGTGTGCAGCGCGTCCGACACGCACCCGCGACGAACTAGACTCGTAAAGAGCACCGTCCTCCCACAGAACCTCCACCCTCAACTCGAGTACCACACGGATGTCAGCCCCCTTAATCAGCGCGAACACAGGAGTGTCATTTCATTTACTTGCCCTCGGTCGTCTTGAAAGTTTCGTAAGCACCCCCGAATACAGCGGAGCGTCGCCATTCGCCACATTCACAGCTCGACAGGGTACTACGCCTGCGTGACCTCTGCGCGCGTCCTGTACAGGTTATCTAACGGTCACCTATAATCAAGGCTACAACGACGAACACTCATCTCTCTTGACGGCGTCCTTTCACTCTCAGCTTGCCTGACAATCCCCATGGTCCGTAGCGCAGACAATGACACGCCTGCGAACAACGGCGCTCGGGACCGAGACGCTCTATGTTAAGTAGTAAGTCCATGCCTACTTACACCTGCCTTCTCACAGCGATCCGATCTCCAGGCTCGAACTCTTCGCAGGCACGCCGCACGGACCAACGCGCTTACCACTTGCATGACCCTAATATTCTGATAGGGCAGCGCGCATCTATTCTTGTCCATTCCGTCCGTTCAACACCATTGACGGATGGCTTTAAAAATTAAATAGCAGATACCACCCGCTTCCCCTCCTCATAACATACGCTGTAATCCCGGGGACTTGAACCTGACTCTACCTCTAATGATACAGGCGATCCACCATCAGCATACACTTCAGCTTCCTCCCGCATCCATACCCGCACTCGCGCTCTCGACTTGAAACTGAGCGACGACGTGGCTCGGACGCGGGGTTACTCGCCCCGAGGACCACGCAGAGGACCGCGCCCGGACGTGGGATTAGTAGTACTAGTCTAATACTAGCAGGCACCAGCGTTGGAGCTTAGCGGAAAACTTGAAGACTGTCGTCGTCTTCAAGTTTTTGTTCAAGTTAGTAAGCACTCAATGTATTCCCTGTTTCCATCATTCACAATATACCCTCGCGGTACCCATTCGACGAGTTTCGCCTGAAGTACATGGCATTGTCCTGCCAGTGGAGCTCGTCGTCGAGTCTCTAACACCGTGAAGTGGCGTAGGTGGCGGTAGCGTGCGATCCAATCTCGATCGTCCCGCCGGGGCCCGGCGGCAGACAAGCACTACGCCGACTCCGACTCGTGGGGACAGTCACTTACTACTTTTCACGATTCACGATGACCAGAGGACCTCAGGCTTCAAGCTTCCTGGCAAGGCTCACACGCACGCTCGAGCTCAAGCAGAGACTGGCGAAGTGATCGCTGCTACTCCAAATGTGCCAGCTCGGCGCTGTCCATGATGGCCTTCGTGTCTTGCTGTCACCATCTATATGGTGTGATTCTGAAGAACGTTCTCGTTGGCAGATACAGAGTCAACGCTTTCCAGTCATCATCGAGACGAAGTGTGGCTGAAAGCCATCCCGGTGAACGGCCGGCGCATGGCTACACAACTTCCGCCTTCCGCTTTTGGCAGATCGTCAATGTGGCTGCCTCCCAAGAGCTTCGTCGAGTACCTTTCTTGCCTCTGCTGACACCTATCTCATCGTCTCGCGATGCGCAACGGCCACACAGCGCCAACGAACATGATTGGGTCCCTGCAGTGTATGATACACTCACATGGTTGCATGTAGTTCTACCGTCAACCGTTTTGACGGGCTCGAAAATTTGGTATGACGATTGCCTAGATTTCCTTTGCTATATCAGTTGGACTGACGGGTTGACTTGTAGAGTTGAGCCAGTGCTGAAACCTTGATCGTCCCCTCAGGAATTCATGCGTTTGAGCACCTGCAACTCCTCGTCGTCTTGGTCCAAAGATATCATCTGTGTGTCTTGATCTTGTTGAGATGTTATAACTGTCCATTTAGAGAGCGCCGACGCCGGTGTTCTACAGGTATGGATGGCTTGATCAATTTGTGTTCTATCACGTCGCTGTCTCTGCAGGTCTCGTCCAATCTTAAATATGAGGCGGCACCTGAAGCGGTTCTGTCCGTCCCCTTGCGCCAGTGCTCACACATCCCTCGCCGGCAGGTACTCATGGCCGGACTGGGCAACACATACGGCGCCGCTCTTGTCGGCACATGCATCTCTGCTGTGTACGGCTATAACATCCCCCTTATCCTACGCTTACTTATCATGCGTGTAGGCTTTATGGCGTGACGATTCTGCAAGTATTCATGTGTTTCCGAGAATACCCTCAAGATAAGTTCTGGGACAAGCTCGGCGTCTGTCTATTATTGTACGTACCCTAACCAACACCTCGGGCTATTGCTTATGCAAGCGATGGTGTACTGTAGGATCCTGGACTCGCTTCACACTACATTCTGCATATATGCGATGTATTGGTACCTCGTCATCAATTTCGGCGTCTTTCCTGAGCTTGCGATGATGCACTGGAGTTTCGAGGTGCGACTGTCTTTCATCGGGTCGATCATTCGCCATTGAACCACCTATATTGCGATAGGCGCAACAAATGCTTAACGTAGGCAGTCGATCATATAGCTGTAACTATTCATTTGATGATCTGTATGTCAGGTGCTCGTGATATCAGGTGTGCACACGTAGGTTTCAATCTCATGTTGACAAGCTAGAAAGATACCTTATCTATGATCTCTCAGGCTATATATCGTGCGCATATGCAAGTGTGAGTACATGGACACGTTCATATGCAAGGCCGCACTGTTTAGGCTGAGAACCGGCCCAGTGGAGGCTGTAGCAGGCATTGTTTATGGCCGATATCATTTCAGACCTATATTATTGTCTGCTGTGAGTTTGGCGAACACCTACTCCTGGCGTAGACTGACTGTTGCGATCTCAGGGGATCGCTCTATGCGTTGCATATGGTACGTATCAGCCCAATCGACCCTTCTCACGCCCATACCGAACATCATTACTGTCTCGCTACAGCTACAGCACTGGGTAAGTGTTCATACTTACCGATTGCAGTTGGCTGTATCTGAAGTCATCAATTGCAGAGAGTTGTTACGAAATGTGAGTAGCTCATCGGTCCCGATCTTGTGTAATCACTTGTCATCAACTGCATTCACGGCACAGTTCGACGTTGAAGATTTTCGCATCGGCTTTTGAGTCGGGTCATTTGGTACGTGCTACTCTGTTCACTCCCGTAGGACTATGCTTTGACTAACCTCGCTGGACCTACCAGTGGATCATGTACTACTCATTATCGATTGCAAGCTGCATTGATATCTTCATCGCCGCATCGCTTTGTTACTTGTTGTCGAGGTGCCGAACAGGCTTTTGTAAGTAAGTACCTTCGTTCCTGATGTTCATCGCCGAGCGCGAGTTCGCAAGGTTCATATCCATTGACATGACTCGGCACGGAACAGGACGGACTCTCTGATATCGTGGCTGATGTTCTATACCATCAATACAGGGCTAGTCACGAGGTATGTAATATTAAGAATTCAGAAGAAAGGATCAACTGATAATCCCCCATAATCCGGGCCTCTCTGCGTAGTATGTGCTCTCTTGTTGCCGTCATCATGGTATATTTTAGACCTGCATGCATGCCGCAGATTTCTAACTAGACACGATCTCGACAGCTTGCGGTTTTCCCAAGAACATTCTTGACAGTGGCGTTCCAATTTGTTCAAGTCAAATGTCTGTCGAACAACTCTACTGCCTGTCTTCGCCGAACTGATCCCACACGTAGTATATATCAATTCATACCTTGCTATGTCAGTTTTGTTTGCTGTCGAAACCTTGGTACGTACTGATCAGGTCGTAGGCTCAATGCCCGTAGCTCTCTGCGCAGGCATAGGGATGGATCCCTAGGTGGTGGCCTCAGTATACCACGCAGTATGATCTTCATGCCATCAAACTCCGCGGGCGAGGCAAATGGCGTAACAATAATCCCCGATCCGTGTAACTCGAACCCCTCTGTCAGGGTACAAAGTAACACACGAACCGGACGACACAGCAGTATGTCTGTGGAAATCGACCCCCGTCGCGATGCGCACGGCGGCGTTCTTCACATTTACAAAGACGCATCCTTGGCACAGTCGCATGAAACCCTAGTGGTCATCAACACTCGACTGCGAGACTCGTGTCCTCATGTTGACGCAGATAACAATCCTTACGATAATCGACGACCAACTGTGCGCAGGCCTTCCCCGACGTTCGCTCGGAGGACATCGGTCGTATTCATTTGAAAAGGTGAGAGAGCCTGTGAAATACTATGTTAAAGACTCTGACACAAGTTACGAGAACTCTAGTCGTGCCATTCTTGACCTTGTATTCACGGGCTTGCGTGTCGAGTGGGTGTCATTGATGATGATATTGTATGTGAGGATCACGGCTTTGTTCTTGGCCAATATGAATGCGTCGACTCAGTACTCGGGATTTTCTACGTCGTATGTTTTCCATGTTTATCTACTGACGAAGAAGTGATGGAGACCAATCCCATCGAGGGGACAGTACACAGCATGACCCGCCGCCGAGGTGTATAGCACTTCCCGAATAAGGTATAAAACATGGCACTCTGGTAACTCACTGGAAAAGTGGTCCATGTCTGTAGAACTAGCTCAGGGCGGTGGCGATGCCAGCAGCCCAGTGCCACGTACAAAGTATAACATTGATCTCGTAGAGCGTCAGCTCTATTGGGCTGCTCTTCGATGAATAAGATTATCAGCATGCCAGTGCTATATTGACCGAGTCGTGTCCATAATGATATAGTCTCTGACAAGATGAGGCTAGTAGCGAACATACCATATCGAATGATATGTTTCCAATCTCTGAGTGCCTCCGCGTCATGTGGCGCATGTCGGCGATCTGGACAGAAGAATGAAGATACACAGCTCGGACATAGGTGAGCGCAGTCCTATGACTCACCGCCGGGACCGAGTCGACTAGGTCGCAGTGCGCGCGTAGGTACTACGTAGTGACCAGCGCCACAACTTGCGAGAATATCAAGTTGTCTTGTACCAGTGCTTCGCCGGTGCAGTCCTAGGTGACGCAATATACTACTTGCCTCACTGTTTACAGCATGTGTTGAGGGATTCGTGCAACAAATCCCACCTCAAGCGCCTGGTGTAAAGCAGTACTCCTCCAGCTTGCGTCGTCGACTCGTTGGCAGGTGGCGTAAGTGGCGGTAGCGTGCGATCCGGTCTCGGCTGTCACCGGAACAGCGGAACTCTTTCCGGTCCTTGGACTTCTCCTCCTCGAAGTCCTCCTCCTCAGGCTCTCCTCTCAGGCCTGGTGGCACTGCGCCGAGTATCCGACTCATCGCGCAGTTACGCGGCCCGAGATCTTAAGCTCAAGTATACGCCGGCGACGTGAGGTATCTCCCTCCAGGCCTGTCAGCTTCGCGGTTCTCCATCAGGATAGCCATGACATATCCTTGTTGACCTCACAGTGTTCACACTGGCCAGCACGTTGACAGAGTCCATTGATCCGCGGTGAATGGCTCGTGCGGTGGACATGACCAGAAAGACGAACGCTTCACTCGTCTCACCGCTTCCACGTTCATTTGCACCGCGGTACGAGTACAAGCACTTCCCACATGGGCCGTGCACGTCCTGGGCCGTATGACACGGAGCATGGATGCCACGTCAGGCCGGAACTCGCTGCCCCAAAGGTGAACTGATGCAGCTAGCTGCTCTTCAATCCCGTTGGTCATCGAGTCTGCGGGAGCAATCTTGCGACGCTGCGAAGGTCCGCACGCCAGCGCTGGCATCAAGAAGGAAACCCTAGCAAGTGATTCTCTTAGGCCAGTGACTCGGAAAACCTGAGCATAGAACTGCCAATTACGACAGTAAGTTCTTCTGACATCTCGACGGCCAGCGCATGGCTCATTGATAGCCCTTCGCTTCGCGTTCGTGACAGATCGTTAAATCGTCGGCTTCTCAGGTGCTTGGTCGAGCGCGGCCATTGTATCTTAACTCTCTTAGCTATAGGCCAGGCTGTGCGCAAGGACCCTATCACGCCAACGAGCATGATTTGGACCTGTGTATGCGACTTACTCACATGGTTGTATGTTGATTTACCGTCAAACGTTTTACGCGCTTGATGATCTGGTATGTTGACTGCCCAAATTGCGCTTGCTCTACTAGTTTGACTCATTCTTTGACTGGTGGAGTTGAAGCGGTGCACAAAGTTAGATCGTGCCGTCGAGCGGTGTTCCGGATTTCGGACGCGTGATACGATGTATCCATCGAACCTACTCGTTGCGGTATGTTATCTGCTTCTCGGATCCTGTCAAGGCTGCTGTAGGCCGTCAATATCAGGGGTGCCGGCGCCGATGCTTCACAGGGTTGGACAATTTCTATCACCGTATGATATCTCACGTCACTGTCGTTGCAGATAAAACCAGACCCGACTACGAGGACCTACAGTGGTTTTATCCACCTCTCATCCATATTACGCAAGCACTTTCTGAGGTATTCTCAGCCCAGTATTTCTATCGTACAGCTGGACTAGCTTCGAACTTGACGCGAAGGCCTCCCGGATCATGGGGGGACTAAACGACACGTACGGTGCCGTTTTTGTCGCGATATGCATCTCCGCCGTGTATGGTCAAGCCACTTCCTTCATCATACACACACTCATCATGTTTCTAGGTTGTACGGAGTGACGATTCTGCAAGTGTTCAGCTACTTTCGGGACTACCCTCAAGACAGGTTCTGGGACAAGCTCGGTGTCTGTTGGCTATGGTATGCACCTCAATTTCACTGTAGGGACGCAGCTCACGCCATCGCCGGTGGTAAAACTAGGGTTCTGGACTCGCTGCACATCGCATTCTGCATATATGCGATGTATTGGTATCTCGTCATCAATTTCGGCGTCTTCGCTGAGCTTGCGGTGATTCACTGGAGTTTCGAGGTTTGTGATTCCTTCAGGTGGACCCTCAAACTGAGCATTTGGCCAACCCACACTGCGATAGGCAGCGGAGATGCTCAATGTAGGCCATATAATCGATCGCTTTCGACGCGTTGTTGACCATATGTATGCCAGACGATCGTGATATTCAGCGTCCAGGGGTGAGTTCCTATCTTATGCCGACGAAGGACGATAATTTATAAATGAATAACCTATAAGACTATACATCGTGCGTGTATGGAAACGTGAGCGTGTCCGTTAACGACATGTTCATCATAATTTATACCCTGAACTCTGGGCTAGTGGATGCTGCTGCAGGCGTCATCTGTGGTCGCCGTCAGTTCAGACCTATATCCATCTTGGTTGTGAGTCTGGACGCTACATAGCCGTATGCATTCGATAGCTGACTTCCACCATACCATAACAGGGGGTCGCTCTGTGTGTCGCACTAGGTGAGTGTGGGCTTATCGACCCGTGACGCATGTATACCAAACACGATTATCTGCCTGCAGCTACAGCATTGGGTGCGTGTTCATAGCGATCGCCATCGTTGGGTATATCTGAAGCTATCAAATTAAGAATGTTGTTACGAAATGTGAGTCGCATAATGACCGTTGCTTGCTGTTCACTCAACGTACGTTGCAGTTCGAGGCTGAAGACATTCGCATCGGGCCTTGAGCCTGATCATCTGGCAAGTATTCCTTCCAAGACTAGGTGATATAAGTATCTCACTATCTTCCCGAACCCAGTGGATCATGTACTACTCCCTATCAGCTGCAAGCTGTATTGACATTGTTGTCGCCGCCTCGCTTTGCTATCTACTGTCGAAGTGCCGGACGGGCTTTCGCAAGTGAGCTTCTTTACTTCTGCGATCATTTCCGGAGTAAGCTTTATAGCCATTGTCTAACTTGGCGCGGCACAGCACAGACTCACTGGTAAAGTGCCTGATGTTCTATACAATCAATACGGGGCTCGTCACAAGGTGTGTACTGTGTAATGACACCCACTTAACGTCTTACGACCTGTCTACATAGCATGTGCTCTCTTGGTGCCGTCATCATGGTGCGCTTTACAGTTACGCGCATGCAACATACTTTTGATAAAGGACAATCTCCTCAGCTTGCCGTGCTTCCTACAACGTACCTCACGGTGGCGATTCAATTACTGCAAGTCAAACGTATGTACACCGACTATGTAACCCTTGTTCTTGCCAAGTTAATTTCGCACATAGTATACGTCAACTCCTATCTTGCCATGCGAGTGAAATTCACTATTGAATCTCGTATATTGCGCATTGACCAGAACATAGGCTCAATGCTCGCTGTTCGCTGCGTAGGCAGAGGGACGATTCGCCGGGGTATAGTATCAGCCTACCGCGTAGTATGGTGTTCCATTCACCACTCATCGCTGGCGAAATGAGTCGAGCAACGTCGACGGCTGACCCTGGCGCCACCATACGATGGAGCAACACGCGGACTGGATGCGGAAGGGTGTCTGGGGAAGTCGACCTTAGTCGCCATGTACATGACAGCGCTCATGGCGCCTACAAAAGTACAGCGTTGTCCCGGTCCGACAAGTCTCTAGTCACGTCATTGGACATTTTACCGGACTCTCCTTCGCAACTTCGAAACTCCCGCCTTTCTATTGACGCAGACCGCAATGCTACCGAAGCTCGACGGCCAGCTGTGCGTAGGCCTTCTCCGACGTTCGCTCGGAGGACGTCAGTTGTTTTCCTTTAGCAGGGTGCTGATGTTTGATTCACAGATCAACGAAGTCTGATGACGTCGTGGTGTACGGGATTCAAGCCGTAGACTACTCAAACCAAGGGTTACGCAGACTTTCGGACAGATAGGTACTATGTAGCGCGATGCTTGTATGTAGGATGTGTAAGCCCCGTGGCTGAATAGGCGTTGACATCGGGGATGATTGACCTGCTTGTATATATGAAGTATCTGCGTGGTTGTTGTGTCACGTCAAAATCTGCTGAAGAGGTGCTACTCACAGACATACTTAGTGGTCAGTGAATCCGGTTGCATTACCGCCGACGATGTAGAGTCCGTAGGGAGTATACAGTACACATGAACATGATCGTAGCATATCGACAGCGAGATAGCAAGAAATAGTGATAGAGGCGACGAGAGAGCAGCACCGGGGATACAATATGAAGCAGGGAGTATCTGATTATATTAACGAAGCGAAAACACTTTGTACCCACGCATTACTCTCAATCCGAGGTTGGAAGCGCTCGTAGCACTTCTTGAGTTCCGCCAATTGTGCAGCCGCATTGGAATCATCGTCATCATCGGCCATGACGATATCTTCACCGTCATCCCGGGACGTGCTGGCGGCCCATGTTCGAAGCAACTCCTCAATGATCTTGGTGCCTTCCTCCACGACCTCAGCGGGCAGTTCGGGCTCTCCGTGCTTGTCTTCTGTCGGCCAGGTCGATGGTAAGCAGCGCGGTGCAGTTGAGTACATCGTACATACCAGTATTGAAGTCCTCCAACTCATCCGCCTTCCGTTTCGCGAGCTGGGAGGGCATATGAGCAGGCCTCTAGGCCATCTGTGAGTTCAGCCACGTACCTTAACGACATTCTCTGGAAAGTTCGCGAGCTCAGCGACGTGAATACCGAAGCTTTGGTCGCAGACACCTAACCGCAACGATGAGAACGAGGCAGCACGAACCGAGGTGTCATATATCGTACCGGGTTTAACTTGGTACAGCAATGTAATATCGCGATCTCGGGTCCCTTCGTCTGCCTTCGAGACGTGAGCGACTACATGGAGGTTCTTGACGTGGGGTATTTGCTGGTCTAGGGCGGTGAGCTCATGGAAGTGGGTAGCGAACAAGCAAAATGCATGTATCTCGGACGCGATGTGTCTATGGATGGTCAGCGCCGCACTAAGGCAATTGAAAATGTGACGTACTCTGAGATAGCCCATGCAAGACCAAAGCCATCGTACGTTGAGGTACCTGTGAAAACCATGATTTCATCCATGGCCACTTGTAGTCTGTAACCAGAGCGTACCTCGACCCAGCTCGTCGATGATAATCAAGGAATCCTTCGACGCAGACTATCAAGGCACGATGTCAGAAAAACCGACTAGGCAGTGTGAACATACGAACCCGAAGGATTGTAGCAGTCTCAAGCATTTCTGCCATGAACGTTGAGATACCCTTGAGCTGACTATCGCCCGCTCCCACTCGGCAGAGGATGGAGTCAAAGACAGGTATGCTGGCCTCTGAGCACGGCACGAAGCAGCCGGTCTGTGCCATGAGGGCAATCAACCCGGCCTGCAGAGCGATATGAGATGTGGTGCTGCAGCTAGTCAGCAGGTCGCGCCGTACCTGTCGGATGTATGTGCTCTTGCCGCCCATGTTAGGTCCGGCTATGTACTAGTCAGTACTCTGCGGCGAAGCGGAGGTTCAGGGACGTACTAATGATCTGGAACTCGCTCTCATCTTGTGAACGGACGATGATGAGCGGAACGCAATGCAGTTAGTGAAGAAGGTAACAGCTCACTCTTGATCATCTCGATATCATTCGGGATAAAACTCATATCATCCTGAACCTCGAGGCATGGATGCCGAGCGTCTTTGAGGACCAGACTACCAGCTCCTTCATCGTACGATCAGCCTGCTATCCCCAAAGCCCCTTTCCACGGACTAGACTCACCTTTTTCTTGCATCGTCGGCTTCACGTACGCCTCCGGAGCATTGACCGCCACGTGTGCAAAGCTGCATGCCTTCAGCGTCAACCGTACCCCATACGGCAGCGAAAACGCCTCACCTCACGATCACATCCAGATGCGCAAGTACGTTGTTCCACGACTCCAGCACGGGAGCATATGTCGCTGCACATAATCAGCCAGTCACCCTCCAGCCCACCAGCGGATGAACTCACACGCAATGTTGACGACCTCCTTGACGAGCCCGCTTTGCGTCTTCTGGTACTGCTCCGTCGTTTCCTGATACTCGGTCGCAAGCTCCTTCAGCGCCTTCGACGTGAAGAAGACGCCGCCCTTCGTGACGCCCAGCTCAAAGTACCCCTTGTTGCCCGTGACCACTTTCGAATCCTACACACCCAAGTACGCTCAACCCGTCCATCTTCCATCCAAGGAGAGCGAGACTACTCACGCCTTTCGGCACCCGGAAGACATACCCATAGACCTGCGAGTTCTCCAGGTGCAGCTTCTTATCGAGGTTGAGCCCGAGATCACGCCCCGCCTTCTTGTGCTGCTCGTCGAGGCCGTCGCGTACATCCTTCAACTTTTCTGCGAGCGCCTGCAGCCGCGCGTCGTAGTCGGGCTTGATGACGAAGTTGTGGTTCTCGAGCTCGTCGAGGTCGAGCGTCTGCTCGACCATCTCCGCGTACTTTGACAGGCTGTCATTAAACTCCTAGAGAAGACGTGAGGCGCAGCACGGGTCTGAATTCATGCGGAGCTTTACCTTCAGCTTGGTGAGGTAGGTCTCTTCGAGAAGCGTCTTATACTCGTCGTTCGACGTGTCGACGCTCTCGAGGGTGGTGATGAAGCCTTCCAGCTGTGGAGAGATCACCGACGTGTTAGTTTCCCATAGGAGCGGAACAGCGGACAAAGCATCACCTTCAGGATAGCCTGATATATTCGTACCACGTCTTCTAGAGAGGCCACAGACTTCTGGAACCTCTTGCATATACGATGCATATCCGGCATCATCTTCAGGTAGTCATCCTGTACGAGATGCGTTCAATCGAGGTGCATAGGAACACGATGAACGACCCACGTACCTGTAGGATCCTGCGTGCATTGGCGTCATCGATGAAGGACTCGACCAGGTTCTGTCTCTTCCCTACACTCGTCGCAAGACATTCTCAGCATGAGTCTCGCGGAACATCTCAAAGCTGTACGTACGAATTTCATGCAAGTTGACAAGCGGCTGCTTCAACCAGCTTCCCAACAGCCTCGACCCCTGGGCGGTCTTGCACTTATTGAGCAGCCCAAACAGCGTCGTGTTCTTGTTCGAGCCCTACGTATCCTCGTCAGCCCCCCACGTCCATACTGGACCACAATCACAATGGCCCTCACAATGTTTCCGGGAGCCTCAGTGAGGTTGAGCGCACGCAGCGCGCTCGCGTCGAGCCGCATGAACTGGGACAAGTCGTGTATGCGGATGCTGAACGTGCCGTGGTTCGATGGGTCAGAGAGAAGGGAGAGGTATGAGACGAGGGCGGATAGGGCGGAGGGCGCGGCGGGGAGCGAGAGCTCGGCTGCCAGCGATATGTTAGGATTATTGTTAGGTTGAAGAAGGTATATGCGCACGTATGACAACCCCTGCGTCGGCGCTTGACGTCGAAGGCATGGAGCTCGGGCTGAGCAGACGGACCATGTCCTCCTTGATGTTCTTCGCAGTAAAGTCGCCTATAGGGCGTTCAAGTTGACCTTTCTGTTACACTTGGAGAGAGCCTTAGCTTACTGGGTTTCCGTTCTGTAATGACCACCCCACAGCGGTCCAACACCTCCTTCAGCTTCTTTAGCTCAAAGTCTCGCTCTGAATTGTTTTTGATCGTCCCTGTTGGTATCAACGCCTCCTTGACCGAGAGCTGGATGATCAGTGTCTGCACAACATAACCAATTCATCAGAGAGACACCCTCATGCAGCATATACCTGCATACCTCGACGTTTGAGTAGAGGTCATTGTCCACGAAGTCAGCGACACCGATCTCGCGCGTACTTGTGTCTGCGTACGCAATGCCGATCGTTTTGGTCCGTGCCTTGGATGGCTCGCCCTGAGCCATAGGTGAGGACGTGATTTTGATGGCCATAACGATGGGCGCGGAGAGGATGTCGGTGTTCACGAACAACAGGTCCTCAACTGCCTGCAGGTTCCCTGGTGACGCCTACAAGCGAGATAAGTCCACATACATAGCACCCAGCAGCTTCATCAGAGCACTCACCTCCTTGTCCAGCTTGAACTTCGTCGCCTTCTTCCCCTGGCCCGCCTCCGGCGCCCAAATCTCCACCTTCAGCTGCCTCGCCGTGAGCGCCTCCCTTAAGAACGACTTCGCCTGCCCTTCATTAAGTGTCACGCTCGGGAGGCCGTGCTTCCCGCCGGGTCCCAGGTACTTCAGGACGGTGTTCGTCCGGAAGAGATGCGTCGCCACGTAGAGCGCGTCGGGCCCGTGGGCGGAGTACCACTCGCCGCGGAAGAAGAGGCGCAGTGTGCCGTTCTCGGGCGACTTCGGTGGGAGCTTGGCAAAGAATGAAATAAATCCGGGGTGCGAGGAATTGTCTGCGCGGATGTGAGGATTGCTGCAATGCTGGCGTGTGGTATGGCGCGAGCGTAGGCTCACCTATCTCATGGTCCGCGTCTTTCTCCTTCCCGTACATCAACGACATTCTGAACGACCCAAACAAAAAATTGGGGACAGAAATTGAAATAATCTCTCAACAAAGCAGTTGTGCTGGCGTAGCAGTCGTGAATACCGTCGACAATGAGGTGCACGCGCGCGTTGGGAGTCGCGTCGACGCGTCTCGAGCGCCTGAGCGCGTCGTGGACGCGTCGCGGTTTCGGACTCCGCTCAAAGGCAGTTTTCCTCGCGCTGACGCGACAATCTCTTCTCGACCGTTCACCACCTTCTGGCTGCTTGCTCAACGAGCTATCCATCTAATTCTCGACGCCACACCCTTCAAGACAGCTTCTACGAACCCTTGGTACCTGTCATTGCGGGATGGAACAGGACGAAGGGCACGCAGGATGTGTCCCTATGCAGATTCGCTCAGTCACCCATCTTCCGTGTCCTCGCTTCCGTCTACCATGTTACACAGACCCTCAAGAAAGAATGGGATATATACTTAGTACATAACAGCACCATTGTGTACAGGCGCAGCGGCTTTCCTCACCGCAGCCTCTGAAGTGGTTTTACGGTGCAAGAGCGACGTGTACGCTCGTCGTACTTCTCCCTTTATTACTCTCGCGCCTCTCTACCATGGTGTAGGAGTTTGTCACGGGAGATACATCCCACATCCCATTCTCATATCATAGTATGTTGCAGTAATCCAATGAATGTCAAGTGCCAGTACTAGAGTAATGCTCTAGTCTCGTATGAATTCTTCACTCTGACGCCGGTGAGAGCCTGAGGGCGTAATACGCGCGTCAATTGCAACAGTCTGGAGGGGCACAGATAGATTACATCCATTGTCAACAGTCAAGGGCCATTGTGAACGGCGGGGAGGATATACAGGTCCAAAAAAAAGGGTTATCCAACAAAGTTCGAGGCAAGTATTAACCACGCGTTTAATGCACGTACGCACCGCCGGTAGCACCGTAGTTCGGGCCACCCGGAGGTACGCCGCCTGGCTGGGCGTAGAGAGGCTCGTACTGGCCACTTCCGACGTCTGTTATACCCGTCAGTGAGCGAACGGACCTTGGGGAATGGGACATAGACGTACAGCGGAAGCCACCCCGACCATAACGCTCCTCAGCCTGCATCTTCTTGTAGATCAGCCAGAAGGCGTGCTACAGCAGAACACAGAGAGTCAACACAACGAGGAGAAGGCGTCAGGAAGACCGAAGACTCACGATGTGACCAGGGAGATATCCAAGACTAAAAGTCTGGTCAGCCCAGGCGCTGCAACACGGAACACAGCCATACTCACATTGTCAAGCAAATGTTGATGAGCAGGTCGCAGCTGCAACCCGTAATCATCGCTGCCGCGGCAGGGGGGAAGATGATAGCAATCTACCACAAAGGCAGTCCCGCCGTCAGCACCTCCAAGGCTCCCCAGCCGACCCTCCGCAAGACCATACTCACCAGTATCAAGCAAATGTCGGAGCCGCGAATAGCCATCGTGAACTTGGATTGGATGTAAATTTGGGTTCGGACTGAGAGCGAGTAGGTGAGTGGTGCCGTGCGAGAGAGGGAGCTGAACGCAGGTAGAGGGCGGTCAGCTTAAGTACAGCCGCGAGCTTGAACGCAGCTGCGGCTTGCGGCAGGGGCGTGTGACGTAGGGCGGAGCTATGGAGGATCGAATTGACTGGGTCACCGTGTGAGTCTGAATCGATTCGATGTAGATGGGCGCCTCTCACCTCTACCCCTACACTCATCTTCTAAATAAGTTACTGGATGACATGACATTGACAGTCGGGACTGACCGCCTGCAGTATCTTATTTGAAGAAAAGCCCATCTTTGAATCATACAGATGATGTGCCATGATGAGTAGCTTGTCGTATGATCGCAAAGCCAAATACTTGTTGGAATTCGCACGTTCGTCTCGGATTCAACGTTCAATTCGCGAGGCACCGTATCCGCCAACCTTCAATGTTCATCGATGTCCAGGTCATATACTCAAAACTACGTCCCATGGCTTAGGTCCTCACGCGACACATATTCTCGTGCTGACTGAAGTTGTCCTGAAGTTGGCTCTCAAAATACATCGCGCGCAGAACGACCGCCGTCCCGCGGCCCGGGACTGACATCAGAAGGTTCGTTTCTGCGTCACTTGATTGCGTCCCGGAGACATCTTACTCTCAGACCTCCAGAAAACGATTGGTCCAGCTCACTATGAGTGACACGCTCCTATGCTACGCCTCGTATAAATGTCGGTTGCTCTGAGCTCGACAGCTGTCGCCTCCTGTAGTCCGTCGCGGCTTTGTATCAAAAATGGCGTTGAAGAGCTGGATGTCTGTGCTCTGCTCGTTCGTACTAGCCCTATATATGTCTGCAACACTCACCGTTGCCCTGTCGTTCGACCGCGCGACATGCCAGTACCCAACGGACGACCCGCTCGAAGGCTGTCCATCCGGCACGCTCCTTGTCGGGCCCTCCGGCAACTTCAGCACCATTCAATCCGCGGTGCTCAGCCTCCCGAACGACACTACGCCGTACATCATCCTCGTCGAACCGGGCAACTATACGGAGCAAGTGAACGTCACGCGGCCAGGCCCGCTCTACCTGCTTGGCCAGACGCTCTCGCCGAATGACCGCACACAGAACACCGTCGCGGTGTACTGGGCGGCCATTGCGGGTACAGGCGACAACGCGTACACGAGCACGCTCACGGTCGCGCCGACGCTGAACGCTAGCTTGACGGGCTCGGGGCCGACGGGGAACCCTGTACCGCCTGGGACGCCCTTTGGAAACACGGACTTCAGGGTGTACAATGTGGACTTTGTCAATGACTATGCGCCGTATTCGGATGACCCGAGCCTGGCTGTGAGCGTCAGCTACGCGAACACTGGGTTCTACTACAGCGGGTTCTACAGCTACCAGGACACCGTAAGGCGCTTCGTGGATTCGTGACATGCAATCAGCACTCACCCCTCACCTTCAGGTCTATATTGGGAAGCTCGGAAACGCCTACTTCTACGACAGCGAGGTTGCCGGCCAGACAGACTTCTTCTATGGCTTCGGCACCGCCTGGGTCCAGTCGTCTCTCGTAACACTGCGCGGCTGCGGAGGAGGCGTCACCGCGTGGAAGGGCACCAACACGACCTTCGAGAACAAATATGGCATCTACATCCACGACTCTGCCGTCATAAAAGCCAACAACAGCCTGAGCATCGCAGGCCAATGTGCGCTTGGCCGGCCTTGGGTGCGTCTTCCTCCCGTTTGCGCCCATATCTGCTGACAGCTTCTGCACGCGCCGCAGAACGCGCAGATGCGCGCGATCTTCGCGAACAGCTACCTCGACGACAGCATCCGGCCGGCTGGGTACATCGAGTGGCAGGACACGGACCCGCGGATCGACTATAACACAACGATGGCGGAGTTCTATGACGCCGGGCCCGGGTTCAACCTCACCGGGCGGATGGAGGGCGGCGTGACGACGCTGCTGACCCTGGAGGAGTACGCGCCGTATGCGACCGTCGAGCAGGTGTTCCAGTACCCGTTCAGTGGGGAGTTCGGGAACGTGGGGTGGATCGACTACGCGCCCTGGAGTTAGGGACGAGAGCTGGCAGGTCTGTAGCCTAACACCTCGTACCCATTGCGAAGCTATATGGAAACAAGTGTTTTCGGACGTGACAGTCATACACGCTTGTCACAAAGTGATGATCGTGACGCTCAGTCGAGATTATAGAATACTCAACGTTCTTGTCCCACAGGCAAAAGCCTTACCCTACACGTTCGGCATCCTTGCTGCTCAGATTATCCACTGCCAGACGAAATGTACGTAACCAATGTTCCATGCTCCCATTGACTCAACGAAAGGGCTCATTGGGCCGTGCACCAGTATACGTCAACTTCTACCTAGCCTTATGAGTCAGACCCGAGCACGGCTGTGACCTACCAAGACACTGGCCTTACTTCTGCTCACAGGGCCAACGTCCGCAGCTCGCTCCGCCTACAGAACAACCGACGAGCGGCCTTAAACGGATACATGCTGCGCCCCGTCGGTCCCTCTTCGCAGCGCTCAGACGACATAGTTGCCATCAGGAAGGACCCGCTCTTCCCCGAAGAGAGCTACGCCGGAGGACCCAGCACGCTCATCGAGCTGTCACCGAACGCTCGTGCGAGTAGTGCGTCCTACGTCGGTGAGAAGATGGCGATGACAGAGGAACCGTGAAGCTGCACCCGCTGCTAGCTTTGAAGCTTGCTCGGTCACCTTGTACGGATGCAGACACGGAGGAAGCTCCACTGCATTGCATACGACGCAATGATTCGATGATTGAACGGAGTTTTTGTATTGATGTTTGTTCTCATGTAAGATATTGCGACGACCGAACTATGTCTCTCGATGTTGTTCGAATAGCGTTCATTGCACTTCTCGGTCAGACGGACCTATATCAACGATATCTGGAAGCTTCATATCCACCGCGAATCTTCGGGTTGTAGCGGCTCGTCTCCCAGGTGCGACCGACTGACTCCACCAACGTACAACTATGTAACCGACGAGACGCCACACCGGGCCCAATACGCTCTCCGAGCCTCCCGTACGGAGGCGAACGTCCATGTCGCCGCAAGGCTCGACCTGAGCGCGGTCCCTGCGCGGTCTCGCACCAACGCGACACAGCCCAACAGCGAACCGCCGTTGGTGCGACGAACGTCCGAACAGTAAGATCCTCTCGGATAGCGCTGTACATGTAGCAGACAACTTCGGGGCGGCGATTGAGAGGGGAGACCACTGCCAGAATAGCGTATTCGTCTGCAGAGCGGCGAGCCATGGCTGGACCGTAGCCCACTGTTCAAGCCAAAACGCCGTACCTAAAAACAGCCTAGCCAGTAGCGAACATCTGAACAACGTACCATTTGGCAAGAACTTGGTGGGGCGGGCGTACCTGGCCACTACTGACGTTACTAGCAGAGAATATGCACCAATTCGAAGAACAATGTGCGTGCATGCTCAGCATTGTTTGTCTCGAAGGGAGACACGGTCTTGAGCCCGTGTATAGCGGAATTGGAGCAGGTCCATGGCGGGTTACATCAAATGCACATTATATAGTTGGCGGCGCTGCCATGTGAAGCCTCTAGTGATGTGCCTCTTTCTCCGCGTCCTCGACGAACTTCTTGATGCTGTTCATCCTGATCAGTTGGAGAAAGTCCGTTCAGCTCAGGAAATAATGTACGAAGACTCACAACTGCTCCTCCTCGCTGTATGACGCAGAAGCGCTACACGTGAGCCCATACGTAGTAGAGCGAGACGTAAGCTACGCACCTCGAGCCCGCGTTGAACTTCACAGTCTCCTTCACGGCCTCGATGGGCGACTTTCCTGTGCTCGGGGGAGCCGCCTCCTTCTTACCACCTGTCGACAGCAAGCCAATGCCGACCGCGGTCGCGATGGTGCCAAGGGCGAGGTATTCGTTTTTGATGGCTCTGCCAAGGATGACGCTGTAGGTGCTGTTAGGAATCTGCTCAGATACTTTAGGCAGCAGGACGCACTAGGACATGGTGGCTTTGAAATCGGGCGGAGGAGGCTGCTGGACGAAGAGGACAGCAAGGACGACTCCGGCTCGCCCGTCCGGCAACTGCCGACCCGGTTTACCGCGTCGGTGGCTGCGCCTCACCAACGCCTCACCTCTTTAAGCTTCAACTTGATTCTCAACCGCCGTTCGAGCGGGGCTATTCTGAATTCGACTTCCTGGCAGTAATTTGTAACCTCGTCTTCATCACCACAATATAAACCGCTAGTGCCACTGTATCGCGGCATCGTCTGGACTGTGTCAAGTTAAGGGCACGGATCTACCGTAGGTCTTCATACGAATCGGTGAGTTTTTGTGCAAAAGTTTCATGCTTTGCAGTGACTCTGAAGTACAGTACGTAGGTGCCTTCTGTGTGCAGTATGTAATGCTTTGCGCAACCTCACGAAATCGGCGTTTCTGGCCAGCCACGCACAAGGTCCATGTTCGCGTCGTCTTGCCCAAGCGACGAGTAACGACACACGGTCAGAAATGCCGAGGAGAAGCGTTGAACGGTGAACCGTCGCATGATCTGGTCGCACAAGCATCGCGGTTGTGCCCATGTGCTAGGTACTTGTTGAAGTTGGGAACTGACTGACCGCAGTGCACTGGCCAAGCTTTCGCGTCGCAATCTTCCTAGTTCCACAATGGTTGAATATGCGCTAGATGTAGGGGTGACTCGGAAACGGTAAGAAGACTCTTCCTCCAGGCTCAGGCGGGTATGCCGTCGCGATGGTAGTTCGGACCGCCGCCGTTGTGTATCCAACGCTCCCACGCGGCAGGCCCGAAAGTTTAGGGTGCCTGACACTCTTGGCGGTTCAAATTAATCTTGCTCGCTCCGGTTCCTTGCGTGCCACATCACAAGCGACGGCAGCCCATTACAGATCAATCCCGACTTTGCCTTTTCAGTTGTTCGGCCCCAGTGCAACGGTACGAATGCGTCCAGGACGCTAGTGTTAAGTGTGCTTACCTCGATGTTGTCAGACATGAGGCCTGAAGGCCTGACGATCTGTTTATGCCAGGTAAGTAACAGGCTTTCCCTTGTCCAGCGCTGTGCAGCGATCGATGAACACAAGCTCGAAAGAGTTCATGTCGTCTTCGCGTGGGGTAGCGCGGTTTCGGAGCGGCTAGTCCATGTCAAGACGTTTGCTGTGTCGCCTCCGTCGCAAACGGGCAGGATATGCCGCTCGAGGCCAGCCGCCCTGGCTGTCTTTTGACAGGCCTCGATCACACGCGAGCGTCGGCATTGCCACAGCCGGTACCCTCAGCCCTCCTGTCTGGTGAAACCGAGGGGAAGAATCGTGCTGCTGGAGTTGCTCCTCATGCATCCACTTCTTCTCGCCCGCGAATACGGGTCATCGGGCCACATCGTCGTATCAGCGCCCGCGCGACACAATTCGCTCGGAGCGGCGTGTTGTGGGCGCCACGTGAGTGTGCATGAGGCGACCATACTGCCCGCTCCGAAGCTAGGCCTGACGGGAGCGGACCTCATGGGCTGGAGATTGGAGGCGAGATGCGTATGCTGTCGGAGACAAACACCCAGCTTGGCATCTGTCCAACCCCGGTCTGTTTGCGCCGCCATGGGCCTGCTGTACACGGGCGCGTCTCGGGCCTTAGCAGGGCCTTAAGCTCAGTCTTAACGCGCCGTGTGTTTCCGTTCCTCCTTCCTCTCGTCCTGTTCGTACTCTGCCTTGTTGCAGCCCGAGGTCTCCGCCGTACCGCGTGTACCGGGCAGTCCCTTCATTTCGTTTGCCCGTCATGGTCCTACACCGCCAAGTCCTCTGTGCTACAATGCTCTCCTTGGCCAGCGCCGCACTGGGATACGAGCTCATCCATGACTACTCAGGGAATACGTTCTTCGACGGTTGGGACTACTATGGCAAGTGGGACAACCTGACCCTAGGTAAGCGCACAACACATTACGAATCGACATACATCTGAGACTGATGGGATCCAGGAAACGTCACCTACCTGACACAGGAGGCTGCGACGCAGCAAAAGCTCACTTACGTAAACGACGCTGGAAATGCGATCATCAAGGTAGACAACTTCACCACGGTTGCGTCCGGTGAACGGCGCAACTCGGTACGTTGACAATTCAACGGATTCCGTCCTCTCGCTCACTCTTCGTTTCACCAGATCCGTCTTACGTCCCAGGAGTACTATGACTTCGGTACCGTATGGATCATTGACGCCCTCCACATGCCGTGGGGGTGCTCCGTCTGGCCTGCTTTCTGGAGTACGGCACCCGACTGGCCGGTTGGTGGCGAGATTGGTGAAATGCAACTCCCCCTACGCGATCGCAGCATTAATTGACAGCCCGCGCTACAGACATTGTTGAGGGTATCAACACCCAGCCCAACAACCAATTCGCTATCCACACGACCGAGGGTTGCTATCACGACAACCCGCCAAATCAGGCGGGGTTCAACATCGACACGAACTGTAGCCAGGCGTCAGGATGCACTGTAGGCATCAATACCCAGAACAGCTACCAGGCCGGGTTCGCTGCAGCCGGAGGCGGTGTGTATGCCACACAGTACGACACCTCCGGTATCTAGTGAGTTCTTACGGTCAGACACCTGGAGAGGCGCACGGCTGACAAATTGCGCACTAGCATGTGGTTCTGGAGCGTGAGTTCATTGAGTGTCGTTTAGTGTTGTATACGATGGCGCTGAGCGGTCTTCATCTCCCAGCGGCCGAATGTGCCTGCCTCGCTCAGCAGCTCCTCGACGTCGATCAATATCTCTGATTGGGGCACTCCGACTGCCAGTTTCCCGAACGACCAGGCGTGCAACACGACGAAATTCTTCAAGCCCCAGCAGCTCATTTTTGACATCACGCTGTGTGGCGACTGGTGAGCGCCGATCGTCCCATTATAGCCTTTGCAAGTCCTCATGATCGAATTCTCGTGCCTAGGGCGGGCGTCCCGGGTATTTACGACTCAGAGTGCTATAACGCGGGACCGCACCACGACTGCGTGAGTCCCGATCATACGTTCCACCGGATCCGCAGAAACAGCACTCACAAGTGGTTGATATTTGCAGTATTTGGATAACGTCGTGGGGAACGGCAGCAACTACGACGACGCCTACTTCGAGGTCTCCTACGTACGCACGTACGCCACCGGAGCCGCGCTCGCCGCCGCACAGGCGAGCAAGACCGCGACGACTTCGTCCACGGCGTCGACCTCCTCCGCAACGCAGTCGCATACGCAGACGTCCGACGCCTCCCTGCCGCGCGTCAGCCTGCACGGTGTACTATTCATGTCGATGTGCGTCGCAGGCCTCATCGCCGGGAGCGTGCTGCCGTTGCTCTGAGCCTGCCTGTGAGGATTGGCGGCTATGTATACATCCCACCCAGGACCTTATTGGACTTCTCTCTCTCTTGATCGGTGTTCTGCGTGTGTATTTACACCCTCGACCTCCATGCTGATGACCCGCCGATGACCGCCGACTCTGCACGCTCGCTCCGTAATTTTATTGCTTTACTGTACTTGGCTTCTCACATGGACTTTTGCTTGGATGACCTGGTGTGTCACTCGTGGACTGTCTGGTGTATTCCCCTTATAATGTGTCGTGTTGGGTTTGGGTGTTTTCGAACAATGCTGTTGTATTGGGCAGAAGTCCCGCTGTCATTCGTTTCCGATGCACGCGGACACCAGTGTGGTTTGAGCGTCAGGTAGGGCTCTCGTGTCGTCCTCGTGTAGCGGCGTGCTACAGAGTGAGTCGCATAGCAATCGCCTCATATCACCGCCGCTGCGAGTGTAAGTGGAAGCTTTCACCGTGCTGCTTCAACTCGCCATCCGCCGTGCATCGTGCACTTTTATTCCCATCTCCTCCAGAAGGCGGTTCGTGGTATCCCACAGCTCCCGCGCCAACGCAGGATTCCGTGCGTCTGCATGCGGAGGCGCTCCGATGCGACCAGGGGCCTGCAGATATGCGCCCTTGTAGCGCTCCATCTGTGCGCGTACAACCGGCGCAGCCGCGGCGAACACAGAAGTGAAAGCGCCGCGCGCGGGCGGTGTCCACAGCGCGCGGATGAGCAGGGACATGACGTGAGAGACACCGGGCGGTTGCGATGCAGCGTCGTTCTCAACGCCCTCTGTCAGTGGGCAGGGGTAAGGCGATGAATCACAGCGGTAATGAGGGCATGTATGGTCGGTAAGGAAATGAGATGGGGCGCGGTGGATGGAGACGTACCGGTGCGCACTAGGCCTGGGTCTACGGACATGGTGACGATGGGTGTGCCGGCCTCGTTGAAGCGTCGTTGGAGCTCGGTTGTGAAGAGGACGTTCGCGAGCTTGCTGCGGCCTGCCGGGCGAGGTGTTGTCGGTCAGTACAGCTCATGCGAGGATACAAGACGTGAAAGCACAGTATCTGGCGAGGCTAGGACCCGGTATTATGTCCCATTTGTGTTCGTCATTGAAGTCATCCCGATTGCGGAAACGAATCCCCCGTCTGAGGAATGCAATGCCTCCGGATGAAACCTCAAGAAGCACGACAGTCAATCATGGCTGTCCGTTGACCGTATGAACGGATGCTGACGTTCACAATGCGGACATCGCTGCCCGGTTCCGCCGCTGTCTTCGCAAGGAGCGGTAGGAGGGTCATCGTGAAGACGAACGGACCGATGTGACTACGAGCTCTCACCTCAGGACCCAGTTGAAGTAAGAGAGGGCATGCGTACTTGGTCATCATGGCATCCTGAATGTCTAGCAAACCAATGTATACGACTATGAGTACAGTAACGAATTCCGTGGTGTGCACAGCTCACCATGTTGTGCTCTTGTATAAGGACCGCGAGGCCTTCGTAAGACCTAAAGCATCAGCAGGAGTTCCTCCAACGGTGAGCCGCAGGTCGAGCTCACATCGCCGCGTTGTTAACTGGGAATCATCATTACTCATTTCTTGAGCCAACTCGTACTTCCGGCAAACGGTAGCAACAACATACTCAGTATGTCCAGACGATCTTCCTGGGAGAGCAGCTCTTCCGCCGCTGCTCGCGCTACAGAAGGTTCGTTCAGATCGAGCCGTAGCCATATTATTTGCCCATCTCCGGGAGCCAGCCCTTCATCGTGCAGTTTGTCGATGGATGCCCGTGCCTTCGCTTCATCCCGAGCGGCCATGTACACCTTGGCGCCGTGACGGGCAAGGTGTTGTATCGTAGCGTATCCGATGCCTCCACTACAGGTGAAGGCCAATCGTCGTCAGCTATACACAAAGGATGAAGATGCGATGCTCACTTTCCGCCGGTAACGACCACGACTTTCCCGGTCAAAGACGGGAGGTCATCTTGGGGATCGAAAGTGTCCGTAGATCGATACATGAGTCCAAGTGTGTCCATCAAAGCACGTACCGAGGATAGTCTCATCCTTATCAGAAGCCGAGCTGTAAGACCGCGAGCCTGAGAAGATATCTACACTCGAGCTCCGAGTCGGCGGCCGTCACCGACGTGGCTTGCAAGGTCCAGCAAGGATATGCCAAATGGCGCCGGCATTGGTACCAGGCCATACTGATCCCTCAGCGGAGTATTCGACATACAGACCCTACTTGATACTCAGGCTCGTGGTACTGTGAGATCAATGTCGATGTATACATATGACGACGCGGACTGCAAAGGCAAAGTGACATTCGGACAGGACGATCACTGGCACGTTCCGGAGGTGGGTTCACGATCATGTGATCGCATTATCATCGCGTCGCGGTACTGCGTGCGCCTGATTCGCACCACGCTCATCGCACAATCGTAAGCAGAAGACCAGAATCGCCGGGCGCAGGTGGACAGCTTGGAGAACAGACCATACGATGCCAGATCGACAACCCGCGAGCGTCCGATGGACTCCATGGTCGATGTACTGTCCGAGGATACTGCACTGCACCCTGGTACTCACAGTACGTACGTCTCGGCAGGCAAAGTGGACAAAGTCGTCTCTACAAGGTAGGATATATGACAACTGTACTGAGCCCACCACTGCCGCCGGGGTTTCCATGACCAGGAAGGTTTCTGACAAATTTGTTGTCGCTCACACTGGAATGTCAGTCCTGAGAACAATTATGAGTATTTTATATCTCCCGAGTTCTGGAAGACCATGCCGCGGATATATCAACGTTTCGCGCAGGGTCCGAGCTTCAAACTTCAGCCTGAGGTCTATTCGATCAAAACCGTTGAGAGGACTCAAGGAAGATTAGTTGCAATTGGAATTACCAAATCGGTCTAGATAAGCCTTACACTGGTAACTCATGTTATTTTCTTGCGCCAACAACGTACAAAGAATAACGTAACTAATAGTGGCACCCCCTTGTGAGGTAATGATCAACGGGCCTTGTTTCTGAATTGCGCGGAAAAGCGCGTTTGCAGCCTTGTGCACCAACTTGTTCTCCAACCACCATCCTCGCTCCTTCTTACTCTCTTCCCCGCCCGCTTCCCCGCCCACTTCCCAGGAGAAGTCTCGACATTCGCCTTCCCGTGAATTCCCGTATCTCCCCGCTGATCGATATACGAGGCTCTATTTCGCCGACGCCCGCTTGCGCGTCTTCAGACACCAACTCCTCCTATCGGACGACCTGGTCGTTACTCGCATGGTCTCCTCGCAGCCACCACAGCTCTCCAGGCCTACTGAATCGTACGCCGACCGCGCAAAGGGCGCGCAGCCTGCTAAGCCAAAGAATGGCCCTGCTGTCCAACGGTCTCCTCAGCCATCAACCTCGGCGACCGGTGCATCTGGAACTGCCCCAAACACGAAGGTGACCGCTCCCAAACCAATGCCGTCTCCAGGCTCTGAGATGCCTACATCTCCCGCCACACAACCGAGCTCGAGTTCATACGTACCTCCTGCATCGGCCACACCCACCATGAACGGTGACGTAAAATCACCCTCTGCTGACTCGCCACCCTCGGTGCCGCAGAATGAGGCGGCATCTACCTCGTTGACTGCACAAAAGCTCGCGCCTCCTCCTGTGAATGTCTGGAACCGCCGCATGGAACAGATAGTGCAGACCCGAGCGAAATCTGGACCAGTTTCCTCGCAGTTTCCACAGCCATCACCTAGCCCTCAGGACCCTTCTCCTAGTTCCCAAAACACCCCCAAGCCTGCAAGCTCGTCAAGTTCCAAGCTACAGAATGTCACTAATCATGCAACGGCGCCACCTACAATTGTGGCGAACGGCACGAGCAACGGTGGTCACGGAAACGCTGAACACGACGCGTTTGTGGTGCATTCGCGGGTGCGGGCACCTCTTACCGATGATCCTGAAAGCTGGCCGGAGGTCGGAAAAGTTGTGAGTAGTGGGAGTGGGCAGACTGATTCCGAGCAGAACGTGAAGGGGCGAGAGAAGGGAGACAGAGAGAGCGAGCAGGCACCAGGGTCCACACGGAAGAGTGCGTCTCCTCTTTCATAACCTTGTCCGCTCCCCAATTCGTCACCGCTTCTATTTCGCCTTGTGAGGTACCGTCCGGACATCACTGCGCATCGATACTAACCCGCAGACCGCGTTGTCCTTCGCAGGTGAAAAGCCGAAATGGGTACCCATCCCAGCAACCGAGCTACAGGCTGCCGCGGATGCCCAGCAACGAGCACAACATATACGCAACCGCTCTTCGCAACATCTCCATGCGCATTCGCGACCTTCCAATCAGGGGTCCGGCTCGGCGTCGGCGTCTGGATCAGGCTCTCAAGGTCAGAGCCGGACGCAGTCTGTCGCGGGAGGGACGCGCCAGTCCGCGTCGGGCTCGCATGCTGGGTCTGTCTCACAGTCGCAGACGCAGAGCAGGACAGGCAGCACGCAATCCAGCCCTCCTGGCGCATTCGTACGTGGCGGGCGGCGCCTGCCGGAGGAAGGCATGACGTACCCGGTAGGCGCAAGTCGCAGCATCAGCATGCGTTCGTCGCAAACCGGCTCGCCTCAGGCCTTCCAGCCTACGCTCCCGCCGCCTCCTGACGCTGTCCAAGGCGCGATGGGCTACCGCGGCATCCCACCGAGCCTGGGGAGACGAGGCTCCGGTCAAGGCGAGCAAGACCAGCCAGGAATGCCTCCGTATTACGTGCCCATGCCGCCCAGATCTTATCACTCGCCTCATCCCTCCGACTCACCAGCTCACCCTCAGTACGGCTTGCCCCCGATCGCTCCTGTACCAACATTGTATTCCACACCGGGATTGCAGCCGCCGCCTCCGGTGCCTTTCGCCGGGACGCCGCCCTATCCGATGTATTCGCCGTACGGCTATCCGTACCCACCGTATATGTATTGGCAGCATGGCACATCGCCGGTTGCCCCTGAGGGCGTTCCACCGCCCATGATGCTTGGTCGACCTTCTTTGCCGGGGGAGAATGAGGGTTCGACCACGTATCGCGATCCCAGCTTCGTATTGCCTCCGCCTGCAACGTACGAACATCCTGCAGACCAGCAAGTGCAGGCGACCCAGGTTGGGAGTACAAAGAGCAGCGCAGCGCCGGTTGAGAGGGGCCGGAGGACGAGGGAGTTGAGCTTCGGGACGATAGATTCGGATGTTGCAGCAAGTCAGGGTGATGGCGAGGAGCCAGAGGTATTGGAGCTGCGCGTGACCAGCGAGGAACCACAGGAGGGCAATGGCACGACGAAATCAGGAGCACCATTCGCCATAGGTGTCGCGCCAGGTGAGCCGGGACCCGCGCGCATACGATCGCGTACATCTTCCAAGGGACGTACGCTCGTGGTCGGGGATACTGTCCCCGCCGTCGCACGGTCGGTGTCGGGACAGTCGGAACCGTTCGCTCAGCTAAGCGAGGATGCCGCCTCTGGAGTGCGGGGCCCAGTCGAGGAGATCGAGGCGGCTGTGAAGGTGATCGACCTGACGGAGCCCGGGGAGACTAAGTGGGAATTTGGCACGACCATGCAGGCGGAGGCGGAGATCATTGCTGAGGTGGGTCCCAGACACACTCACGTCAACGGTGCAGAGCAGGCTGTACCACCACCTCCCGGTCCTGCGCTGGGCGTGACGGGAATGAACGCCGCCTCGCCGCCCTTCGTCTACCCGTCCACCTACGCGCCACAGCCCGTCTTGCCCCCGATCATGACCACCACGAACGGATTCGCCTCCGCACACTCGCCCTCGTATGCGGGACCATCAGCACTACCGCCTCTATCCACTACCGAGAGCCCGAACGATGACTGGCGCGTCAAGGACTATGGGTACGGCTTTGGGCGGAAGAACTACGCTCCTGCCTCCGCGGGCGGTGAGCGGGAATACTATGGTCGCTCGAGGCGGGGGTCGTTCGGGGGCGGCTATGGGTACGATCGTGGCCATGAGCGGGGTGGGTACGCAGGCCGTAGGGGGCGCGGAGGCGGGCGTGGGTACGAGGGGAGAGGCACCTTCCACGCGAGGACACATTCAAGGGGCGGCAGCGCATACCCCAACGCGCAAGCGCGCCAGCCGCCTTTCGTTGTTCAGCAGCCACCGTCGTTGCAGACTGACCTCAACGGGTACTATGCTCCACCGCCTTCTGGGACGACGTACTACTCTCCTGTGTACGACCCCTATGCCGCAGGCTACCCTGCACCTGCCTATCCACCATTCTTTCAGAACTTGCCTCCCGGCGCACCTTTGCCCATGCCGATTTCGCCGCTATCCTTCCCGCTGGACTCCATTCGGTACTACCTCCTGGGCCAGCTGGAGTACTACCTCAGCCCTGAGAACATGGCGCAGGACTTCTTCCTCCGACAACACGTAAGTACATCGATGGGGACTCGAACCTGATGCTGATGCTGACGCTGATGTTCGCGCAGATGGACTCCCGCGGGTGGATATCGATACCGCTCCTCGCGTCGTTCAAGCGCGTCAAGCAGCTGACGCCGAACCTGCAGCTCGTGAAGGACGTGCTAACGCTATCTACGTTCGTCGAGGTCCGGGACGAGTTCGTGCGCATGCTGCAATGGGCGCAGTATGTGCTTCCCAATGCCCCCGAGAGCGCTGTCGAGGGTGCAGAGCGCCCGGAGGGTGGTGCATCAGAGAAGGCCCCTGCTGAATACATTCCTCCGCATGGCGAGAATTCCCCGGCTGAACACGGTGAGGAGGCCGAAGAGGAAGAGGAAGATGTCGTTTTCGTCCTGGAGCGCCCTGCTGCTGAGGCCTGAGTATCATCTAGATGGACGTGGCTGGGTCGTCGTCTGGGGCTTGGACTCGCAGCTGCGCAATTCACCACGCCGCCGTAGCCTCTCATCGCTATCTTCTGGTCACTGGTATCGCCGACACACACAAGTCGTCGCCTGATTAACATGATCAACGAACAAAACCCGCGCATAACTTCCTGCGCACCACCATTGTTAGACTATGTCGAGATGGGCCGTCGATGGTCGCCGGCCCACCAGCAAGAGCATCAAGACTCCACCTCGGACTTCCCCCTCGTCTCTCGTTCACTCTCTACCCGGTCTGCTATCGGTACTGTGACAAACTATCGCACGAGCCTCGAATGTCAATGTTCTCATCGCATACACAACGCATATCCACCGCTACGCTAAGCTATCTCCGTCTCTTCTTGGGCACCCCGTATATTCTCCATGTCCTGTCATGTCGCGCGTACGTGTATTCTCTGATACTGTGCCCACCATCTTGTCCACGATCGTTCCCCGGTATTATTACTATCCCCTCCTGTGCATAATCATCCCTGTGTTTTTCTATTACGGGCTTCCGGTCCAGGCCAATCGAGCGTCTTGCTGAGATGACAGCCCGAGTCGCCCGCATTTGAGTTGTTGACCGGGTGCAACCTGGCTCCCGGCCGCCGGTACGTACTTCGGTGGCTGGGAGCTCACATACACAGATTGGGCTGTCGTGTGCTTTGTATCAACTTCGTGCGCCACGGAGGTGTGCTGTTCCACACCTTGACGACCAGCTGCCAGTGACGGCCACCATGCAATTGACCTGGATGGCCGGAGCGGGCGCTCGGGTGGTCTTTTTGATTGCTCCTGCAGAAGGTTCAAAAAAGCAAATTCGAGTATGCATGCCTTCCCGCCTGCTGAGAACAAGCTCCGGGGTGGACGTATCATATGTTCGCCAGTGTATGTACTGGGCAAGGTGGCTGCACACCGGTCTGCACCGGTACCACACAGTGGTGTGCATGTGGGCAAGCACCGATCGTCCGTGGGCGGTGGTACATTCCACTGATCCTGTGCAATCATCCAGGGGCTGATCAGGACTTAGTTCCATGCTGCTTGTCATTCTACCAGCCTCTACTTTAAGTGTACAGCCGGGTCCGCTATCAAGCCTCGTACCAAGTCGACTGAGTGGACCGCGGGTGGCAACAAGGGCAGCATGCGCCTGTGACATAACGAAGATTAACACAACGCGCTGAGCGCTGAGTTGCAATCACCGACTCCGGATTGAGTTCACTGTTTAGCAGCCGTGGCGGTCGCGATGCGATAGTGGTTCACCACTCCGACTGTCATGGTGGGGGCACTGGCACTGGCCAAATAAGACTGCCGCCCGCCCTCCTCCTTTGTGGTCTCTAGCAATGATTATAACATGGCGAATGGATCATATAAAGCGGGTAGTACTTACTGTATTTGCAAACACCAGCGGCCACCATATCGCCGCGAGGCTTGATCTCCATGCGTGGATCTTACTCTTCGATCTGGAGAGATGTCCAGATGATGCACATAACCGCCGACAAGTTCGGAATAAAGCTCTCTATCCGCATGCGCCAGCCTCTCGCAGTCCACCTCTCCCGGGCCCAGCAGATGCCCGCGCTCTTGTCCCGTTCATGCGTTGGTCCAAGCCCGCCACCCCCACGACACCAGAGACATGGCCCCCTCATCCTCCACCGGGCGAGACGGAGCTCGAGCGCGCCGTGCGGGTCGAGGAAGAGAAGGAGGCTAAGCGAACGTCGGACGCAATCGACAGGGAGCTAGAGCTGGAGCGGGTAGAGCAGCGGAAGCACAGGCATTCCACGAGGGTGTTACTGCTCGGTCAGTGTCCCCCTCGCCCCCTACTTACGTGCGACGCGAGCTGAGCGGCGATGCGGACTGCCAGGCCAGGCCGAGTCGGGCAAGTCGACGATGCTGAAGAACTTCCAGCTGCACTTCGCACCTGAGGCCTTCCACGCCGAGTCCGAGGCGTGGCGCGCAGTCATTCATCTCAATCTCATCAGATCCGTCAACTTCATTCTCGACCTCCTGCCCGGCGGCCCGTCGTCGACCCTCTCGGAGCTGCGCCACTCACGTAGCTTCTCCGGAAACACGCTGGGTGATGCTGACAGCCTCTTACGGCATTTCCGAGTGCGACTGTCGCCTCTGCGTCAGGTCGAGCTCATCCTAGTGCAGCGGTTGAGTGCCGACGATCCGGCGCGCACAGCGGTCAACGTCGAGGAGGCCACGCCATGGTACTATGGGCGAGCTTCAGAAGTCTCCATTCGCGGAGGGTCTGGATGGAAGGCGCTCCTGCGCCGGAAGTGGAACTCACAGATGGGAGCCCGTCCGGACGAGCTGGATAAGGCGAGGCAAATCCTACATGCCTGCCGAGAAGACATTGCCGAGTTGTGGGTACACCCGGACGTGCAGAAGGGACTGGAGGCAGAAGGTGTAGTCCTGCGAGATCAGTCTGGATTGTGTGTTCATTCGGTCTGAGGTTTCGGTCACTGGCTGACGACTCTTAGTTTCGTTGACGACGCGCTTCGTATCGCAGCTGCAGACTATGAACCAACGCCGCGTGCGTATGCACCTTTCGCGCCTCTGGATGATTCTCATACTGCGCAGTTGATATCCTCCGAGCGCGCCTCCAGACAATTGGCGTAGAGCAACACATCATCTCGGTGGAACGATGTACATCTCCCAGGCCTCGTCTCCATTGCATGTTATGGCTGATAAGTCCTCTCTAGTTGGCGAACCCAGCCACCGATGGGTCTTCTACGACGTCGGTGGCGCAAAAGGCCACAGAGGTCAGTGACTCTGGCCACCGACTACGCACACTTGTTCACACGTTGTACCAGCCTCGTGGGCTCCCTTCTTCGATGACGGTTAGTCGCGTCTACTTTCTCTTGGGACGATAGAATCGACTTGACTGCTGTCAGTGGACGCAATCCTCTTCCTCTGTCCCATGTCCGGCTTCAACGAAGTCTTGCTGGAAGACCGCAGGGTGAACAGGCTGGTACGCAGGAGCACTCGCTGTGTCGCGCTGTACTGAGGCGTGTTCGCAGCTCGATTCGTTCAATCTGTGGAAGACAATATGCATGAGCCGGCTCCTGAAAGGGACAACCTTCATCCTACTCCTCAATAAGACTGACCTCCTCAAGACCAAGCTCGAGGCCGGCGTGTCCTTCGCGCAGTATGTGAAGAGCTACAAAGATGGCCCTAACGAACACGAACATGTTTGCGATTGTCTGTCGTCTTGCCACTACGTTGGTCCCTACGTCTGACGCGTGGTCTGGTGTAGACCTGAAGCGCAAGTTCGTCGCCATGTGCAAGCATAACTCCGCTCGAGAACGGCAACTACACGTCCACGTCACCTGTGCCACCGTAAGTCCCGCCCGACCACATTCTGATTTTACAATCTCCACCCAACTAACGTCCATTGCTACCAGGACATCAGTACCACCGCCATCGTCATCAACCGCAGTAAGTCCACGTACCATTGACCACCCGAACCTACCACCCTGACGTCGCCTTCCGTGCCTGAAGTCAAGGATGCGATTGTCGTGAACAACCTCATTTCCAGCGACTATCTCTAGTCTGTCTATGATTATCTATGGCCGCTGTGCGGACCGCGTGCAAAAGTATTGTCTTGTATAGTGCGTCCAATCATTGATATATGTCCGTCCGGGCTGTAGCCTTCCTCACGATACTTGTGCCTATGTAATTCGTATCTGTACGTCATCTTGTTGTATCTGTCACCCTTCTTTGCGGACCATGGGATACCAGCGTGCCTTCTCCGTCTAACACAACGAGGACGTTTTTACGACAGCCTAACCACCGAATAGAGACGAGCCGAAACTATGTACAGACTGATCACACGCAACCACTATAGCTCAGGAACCCTCGTGAGCAGTAGCCTCCTCAGGCTCCTCGTCGTCTAGATACGGGAGCCAGCTGAACGACGGTACGCGGAGGCTCAGACGGTCGTCAGCCTCGTCGAAGTGCATGGCAGCAGAACCAGGTCGGCTGCAGTCGTGGACGACGATAGTCGGGACCGCCGCGGGGTCGCCGGGCGCGTTCACGTCAGCCGCGACAAGGAGCGAAGCGAAGGCCGAGCCGGAGACGGACGGGGAGACCTCGACGATGTCGACGGTGAGCCCGGCTTCGGGGATGCTTTCGAGCGTGGGCGCCGAGAGGTCCTCGGAGAACATCGCTACCAAAGGCTTTGATTCCGCAGTTGCAACTGGAGCAGGAAGCGAGACGATAGTGGCCGAGGGATGAACGTCCCGCGCAATAGGGAAGCTGCAGTACAGCAGCCTGGGAGTCCACTCGGGGCTGAGGAGGTCCTTGGGCTTGTCCTCGAAGTCCGAGCCGACGAGAGTGGGGCTCGGCGCGTGTTCGACGTCGGCCTTGCTGATCTAATGTTCGCAGCGGTCAGTGTGCAGGAACGGTACAGAGGGACGATAGCGAACCCGCTCGACATTGGTGGCGCCCCACTTCGGAAGGAACCTGCTAGCGAGGGACGCTTTACCGCGAGAAGACCTGACAGTGTTCATAGTCGGAAGCAGGAGCGGCTTCGGGCCCTGCGAGCCCGCGACGAGTTCAACCTTGCTCGACCCAGAACGCAAGACAAAAGGGCGAATCGCTTGCTGCTTCTTCTTCCTCTTCGCGAGTTGTTTCTTGAGTGCGAGACATTGTATGAGGACCCGGACGAGAGCGACGCTACAAACGATGGTGGCTAGGACAGCAAGCATGACTGTGAGCACGAGAGCAGTAAGAGGCGACAGATGAGCGGCAGCAGATTGAGATGCAGCAGTAGCATTGAAAGACGAGGCCGTCGAATTGGTACCAAGAGCGGGCGCCATGGCGGTGGATTCGTCGGTCTTGAGGGTCGAGAGCTTGACGATAGCAATGGAGCGAGAGCAAGAGCACACCAGGTATCGATACTCGATTCGCCCAGCTTTAACATTCGGAGGCTGACCGTCTACGACGGGGCTGGCACTCAACCATATATATGCTAGGTCCATGCAGTCTAGACCTAGCGACATTGCGTCCTTGACCGAATTTTTGCCAGCCGCCCGGCGACTTCCTGACCTAGAGAGTCTCAGCATACAATTCGGGACACAAATTGAGGCCTCAAATGAGATACTTCCGTGACGCAGCACCCCTTGGCTGAGCAGATTCATTTCAGACGACGTGGCGATCGCCTCACCCGTTTCGATATCCTATACTTATACATCGGCAAGACTTGCGCAACAGCAACCTGCACCGAACCACATTGATGAGCACTTGCGAATCTTGGAACCTGATTGGGACCAGCCGGGCTGACGTTTCTCACGAGTGTATATCGCGTAAATATGTTTGATTGCAAGAGACAAGGCGCGTTGAGGCCCACTCTCCAAGAGAATACATCCATGTAACTCCCCACACCCGCACCGCGACGCGCCCCAGCACAGCGCACACGCCCACCGCGGCGCGCAGGCACTGCCACTAGCCATCAACAAAATCGGGATGTTGAAAATCCCTTCCCAGGACCTTTTTCATCGGTGAGGGCACGTTGAGGCCGTCTGTCTCGATATCGTCCTACCGCCCGACGCGTCTAGTAGCGGTAGTGGAGGGGCTTGTACGGACCGCCGACGGGGATGTCGAGGTACTTGGACTGCTCGTCGGAGAGCGACGTCAGCTTGACGTTGAGCTGCTTAAGGTGCGCGCGCGCGACCTCCTCGTCCAGCTCCTTCGGCAGCATGTGTACGCCGAGAGGGAATGCGGAGTTGTTCGTCCAGAGCGCGATCTGAGCGAGGACCTGGTTCGTGAAGGAGAAGGACATGACGAAGGACGGGTGGCCGGTGGCACAGCCAAGGTTGACGAGACGGCCCTCAGCGAGGAGGAGGATGTGACGGCCGTTGGGCATCGTGTAGCGGTCAACCTGAGGCTTGATGTTGACGACGGACTTTGCGTTGGCCTTGAGCCAGGCAACGTCAATCTCGACATCGAAGTGACCGATGTTTGAGACGATGGCATCTTCGGGCATCACCAGGAAGTGCTCGCCACGGATGATGTCACGGTTACCGGTGGTGGTGACGAAGACGTTGGCACGGGGAGCAGCCTCCTCCATCGTCGTGACCTCGTAACCAGCCATCGCGGCCTGGAGGGCGTTGATGGGGTCAATCTCAGTGATGAGGACGCGAGCACCGTAGGCAGCGAGGGATTGCGCGCACTAGACAACGATCAGACACAATGTAATGGGACATGCGAGCAACACTTACACCCTTGCCGACGTCACCGAAACCAGCGACAACGGCGACCTTGCCGGCAAGCATGACATCGGTGGCACGCTTGATACCGTCGACGAGCGACTCGCGGCAGCCGTAGTAGTTGTCAAACTTCGACTTGGTGACGGAGTCGTTAACGTTGATGGCGGGGACCTTGAGCTTGCCCTCACGCATCTTACGGTAGAGGTGGTGGACACCAGTAGTGGTCTCCTCAGACAGACCGCGGATGCCGGCGAGGTACTGGGGGTACTTGTCGTGAACAAGGCTGGTGAGGTCACCTCCATCGTCGAGGATCATGTTGAGGGGCTTGCCATCGGGGAAGGCGCAGAGGGTCTGGTCGATGCACCAAAGGTACTCCTCCTCAGTCTCGCCCTTCCAAGCGAAGACGGGGACGCCAGTCGCAGCGATGCTAATCAATGTGAGATCGATCAGTTGAATGTTCTCACGTAGATTGATTAAACACCAACGCGGCAGCTGCGTGGTCCTGAGTCGAGAAGATGTTCTGTACGGAGAGAAATATGTCCCGCTTCAGTACGGTCCTCAAGGCAGGATAAACTAACACCCACGCATGAAGACCATGAGACCTCAGCGCCAAGAGCCGTCAACGTCTCGATGAGCACTGCGGTTTGGATGGTCCTGGAGAGGTTGTGAGTAATCTGTGAGGGAGGACAAGCCGTCTACTTACATGTGCAGACATCCAGCGACGCGCGCACCCTTCAAGGGCTTGGATGCACCGTACTACAGAAAATGGTTCATTACGACGTCCGGATTGGAAACAAGTCCAGCACACCTTCTCGCGCATGTACATGAGACCGGGCATCTCATTCTGTATCGCAAATTGTCAGGACATACTTGAGCACTGAGGTGCTCTAGACCGACCTCAGCGAGCTCGATCTCCTTGCGACCGAACGCGGCGAGAGAAATGTCTGGCGAGAGATTTCAGCAAGCTGGAATGATTGTCGCTCTTGCAGAGGTGCTTACCAGCGACCTTGTAGACCATCTTTGCGTGCAAATCAAGAGCGAGGGGCAATGGAGAGGAAGGTGGGGGTCGAGGACAGAGGAAGGTGAGAACTGGCACGATAACGCGGATCGAATTTATTGAGCAGCGTCACGTGCGTGCTCAAATACTCTGCCGTGCGACCCGTGCAACAACGTTGTTCGCCTTCCCTCACCTGCCGTCTCGCGTCGAAGCAGGAATCTGACGATTCTTCATGGGGTTTCCCGTTTATGGCCTCCACTACCAGTAGTGATACTAAGGCCGTGTCCAGCAAGTGCCGGCTGGCCGAGATAGTGCAATACAAGTGCGACATTGAGGTCGGAAAGCGCAGCGAGCCACAGGTGCATTGCTGGCCGGTGCCACGAATCTTCAGGATGTACGTCCCACGAGCTGTTCTTCGCGCGCGTTGAGATACAAATCCTTGGGAATCTAGCTGTCCTGGACGACCGGCCGTGGAGCTGACGCGCTTCGTGGAAATGGACATGAGCACCGGTGAGATAAGCCTCCCGTCGGATGCGAGGTACGCCAGGCTCGTCCGTGTGCATAGGACACGTTCCGAGACGGTGTGGAACAGCCAACAGCTCCCGAAAGGCAAGCCATGGCGAGACATTGCCCGGTACGATGAGAAGGTTGCCGTATCGACGGGTGAGAAGGCTTGAGCGAGTTGTCGTAAGTCATCTGTGCGACCTGTGTGGTACAGTTCAGATGATCTATGTTCTAGTCTATTGTAAACGTCTCGGAGACTTCACTATGGACTGTCGGCTTGCCGACTTGTCGCTATGGTCGGTGCCTCGCTGTCTGACGAATGACCGACACATTGATACAAACTATGTTGTCGCCTTCACAGAGCGACGCAGAATCTGACTCACAATCTTCGCATACCGATGAGCCACACGTCCTATAGGACGTCGCCCGGTGGCAGTGGTATACTGTGCAGCGAGGCTTTCTTGATATCATTCTCAAATATCTCCGGCTCTTAGCTACTCGCAAAATGGCTATGGTCGTGATTGTATCCACGTCTTAAGGCGGCTTTGACAGTTCAACCTCACATAGCCGCCAGGCAACGAGGACGGACGATCATTCCACACGCCTGCGCCAGTTCTACGCAACAGCACAATGCAACCGGTTGTTGCCTTCATCGACAACGAAGCACCTGGCCAGCCTTGGAAAGCCTTGGAAAGCCGGGCTCACGATCTGAATGCTCCGCTTCTCTCCGAAATTACCATCCGAAGAACGATATGTCCGTCGCCTAGGCACGGCCGTCATGACGGGGTTTGTCTACGTCCTCCCCTAAGAGGCATATAAGCCGACTGCAGTGCCTGCTGGCTGATCCCTTCCGTGATCCCGCTCTATAACTCACGACACCTTGCAGATGGGGGCACCATGGCCTCAATCACATCTCGGTGAGCGCTGATAGCGGCCCAGTGGGTTTCTCAATCTGAACACTGTCGACCAGAACACCGCTGCTTCAAGAGTCTGCACAGGCGTCCCAAGATGCGCCCACCGTGCATAGACTTTGAACGGCAATGGATGCCTCGCAGGTCGGACGCTCGCGCATGCACAGCGCCTGTCGTTGGATCGGAGCAGTGCGTTTCGGTGTGTGTCCTGTCCAGATGTTGATGGGGCCCCAGCCGTTTATAATTATGAGGCTTGAGGTGGGTCATTGTCCGGAGGTGCGTGTTGGGTGCGTGCAGTCGTGGCGGCGCAGCCTGATGCAATGGGCAAGGTTGTCAACGTACAGGAAAGCGGCTTGATGCGCTGGGGATGCACATAGTGCGCTCAACTGCACTTGTGCTGTTGACTGTGCGGTCTGCTCTTGCATGCAGTGGGCTGTAGCATCAAAGCGGGGTAAACTTGGGTACGTCGGCATTGATCCGCCTATTCGGCGTGTTTGCTTGCAGGCTTTGGGAGCGTTTAGGCGTTAGCTCATCCCCGGCGTCGAATGTTTATACAGCCGACAACACTGCGGGGCCCACACCGGCATCGAAGCGGCCGCTGCCTCTGAACTTCGGCAGAGCAAGTCAATCAGTCGTCGATGTCGATCATTTTCCCACCTTTGATATCTGGACATCGCGGACGCCGGAAGCTCCGGTTAAGATCGACACAACATGTTGACCAGCGGCTCCGCGCGTGCGCGTTATCTTTGGACCGGAGGCCCGACTGTGCCCTCTGTCACTGTGCTTTGGCGTGACCGTGGCTAACGGTTTCCAACCCGACGCAGCATCCCGGACACATCGTCCGGAACCGCGCGGACATGATGGCAGGCGCGAGGCGGGGTGGGATGATCGGCGACACGAGTAGGACAGCCCGGACAATGCCCGGACCCCCCTCGTTGTCTTCGGGACAGCCCGCCCTTGCACAGCCACCCATCGTAGGTTGTCTCCGACCCCGGGTATTGCTGGATGACGCCAGACGGAGCGCACACCCTCCGTATGCATTGAATAGCCGATGTCTCTTCGCCGACGGAAGTATGTGCGTGTATCTCAAGGGACGTGTAACTGAGCTCGGAGGTTATAGATCCTCTCTAGGTTATACTCTACCACAACTACTACATTGAACTCAAAACCTCCGGCGGACGCATCGGAATGGGCAGATGCGGCCGTCGAGAGCAGAGTCTGGGACGCCCTATGGTCGGCGATCGTGAGACCGGCGTCGTACCTGCTGCCCTTTAATGAAGCCTGCGACAAACATTCTGCCCCGGCGGCATAGCTACTTGTGGGTCTCTACCAATTTCTGACGGTCGTCCCGGCGGTCCGTACTCATCCCTGTGTAGTCTCTGACACGAGCGATTTCTATATTCCCCTCGGCGCCAGATGTCTAGGCAATCAAGGCACTCGTTCCATCAACCGTCAAACCGCCGCCTTCAAGGTTCGAGCCACATTCCCTTTCTTGGGACTTTGCTTCACGTCGGGTTGTCTTCGGGCTCCTCGTCGAGTCCGAGGGCCATGTCGCTTCGACACAAATCCTTCGAGTCGTTCATCATGCATCATGAACTGCGTCTTACAGGCTGCGCGAGCCTTAGCATCATTTGGCAATATGTTGGAGTCGTGTCAATGTCAGTTCGACGTCAGTTGCCACTCCACAGCCACAACTTCCAGGTGCTGTATTCTCTCTTTGCCCGCCCACGCTTGGATGGTAAGCCTGTAGGCTCTCATGTTCGTCATAAAATGATAGTATCATGTTGATGGCTGACAGCTTCGAACCGATGTCTATCACTTAGTCTGGCCCCAGTGTCGGCTTCGGCGGGGCCATACTGGGATGTTGTGAGAGCTGTGGACCTCACGGCGCAGCATCCTGAGAAGGGATACTGTAGAATTTCGACATCATGTTCAGTGGGTGTGACCTGTGACGCTGAACTAGGTAGGCGCCCCAGTTCAGGACCGGCTGGGACCTGTGACCATAGGGCTAGTTCAGTCCAGAGGGTCTGTCCGCGCTGGGGCCTACGTATGTTCACAAACCGTCACTGTGACCATCGGCAAAACCTCAGTTCAGGACCCCCTGCGACCTGTGACTTCTGAACTGAAAGCCCAGTTCAGAGAGGCCCGTGACCTGTGACTGAACTTGATGTCGAAATTCTACAGTAATTGTGATATTTCTGACCTATTGCGCCCGCCCGTCATTGATTAGCATTGTTTTGCAGATGCTGTGCCCCGACTGGTTCATCATGAGGATCAATGAGGCAGTGCTATATGCCATAGCCCGTCGTCTCATGACAACATGTGATTTGTTGTACGTACCAGTACACCATCTACCGCGTAGAGATGATACGTAGACGGCACGCAGCATTGCGGCCTAGAAACGGTGCTCTCCCAAGACTTAACGCCCGTGTGCAGCTAGAGATCGCGTGCGGAGATCGCGGTGCCTCGCGACCTCTCTGATCATCGTCTTGGGTTAGAGTGGACACCATCGGTCGGTTACGAGCTTGCGACCGTAATGTACGCTGAACACGGGAGTGCAGTGGCACTGCCAGCTGATGAGTCTCAGCGTTTCACTACCTTATAACTGCCCGTACCTACTCCTTACCTCCCCACTCCTGCCGAGACACACTGTGTTCGTGCTCACTTGAGCTGGCATCTCTTCCTACCCTTGTTTCTCGCCAATCCGCCTTCCCTTCGGATCTCGCCTCCCTTGCGAGTCTAGACGATCTCCTGACATCGCCATCCCAATCCATTGGCTTTTGAAGTTGCATTTCCAATTGAATATCGTCATCCGCGTCAATGTCGTACCCTCACGGATCGTGGTCGACAAAAGAAGAAGGCGGACATGGGCGGTATACCGACGCTCCAGAAGCAGCAGGCTTTCAGGTGAACTACATAGCGCTGAACTTCATCAATACCTCAACTGACATGATATCTCGACAGGGAACCCATTACCGACGCGTACCTGAGCGCGGAATGGTGAGGCAAGCGTCGTCGAGTCCAACGTCGAGTCTATCTGGCGCCATGGGAGACGCTCACATCACGAACCCTCAAATGGGTGGCGGCGTACCGTCGGGGATGGCTTGGTCCATCCCCCAAGGTGCCTACGGCCAGTTGGCGGACGAAAGTTCGATGTCCTCCTTCGGACCTGCGCCACCCACCCCCGCCTCGGCTAGCCCTTCAGGGCAGTTCTCTCTTTACACATACCAGAACGCATACAGTACTCCGTCATATAGTCCTAATCCTGATCCATACCCTCACCATCCTCCCTCTCTTCCATCTCCGACTCCTTTCGAGCAGTTTGCGATGCAGCAAGCTAATGCAGATGCAATGGCACGAGCTCACCACGGCATGTCAACCCCTAGCCCGACCTCCGCTGGCGCCATGGCTGGCCAGATGTCCATGGCCCCGAGCCCCATCCCAGGCGCGGTCCCAATGGGACGAGCCCCTCGCCGCTCAAGCTCAGACGAGATACGGCAGTTGCACCAACGGATCGCAGAGCTCGAAGCCGACCGTGACACCGCCCTCCAGCGCGCGCATCAGCTCGAGCAAGAACTAGCGCGCCGCATAGGCGGGTTTGGGAGCTCCTTCGCGTCGGGCTCAGGTGCCCTTCCGTCCCCCGTCCCTACTCCTACGCGTGCGGCCCTCCCGATGGCACTGGAAGAGAACTGGCGCGCGCGCACCGAGGCCCGCCGGCAGATCTTCTGCTCCGTCAACCGCGCAGGAAACGCACTGTGTGCGTGGCACGACTCCCGCCGGGAACGCAGGGCGTACCCGCCGCGTAACGCACCACCTGGCGTGCTCAACTGCGGCTGCACGTACGAGGAGGCGCTCTTTGAAGAGAGCCTCTCGCGGCACGGCGTGGGCAGCTACCACCCCGGCGAGTCCGTGCGGATGGACCCTGCGCTGCGGAACCCGCTGCTCCAGCTCCTTCAGACCCGCTACGGTTACCGCGACGGCGACTTCGACTTCGACCCCGTCACTCAGACGTGGCGGGACGGCGAGGACGCCGCTCACTGGAAACAGAAGCTTGCCTCTGGCGCGGCCAACGCGAGGCGCAACCGCGGCGAGGACCGTCGGTGAACCCATGCCAACCCCCCAAAAACGTCTGCATGCATATGATCTGTGTGTTCTTCATTTCATCTCATCGCATCGTCGCATCTCCCCCTCTCTCCACACATGCATCTGCTATCGTCCAACAGTTCGTCCTTAATTCAAACATCCTCGATTCCGCCCCACTGCACCGTTGCATTACTATACTATGTTTTCATAGAACGTTCCTTTCTCGCTTCACTCTTTGTATCCCCACTGTAGCCATCATCCCGTATCACGGTCTTTTTCTCTCTTCGCTCCATAGAGGTTTGGTTACCGGTCTGCCCCCCACTGTATCCCTAGTCGCCCTTACGATCGCTCAGTAATCGATGGACATCGTCCGCGTTGTAACTTAGCGCAGCTCTGCTTCCCCGCGACTCATCATGCATCAGGCCCCAGGACGTGTACGCTCCGAAGGTGACGTGCGGTAAGTCCATTAGAGCTCGCCGAGATCCGTCCTGACACCTTACATTGACAGCATCCCTATGCTGATTCAGGTTTCATAGGTGTTAACGGGGCTGTTCGGCGACGCAACCTGAGACCGACAGCACACCGCTTCCTACCCTGCCTCTGTGCATCGAAATGAAGACGCCTTGCAGTGTATTGCCTCTGTCGACAGCGAATCACTGCACTCGGTGGGTTCCAAGTCCCGCAAGGCTTATGTTACAAAGGTTTCATCCGTAACATTCGACTCGAGAAATACATCGCTGCTTAGTTGCCCAAAGGGGAGGCCGAAACTGACAAGATGCAATGGTCGATGGGAAAGGGCAAGAATGGGCCTGAAACCCAATGCCGTACACAGACTTCACGGACGAAACGGCACCAGTACGAAGATCAGGGAGCGTAGTCATACTTCCCTCCCAGTTCAAGTCCCTACGGAACCGGTAAGTCCTAGTTGTTGATGCGAGTGGAGAGCACTCACCCGTCGATACGCCGGTCTAAATCCAGTTGGCATGTCAGCGTAGATTCTCTCATACGGTAAGCATAACGCACCGCTCGTGGATGCGACGGAGGTATCTCTGAGTGTTGATTCCCAGAAATTCTGGACACAGCATGGACATGCCTTCCAGCGGGAAGATCATCATGTAATCTGCGGCCGTCGGTTGCTCTCCCCCCGCAATCCATCCTCCGTCAACTTCCGTGAGGCGCTGTTCAATCTGTAGGAGAGATCAGCTGGTCCTTCGGTTACAAAACACTCATGCGCGAGCCTCACCATTTGCGCATGTGTGCGTAAACGCGGTTCAAGGGCCTTGGCTCGCAACTTGGCCATAAGAAAGCCGACGATGGGTCGGATCAGCCAAGGTGTTCGCTCCGTAATGATGTGCGTAATGTAGCTGTTCACAAACAGTGGCATGAGAGAGCCCTCGGAGGCGTGCGTGTCTAGCGCAATCACATCAGTCCATCATGCTCGTAGCCACAGTGGCTCATATGTTCGCGAAGCGTACAATATAAGTCATCGACTTCTCCACTCGCGGGAGGCCGCGCCCTGCCGTTGCCATATTTGCGAATGATATACTCTGAACGTATCTGTCAGTGCCAGCAATGGGAGACATCAATAGCTGCGCGCCATGGTCGGACTATGTGCTAAGCAGGACGAAGCGTACAGCTGCACGGGACCATTATGGAGGCATTAACCATTGAGATGAACACACCAACAATAGCACCGCTCTCTGCTAGATTGACAGAACCGTCGGTGATGACGGGTGCTGTTCCGATAGGATTCACCGCCTCTAGCTCCTCCGGAGCCAGTAACCCAGGGGTACGCTGGTATTTCTTGATCTCGTATGGCACCCCAAGTTCTTCCTGGAAAAAACACCGAGGTTGGTACTCTAAATCTGCGCGTAAGATCATGGGGTGCTCACCAGGAGCCACAGTATGCGCTGAGAACGCGAGTTGTTCAGGTGGTGCACGATGATCTTACCAGACGGGAAATTGTTCGTGTCTGCCATTGTGGTAGCCTCGACAAAATGGCGGATTAAATCAGGCGGATTGGGTCCGGCGCGTGGAGTGCAAGTAGAAAAGAGGACGTGGTGGTTGCAACTCTGCTTCAAGACATGCGATTACTAACTCGGACGCGGTGGCGTGACGTGCGCGGTGGCGCGTACGCGTCACGTAGCCACGTGCGGCCAAAGCGCCGGGGCGGGGCCTGGCAGTCCGAGTCGCTAACCGCACCGACCACGACATCATAGAGACTCAAGCGGCACACTACAACACTGCTGTCTTTCCCGCGTAGAAACGGTGTGGGGGCTACAGCGCAAAAGAACAAGAAAATATGAACCTGTCTCTATTGATCCTACTGGCTTGCATCCTGCTTTCGGAACACTCGCGAGCAATCTCGTGGTTCGAAGGCAAGCAGAAGGAATCCACTGCGACTCCAGGCCAGTCATATGAAGAAACACAGGAAGGTAAGGTAAACTCCCGCAGCACCGTGGTTGTATAGTATGGTTCATCTTGGGACCCAGATGAAATAGCGACGATTATACGGGGTGCAGGTGAGCATGTGCCCATCCTACTTGATACATACAAGGTCAAGTCTTATATTCTGGTTCTGGCAGAGTCTTTGCAAACATACAGTCGGAAACCAGACTGTTTCAGACGTGCTGCGGGCCTCATCCAGACTCGTTGCAGCGAGCTAGATATGGACGAGGACGAGAGAATAATGGGTACGGCTCTCACACGCCCTTGTTGCTATCATTTGACCTTTCCACTCAGCTGCGATATCGATGACTCTGTGCGAACTCAGCACTGCGAACCACCACTCACCTCCTCTGGAGTGCGTCGCGTTCTCTACCGAGTCGCGCTCGTCTCGACCCCCTGCCCACGGACCAGCGCATAGAAGTTGCGTTGAGTGAGTTTGAAATCACAGAGGTGCATGTGTCGATCTTAACACCCCGTCATCTTGGTCAGAGCATTGTCACGTAGTGCTCAGTATTGGTCGAGCTACTCTGGATACTTGCGTGAAGTTTGTCAGTGCCCGTGGTGTTTCTACCCGCATATATGCGCACTAATTATACTTATGGCTTTTTCAGCGCAATTGTGCTACGCGTTTCGGCGTTGGAACGACATTGGTGCGAACACGGTAGCCGGCCATAGCCTGACTAGGCACTGATGTCTCCACAGATACCGCCAGGGATATATACCGGAATGCAACACTGGAGAAAGTGACGCTGCTTCAATACCTCAATGATCGGGAACTCAAGCTACGCCAAGCGGAGGAAATTTCTCAGCTCCTTTTACGGGTGCGATTCTGTGATCGTCGCATGGCGCGCCTATTCATCACTTCGGTCGTAGGATATCCTAGATGGGGTCTCAAATTTTCGCTCCTCTGCCACGGACACACAATCAGCTATTCAGGATCTGGTTCGTAAAGTATCAGCGGGGTTCGATCAGGTCTGTTGTGCGGTCCTCTGATGCATTCATGTAACACTCCCTGACACACTTATGGTGCAGGGCGCGCTTGCTCTGGCGGATGCTATCAGTCTGCTCCTCGCACATGCCGAACACAATCAGATGGAAGCAATTTTGCGGGTATGTTCGGGGAAACGAGCGGCGTACACGCGCTGAACGTGGAGACAGGTCGATTCTGCACTCGGCGAAGCTATCCAGCGTGTAAGAAGGCACGTCTTCGAATCGCGAGTTGCTGATCAGTGGTGTGCATGCAGCATTCGACATCACTGGACCTCGTCTCGACGTCGACACAGCGGTCCTTCCACGACCATGTCGAGGGAATCTTCGCAATCTCGAGGCGATACTTCGCGGACATAGGCGATGTTGCAGTGAGCCATATGACCGTACGCACATATCGACTCACAACATTGCGTCTTTTTAGGGCGAGATCTATATGCGCTTGTCGGTCGTGGGCGGTGAGCTCGGGGACATGCACCAGGCAGGTCACAACCTCCCATACAGCGCTCCGTTCTCTTTCTCACACGGAACCCAGTCTGTTTCCCAGCTAGCCACCTCCCTATCCGCTCTTGGCTCCCAAGTCGACTCCAACCTCGCCCAAGCGCAAGACACGCACGCGCTACAAGTGGAGTCCTCCGAAGCCGCCTTAGACCTCGCGAACTCCCTCGCGGAACTCAGCGCGGCCGCACATCATGAGATGCAAAACATCTCTGGCACCGCAGAAGGAATCCGCGAGAGCATGCTGGACGCCGCGGCGGAGGCGCTCGGTCCTGACTGGCTCGCGTGGGGAAGGGCGTTCGCTTTGTGGGTGTGCGGTGTGATCCTGCGTGGTAAGTGCCACTGTACTATACTGGCTATGACCTGAAGACGCAGATTAAAAGTCATTCTTGTGCAGTGGATCCCTCGAGTCTAGAGCACGTCGCCGCTCTCCCCATGGTTCGCGCGCTCATCGCCGCAACTCGGGTGGCGAGCTGGTGCGTGAGGGCAGCCGCTTCCTCGTCTGTGGTGGGTGTTCCTTAGATCCCCGCCCATTATATAAGGTTTACTAGAACAACATTCACCCAGAGTGTGCTATTGCTCGTGCTGTCCGCGAGGCGCTGGCTAGGCAGCTTGCCAATGCTAGCCTCGAGCCAAGACCCAGAGAGGTACGTCCCCTCGTGTCGCACGACCGCACTGAATCGCAGACCCCTGGATCTGGTCACAGCGACTATGCGACTACTCCGAAGCCTGGGACCCTCAGTAGCGCACGGGCGATCCCCTCTATCGGCTGGTCTGAGCAGCAGCGCTATCGGCCCAACTGTTCTCTCTCGCCGTCAATTTCTCCAAAGCCAGCAAGACGTTACCGCCCTCGAGTCTCGCGCATCCCAGACCGATTGTGCAACCCCTCCGCCTCTTGACCGGAACATCTGCCCTGAGCTTGCATCGAACCTTGACTCTCACTGGGAACCATCTCCGCTCTGCACCAGCCGCCTGTGGACACTTGCCGTTCTTCTCCGTCTCCGCCCGCGGCCGCCTCGTGTTCTCGCCCACCATCCGATACCAATCCGCGCTGGTCTGGTCTGGTGCTACGGCTTCTGCTTCTATCAAAGCTTTCTCATTCACCGGCTTCTGTGTGTGCGTGACACTCTGCTCTCCTTTCGGTGACTTCTGGCTCCGGGCGCTGTGCGGTCGCGGTTAGGGTTGGAGGGTTGGATTTTGCACACCTTCAGTGACGGTATGAACCTATGCATTGGCGCTCGATACATATTCCTTCGGTGGCGCTACTGTACTTCCACTCGGTGACAGTTTCCTACTGCTGTAGCTCTATGTCTCTCACACACCGTCTCGCTGCTCTCACAAACCCGATTGCGCAATTTGCGTCCCAGAATGTAATATTACTCAAGTATAATACTATGTTCCCCTCGTACCATGCTACCGTGCGGGTTTCATTCATGAGAAGACGGCTACTGTACCAAGGGTTCGGTAGCTCTGTGGACAGAAGAGGATCCGGGATTAGCCGTGCTAAGCCTGGAGTCTAATCGCTCGAATAGGCAGGATTAGGACAGCTAAGCTTCAAGTAAGCCTAATACTTAGCCGAACCCTAATCACGACGCTGACTCCCTGACTGCGAGTCCTCGGAAGCGACCTCTCGAGCTTCTTCTCTTTCCTACCGACCTCCTCCCTGGCATGCACGCATCTCCCTGACTGTACTAACACCCACTTGAGCAAACCAGGCATGGCGACGAGGACCAAGACGTCGCGTAACGCCACCAAGGCGAAGCGCCCAGCTGAGCTGGCCACTACCACCGTGATCGGGGCTCCGCCCGCTGCCGGACAGTCGAGTAGTCAGGCGAAAACAGGAAAAGGAGTTCCTCAGCAGAACTCCAACTCAGCCTCTGTAAGCTAGTATTCTACATGCACGGAAGACATGGATTAAGACCAGCGCGCCGACGTCGGCTGTGTATTGTCACTTACAGGTTTCCAAATCTCTTGAGACAGTGGCGACACGCCCCAAAGACACGAAACAGGCTGAGCCTGAGACAAGAAAATTGCCGACTCCGCTGAAAACCTCGCCTGCTGTCAATGTCACTGCGAGAGATTCTTCACAAACCTCACCATCTACAGCGCCACCGCAAAATAAGGTAAGCAGCTAGTTTACGACGAGGTTGCAAATGCTCAACTACACGTAACTGGTTAGGTGAACCCATCATCTGCAGACTCCGTCCCTGTATGCAAGAAGTATTCCACTGGTTGCTGCAAGAGGCAAAATTGTCCTGATCTACATGTGAAGGGTAAGACGGACAGACCGTCCAAATCTTGGTGTCACGCTGACATTGTTCAATATGGAATCCTGATTTGTTAGATGCGCCTTCAGAGAGACTCAAACAAGAACCAACTTCCGCTAGTGATCTGCTTGACGTTCTCTCCGACGTCGCACAGAAACAGCCAACCCATAGAGGAACCCGAAAGGTGGGTTGTGAGCGAGCCATTTGCATCCTGCCCCTCTTGACCAATTTTCGGCGCTTCAGGGAGTACGCAAATCAAAGCCGGTTTGTTGGCCATACCGTCGCGGTCAATGCAACGACGCCAATTGTCCGAAGAGGCATCCTCGCAGTTGGGGCCCTGAACCATCGAGAGAGGAATCAGGCGACGAGGAGACGGAGGATGAAACCGAGAGACCTGCTGCTGAGGCCTCGAGACCTATCGCGGACGTTTCGCGTACAGCGGACGTGGCGGGAGTGTTAACTGCTGTGCCCACGATCCCTACGAACACCCTGACTCGTTCGTCATCCACGATGCAACCACAGAAGCGCGACAAAGTGGCGAATGCTGCCCGCAGTAATGGAGGTGGCAAGCATCTAGGCAAGGATCCAGACGATAGCCAAGTCAGTCCCAATTCCCATGCCTTATGCAAGATTACGCTGACGCAGTCCTCTCACTTCCCTTCTACAGCTAGACCAACGAGAGATATGCCGGAACTACTCAAAAAACCGCTGCAAGGATCCCCGTTGCCCTCGACGACATGTCGAGCCGTTGCGCAGGTCTAAGACGCGCGAAGGGGATGTGCAGAGCGAGCAACAGCGACAGCAGCTTGCTGTCGGTGCTGTTGACTCTGTAGCAGCTGGCCCTCCGCCGTCGGTGACGCAGACGCGTGGCGCTGCTGCTGCTGAGGCCAACAGAGGTATTTCCCGTACTTCTCGAGCGCCTGAAACTTCATTGTCGCCTTTACGCCCCTCTACATTGCAAAAGGCGCCTTTGCATCCACTCCCTTCGGCTCCTGTGCCGTCATCGTTATCCCCGGTAGCTGTGTCCCAATCGCCAGCATCGCGAAAGGCAGCAGAAGAATCGAAAGGCATCGGCGATCCTCCCTCGACAGTGCGTGTTTCGTGATGGTAGATTTCGTAGCGTTGACGGATCTTTGCAGAACGGAGACGTGTGCCGGTTCTTCTTGGCTGGCAACTGTATAGTTGCTAGATGTAGGCATTCGCATGAACAACGGAAACCGGCCCCGCTGGCTCCTTCTCCCATCGCAGTAGCACCAATGCCGTTTATGGTCAGTGCTTCAACAGTAAGTCGGCCCCTACTAGTTCGCTGGTATCACGCTCAATCATTTTCAGGAACTGGACCATCAATCTCCTCTCAACCATTTCCCATTCTCTGATGAAGCAGAAATTTCTATGGAAGCTTCTCCCCTAATACACAACATCAACGGTCTCCCGCCGAAGCCTGTGGGTTTATCTGTCAAGCCCGGTGCAGATATATCAGCTCAAGGCGAGCATCCTGCGCCACAGGACGGCCGCCCTACGCGCAAATGGGTCCCCGACCCTAGACCATCTAGAGTATGTTTGTTTAGATAGCCTCAGAAATCGATGACTGACGTTTGCCCCAGAGGTCGGATGTCATGTGTCTGCACTATCGCAGAGGCACCTGCAGTTACGGAGACGACTGCTATTTTACCCACACACTAGCGATTGACAAGAGACGCGCACGGGTACGCCGTCTTGGACCTGTATCTCGGGTTGAGTGGCTGATGGTCTTCGGCAGAAAAAAGACGAAGTGTGTAGGTTGTTTGTGTTCGGAGTTTGTGATTGGGGCGAGAACTGCCAGCGCATGCACATATCGGCGGACAGCCCGACTCTGGTGCTTCCAGTGCAGCGACCGGGGCCTACACAGCCGGCGAACTCGGAGGCACCAGCGGCAGGAACAGTTCCCACTTCGGAGGCACCGGACGCGAGCGGGTCTGAGGCGGTTGCTAGTCGGGTCAGTGTATAAGGAAAATGCGTGGATGCAGGCCGCTGATTGTATCTCTGACAGGGATCATCGGTACTAGATAGTCAGCATCTCGGGATTGAACAGACGCGCATAAACATGGTGCGTAGTCGATTGAACGCGATTGACAACAGACCGGCTCGGGTATGTCACCACCTTGCGTCAACTCTGGGGATACGGAGACTCACCGTGGTTAATCAGCGGTATCCCATCATATGCCTCGACAACCTCCGCGGGAGGTGCAGAAATGAGGAACATTGCCCACGGACACATGTTCTCTCAGGGCCTAACTCGTCTTCAATGACTTCCCCCCTGGAGGTAAGCAATGCATTGTCTAGTTTGTAGTCAAACTGACGCACTCCTGATTGCTCAGAAGTCGCATGGTCTGCCGCCGCCACCATCTGAGCGGGTGGGTTTGGCATGCAACGCGAAATCTGAGGTCAGTGTCACACTGCCGACAGATGAGTATCAGATGGCTAATAGGCCTTGATCCTCAGCCGCCTGCCCCTACTCCCAGCACGCGAGATGTCTGCATGAACTGGCTGTTCCGGGACACGTGTTTGAACGGAGCGAGTTGCATGTATGAGCATCCACCAAAATCCGGATCAATGAGACCGGGGCCAGCTGTAGATGTCTCTTCGGGGACTGTCACACCAATGCCCACAGGGGGCTCAAACATCCGTGGATACATACCGGCAGAGAGTAGACAGCCTGAGTCGCTGAATCTTGGTGGTGCAGCGGATGTGGTCACTCTATCCCGCACTCCCGAGCGTACGGTGCCTTCAACGAATCTGCACCCGGATACGACTGATCGTGAACGACGGCCTCAAGGCACGACGGCCGGAGATCTCCTGCTTGATCTCAGAAGAAATGCCAAAGGGTCAACTCATACGTCAGTGGATAGTACTTATCTTTGCTCACGACGAAGCTGACCTTCTCCGTGACATCTCATCAGGTCGCATTCGTCTGCTTCGGAAAAGCCAGGCCCGAGTCAAATCCGCCTTCAACAGGTATATCTACCGCCACGTATATGTACGGATCGGCTCACTGTTGCCTTACAGGGCGAGATTCCAGCATCGACGTCGACGTCGACGCCTTACGAGACAGCAGCGAGGGATGCATTTAGCGCGCTGAGTCACAGGGCCGGCGGCTCCTCTTCGTACTACGAGGTCTACGGCTTGACGTTCGCAAATTTGCGTGCCAGTAATGTTGGCCCTCGCCTACGGCAGCAAAGACCCGAGTCTCAGGGAGACCATGGTGGGGGAGTGCCTGCACACACATCTCGTGTCAACGTTCCAATCGAGCATGCTGAAACCTCGTCCGATACATCATATTATTCCGCGGTAGGTGTTCTTTTTGCATCGTGTTTCTCGAAATCTCTGATCATCTTCATGTACAGGAATATGGCTCCGACCCCTCCGTCGATGCAGCCCAGTCATCAAACACGTCCTTTGATCTGTCGCAGACTCCCGCTGAGCCGTCACAGCCTGTATGCTGGGACTTCCTACATGGGGAATGTACAAGGCATGTCTGCCGCTTTCGGCATGAAGAATTCGATCCAAGGAAGGAGACCTTGAGCACGGAACGTCGGCGGCAAGTCTCGGGGGTCGTATGTGAGGTTGTCTGCGTCAGTGAATTGCACTAAACCAGTTCTCCAGCGTCGATCCGATACATACCCCTCGCGAGGCGATCATACTGCAAAGAACTCTTCGACTCGTATTCCCGGCTCGACCTCAAGCGCAGGACATCATGACACCTCGCACGATTTGCCCAAGTCTGATCAGCCCGGCCGTGCTGAGCCTTTCGCGGCACCTGCATTGCCTCCTGGGCTGGGCTTGGAAACTGTGCGTGTCCCCATCAAACACCTGCTTTCCGTACACTTACGCGCTTCGACAGAGACGTCCTAACCCAGGCCTCACCGCCCAGCGAAAGGAGCCGCCCGCGAATATCACGTTGTCTGTCCTTGATTCGACACGAGTGACATACGGACCAGGTTTCGTTGTCCAGAGTGTCGTCACGGGCTTCGAGACGCGGCAGGTGGTTTTGAAGGATCTCCCTGTTGATGTCACTCCTGCGGATGTCACGGCTGTTCTGAAGGCACACGGAGAGGTCGCCTCTGTGTATCTCCCTGATCCAGGGAAAAGAGGCGTTGCTACGGCCAGGGTCACGTTCGCTTCATCCGAACAAGCTGTGACTGCTGTGTCCGCTCTCGATGGGACCGAGGTCTTCGGCACGACCATCAGCGCGCGTATGTGGTCAGGACAATCCTCCCTGCTTGGAAAGGCCAGGCTTGCCGACGGAGACGTTCTCTTCGAGTTCCCTTGTGCCCACAAGACAGGGTATATCGGATATCCAAGTCGCGCACTCGCGGAGAAAGCCATTGCCCATGCCAACAACACAGAGGTCAAGGGTAATTGGGTCACCGCTGAGATGCATGAAGGGATTCCGATGGTCGGCGCCTTCACTGTCCGCCTTCGGGGCCTCCCCGCCAGCACTCAGGTCAAGGACCTCGGGCGCTACGGCAAATCAGAAGGTGTCATGCTGGAGCGTCCCAACTACGACTCGTCGAAGGTCGCGATACACCGCTTGCGCGTGATCCTGGACAATTTCGGGTCGATGTTTTCATTCAACGTGCTGCCACCGCCGTACAAGCGAGGCACGATCCGTGCGTATGGTCAGTTCGAGACGCCAGCAGCCGCGGAAACGGTATGTGCAGCTCTGCACAACCGACGACAACCATTCTGTGGCCATGGAACACTCTTCGCTACCCACATCAGCACGCTCGTCTACGAGCTTCCACCCGCAGTCTTCGACGCTCTGTCGTCCGACATACGTCTCCTCAATGCGTTCATCTGGAACACCTTCGAGCCAGGCAGTAGCATATCTATCGTCGACAAGCGTGCGACTGTGGGTCCTCGTTGCCCTGTCCGCGTGAAGCTTGCAGCACAACGCATGCCAGCGCTTACCAGGATGAAGAGTCATTTCGATCGTCTGCTACGCGGAGAGAGGGTCGAGCAGGACGGCGAGATCATGTGGGACAGCTTCTTTGCTCGACGCCCAGGTATATTCTTCCTAGAGGAGCTGCAAAGGCGGCATACGGGCGTTCTCATCAATCGAGACATTGGGCGGCATATATTAACGCTTTTCGGCCCAGAGCCAAAACGCGCGGCTGTTCGCTCGGCCATCGTGTCTAGGGTGGACGAGTTGAGGCGACAGAACTGCCACGTCATCCCCCTGCCTGGTCGACTCGTCGGTCTCTTCTGGGGAGCAGATCTCGCGGCTCTGCGACGACAATTTGGAGAAGAAAATGTTTCTCTGGATCCCGTAGCACGTGCCTTGAAAGTGCGAGGGGACGATGTAGCCCACGAGGCAGCACTTCTGGCCGTCAAACAAGCTCGCGAGCGACATGTCAGCGAGAGGCAGCAGCCTCAGGTCGAGTGCCCGGTATGCTTCAACGAGGTGACCAACCCCGTGAAGCTGGGGTGCGGCCACACATGGTGCAAGACCTGTCTCCAGAGCTACTTACGCGCATCGGTCGACAACACCGCTTTCCCACTCCTGTGTCTCGGGGACGAGGCCCGCTGCTCTTCACAGGTACCAATCCATATTGCCCAGGAGGTCCTCTCGACGAACGACTTCATGAGCGTCGTCGAAGCGTCATTCCGCGCCTACGTCCACTCACGGCCGTCGGAGTACCAATATTGTCCTACCCCGGACTGCTCACAGGTTTATCGCCGAACTTCCAGCAACAACACTCTGCAGTGCCCGTCGTGTTTGGTGCGGATCTGTCCGAAGTGCAACTCTGAGGCCCACGAACGCTCGCCTTGCCAGTACAACGAAGCGAGCGATCGTCTGCTCTTCGATGACTGGAAGGGCAGTCATGATGTCAAGGATTGCCCGAGCTGCAAGGCACCGATCGAACGAGAGGCGGGCTGCAACCACATGATGTGCATACGGTGCAAGACGCACATATGTTGGGCGTGTCTGGCTACGTTCGATACCTCAGGCGAAGTCTACGAACACATGCGCTTGATCCACGGAGGAATAGGACTGTAGCCACCGGAAGGAGCGTGTCGCATTCCCGCGTTGCAGTGGTTCAGTTATTGTGGTATTTATGCGTGTGCCCTTGCGTTGGGAACTGTTGTTGTACACACTACTCGTGATATCCCCCATTGTAATGTACAGACGGGTCTGAATGCGATGTTTATGCGAGGGATAGTCTGATAATGAACAATACATGCTTCGGATGATACAAGATAGTGAGCGGACGCCATACAAATAATTAGTACAGATCGAGTCCTTAAACCCCCAAAAGATCGTAAACTTGAAAGACTCAGACGGTGACATATTGCACGAACTGCGGCAACCCGTGAGCCCACGTACACCGAGCGAGCCGAAGGGAGACACACACCTCTTTATACGGCCGTTTCGGCGGCTCCCCATGGAGCGGCAGGGACTCGGGTAGCTCTGGCACGTTCGGATCGTACTTCACCTTCTGACCATGGTGATCCATGAACCCGTCCACCGGCAAAGGATAGTTCGCCAATTCTGGGGGATTCGCCGAGTTGCGCGGTGCGTACACCATGCACCACCGGTTCTGGTCGTACACAAGGTGGTCGCCGCGTTTGTTCCAGAAGCCCTTCCGTACCGTGCGGGTGCTAGGCGAGTGTCCAGGGGGCTGAGGGGTCGGCGCAGAAGAGTAGGCAGGCGCGGCAGACGCGGAAGTGTAGGCAGAAGAAGAATGGCTATGGCTATGAGTATGCCCACTGGAGGAATAAGAGGACGTTGGCTGTTTCTGAGAGGCATAGGCGGACGAGGACCGAGGAGGAGAAGAGTAGACGTGAGCGAGCTGCGTACCAGATGCACGATTCGAAGCCGGCTGTGCGCTGGAAGGATATGCAGACGAGGACTGAGGGGGAGAAGAGTAGACCGGAGCGGGTTGTGTGGCGGACGAGCGAGTCGAGGCCGGCTGTGTGCTGGAAGGGTATGTAGACGACGTGCGCCCGCTGGAAGGATAGGTCGAGGTCGAGGACGGCTGAGAGTTTGACTGGTACGTAGTAGCTGCCGGTTGTGTAGCAGAGGCAGAGGAGTACGCTGAGGCCGAGGACAGTGCTGGGTAATTCGAGGGCATCGGAGGCCGGGGCAGCGGATTCTGGGTCGCGCGGGAACTTCGTGAGGGCGACGGCCCGCGCGAGCGAGAATGTTCGCGCGAAACGGACTGTGAACGAGAGTGCGAGTGCGATGGCTGAGTGGGCGACCTTGGTCGTGCCGTCGGCGATCTCGTCGTCGTCGCCGCAGCATTAGGCGAGCGCGTCGGCTGACTGGGCGGCGAGCGCGACGACGTATACGACGCCGACATCTGCGCATGCGCATGCGCGGACTGACGTTCGTCCAGAACGGGGTACGTCACACTCCTCGATATCCGTTGGGGGCCACTCTCCGGCGATGCATGGGACGACCTTGGTGGCGAGCGCGCATTCGCATACGGCGTCGCCTCCGGGTCGCTATACCGCGCCCTGTCCACTGGTTTCGGCGTGCGCGGCTGGGATAGCGCGCGCTCCTCCGGGATCGACTCGAACGTGGTCGACGCAGAGAGCGAAGGGTACGTCGAGCTCCGGCCGAGCTCGCGGCCGCCGCTGGGGCTCGCCCCGCCGATGTTGCGCGGCACGGAAACCAGCGGGCTCAGCAGACCCTCCGGCTCCTCCGAGAAGGAGGCGAGGTATGGCAGCGGTGCGGCCGCGGAAGGTGGGGAGCCTGATGAGGGCGTGGGTGCCGAGGACCGGCGCTTAGACAGGCTGTTCGAACGGCTGGGGGCGTTAGATGTAGTTGTAGACGCGGAGGCGGGTGCGTAGATGGGGCCGTGCTGCTGATTGTTCGGCGATACCGGTGCACGGGAAGATAAACGAGCGGGGTCTTCCTGCGTAGAGCGCCGAGAAGTGGGGGTGGACGCGTAATGCGCGTCGTCACCACTGAGGCGGCGGGAAGGGGTGTTAGCTGCAGACGGTGCGCTTGGCTCACCACTTGACCGACGGGTATGTGCCGAGGTTGTATGCGACTCGTCCGTGGTCGACCGACGAGTGGGGACGGGTGTTGAGGTCGCGGAATAATGTCCCGGCGTGCGGACAATGCTTGGACTAAACGTCGGATGCAGTTCTCTCCTTGAGCTGAAGGCTTCTGTGGCAGATGGTCCACCGGCCGGTCTACCAGAACTGGCGGCGGTGGCAGCGGCCGCTGCCGCAGATGCTGATGAGGTTGGTGGCTTCGGGGACGACCGTGGCTCCACTGGCCTTGTATCTGGAGGGCGTGGCGAGACATCATGACTCCGCTGACGCTGATGCTGTTGGGAATAGGAAGAGTATGACGAGTATCCGTTGGGCATGTTCGGTGGCGGCGGAGGGACAACATTGGGCTCTGCAGCTGGCCCCTCCGTCCGACTTCGACTGGGATCCCGCGGAGAGCGTGCAGTGGTGGAATCGTATCGCTGTCGGGGCTCCGGCCTGTCCTGCGCACGAGTCTGTCCAGGGATCGTATCGCGCGCTGAAGTCGAGCTTCCGTACGTGGCACTATACCGATCCTGAGGATACCGCGATGGTGCGTCCGCTGTAGACGTACTTCGTTCGTGGCGCGACCGCGACGGCTCCCGAGTGGGCGGGCGGTCGTCCTGCATACGCGACGTATCCCGACCCTGTCGTCCATCCACCCCCTCCCTTCCCTCCCTTCCTTCCCTCCCATCCCTCCCATCGCGCCCATTGGGCAGGTCAGTCGTATCCTGGTGCTCAGGAGACTCACAGAGTTCCGTCGGGACCCACACCCAGGGCGTGTGCACAACCCCATTCTCACGCGTCTTCTTCTTGGGCGTCGTATCCCTGCGAGGAAGAGACGTGATGACGGTTTCTGCGGGCACGATCGTGCGGGGCGCACGCACCTAATGTCCATATTCTCGAGCCCCAGCGGATTGTCCAACAGCTTCGTGCTCCAGTAGTCGCGATCGCCCGGATTTGGCTGGCGCTTGTACGGGTTGAAGTTGTTCGCCGCGACATACGCGCTCGCCGCCTGCGAGCCCCAGCTAGGATGCGGCGCCCACGCGGGCACGCCAGGTTGCGCGCCGGGGACGGGGCCGCGGAACATGGGGTTGAACTGCCACCGCCCCGAGGTCCACGCCTGCGGGTTCACGCCGGCAGGGATGGGTGGGGGCCCAGAATACCCGGCGGGCGCGGTGGGGGGCCATGAGCCGACCCAGCCTGTGGGCGCGGTCCACACCTGGAACTGCTGCTGCTGAGGATTTGCCCAGGACATGGCTCCGCCAGAGACGGTCGTGCGCTAGCAGGATCGCGCGGTGCGGGAGATCGGCGTGTGCTAGATTGGGGGCGGGCCGTCTAGGGTTCTGTAAGGATACTGGCATAGATATATAGTCTTCCGATGGCTGGCGGTGGATGGCTCTTGGTCACTTACAGTGTCCGCCACGGCATGAGAATGGAACCCACCCCACTACGATCAGTCGCGGACAGACGCACAATGGCTTGAATGAGGCGATTGTTGTCTTGCTGTGTGCGCACACACGGTATTGTAAGGGTAGACAAGCTTGCGGAGGCTGCGCGATCTGCGCCGGCACAATAGCGAAGAGCGGTGCCCGATGCAGAGGCCGCGGGGCGAGTGACGAAAGGCCTCGACTGGTGGCTTGATATAGCACGCGGGGACACCCCAGTTCCTCGACACGCCCTCAGGTGGCTGCAGCACGGGGAAGGTAGATAGCGTTGAGTGACCCCGGCCAGGTCCGATCCACAGAATTAAATCGCGCTTCGCTGCACTGATCGGGGTCAAGATACGCGGCGCGTGTCATCGTGGCATCACACTTACCGCGAACACGTCTTGCTGTAGTCAAGGTTGAGACCGCAGGCACGAGAGGACTCCGGGAGGACAGTGCGCAAGATGCTTCCAAGGAGGCCCAAGCCAATGCAGTGCCCTGCCGGGCTGCACATCCCCGCCTGCGGTACGTTGTTGATGCTTGTTTGTGCGAGGTGGCGCCGGTACAGTACTATCATAATTGCAAGTTAGCTTCGAAGCACGGATAGAGGCGTTCGACATTACAAGGAGGTCCCGAGACGCGTGCCTGGGGTGCGGATGTTGTCGACCCGCTCATCCAGCACCGGATGGTGGTAGTTCAAGGGAAAGAGGCAGGCCCCTCGTTCCTCGGTGTAGCCCGTCTTATATAGCCGCACCTGGACAGCTGGCATGGAATAGCACGAATTCGAGATGTGAAGAGGCGGGTGGCATGAGGTGTGCTAACGATCCACGGCTCTCTGACGCATTAGGAATGTGGACTACCCGATCAGGCAGGTTTTCAATGCTCAGCAGTCCCACCGTCACTTCTATTATCCGTCAGTGCAGCGCACCATACTACGTATATATGCAGCTATGTACATTTATATTGTTCTTTTGGATCTACAGCATCGAAGACTGAGGCCCGGGATTTTGTTATAGGACATATTACTGCAACGTGGTCTTTAGGTCGGTTGGATCAGCACCAGATCCGTAAAGGGCCCATCAGCTTTCAGTGACAGTAGAGCCCTCAGATATTACAGTATAGGCAACGAGTCCGCCCTTGCTACTGAGGGAGGTGACTGAGCCGCTTGGGCGTCGGGCGACGCGTGTGTACAGTCTGAGTAGAGAGTGGATACGCGTCGCCACAGACGCGTCTGTCACGTGCTACGCGTAGCTCAAAAGGATGCCGGGTGTAGTCGGCCCAAAACTCTACGCAGGCTGCTAATACATTGCGCTTCTGGCCATTACTGGCGGTCACCTCTCCGCACCCATGTCTCTACCGCGAATATGCTCCGCATCTTCACGCCTTCGCCTCATCGCACCCGCCCGGCGGCCAGCAATAGCCATCTCAGCCCAACGTCGGTGTTACGCCTCCAAGCGGAAGGCAGAAAAGGAAGTGAAAGACGGCAAGGGCAAGCACACGCACGTCGTCTTAACCGACACCCTCGTCCCCGGCTCGCAACAGAAGCTCGCGGGCGAGGAATACCACAGGACCGAGGAGAAGATGAAGGGGCTCGTCGAGAGGTTCCGGAAGGACGTGGCGGGCATGGAGATGCGCGCGAGCGGGCGGGTCACGCCGGAGGTGCTCACCCCCGTGCGCGTCACCGTGCCGGGGCACAAGGGCGGCGATGGGCTTGCGCACCGGCTCGAGGAGCTCGCGACCGTCGGCGTGCGCGAGGGCACGACGCTCCTCGTCACCGTCTTCGACGAACATGTGAGTGTAGCGGAGGCGTATGCGTGGTGGCCGGCCTGCGGGAAGCTCATCTGTGGTGCATCTAGTAGACGTTGAAATTTGTGGAGACGGCAATATTGGACGCGAAGATCCAGGGCGTGATGCCCCAGAGACTCGATACGAGGACACTCAAGATCCCCATGCCCAAGTGAGTGGCGCGGCGTTCTCGTGCCCTTCGTCCGACGTTGACGATCGGGACTTGACAGGGCAACCGTGGAGGCGCGCAATAACATGGTCACCGCGGCCCAGCGACAAGCGGAGGAGGTGCGCCAGCTGGTGCGGAAGCAGCATACTGCGAGCATCAAGAAGGGGAACTACAAAAAGCACGCGCCCGAGTTGGATGAGGTCCGTTGTGCTCCACAACCTTTGGTTCCCAGCGCATGTTTGACACACCTTATAGTTCCAATCGCTCACAAACCAGTACCTCGCGGAGATCGACAAAACCGTGTCGGACATCAAGAAGAGCGCCGGTGGTAAGTGATAGGACTCCGTCTTGTAAAGACTGGCCTTCTCTGGGTTATTTGGTCGCGCACGAACACATAGCTATACCTCATCACTACATTAATATCGAATCTCCCTTCCTTTGCCTTGTATACACAGGCAATCTTGAGAACCGAGTGGATAGCGCAGGAGGTGCGTCCTCCGCATGGTATGAAAGTCCTCCATGTGCTTCGCTATGTCTGTCCAGTGACACCCACGATACATAGACCGTTCTATGCATATCCCCTGGCATCGTCCCATTGTATGCTGGTAGCGGTGCGTGCAGCCGTACTCGGCGCTTACTGCACTTACGTATACGATTCGACCGACAGCGTGCAAACCTTGCGGTCTTTGACGTGAGTACTGCAAATCAGAACTCACCTCAGTCTGCGCTTTCGCCTCCTCTTTGACTCAGTCACTTACCGTCGTCTCTTCAGCTAGACATTACTAGCTAGTAGCCTGTGACCATCAGGATGACGCTTGAAAATTGGACTCTTACCTCTCTCGACGAGTTTAGTTCCCTCGATGATGCAGTGCAGGAGCTCTGTCGACCTCACGTCAATTATCTGGAGCAATTGAAGGCATACTATCGGCAAACGACGTTGGAGATTCCTCACGTCTGGATCTTCGTATGTGCAACTTTGACTATATTGAAGTGTGACCCATCGCCGTCGAGTGCTAATCCGCATTGATAGGGGGAAGAATCAGTCACATACAGAACTTGCATATGGACGGAAACCAATTGGTTCAACGCAGAGCTCCTTCGGACGCAACTTCGCTGTGTTCAAGAAGATCTCGCCTTCCTAACTGACGAGCAGATCATTGGACGTCTGTTGAGTCCTGATCCTGCAAAGCCAGTCAATTTCTGTCGGTCAACCGAACGCCACTATCAGGATTTTTACGGCCACTCGGTGACTGATAACGAGGATACAACGGTATGCAAGACGCACATGACGCTTTGCCAAGTGGCGCAAGTACTTCAATATGATGGGAACTCGGAGCTCCTAGCCGAGCATGCCATTGCTATAATGTTCGATGGCATCCCAGGTGCCTACGTCCGAAGGTATGATCCTGTCTCGTTCCCCAACGCATGTTTACCCTGACAATGACAATGACATCAGGCAGAATCTCGGTGTCATGGGTCTCCGACAAGGAGACTTGGAGGATCCAGTTGGTCCCATTGACTGCGCCGTGCTCTCCGTTCCCGTAGAACCATCAACGCCGAGGTCCTTGGAACAGCTATCCGGTTTGCCTATCAGCGCTGTCAACCCTGCACTTCTGTTATGCGCGAAGGGCCCGGCACGATGGCTCAAGTCGGCGGAGCCTCAGTCGGGCGCGCCAAACGAGGAGCTCACAGCGACCCTGGTCCGTATTGCTCGTTTGGCCGAAACTAGTCTCGCGTCACTAGTGGCTCTCGGGACCCCCGCGGCTTCCTCTACCAGGGACGATGCCCACTCAGAAGCAGGCGGCACAATGGCACCCACCGCGGGAACTCGCACTTCGGAAGCTGTGGAACTGGGGGACTGTCCTCTCATGACAATGGCTCTCGTCTACGACTCGGAACGTGTCCTTCTAGTGGCTCATATTCCGTATGCTGCCCAAGATGTGGCCGACGGACGCAAGTACTTATCTTTGGTTTTCGACACCCTTCCGTTTGCTAGCCGATGCTCCGACAGGAGCATCCGTCAGTTCATTCGACAGCGCTATCAAGTTGCACTTGCGCTGCTATCTGTGCAGCAGCACGTTCTCCGCATGGCCGCGTATATGGAGCGTTGCAGTTGGCCGGTATGTGCCGAGAGCAAACGGTCGTAGATGACCTATACGAGAGGCTGACGAATATGCAGATGCATGTCGGCACATTGACTCCGACCGAACCATCAGTCGTTGCAGAGTTGGCGACATCGCATGGCTTCATACCAGAAGCGGTTGCCAATCCTGAGGCAGTTTGCGCACAGAGCACAGAAGTCGTACAGGCCTGGTCGCAGGAAACACGGTCGCCGGAAGACATCCGGGGTGCACCTCAGCAATCTCAGGTTGCCATTGAGAGGCACGCACTACAATCCCTTATTACAGACTCTCCGTTCTGACTCATAACGTCATTAGCTCGGATGGTTTGAGAGAACAGCCAACAGGCCCATTTGCGGTGATCAACGCAGACGTCGAAGGCAATCAGTAAATACCGATCAATCACACTCTGTGGCTGAGCGATGGACTATCCATGGACTTAGGAACGCCGACCAAGATCCCAGAAAGTATATGCAAGCTAATATACCCTCAAGAAGCACAGTACGTCACTGAACAATGGTGATCCTGCAGTACGTGCGAGTTACTCATGTTCTGAACAACCTAGCCTGAGGACTCTCATTGGCGACATGACTGCTGATGTGCAGTGGGAGTACAAGCACCGTTTGGAAGACCGCCCGCAAGATCAGGATAGCTGGTACACCCTTAGTCAATACTACAAGCCATTGACAAGGAAGTACATGAACACGCAGTTCTGGCGAGGAGATGTGGCTCCGATACCTGTTTCCCCCAACTACTCAGCGGAGGTATGGTTCTTCGTGAACGCTCAGTTCATGAAAACGCCTGAATTCCTCAGATACTGGCCAATGTGGTTATACGAGCGAGTGGATGTTTTTCAAGTATTCTCATATATCACACAGCATATCGAAACATGTATGCTAGGGCCACGGTACTCTATCGGTCGGACGAGAAATGTATAGCAATGTCATTGGTTTCTTAGCTACATGTTCCCGGAGTATATACTCGATCTAAAGGGCGTCGCGATGACTAGGCTCTACTGTAAGACTAACGACCGCCCTCCTTACCTCATAAAGGTCGTCCTAGTGGGCTGCCTACGGGAGACTACTGTAAGACTGAAGCCGACGACTGCTGCACTGCATGCCATCGACTCCGAGCGCTTTTCCCGACTTCTGCTACTCAGCGCTAAATAGGTATATGAGGCGACTCGACTCGGATGACGACTGTGACCGTCCTTCTCCCCCATCAGGCTCTTTCTCCTCTCTCTCCCGCTGCACGACTTCCTCTATACCTTAGAGTATTTGTACACATGCGCTGAAGTTTCTTTTGCTCATACCCGACGCTGGCCAAGCTTGCGGAGTAATGGATGCCCCAGAACCGTCTACGGTATCAGCAGACGCTGACCCGATGAGCATACGTGCTCTCAAGGATATATCCTTCGGTTCTGTACGTGGACTTCATCACTATTAAGGATCGCGGCAGTAATAGTTGCTAACAGATTGCTGGAATGACATCTAAAGTATTCGAACACCCCTTCGACCTCACGAAGGTCCGACTACAATCGCAAGTCCTAGACGCAACCGCACGCTTCAACGGGCCAATCGACTGTCTAGCACAGACATGGAAGAGGGAGGGGTTACGAGGCCTATACAGGGTGAGCACGCTTCTTTCTCAAGAAAGCCGTGTATGAACTGTTGGCAGGGCTTGCCAGCACCCATAGTTGGGGCGATGGCGGAAAACGCGTCGCTTTTTTGGACGTACACCGAACTTCAAAACGCCATCCGCTGGTATGAGAGGCAGCCGACGACGCATCAATTATCACTCGGACAGCTCGCCCTTGCTGGCTCGGGTGCGGGTTGCATAACGAGTTTCGTACTGTGAGTCTCTTCCTGCATCATCGCTGGACGGTCCAACAATTGTTTCGCACAGTACTCCCATAGAGCTAGTGAAGTGCAAGATGCAAGTACAAATGCTTATGGTCCCAAGCGTATTACCAGTTCAGGCTGCGGCAGCGCTATCCTCCATCGCGCCCGCTGCCGCTCTCCCCGCAGATGTTTCTGGCTCGTCTCTTCACAAGCTTCCTGGCCCCATCTCCGTCCTCAAGTCAATTATACGCACCTCTGGATTCCGCGGGCTGTGGCTCGGCCAAACCGCGACGTTCATCCGGGAAACCGGCGGGGGTGCAGCTTGGTTTACGTCCAAAGAGGCCGTCGCGACGCTCCTGCTCAAGCGGCGCAACGTTCCGTCCCACGACAAGAAGGAGCTGCGTCCATGGGAGTCCGCTGTGTCTGGCGCCGCGGCGGGCATCGCTTACAACGTTGCGCTCTTCCCGGCGGATACTGTGAAGAGCGCCATGCAAACGGAGGCGGAGCTACGACCGAGGGCAGCTGGGGAGCCGGGCCCTACATTCCTGGGTACCTTCAGGGCGATGCACCAGGCGCAGGGCATCAGAGGGTTGTACGCTGGCTGCGGTATTACTGTGGCGCGGGCGATACCTAGCAGTGCCCTCATCTTCTTGATCTATGATGGTCTGAGCAAACGATACGGGTCGCAATGACATACATTTCACCATGACAACAGTGAGACGACTTTTAGCGGTCGTAGCGTCCAAGGCATTATGGTGCGGGCCACCTAGACAGCGCTACTGTTGCACCGCGGTCAGATTGGCCGGGTGACATGCTATGTCGGGACGTGCGGCGATGCAGTTTTACGGTGTGAGAAGCACTCGCGGGCGAGATCTCCACACTCCCGCGATGGGTCATCGAAAGCGATGAGTACTCGAACGACTGCGCGAGGCGCATACTCATGGACGTCATGCCCATCGTGGAAACAGAGGACGTGCTCTACGAGGCATGTCCCCGCGAACAACGTGCGGTGCGCGGCATCGTCGCGAAGCCGGCGACGGATCGCATGGATGAGGATTTGGTAGTGGAGGAGAGGTCACCAAACAGTAGGCGGCTCACGCCCTGCACACCGTCCATGTTTACGTCGAGCGGAGAAAAGCCGGGTGGAGACCGAGGTGCTGGGGACGCTTGAAGTCATATAATACGGACCATGCCCCGACTGACCATCGATGCGTTCCCACTTTCAGTTGCGTGAGCTCGGCTTCGTGCATGGCCATTCGTGAACGTAGCTTAAGGCATTTCGACTTCTTCTGCGCGATGGATGGCAAGAGATGTGTATGTCTGCGCTTAAGGTTCACATAGACTTTTGAGATCGACGCACTTCTCCGTGAGAGTAACTTAGACGAAGCGATAGAGGTACTTTTCGTCAACGCTACGGTTATGCGAACCGAGTCGACCGTTTCCCGGCATTCTTTTTCATCGAGCAACGTGTCTATATATTGAGCGATGATCTCGGACGCAAGTACAGCGAAGTTTCAGTGACTTACTGTCACACCATTACCAGACCCACAACACCATACGGTGTTTGGGTTCGTGACATAGTTGTTCTGGTTGTTGCCATCTGCTTGCGTTTGACCCAGCGACGCAGACATGCTTAGCCGTTGAGCTTTGATCGATAGCTTTCAAGTGTTACTTCAGGCTCGACATGACGGAGAAGGCGAGATGAGCATCGGTCCGCGACGTCGTCTCGAGTGAGGACCCCACAGGCATTCGAAGCACAAGGCGTAGCGCCCTTCGTGTGGTGCAGAGGATGTATGGTTGGGTAGAGTTGATTCGTGCTGTTGTGAGCGAACATGTCGTGGCTATTACTGATCTATCCCCTTGAGTCATCATTCGTAGCAGGGCGTGAATGAATGTTCCTATCATTGGATCATGTTACGCAGACGACTCACTGTGTTTAGTCTTGAGGGATCTAGCGCTCCTAGACGTCAGGCGGCGAGTCTATGACTCCATGTCACATCCTTCCCTGCCCAAAGATGATGGTAAGTTAAGACGCACCCTCAGCATATGATGGCACAGATCGCGCTGTGAGAATAACCTTTCCCGTAACCGGTACATACGCCAGCGCAGGTGTTTGCCTTCGGGTTGTTCAAGTTCGAAACGTGCGACCAACGGTCTTGCGTGCCCAAGACGACTTGACAAGAAGCCAGCATCATACATACAGAAGGGCGTATCGCTTCCCTGCTGATCAATCATCGTGTGAGCTAAATATTGTCGTAGCAGAAACTCCCGGGTAGACGAAACATCGAGTCGCTGCATGTTTTAAGTTGACTTATGCCGCAAAAGGCTCACGGCTGACGCGCTAACGAAGAACAGTAGGCCACACGCGAGACGTGAAGTGGTTTTAAATTATCATCAGGTCTAGATCTCGGGATGTGACACGAGCGAGAGACGACGCAAGCCAGACACTAGTAGTAGATTTGACCGGCGATATACCGTGTTCCGTCACCACATAGTATTCGGGTCTAATACCCGCAACAAGCAACAGCGCACACTTGGTGAAGACAGCAACTGCCGCAGCCTCGATCCATGATAGAGTCCATCTTAGTGCTTCTGCTTCACCGAATGCGAATAAATCAGAGGGCGCGCCAGCGTGTCGCGTGTCATTCTCTACCACACTGATCCCGTCATTGAACGTTTACGTGAGGGGAGGCTTCATTGATACGTGAGGCTTGAGGCCTTGGGGACGTACCGTATAGTAGTAGATAGCAAGAGCGTACGTGACTACGCCTAGTCATTGTTCGTCGCTCGTCACCATGAAAGACCGATGTCGTGGGGCTCGTCTGTGAGTGCCTTGGCGAGTGCCTCAGTGCTCGGGCTTCAACCTGTTCTGTGTGATCACAACCAGTCAATGCTATCAGACTTCAAAGCACTCCGAAAAGTGCCGCACATACCGCTAACTATGCCATAAATGTTCCATCATGATGAGGTACCGTGCTGTAAGAGGTTCAAGTTCATGAGTCCTTCCCACAGCTCTTTTGGTCTATGCTTGTAGAGCATTTTAACCGTTGAAACGTCGAAGCTTGAAGCTTTGAAGCTTGAAGCTTGAAGCGTTGAGTCGGAAGACGGTATACACCAAGGAGACGAAAGCTAAGCGCTCGCGCGCGCCGCTCGACTTGCTGGACCGATTGATTTGGGACCATAGCTTCAACTTGGAACTTGAAGAGAAGAGAGTTCGTCTCCCTGCATCTTCTCATCTCTCAAATGAACGATTATCATTCATGAACAATCTTTATGCATGCGCTGAGAACCTCACACTACGTCCGGCGACAGCTGCGGCCTCAGGCTTGCGAGTCGGCTGTATCCAGCGCCGCCGCGACGTGCATCCGAACATCTTCGGTCGTGCTTATTGACGAGTACAGGCTACATACGAACAAATACATCTTGCATTACGTTCCTACTTTGCATCGATCTTGAGCTGGTTCCGCAACAAACGCACATGTCGCTCGATGAACAGTAGCGCCTGGTAGATAGAGAGCCACTCCTTCATTCCCAACGGGTGTCTGCAATGCGAAATCTCCATGACTCCGGCGTTGATGAATGACCACCGGTACCGCGAAGTAGAATGTATCCACTCAATTGCTGGGAAGTTGATATCGACTTTGAATGAGTTGCTCGTGTAGAGCACGCTCAAGACAAAAAACTTCTGGTTGACTTGAACGGAACATTCCTGTTCTGTAAGGTCACGGTCAAGGCTCCAGCCTTGGTTCTTGTAATGCTTAACAAGAAGAAAGGTCATCGTTCGACGCAATGCACGAGTTATGCACTTGCGAGCAGCCATCACGGAGGCATAACTGCCATCAGAGTCGCCATGGTGAAACACCACTAGAGGCAGGCAGCCGCAATGGGACACCGTGGCACTTGAAATCCGAGAATGACAAGGCCCTATCAGCTGCTAGCATGCTGCGAGAAAAAAAATTGCGAACCCTTTAACCGGCCGTGAAATTGCAGACCAATACGGGCCATGCGGGCTGAACATTCTCCGAACTGCGTCTCCGATGAGCCTTTCGGAAGCCAATTCCCGAGCAAGTTGCTGAGATGGAGTGAAGAGGTAGGTCAAACTGAGCAGACTGCCTATCTGATCTTCAGTCGTGTTAACTCGAATGAGTAGTCGTGGCACGTATTCCGGATACTGCGACTTGGAATGTCCTAGCCAAGTATGCCCGATGACACAGCCGTTGAGGAACAGCAGGATCGTCTTGACACGCTCTGTCAGGAGTTGCACCGCGTTCTTTATGTTATCCTGCACGCCGGTATCACTCTGATTGTGGGCACATGTAAGACAATTCACGTTCTCGACATCTTGCCAGAGAGCCATGGACATACCTCTTTTCGGTATCGAGGCAGGACGGGTATTGTGGTGACAGAGCTCATTGGATGACTCGACTCTAGATGTCCAGTCGCCGCATCCCAGAAATATTTAGATAGTGTAGAAGTGTTCTCCGTTGGACGCCACCCGAAGCCACGGAAGTCCCATTCAATCTCGGGGATGCTGGTAGTAAGTTTGAATTGGCTCCTAGTACGCGAGCCCTTAGTACTTCAGCACAAATCCAACATATGCCAGTGTATTGTGACATACCGGATTTCAAGCTCAACATCATCCGTAAGCTTACAGAGATGACAATTGTCGGGAGCATGAGGTCCATGCCACTCGGAGGCACTACTACAGCGGGACCTCGCGTGGCTGACTTGTGGCCTGATTGAAGAGTGCGAATGGCCGCGAACACCCTCTTGGGACGTGGGCGTGTCATTCGCGAGCATAGGTTGCGAGCTGACACCCGATGACATGCAGTTGGTTAACGTAGTGTTTTGGGATGCTACGGTATGAGCCACGTTACCTCAGTTGGTCCACTTCTCCTAGGCTTGCGGGCTCTGGATGTTCTGTGTGACATCCTTGAAGCCAGGTTTCTACGTCTCGATGTGTCAGCTGTCGGGCTGGTTCTTGGATATCAATTGATCCGATCGGCATAATCGTCTCAAAATATTTTTGCCACGATCCTGCGCTTTCTTGAGCTTGTTGGGGGTTTCCACGCGAAGATTCAGTACGTATTTCGAGTCCAACCGACCTATCTTCCAACCATTGTCGCAGGATCTCCACATGCGACGATAGAACATCCTCGGGCCATTGGACGCGTTCCAATAATGTCACGAGGCGGACGACATGTTGTTGCAGCGAGAGGAGCGCAAGGGCGACCCGATAGCGTCCGCGAATAAACTCTGGGACATCGCCAATGCATCGGCAAGGGAAAGGCAGGGTGTCCACGACTAAAGACAAGTATGACTGATTATTGTCGTCAGTGACACAAGGGATGTGCGCCACGATGTGGATCTGTTCCGAGTCATAGATGAGGCCCATCGTCATAGCACAGGCCGGTAACAGCACCGACGCCGTTGAGCCAGTGTTCGAGTCGTGCGATGGTGGTAGTAGAGCGTCCTGAGGGCTCGGAAAGTGGGAAAATGATCGGATAACAGAATCCAGACTCATCTCCGTTGTCAATGCGAGATTGCGAAGCGTCCGTGATAAGTCTTGTTCCGTGGGGGTTGGCTCGGTCAGATCATTGTTGCTCGGCCCGGGCCATCGGGTGGGACCTTTCATGGTAAGCATAAGTGCCGGATTCATAGCACTGATTGGTGTGTATGCAAGTCGCTCCATAGACTTCGAGTTTGCAGGCCCCGTCGGGTAGTACATCAGCGCACAGTCGACAAGCTCAGGTAGAGTCGGAGTCGATGAAACCCCTGAGTCCGCATGCCAAAGATCTAGGAAAGACAAGTTTTCTCTGGAAAGCGGTCTGAGAATTTGCAACTGGTGATGACATGGTACATGCAGTGCTAAGACATTACCTGCGCACATAGGTTGAAGTAATGCCGTCAAGACTTGTGGCGATGGCATGTTCCGCTAGGACCTCTGAGTCCTGATATTGCAGTATTTGCGCGACCTGTTGTAGCGACATATGTGTTGGATGCCGCGGGCGGTCGCTGTTGTATGCAGTCCCCCAGTCAGGACGATCGTGGGTTATGTGGCGCTCAACCGGCATCGAGAAGTGTAGAGGATGATGATTCAAGTTATTGACCACCCCTGCGCGATCGGTAAGTTCTTCGTCACTCAAGGGGTGGAGGTCCGCTTCAATGCAGCGTAGATGTAGGCGGACTATGTCTCTGCTGAGATCCCCAAACCACGTTTGTTTGTAGTGCTTGTCAGAACTTCCCTCGTCCTGGCATGAAAATGCAGGGGTTGGTCAGAAGCTCCTATCAAGTTCTAGGGGCATCGACTCACTGAAATCCAGGAAGCTGGAACTTCAAATCTTTGGTGCCATGAAGACTTGAGGTCGTAGAGATAGGTGATATGATGTTGAACGGACTGGATCTGCAGGTCCGACTCGCCGGAGCCTATTGACGAGATGGAGGCAAAAGTCCATTTTGAGGCCGTCATGATGGATGAAGTTGTGACTTTGTAGAAGGCAAATGTACACGCGATGCGTTTTCAAGCTTTCCGTACAGAGCGATGGTGTTAAATCGTGACTGCAACTTGAAGTGCATATATATTACACACTCTCCAGGGCATTCATGGACGATCCCCACGGAATCGGGTTTTTTCATAGTGACGAGCGGCGAACGATGGCTAGACATAGTCACGTCTTGCTATCTATTAGCAAGTAGAGTACGTCCTCAAGCCTCACGTATCAATGAACTCTCTGCCTCCCCTCGCGCAGACGTATGACTGATAGGATCAGTGTGGTAACAGGTGAAGCGCGACACGCTGTTAGGCTCCTCGATACCTTTGTATCACCTAAAGCAGAAGGGCTAGGATAGACCCATCGCACACTTGGGTCGAATATTCACATCAAGCGACGCGAAGACTTGGTGAAGACAACGACTGCGGCAGCCTCGACTCACGATGACGGAAGGTTAGGCGCTCGCGCCGCATTTGGCGGCGGCTCGATTGCTGGACGGACTCGGACCGTGACTTGGAACTTCCGTCTTCCTTCATCTCGTCCTTATCCCTCGACTGAACGGCTTCCTCTGAACTACTTGCATGCATGCACTGAGAACCTCAAACTACGTTATATGCGTTGGCAAAACTTGCACAAGCAACCGGACGCTTCAGAACCGCTTGCGGCTGACCCCATGAGCATACGGGCTCTCAAGGATATCTCCTTTGGTTCTGTGAGTAACTGCTACCTCTGCTTGAGCTCATAGAGCTCATGAAACCTGACACATTGCTGAGATGGTCTCTCAGCTATATCGCCAGCCCTCAAATTGCACGAAGGTCCGAACATATTCGCAAATCCTAGACGCATCCGCACGATGGAATGCGCCAACAGACCGTCTGATGCCAGTGTAGACATGGAAGAAGGAAGGGTATACGGGGACTCCTCAGGGTGAGCACGACTTTCTTTTGAGGGTACGCCATGGATGAATATTGAATTGTTGCGGGGCTTGCCGGCGCCCATAGTTGGAACAATGGAGGAGAACGTGTCACTTTTCTGGTTGTACACCGTGAATCATCCGAAGCAAAGACGTTCGGAGAAAGCTAAGAAGACACAGTTTGTCAGACATGGGAAAGAGAATGCAGAACGATGTGAAAGGAGAAGCTTGGAAGCAGGTCAGTAGTAGGCGGGACATGCGCTCATGCTAGGAAGCTGAATGAGACAATCGTAGGAGCCGGCCACCTTCAACACGGGGAACTAAGTCCGCACCAAACGATGCCTTGATGGGCGTACACGCAGACTGGTCGGCAGCCTGACAGCGCCTCGCTGGTTTCTTCGAAGGCAAGCGCAAGTAGAGGCAGCAAAGAAAAACGAATGGAGATAGCATTGCGCCCTTTTAGCAGCATCTGGGTGTGACATAACAGTGAGTCTGCGCATAAAAACGAAGTCGGTCGAAACTGACTTGCTCATCGGGAGAACAGAGTGCCTTGTGTGTAGTCCAATAAGGAGAGACACCGCGGCGCTAGCCTACCGTATGATGAGGAGCCGCTCAGAAGGCCTGTGCATAGGAAGGGTGAGTAAGGATACGAACACATCTCGGATTTTCCCATGAATCTTCGTTATGCCATCAACGCGTCTGAACAACCTCCGGAGGTTGCAGACATGCCCCTCACGACACTGAAGCTTGAAGAGGACCCGGACAGCAACTGGCGCGAAGATGTGTGTCCCGAGCCGGTGATGTAGCTGGCAGACCGCGTTGTTATTGCTTTGCAGGAAGGCGACTTCCTCTCGGCGTCCCGATGTCCTTCAAGCTCAAGCTTGGAATGCAGCAATACTTATAGCTCTCATACAACGGAGACGTGATGCAGTAAGCGGACGATGCCATTGCTTGTCCCACATGGCGATTATTGCTCCTCAGCGTGCTGCGTCGTCTGAGGGCTATCCGAAGCTTGTGATTGTCCAGCGTCGGTTGGCGATACTTGACGTCGGCTGCCATCCACGGCATGTGAAATCGCGTCAGTCTACTCATGTTTTCGCCTGAAACAATTCGCTCATTGACGGTATAAATCCATCGTCCCAGAGCGAGTTGAAAGTTATCCATCCGCAACAGCCCGAATGCACTCCCCGGCGTTGACTTCCCTCCATTGCTTGTGGCCTCTGCGCATCGCTGCTTCCCTGTAAGCGACTTTCGGCGTCTACTTCCGTGGATCTACACCGCTGTGTCCGCCCTGCTCACTCGTTGCTTATGCGTATCAACACATGACCTGCTCCGTGACAGGCCACCTTCTGAGTTCTCATTTCGCCCACTCATCCGCTGCACACGCGCACGGAATTGCACCCCCGAAGGTAGTCTTGTGGACAACTTCCGATCGATCTACGAGCGCACTCAGTGCTAACTGCCAATTGTGTCCTAGGTCTTGCGGACCTACTAGCTACGTCGGCGAATTGCGGGGTGCTTTGCTGGTCAAGGTATGTCGTCATTGCCTCAACTTCCCTTGTAATTCTAGGTACTCCTCCAATTGAATCGCATGTATGGAAGTAGACGGCAGCGCCAAGAAACCATCGAATCCTGGAGCGCGAACGCTCACTCGGCCCGACTCTGCTCGCTAGGTACGCCAGTCTTTTCGAACGAGCATCGATCTCAGGAGAAGTAATCCGTCAAACTCAGGGTGTGGCCACCTTCGCCAACTCGGATGTCCACATGAGTTCGATGCGCGCAGGTACCTGTCTGCAGAGTCTGCATCGAGCGTGCACCGAGCGCCGCCATGCCCTCGGTGATAATGGCCATGCAGGTAGGTCTATGTTCGCATCGTGCTCGTGCTCGTGCTCGTGTGTTCCTAGTCTCTGTCACAACTGCTACCAACATCGGATTGGAAATTGGACTGGCATTATGTGCAGGCGCTCGCTATGGCGCGTCAATTCGTTACTTCTGCGAATGGTCCATTGGTTCTGACCACATGAAACGAGCCCCATTGAAGACCCTCCACAGCTACCTACTCCGATTTCGCAACCTGATCTTTGTACCAGCAGCCATAGACGTTGGCGTTAATCAGGCTTTTGCGTGCCGATGAGGTGCAAAGCCCTCGAAGTTGGATGATTTTTTATCTCAGGCGAGCTTAGTCAGCCCTTGGAGGACTCACACTCTCGGACTCACACTTCCGGATGCCCGACTTCAGCAAATGACAAGTTTTGTGCCCCAGGTCATGGACGTCGGGGTCATGTAGAAGCATTAGCTCCACCCCCCACCCCCCCCCCCCCCCGATCCGAGGGGTACTATTGTGGATTATGACCTGAACGGCCTCCGGACATTGGTCTCCTCGAAATGGCTATGATGACGGACCAGTCCCCTTTGGTCTGTTACGCGGTCTGTTTGATCGAACACGGGAGCCCCCGCGTGACTGGGGAAGCACCACCTCGGCGTGATGAAGAGTCGCTTCTGCGATCGGTTGTAATTCTGAACGCGCCTTTTCCTGAATCCTCTCAGCGTACCGCGTTGTCGCATTCTCACGTCCCGATGCCAGGGAGATCATGCGGCACAACTCGAAACGCAATGCATCCCCAAACACGCGTGGGTCCCGTATTTCCAGGAACGTACGACTGCTATATGGCTTAGGTCGCGAAGCCGGTCTGCTTTTGGCCTCCGTCCCTAGGTTCGTCCAGTCCTACCGTCCTCCACTCCTTCCTGCTTGTGCGCGTTGGCAGCGATGTCGGCAAGCGGCTCGGAAGACCGGCTTGTGATCGGTATGTGCGAAATGTTAGACTTGACTTCACAGGCTGACGTAGCCTTGTTTCAGCATCTGAACCCCCCGCGGGGTACGATGCCACGGGGACGCAGCCAACGGCTCCTGCAGCCGCCACACCCACGACGACCGCAGCAGAGCGCACTTCAGGCGCAACGACCGCCGCCGCTGCAAAGAAGCAGCCATTTTACAAGCGCAAATGGTTCATCGCGTGTCAAATCGTGACGGCGATAGTTGGCATCGTCCTGATCTTCGTTCTGCTCTTCCCTGTCGTCAGAGCCATCGCGCAGGCCATCGTGAACAAATCGCAACTCAACGTGGAGAAGGCTTCCATCCTGACCCCCCAAAATACGACGTGCGTCTCACTTCGGATGTTAAGTTTGCTTACGCTGACTACGGGTACAGCTTTCAGCTGCATATGGAAGGATATGTGAGCCGCGTTGCCATTGCCTGTGACGAGATTCATTGACGCCCGCGTCTGTCCAAGGTATCGCACACCGGTATATTCAACGCGAAGATAGCGTTCCGTGAGCCTATCAGCGTGGCCTGGGTCGACCAAAACGGCGACCAAGAGGTCGTGCGCAACCTCGGTACGATGGAGCTCCAGCCGCTCTACGCCAAAGGGAGCACGAAACGCGCCCCACTGAACCAGTCGACGACGTTCACTATCACGGACGAGGACGCGTTTGGAGAGTTCACTATTGCAATGATCACGCGCCAGAACTTCACATGGCGTTTGACGAGCAACAACCTTCAAGTGAACGCTCTCAGGTTTCCTGCGGCGAAAGGTCTTCACTTCAACAAGGACGTAGTCCTGAACGGGATCAACAACTTCGATGGCAAGATCGTGCTCGAAGACTTCCAGGTGCGCCTCGTGTATTGGCCAGTGAACATCGTTCTGACTCAATGCATCCTTGTCCAGCTGCCAAGCGATGCAGCGAATGGGATCAATTTCGTCGCTAAAACGAGTCTGGACAACACGAGCCCCTTTCAAGTCGATCTAGGCACATGCGTCTTCGCACTGAGCTATCGTACGTCGCATATCAGTTGGACTCATTGGACCCCTCAATAATTAACGTCGTTCAGGCGAGGTTAGCCTTGGGGAGGGAACTAGCACCGGTCTTACGCTGACTGCGGGCAACAACTCCGTTGATATGTCGGGCGTGCTTGTCAAGCATACGAATGAAACCGAACTCGTAGTCATGGGCGAACTCTTCACACAGTACCTTAACAGCGAGATCTCGCCGGTCATCGCGAAGGGAGTCAGCTCACGACAGTCTGATGGTGCTGCCGTCTCTTGGCTTTCTGCGGGGTTGGAGGCGTTGTCGCTCACGGTTCCATTCAAACCCAACGCGCCTATCAACCCCATACAATCCATAGATGTCCCGTACATGACCCTCGGGTTCACGCCGGAGACGGCTTGGCAGCCTTCGACCTCGAGCTACGGCGTGCAAGCTCACATGAGTTCGTATCCATCCATATATGATCGGTACAATGCTCATATTCTTCGACAGAGTTGCCCTTTGGCTTTCACGTGTCTATCGGCCAGATCGAGAACGCGTTCAACATCTCTCATAGCAGTAACAACATTGCGTCTCTTTCTACGGTAAGTCGCCTTCATTCTCTCACGTACTTTCAAGTGCCCACGTGCTATCCTCCTTCAGTCATTGGGCCAGTCCACGTCCGATATCAAAGTCCTGAGCTCAACGGACACCGAGGGGATCGTCAATATCACAATCGAGAACACGCCCCTTGTGGTTCCTAACAACGACGCAAATCATGACCTGTTCTCGATGTTCAACCTCAATCTCACGCAGCAAACCCAGTCAGATTTCCGGCTGGTCGGGCACGCACGCGCCGTTGCGAACATGAGCATCGGGTCTATCGTCCTCAATCCCATCAAGTTCGACGTGCCTTCGCAGCTCAAAGGCTTAGGTGGCCTTCAGAATGCCACGAAGATTTCCAGTGTCGATGTCTTAGGCGGGACGAACGACGCGATGACTCTGGCGATCAACGTCTCGATTCACAATCCGTCGAACCTCAACCTGAACACGGGCAATTTGACGATGCAGCTGTATCGCGGCGGTGGATACATGGGCACGACGCTCCTGCCGAACCTAAATCTGACGATGGGGGATAATATTATCCAAGCTACCGCGGCGTTTGACCCCAATGCTAGCGGCGAAGGCAAGCAGACTTTGGATGACTTCGTGGGTGGTACAGGTAAGATAGCTCTCACTAGCCATCTTCTGCGGCCATGTCGGGGTCTTCGCGCATGTGCGCATGTGCCCAATCGTCTCTCGCCAGTCATCCCAATCGCTCTGTTCATCGACTGACTTGTTGCATTGCAGACGCCGACATAATTATCAAGGGTTTCGACTCCAGTACCGAAGTCGCTTCCCTGCTGGGTGCTTTCAAAACGCTGAGTTTAGGAGCGACTCTGCCTGGTCTGACGTCGAGGCTTCTTGATAGTGCCTCGCTGACTATCTTGGAAACGACCGGCATCACGAACAACATCTCTCACGTCACTGTTTCTCTCGCTAATCCATTCACTGCTGCCTTGCAAATCACCAGCATCGCGTCGACGGTCTCCTCGCATGGCCTAACTCTCGGTACCATCAAGTCGACCGATGCGTTCACGTCTGACGGGAAAGCCACGACGAACTCACCAGAGCTCGATCTGGACATGGACCTCGATCCCGCGGTGATCTTCTCGTTGCTCCGCGCTCTGGCGGTGGATCAGGGGATGGACACGGCTCAGGTCGATGGCATCATGGAGATCGGCGGCATTCAATTAGCTCAAACGTATGGAAGGCGGAACGTCCATGCCAAACGCAATATTTACACGAATTTCAATCTCCCGTCATACGTTGACCAGGCATTTGCCAATCTGACGTCTAACGTCACTTTGAGCGCTGGTGTGAAAATCGGTATGTCAATTGCTTTCGTCGTCAGTGTGAACGCCCTAGTCATGATGTTTGGCAGGCGACTACGAGACAACATTGAACTATACGCAAGGTGACCTCACGACCAAGACGGACGAGAGCTTGAACCTGCTGCTTCCCGTGTTAGCTCAGCCGATCGTGCAGAAGATCGTTACGGACTCCGTTCTTGGGTATGTACGCCTATGCGTCACGCCATCCTCTCATCTCATCTTTATAACGTAGCATCGAGACGTTGACGATTAGCAATCCCACTGAGACGAGCTTCTCCGTCTTGCTCAATGGATCCATAACCAACGCCGGCCCATGTTAGTGATTTCTTTCGTGACGACGGGTACACAGTGCTGACCGTACTCGCAGTTGACGCTACGATCATGTTCTCGGATGGGCTGTCCATCGCGTGGAACAACCAGACTTTGGGAAAGATGGCGATGCCGAACGTGAGTCTCGTTGGCGATGTCGGTGCAGCCTTGAACATCCAAGAGGCATCGTTCGAGATCGCAAACTCAAATGCTCTGGAGAAGTTCACTGAGGTAAGTTGCGCTTTCTGCCGGATTTTCGTGCCCTCCGATTCATCTGTCTTCATAGGTTCTATTAAACGAGGAAAGCTTCGATTGGACCATCTCCGGTGGTGGTCTCGTTGTGTCTGCCCTAGGTATGTCGTAACATTTGCCACAGGAGCAGCTTGATCATTTCTCGCACCCCAGGCATCAATGTCGAGAACATCACGATATCCAAGTTGGTGACATTGAAGGGTATGAATGGGCTCCAGGACGGCGTTGTCATTGAATCATTCGACCTTCCTGAGAACGATCCGGCGGGCGGTGTCCACCTCACGCTGAACACGAGCATTACGAACGTATGTACGGTCATTTGCTGCCTTGATCAGCGTATTCACATTCTGCTTTAGCCATCACAAGTCGGTATCGCGCTGGATTCTATCGCGTTCTCGAACTACTATGGCTTGACATACTTGGGCCCGGTCGCATCGGAGAGTAGTTTCGATCTGGCGCCTCTGTCTACGACTAGTCTTCCGCTAGTCGGACGTCTGGTCCCTCAGAATGAGTCGAGTGGCCTCGCCGATGTGTCGACCATCTTCAACAACTTCATTCATGGCAAGGATAGTAACGTCACCGTTTACGGCGCCTCCGCGGGTTCTGCAGATGTAAGCACACATGCCATTCTCTTAACTGAGTGCAAAATTAATGATCACACCGTATGTGCGTAGGTGACATGGTTGAACCAAGCCATCAAGACACTGGAGATCCAGACGTCTCTCCCTAATCAAGGCGTCCAGAAGATCATCACTGGGGTCACGTTGGAAGAGATGTCAATGATGTTCACGCAAGACACGGCCTATGCGCCCGCAACGAGCAGCAATGCAACGACTGCTTCTTTCACCATCCCGTTCAATTTCCCCGTGGACATCACGGCAGTCGCTCAGAACATCACAGCTGCGTACCAGGGCACTGACTTTGCTCAGCTGATTATTCCTCAAGGACCGGCGACAACGGACGTCGATACTCGCATCATTCATCTGACGTTCTCGAACATCCCATTCGACGTCATATCCGGCCGAGACAACGTTTTCCAGCAGTTCTTGGCCGAGGTGACGATGTCGGCGAACGAGACGTTCCAACTCTCAGGCAACGCTGATACCGAGGCTAGTACGGCTGTGGGTACTCTATCGCTGACGGACATCTCGTTCTCGGTCGACACAACGATTGCCGGATTGCAAGGTCTGGATGCGGAGCCGGCACTTGTCCGCAACCTGGACGTTTATCATGGTTATTCTGACTACCTGCTCATCACCTGCGCGACGACGCTCCTGAACCCGAGCAACTTGACCATCGGTACCGGGGACGTTTCATTCGGCCTGCTCTTCAACGGCCAGACCGTGGGTAGCGCGGACATCGACGGTCTCGTCATCGTTCCTGGTTCTGCGAACTACAGCACGGGCGTGCATTACTCTCCGCAAGGCGAGTCTGCCACCGCCGCGGGCGAACTGATGCTCGAGAACTACATTCAGGGTGTCATTTCCTCCACGACGATTCAGGGCTCCACGGATACCACAAACGTTGACTCGCTGAAGCTAGCCATGTCTGAGGTGAAGCTGCAAGCGGACATCCCGGCCCTCCACCAGAACCTCATAACGGCCGCATCGCTCGTCTTCCCGAAGGATATTGTCAAGACTGGCGTTGCTGATGCAACGTTTACGATTGCGAACCCGTTCACCGCAAGCATCAACCTCTTGACGGTCAATGCGTCAACGTTCTACGACTCGCTCTACATCGGCGGGTTTGACCATGTTGACATCAGCAGTTCGCCCATCTCCGTCCCCGGACACGACAATGCGACCTCCTCGACGCTACCATTTGACTTCGACCTGGATCCCTTGGTGATCATCCAGATGCTCGAGTCGGCCGCACAAGCAGGTGGTGTTGACCTCGGACCCCTGACGGATTTGTTCCAGATGGTCATCGACGACCCTGATTATCATCCGAATGTGGGTGGTCTGTGTCATCTTCTCTGGCTAGTGTCGTTGACGACTGTTGTCAGGTTACTGCTACAGTTGCGGATGGGGATTCAGGATGTTCGAGGTCTGTCGGTATCCGCGACTACGATTTGTGCCATTTCTGATGAAGCCTTATTACAGCGGGAATCAGTTTGACGTCGACGATGCCATTCTGAACGCACTTTCTGGGCTGAAGGTGGACCTGACAGTGGAGAGCGGACTCAAGCTAGACGACTGTGAGTGCATTATGTATTCCATCATGACTTCGCTGACAGCAATGCAATAGTTGCCACTCAGTTATCGTTCAATCAGTCCACCGTCCCAGCTCAGGTAAGCTCGGAACATCCTTCTCCTCCCGTGACTTCCTCTTACCGTTGAATCTATAGACCGACGAGACCGCACTGTATCTCATTGGCGTAGTTGCTCCCCCAATCGTTCAGAAACTCGTGTCGGCAGCGTCCATCAGCTTCAATAGGGCCATCATCAGCGATATCTCTGAGGATGGATTCAGCCTGTCACTGAACGGCTCTCTCACTGGCACAGGTCCTCTGGACGCCCTGATCGAATATGTGGAACCGGTGGCGTGAGTGCTTAGCAGGTGTGGAATGATGCATGACCCTGATGATGAATCTCCCAAAGGGTTAACTGGCAAGGCAGCGACATTGCTACTCTCACTCTGCCGAAAGGTGCGTATTTACGAGATCGTTTGTGGCGTCGTCTCACATTCCTACTATCAGTGTGTGCTGCCGCAAATGCGGGTGTACCCAACTACCAGACCGACGCACAGTTGGCGATCACGGATCATGATGCGTAAGTGAAGCAATGTTCACCGATATACATCTGCTCATGTGTATTCAGCTTCACGGAGTTCGCGACGTATATGCTCCACAACGAGGATTTCGAGTGGACGATCTCTACCAATGCTCTCCGTGTCACTGCGTTGGGCACTGTCTTCGACGGCGTGCAGCTCACCAAGAACGTGACGCTGAAGGCATTCGATGGTCTACCGGGTGTCACTATCTCTAACTTCCAGCTGCCTGGCGATGCTCCTGAAGGCGGCATCAGTATCGAGACGGACTCGTCGATACCATCCCCGGCTCGTGAGTCCCCGACTTTCCTGACGACCTACCAGCGCTAAGTGTAGCGCAGAACTCGGGGTGTCTCTTGGTACCGCTACATTTGAGGCGTATTATGAAGGCGTACTCGTTGGACGTAAGTGCGCCTTCGTGTTGCCCAGTACAAGTCTCACGCTCTCCCATCGTAGCTCTTCAGGCCTCCAATCTTACACTGACGCCGGAGTCGACAACGTCCACGCACTTCAGCGGTCGCATGATCCCACAGAGCGGAGGAGACCTAGATGTTGTTGGCCAGCTCTTCTCTAACTTCCTTGCCGGGGAGAACCAGACGTTGAGCGTAACTGGAGAGTCGGTGGATCCAGGATCTGGTATAATTGAGTGGCTCAGCACCGCCTTCAAGACGCTCACGATCAATGTGACACTTCCTGGCCAGAGATACGAGGTACATTCTTCACATCACTCCTACGTGCGCAGTCGTGAATACAGCCACAGGTCATCAAAGCGATCACAATCGGTGACTTGGAGGTCGTCATGACGGACGACGGCGAGGCCTACAGCCCACTCTCTAGCTCGAAGTCTACGGTAGCGCAATACGCGAATCCTTTCGGATTTTCGTTGCAAGTCATCGAGTCCGCAGAGGACATCATCATTAGCGCCGGCGGTGGCGACGTGGCATCGGTAGGCTGCCTGTATCTTCGACTCAATGAGAAGATGCTAACATGTCCTCTAGCTGAGCGTACCGGGTCAGCAAGTTTCCAGTGGCACTTCGACAGGAAACGACGTCGACATGGTGCTGAGCTTCACCAGCGTCCCCATGAACTCTCTCAGCGACAGCAACTTCAACGCCTTCTTCGCGGGAGTCACCCTCCAGAACGGCGTGGCCTTCGAGCTTTCTGGGGCAGCTAACACCACCGCGCGCACCCCAATCGGTGACGTGCCGATCTCGGGCATTCCGTTCAACGTCTCCTCGTCTCTGGCTGGAATTAACGGGTTCGGTGGCACCGCGTCCATCTCAAACGTCACGATCACTGGCAGCGGTGGTAATGGTGGTGATGAATATGTTGTTTCGCCGCTGACGACGACGATCAACAACCCTTCGAATATATCGTTGGACACTGACGACATCTCGCTCGGTGTGACCTACCAGGGGACCTACATCGGAAGAGCAGCCATTCAGGTGAAGTAACGCACACAACTGTCAGTGTTTCTCTCATTAACGCACATGCAGACCTTCAACCTTACCCCTGGCGAGAATGCCATCGCGTCAGAGTTCCACTACGAGCCCCAAGATGCCAACGATACGACTGCTCAGGTTTGTCGCGATTGAAGCGTGAATATCATACCCATCGTACTTATTTCGTACACAGGCCTTCTTGGAGTCCTTCCTCACGACTGGCGACAGCCTTGCGTTGTCTATCAAGGGCGACTCCGACAGCACTTCCTTCGGATCGCTGGTGACCGCTCTGGAAGGCGTCTCGCTGAGTTCGTCCATCACGGGCATGAACGCGAACCCCATCCTCACGCACGTGAACGTCTACATCTCGGTGAGTTGGTGGACGTCTGGTCCACCCGCCTCCTGGCCTGACCTTAACCTGCTCAGCTCTCGACGCTCGTGACAAACCTTGTCGAGGTCGACTTCGACGTGCACAACCCCTTGGATGCGGACCTCGACATCTCGCGCGTGCAGGCCGATAGTGGTGTCAACAACGAGGTCTATGCATTGTACGAACTGGTCGTTTGCTTTGACCCTGTCACGCACTCACCTTGTCGCACAGCTTCAACCAGCCATTCGACTCGTTCGTTATTCCGCCCGGTGGGACAGTGAACAGCGGGAAATTCGGGAATGTGCTCCTGACGAAGGGCGCTCTCGCATCTCTGCCGATTATACCATTGGGCTACCTCGACGTCGCGTCTGCGCAGACTCTGACGTACGTGGCTCCTCACTACTACATTGGTTCTTTTCTGACAATCTGTACAGCATCGCAGTAGGAGGATACGAGGTCCCTTGGATGAAGCTCTGGCAACCAGGCACGCCGACAGAGTGAGTGTTCCTCGTCCCGTACAATGCGCATCCACGGGCCGCTCATGCTCTACGACAGTTACCACCTGGACATCCTTGGGCTCGATTTCGGTGATCTCGAGTCGGCACTGTCGAACAACTCGAGCTCGAACTCGATCATGTCTGCTGCGTCCTCCGCTGCAGGCATCGTGGCCTCCGCGACATCAGCCGCGGGGAGCGCCGTCTCTTCCGTGACGTCAGCCGCGGGGAGCGTATTCTCCTCTGTGACCTCGTCCGTCGGCGGCGCGGTGTCGTCTGCTGCGTCGGCGGCAGAGAGCGATGCGAGCTCGTTCGCCTCTGCAGCGAGCAGCGCCGTGACGTCCGCCGCGTCCGCCGCACAGAGCGTTGGGTCCGCAGCGCAGAGCGGCGCGGCGTCCGTAGCGTCCGAAGTGGCGAGCGACGTCATGGCCAAAACCGCGTCGCCCGCGACAGCGTCCAGCTCATAGACGGGCTCGCACGACGAACCGTCATCCCTACCGAATACCCGGCTAATGTGTACAACGGCATACGGACAATACGGCATATGTGGCGATACCTTGCATGATTCTTGACGGCTTGTACTTCTTATGTGTAACTCTTATGACGATTTGACACGTTCTGTGACGGCTTGCGGTATACACTCAACTTACATACCGCTGTATTAGTAGTACCAGTTCACCGTATTGGCTTTTTGGCGGAGTGCTGTATCTTTACCAGTCGTTTACATGTATGCTGCATGTACGAGCTGATGATTCCATGTTGAATTGCAAACTGTACTCGTCTGACAGTCACGGCTCAGCAGGCCTTATTCGACTCGGAGCACTATCGAAGTATTGCTGATCGGGTTTGAAGTATGATCATAACTTATGCGAGTCTTGAGTAGAACCATAGAGTCATATCATCTCCCGGTGTCCTACTAGACTATGCCATGCTCTCCAGTCGACCAAGGGTTCCCTAGACGTACGCGTTCGGCGCCGTGCGAGCCTCGTGTTGAGCTGCATGGCTGATCGCTTGTTCAATAGAGCCATTTGGTCATTATTGTCGACGCCGACATGCGGCCGGATGAAGGTCGGTACCGTCGTCGGCGACTGCAGTCCGCTCAACTTGATGGCCTTCACGCGCGACACGCGTCAGTGTCAATGGGTATCCGAGTTTGTCTGTCGGTCACGCGACCGCGACGCGGGGGGACGCATGAGCACTCAGCACAAGTCCTCGGTGCATAGTCCATAAAAGATGTGAAATTCAGGATGATCCACAAGATGGGCGACCGGAGAGTGGACGACGTTAGTTTTAGCCGGATACAGCGTTGTCGTCAAGATCGAGTTCGCGTCGTTGACCCAGGCGCTCGCGCTACCACAGTGGGCGCCTACTCCGCGTTCATCGCTTCGACCTCCTCACCCATCGCTCCGTTTACGTTCCCTCGCCAGCTCTGTTCAGTCCCGGATGTCCTCACAATAATCACCCTTTCTTACTTCTACTTACATGAGCACTGGCAAGTTCTCAGCAAGGCCACTCTCCCTCACTGGGCCCCGTCCGCTCCAACTCGTAGATGGCAACGCTCAGCCAGGAGGGTTAGGTTCGCCCTCCGCATCCTCGTGTCCTTCTCCTACCATCTCTGGCCTCTCTACTCCTCCACCGACGGCCAAGTCATCTAGAAGCGGCAAATCTCGCCGACAGTCTTCAATATCCTACTTCCCTAGCGATAACGCGCCAACATGGGCGTTACGCTCCCCGACTATCGCTGTTTCGCCATCGCTGAGGCGGAGCGCGTCCGTAGGCCAGCCTGTGAAGAGTCCACCTGTTGCGGGTGACAGACGGAGTCTCGGGAGCTCAGAAGGGCTGCAGTCACCTCGGGGTGATCGTGGACCACTGACTCTCACGGAGAAGTACGTCGATCCCTATAATCTTCTGCTTCTCGGGAAACGAGATTAACGTGGATCGTAGACATGCCGACCTTTTGCAATTCATTGCACAGAAAGAGTCGAAATGTTTGGAGCTGCGCTCACAGTTGGCTGTGCACGAAGCCGAGCTTGCACAACTGAAGCGAAAGTGGGAGCGTATCGTCAGTCGGGGCGTGGACCGCGCGGCTTCAAGCGCCCCCAACTCCTCGGTCGCAAGCCCGCTCTCCCCGCTCGACGGCATCAAGGAGGGTGTGCAGGGCGTGAGCCGCCTACTGCTCGGCGACCTCTCCTCCCCCTCCACATCCTCACCGACGGTACCCGTGCAGTCCGTTGCCGGCTTCGCGACGAAGTCGCGTGCCGCACATCGCTCGCGCGGACACGCCACCTCGCAGAGCACATCCTCTGTCTCCACGACGGGAACGACATCGACGAGCGTGCGCCTCTCGCAGTCGTCCGCGTCGTCCCTCGCCTTCGACGACCCGCCGCGCGAGCTCGACGAAAAGGGCGATCTCGCAGAGCAGGAGTGCCGCGGGAGCGTGGAGATCTCGCCCGCGAGCGCACTCAGGGCCGCGAAGCTGCACCGCCGCAAGTCGCGAGACTGCGCCCCCGCGCCCCTGCCGGACTCGCCGACGACCCCGAACGCCGCGTCCGCGATGTCGCCCACATCCGCCGCAAGCAGCACACGCGCGAGCAAGCGCGCTAGTTTGAACCTGGCGAGCGGCCTACCGCCCCCCGCGATACCCGGTGTGGGCGCGTTGGCGGTGCAGCCGATGTCCTCGTGGATGGAGACGGTCGGGAGCAGCGTCGGGCGGAAGTGGGAAGAGTTACAGAACGGCGATACGTGCGTCATCTCTTCGTTTCATTCACACGCGCTGGCTGTGTCTGACGGTATGATATAGGTTCACGAAGGGCCAGAAACGCGCATCCGTCCTGTTCTCGGACGTGTCGCAGTCACTCTTCTCCGCGCTCGCGTCGCCTGGCCCCGTGTCGAGCAGCTCCGTGTCAATATCAACGAACCCGTTCGCGGCGACGCTTTCCCCGCTCTCGACGTCGCCTTCGCCCTCACCCTCGCCGGTCGGCGCGCAGGCTGCGTCATCGTCGTTGTTGGAGGACGATGATGGCGCGCAGGGACTCGGCAGCGTGTTGGTGCCTGATTCGCGATCACCACCGATCTCGAGCACCCCTGCGAAGCCCAGCAGCCGCGATCAGAGCGACGACGAGTGGAATTGGTAGACTACGTGGTTGACGCGGCTTGGATATGTCCGTCGCGTTGCGCACGCTATTCCGCTTACGCTTTCCATGGCTGCCGCGTGGGTATGCGCTACATAATGTGTTGATACCTATGACGAGTGTCCGCAGGTGGACATATTTGTGCCTGCCCCAAATCATCAACTGTTGCTGTGCATCCTCAATCGTGACTCGGAATTCATCAAGGCTTCAATTCAACTGTCGCAACAATCTTGTATACCACCGGGGTTACTCCATGCCTTCTACAGACTGCCGATTCCGGTGCAAGAACTCCTTCGCGGCCTCCGTCCATATATCAGTACGTGCTGATTCCTGTTACTACACGGCGACTGACGACTATGAGATAGTGTCAATATTGCGATGATTTTACACTAGACTCACAATGCACAGCAGTTTCCTTCATGCCTTTTATGTCTTTTTTGCTGGTCTTTGTTCACTTCGTCGATGGATGTCGGTAAAATTCCGAACTACATCCAGACGTCGATACCTCTTCTGAAGGCGTTGATTGTGTGTGGACACTGTCAGAATGGCAACAAAGACTATCCAAACTTCCTCCACTGGCATGTCCACAGCAAGTGCATACTTGGCAATGACCCGTGTGCGCAGAGTCCAGGAATACTGATCTTGACCGTTCTTCTTCGTCTTGGCAATAGCAGGGTAGTTGGCAACTATGGTGAGATCATTGGCACCATAGAACACTCCAAATGTGACATCCAGTTCATCCAGTTCATACTTGGTGAGTTGCTCAACCTCTGTGTCATATGGAAGTTTGTGTTTGTCATAGTGCATGATGATGACAACCAGCTCTGTTGGATGGAGTGCTGCACTCATTTGGGTGATGGCTTTTTTGAGTTCTTCTGGTCCACGTTTGGCTTCAGCAATGAAGGTGATCACATCTGGAACAGCTTGATCTGCAAGTGTGCTGTCTTCCGATTGTGTAACATCCCATTGGCCTTCCATGGGTACCTGGGTCTGTTTGCCTGTTGCTTCTGCTTGGATGAACATGTCGGGGCTTGCACCCTTTGTAGTCCGTGATAGTGCATAGATCAACTCAGCAGGGGAGTTCCTGGACAAAGGTGAGGGCATGAGTCATTTAATGATTGATTAGAATGCTCACGATCCAAATTTGAAGCCTTTGCCTGCAGCACAGCGCATAATGGTGTCAATCACAATGCCAACGTGTTTCTCCGTCACTGTCTCCGTATCCTTATAGCTTGCTGGTTGAACCAATAATAGGAACACCAAAGCAAAACAACAAGAAATTGCATCAGCCCTTGTCAGAAGATCTGGCACAGATGCTTTCAAGTCATCATGATCTTTTGTTTTTGCATTCTTCTCCTTAGCCTCAAGTTCCTGGATGTTCCAAACCTCCACCATATTTGCCTGTGCAAAGGAAAATGCCATGTCAGTTATGAAGTATCTCCCTTGGTTGCTTTCATATTTCTGTATGTTGTTCTCTATGGATTGATTGATGACCAAGGATGAGCTCTGGCCAAATTTAATCATTTTGACAGGTATATCTCAAGACATGATGAGCTTACTGGGTGGTCCAGTCCCATGAGATCTTGTGCATCTTCATATGATACTATGAGGTATCGCTGTAGCTTGCGCAGGAATTCATGGATCTTCTTGGTACAGATGCCAACATCTTCATTGGATTTTGAAATCCCATATAGTGCCACTTTATCAATTTGCGTATGGTCCCAGTCATTCAAAATATTGATATTCTGCTTCTTGAGACTGTTGAGACTGCTGTGTGCACTACTGCAAGATACATCAGCAGCACAAATGGTCAAATCAATCATAGCTCTACTATATTTGGCATCAGGAACAAACCTTGCAGGGACTTCAAGGTCTCGCTTGAAGCCCAACAGATCCCGGATTGACTGGTAGGTGATACTGGGATTGACCTGCTTAGCATTGAGCTGTCTTGGTGTCTTTGGTGTCATGCTTGTAGGTGTTGGATGAACAGGCTCTTGTGTCTCCAAGCTGTGAGATGCTGCACTTTTATAAGGTGCAGACTGGTCCATTACATAATCACTATGAGTCAGCCAGAACGATGGGACAATTGTTAAAACAGATTGCTAAACAAGGTGAAGCACAACAATAATGGTCTGATAATCAGGCCTATCATCAACAATCAATATGTTCCATCTTCAGGGTGCTTGTGTACGTTGGGAATGTGTGTTGTTTTGCTATTATATTGCTGAAGGTTCTTATTGTGCCTAAGCTTCACACAAGGCTCCAATAAGTTGGGATTGTAAGCTCATGGTGTTGTGCATCATGTACAGTTGATGCCGCCGGCATGTGGGATGCTAAGATGTAAGTGCTGGTAGTTAGTAATGTGACAAATCTGACTGAGGGAACAGTGACTTGTGGCTGCAGTGGTACAGGTAGCCCCAATGCGGCTCCGAGTACGGCATATACAAAATGGAAAGAGGTCTAGAATGAGCCAAAGGTGAGTCAGAAAAGAGAACACAAAAGAAATACAAAACAATAAGTCTATTTGTAGGGCCGAGCATCGGGCGCTCGTGCGATGTATCCTGGCGCCCACGCATCGGCCTCAGTAGTACACACATTTCTATTGTGAAGCTGAGACTGAAACATCATCAATTCATTCCTGTGTCTGTTTTGTGCTCCTGTACCCACTATTTAAGCTGCAGACTCGAGTCGTGATTCCTCAGAGATACGCAACACCTTCTGATCAACCTACTATGCCGCCACCTGCTAACTGGACATTTGCCGCATCAATCAAGAACACAGATACTATCCTAGTCGACTCGGATGAGATTGAGAACTGTTGCTCACAACAAATTGAATATCTTCGTGCCCTGAAGGCTTCTTGGTACGGGACTCACTATGACTCAGAAGTCCTGGCTAGCTGGAAATCGGTGAAGTTTCCTATCATTTGCTCTGCTGTCGGGAAAGAAGTTGATACTGGAACCGCAGCTCAAGTTAAGTGGAACACCGTCGGAGGATGATGGATATCCAGTTGCAACTGCATTCAATGTGCAGATCATCGGCGCCCAATTGTCTCATGTGTCAACCTCCGAGACCCTTGTTTCCGACTTGGAGAATAGTGGAGGGTCGGACGTGAACGTGGACCACTCTACAGTGCATGATGGTCTCTGCGCCAGGCTGAGACGACCAGTGTCTGTTACGCGCTGCTCAAGCTCTGCATACTGGGCCGGGTGGTACCCACTGAAGGCCGATGAAGCAAATGTTGACCTTGCCATGACGCTGTTTCAGGTAGCCCAAGTACTGCAGTATCAGGACTCACAGTTCCTGGCTGAACACGTTATCGCCACTGCATTTGATGGCATTCCTGGCACCTATGTTCGAAGGTATAACCTCTAATGGTACTCGGACACACTCACATTGCAACTGATTCTGTATATTCGATCGTGATCAGGAAGAACTTGGGCATACTGGGGCTTAAACACACTGAACACGCAATTGAACCCGTCGATTGCGCAGTAATTCATGTCCCCACAGGGCGTTCGGTCGAGTCTGCCCTCGAATACCTGGCTCACATCCCGATCAGCGCCAAAAGCCCAGCATTTGTTCTCTGTATGAAGGGACCTATGCAATGGGAAAGTGGCTCATGGCAAGCCGGTTCAACGGGATCACAGAGGCCAGACCTGCAGTCGATCATACACGATTTGGCACGGTTGGCAGAAGTCAGCCTATCTTCTATGGTGCAATGGTGGAGCACACGTCAGTTTGTAACCCTCGTCATGATGTATACACGCTAACATCGACTACCACAGCTAGTACAGATGCACAGACTATAGCCTTCCCGCCCGCTTGTGCGATGACAATTGGCCTTGTCTACGACTCAGAGAACATCCATATGGTGGCGCATATCCCCTATCACACAGATGGCAACTACAAGTACCTGTCGCTGCTCTTCGATAAACTTCCCTTCCCCTCCCGATGCACTGGAAGTGTTCACGAGTTCATTCAAGGTCGCTACCGAGTCGCACTCGCACTTCTCTCCCTACAGCAACACATCTGTCGTCTCACCGAGCTCCCACAACAGCGGCACCTGGATTCTGTGCAAGCACCGCTCATCGTGCCATTCCCTGGGACGCGTGTCGATGACGAACAGATACAAGCTACAGACAAGTCGGAAACAGAGGTAGAGGAGCCGTATGGGCTAGGCCGGGAACAAGTCGAGAACTGGCGCCGGCAGACGACTCGGACGCTCGAAGCAGGTATGGAACCAGAACTTCAAGAGTATATGACCGGGTCCGACTCAGACAGGTGATGGTGATTTGGTGACTGCTTGTCAGTACCCGTGAACTCACTACACCATAACGCAGGCCCAGATCAAAGGATGCTGCGCATCAGTCGTCTGTCATGCACTTCAATGATGACTCGGACTCCGCGGATCCAAACTTTACTCCTATCAGTCCTGTTGAGGACGTGTACAGGCGTTTCACTGTCTCTCTGGAACGGGAAGACCAGCAACTATTGTCTCTTATGAAATGGCTTGCATCTCCGAGTCATTCCTGTGATACTTCGAGGTAATGTGTCTGACTCTCACTGCATGCACGTTCACCTACTCACAATGTTTGTACAACGCTCTAGTGACAGTTTACTATCGCTGACAAGAATTGTGTGCGGCCACGATACAATACTGCCAATGGCTCCACTGATGGCTGAGCGATGGAAGCACCTTTCGCTACCATGGGGAAAAGTGTATGAGTCTGCGAAATTGTTGCGTTCCTACGCCCGCGACGCAACCAGGGGATTTTTCATGACCGGTTTCAACAAGGAGCGGACAAAGGCCATTCCTGTGGGGTTCTATGAAACACAAGAGGTAAAGTTCTACTTATGGCTCATAGGCCATCAACGCTTGCATTAACTGATCTCATCGCCTACTAGTACGTCACTCAGAGTGATGGTGATACGCATGCGCCGCAATCTCAGGCTACTACTGTTACTGCCGCACAATTGACCTCTGGTCTCGTCAAGAAAACCATGCAATTCTGCAGTCAATATATGACATCCGAGGACAGTTCTTGGCTGGGCTCGGGCTCTGGCCGCTCCGACGACTACATGGAGTCGGTGCCGAGGGTCTACGTTCGAGATGACGCGACAGCGGAGCAAAGAGCCAGTATCTTGACTCTCTTTCACCCCTGTGCTCCTTCCTTGCAGCTAGTACAAGAGCTGGCTTCTGAGCACCTCATCGGAGACACGATCCTGAAACTCCTTGCGCCTTACTCGGGCTATTTCGCCTTTGTGCCTCCAGTCATAGGGTACGTTGTCTTCTGCCTGCGATCGATCCGCACAGAGTTTGTAAGCCTTGCGCTTTGCTTACTTCATTTTACAGGGCCCATTCCGCCATCGACGAGAACTGCCACCTTCCGTTGGCAGTGATCTTACCTGGCGATCCTAGTATCAAGACGAAAGATATTCCGGGTGTGAGGCGTCGTATGGCTGAAACTCTCAGTCGTACTCTCACCACGCTTGTCTTGCATCATTACCGCAACAATGACTGGATGTACGATCGGAAACTGACTGAGGAAGATGCAGCGATTCACTTGGACAAGCACTTCTTCGTCTTCAGTATCTTCTATAAGAGGGACTACTTCAGCATCGACATCAACTACCCCGTGGTTGAGCCAGTCATTCCAAAGAGCAAGGACTACATCTGGAGATTCTGCAGTGTAGAGGGAATGCACAGGACGCTGGAGGACCGTGTGCCACTTGGTCCCGAGGATAAACACCCTATTTTCCAAGCACTTCTATTTGTCGAACAGCATATACACTTGCTGCGACGTAAACTTACCTCCAGCGGGATGGAGCTGTAGATTAACACGGTTGCTTACTTCCTTCTGTAATCATTCCACTTCACGAAGCGACACAGATGTAGATTGATTGTAACAAACCTGTCTTCACTGGCAGCTCGCTGAGCGCGCTGAGCGCTGAGCAGCAGCTCCTGTGCCAGCCAACGGGCTCCGCAAACATAAATGGTCTGTCATCAATCTAACCAAACGATCACGGTGTAATGCCACAAAACGTCCCATTCTTGCTAATATGTGTTGAGCCATGGCCCTGTATACAGCTGTGGTCGCATCTCTTCACTGAAATCATACCGCGTCTTCGCTCCAACCATATGAATAACTACATGAGTCCGGTTCTTGTGAAGTATGAGCCGTAGCGTCTACTCGGTGATACTGCATCCAGCGAACAAGCCTCTGATGCCCTGCGCCCGACACATCGCTCTGTACTGAGGAACGTAGGGTCCGGATCCTCAGCTGCCCTTGACCGCGACTTCCGCCTCCGTCTGTATTGCGCGCTTCATGGTGTCCGCCAAGAAGCGACGTTGTAGGCAATATTCGCCGCGGCACCAGACACAGCGGACCCCCATGTACGCAGTTCCCTTCTGTGGTAAGACGGGACGTCGCGCCGCTTGAGCAGGAACGTCGCGACGACCTCCTTTGAACGCGAACCATGCGGCATCCCCACCGGCCTGCCGGATGAGGGTCGCGGTTTGGCCGAGCCACATCCCACGGAACCCAGGTATACGGATGATGGGCTTGAGGATGGAGCTGGGGCCGGGAAGCTTGTGGAGAGACGAGCCAGAGATTTTTGCAGGGCGAGAGGCAGCGGGCGCAACAGAGGATAGGGCTGCCACCGCAAGAGCGAGGTGCCCAAGTGTTCGTCAAAAGTGTGTCGCCGGCTGCTTCTCATACCAGTGAATGGCGTTTCGGAGTTCTGTGTACAACCAGAAAAGCGACACGTTCTCCTCCATCGTTCCAACCTGCGTTTTGCTGAAAACGTGAGCGCTATCTTGTGGAGGGCAAGCGAGCGAAAACACACGAGTTCAGTGGGGTCACCGCCGACTGCGCGGTACGTGCCGCACTTCTGGCTCAAGAAGTCGTCGGGGGCGCCCTCTCTGCGCGCCCGGTCGTAGCCAATCGACTCGCCTGGACATTCAAACGTCGGTCACTCTCGCGACGAAGTGGAGGAGCATGGAGCACGACGCACCCTTCGAGCAGCTGGGGAAGAACTTGAGCGCCGGGTGGCTCTGGACGCCGTACGTCTCGGCAAAGAAGTGCAGCGATGCAAGAGACCAGCTCGCCGTGCCAGCCGCCCAGCGCAGCGCCGCGATCCGTTGCGGGCGTTCGCCCTACAGTCACGTGCAGCGTGGCGTACGCGTCGATGTCTTGCTGACCGGGTTTGACATTAAAGCCTTGAGCTACCCCGGAGCTACCTCTGAGACCAACGCATGGCCAAAGGGGCCGCCGGCCGGCAAATGCGCCAATTCTTACACCCAGCCAGCTAGCGATGCCAGCGCTTCGCCGCGCCGCCTTGCGCACGGGCCGTTAGTGACGGAGAATATGTTACCTATTGGGCCACAGCCCATGAGTTAACCAGGAGTAGCGCGGCGCAGCCGATTGGAATGCGGGTGAGATGAAGAACGCAGCCACCGTCGAGAATGTCTGTCCTATGACGGCGGCGCGCAGCGACCTTCTTTCAGGGCACCCCCTCCCCTTTATACCCAGCCCAATATGCCAAAACAGAGCACACGTGCATGCATTAAACAAACGCGACCTCGCGAGTCGCGTCGGACACATGATCGCGTTTTATAACGTTAGCGCGTTCCCACGTGATTGCTTCCATCGCGGCAGGGGTTGGCTTGGATAACGCCATCCACGGATATCCGTAGATATCATCCGTTTCCCCGCCATCCGTTCTCACCAATAACCATCCGTTTTCCTGCACAATTTACTCCCACGGTAGGTGGGGTCACACGCAGTCAGAGATTCGTAACGAGATGGTCACAAGCGACGGGAGGTCGCCTCTAAGTAAGTATCGCTCTCTATCTATGTACTACCTGCAACCCGCCTCTGCCCGCAATGCGCACGGGTGCTCGTGCAGTGCAGGTGAGCGAGCGGTTGCAAACTAGATAATGTCTGCTCAACGCTGTCTAGTCCGTTGCTGCCTGGCCACACCCGCAACCTCGACAACCCCACTTCAACCTCCAAATTTCGACATGCCGACCCACGAGTCTGCACCGATGGCGCCGACGCCGGTGTCAGTGGCACCCAGACCTGCAACAACGCCTTGGAGAAGCACCACGAGAGCGAGCCGGGCAGACACAAGGGCAAGAGAAGGTGAGTGGTCTCCAACCTACGGTCTCGGGCACGGCTGATACCGTACGAGCACGGAGTGCATGGCGACAGCGCGCACGCAGGCTGAATTCCCCGCGCGTAAACACAGCTGACAAGCGCACCACGACCACCAGCACGTCGCCGCGATGGGAGACGGAGACCGGGAAGGACGCCGAGTGGACGGTAGGTGTGGGCGCGGGCGAGCGGATGGCGGGCACCATTCACAGCGGCGACGTAGGGCCCAAGGATGATCGCCGGGTTGGCCAGGTCTGCAAAGCAAACCGGCTTGCGCGATTGCAAGACTTGGGCACTGTAGTCTCGTCCGGAGGGCGTCGCGACACCCAACGCCTCGTCCATCCTGCACCTCCTCCGCGCGCACCCGTCTCCGCTCACGCCCGCCGAGCTGTCTCCACTCTACATCACCTCCGCGGACTTCCACGCCGCATTGAAGCAGGTGCAGCGCTCTGCGAAGCGCGAGGGCTTTACCTCTGTGCCCGACGTTACTTGGGCGGACGTAGGTGCGCTGCATGCGACGCGCGAGGAGCTGCACATGGCGTTTGTGCAGCCGATCAGGAGGCCGGAGCTGTTCAATGGTGTCCGCGTGGGGCGGGCGTACATCAGTCCTCTCTGACACATATGGCATTCAAGACAGGGATTCCAACGTTTTGACCAGCCTATGCTCAGCGCCCGTCCTTGGTTGTACGGCGTGCTCATGTGGGGCCCGCCGGGTTGCGGCAAGACACTCCTGGCGAAGGCGGTCGCAAACCTGAGCAGGGCGAACTTCATCAGCGTGAAGGGGCCGGAGCTGCTGAACAAGGTGGGTACCTCTGGTCTTCATCCAGTCTTCGCACAATTTGATCAATACGCCGCGACAGTACGTCGGCGAGAGCGAGCGCGCCGTACGCCAGGTCTTCTCGCGCGCACGCGCCTCTGCGCCATGCGTGATCTTATTCGACGAGCTCGACGCGCTGGTGCCGCGGCGGGACGAGGCGCTGTCCGAGTCGTCCGCGCGCGTCGTGAACACGCTCCTCACCGAGCTCGACGGCCTCGACGCGCGCCGCGCGGTGTACGTCATCGCCGCGACGAACCGCCCCGCCTTGATCGGCCACGCGATGTGCCGCCCCGGCCGCCTGGACAAGCTCCTGTACGTCGACCTGCCGAGCGCAGAGGAGCGCACGGAGATCGGCCGCACGCTCATGAGACGAGAACCACGAAAACGCCGCAAGCCCAGGGAAGGACAAGAAGGCGTCCTGCAAAGGCCCGAAGGTCGACCGCGGACAGGTCCTGCTCAAGCGCCTCGACGCCATCATCGCCCAGGAGCCTACCTTCCTCGTCCCCGACGACTCCATGCCGTTCCCGCTCGTCACCGCGGACGCCCCGCTCCGAGGGAGGGTGATGAAGCTGCTCGAAGACATCATAGCGCAGGGACCCCCGTCGCTCGGCCCAGCCTCTGACACGTCCGACTGAGACGCCTCGAGTGTGGAGAGCCCGTTCCCGGTTACGCCGCCGACCTTCGCTGTGGACCAATGCCTCCAAGTGCTGCGGCCACTCGACGTCGTCCCGCTTCTTCGTCTGTCTTCATCGCCCGAGCACCGCGTGATCCTGCTCCCCGAGTCCTCGCCGCCGCTAATACAAGAGTCCCTTACTATGACCCATGAAGAAGAGATCTGGTCCAAGATCACCGAACACGGAGTTTCCCTTGAACAGTCGCCGCCATGGGCGGGCTCCCACTCTAGACAGCGGGCGACTGCTTGGTCTTTCGCATCGAAACGTCCCCGAATATGGAATATCTCCAGCCGCCTCCTCCATCCTCCTGGAACGCACCGAAGGAGGAGGACGTGCCAAAGCATGTCTGCGTGCCGAAGATGATCGTGAGGCTAGTCAGGCCGAGGCCATCGCAACTTCGTGGACCGCCCGTCAGGCCAGCTGGTGTCTGAGCCTCGTCCATCGGCCCTGACGTTGATCTTGGCCTCTCGATTCTACTGAAATTCTCATCTTCAGCAGCGTCGGCACCCAACGCGGGAGATGCTCACTTTCTCGTCCCTCCTCTGGTCATGGCTGCGGCCACACCTGTTCATAAGACTGTGTCGCTGTCCACGGGTAACTTCTGATATTTGCAGTATATTGCTTCGTATTCCTAGTTATCTTGCCATGCATTTGTCACGCCTTCCAAATTCTTGTTCCTCATCCACAATCGCTCTGGTTGTCTCCGGTGTCTTCCATGTACTGTCATCCTCGTCTTAATCCCTTGGCTATTTCGATGAGTGCACCTACCCAATCTGTATCAGCATCATATCCGCCTCCGCGGTGGGCATCACAACCTAGTGTGTTGAATACTCCTATTACATATTCGCCATAGGAGGCGATTCGCGTTTGTCAAATCTCCATAAGCACTAACGCGGATACACATGGCGTGCCCATGTGCGACGCGAATAATGGCGCTTCCATGTACTACATCGAGGGGCTGGGCCTGAGGACAAAGTGATTGAGTACCCAAGTACACGGATGAGGAGACACATGCACGCTGAGAGTCGCGGATCATGCCGAAGGAACGCTCAAGAACTGGCGAATATAAGAGACCATCCCTGGAGCTGCTGCCGCGCAGTGTACTGCACTCGAGGTCTGGGGTTGATTTCCAGGGCATCGTACCATCTCAGCGGGGGGAAGAAGACATACGAAGAGGCGGCGACACCATGCCCTTGGATACAACATCCTCCCTTCCGCCTTGATGCGCCTATAACTCTTCCCCGTCTCACCCTTCAATGCGACGCGCATGTCGTAGTCTTAGTCTACGTCGAGGAGATGCCTGTTACGGGCGAGGGGAAAGCAAATCTGACCTGGGTGGTTAAGACGAGACCTATCAAGCAACTCGGGAAACGCCAACACCTAACCCTAGAGATCGACTCACAACGCTCCGGGGTAGGCAAACTCACCTCCGTTGTCGAGTTGCGCCGCCATTGGATCCTGTTTACCGTGTCTGGCGGCCCCTTTCTGTGCAACCTCCGCGTCCCCGTACCGTGGGCGGCCCTCGACGACCTCGAGAGCTTCACCCACTCCAAACTGTACTTCACACTCCCCGTGCTGCCTCGTCCGCACGAGGAGTTCCGGCGAAACCCGCTGTTCACGAATGACGAGGAGAATCCGTACGCCTTCGAGCCGCCCGAGAGAGGAGCATCGGAGTTGGAGCCTGCGGTGCGACTCGCTCGGATTACGTGTCAATGGAAACCCCCTTCGCTAGACAGGAGCGTTGACTCGGAAGGGGAGGTTCGGTCCAAAAGCCACTGAAGAAACCGGTAAGTGTCATCTTGTCCCGAAAGCGTAGCACACGCAGCATCTCACCCATGCGTCCTATGTTACATAGGCTTGGCCTGTATATTCGGGTCAGAAAGGTCATCTTGACGAGATCTGAAGGTATGAATGATGAATCTACTCACTGCCCGACATACCGATGATCGCCCACCTCAGAACAGTCGTCTCAGCGGCATGCCACCACGTCTCGCAGCCGATAGGAAGTCGAAGGGGGCACGAGAGAGGCAGCCTACGGGAGACTGCCTCATCCTTGGCCTTTCAAGCGACGAGAAGAAATTGAGTGCCATGCACTCTGACAGTGCTGGAATGCGTCCTGGAACTTATATGATCGTAAGCCAGTAGTTGGTAAAATGAACACCGACGCACATGTTCCCTCCAAATTGCGCCAACGGCTATCCCAAGTAGTTTGTGATCAGATTTCAAATTTCAAGAGCGACATGACATGGCTCAGAGCATGCATAAGTCAGCAACAAGCAAGAACGCGTCAGAGCTCGAAATCGAGATAAAAAGTGCATTCAACGCGTCTGTCACAGGCATGTGCGCATGTAACGTCACGCTGCCACTCGCAAAGCAGCGGATGAATGAGTGGTTAGAAGTACAGGCACGGATTCTGGTCTATAATTCAGAATTGAGCAACACAATCTACATATACTTATGTTGCTTCTAGAAGCGCAATAATCCGGGGGCGCCTTCACGGAGCCTTCTTGACGACGCGAGACAATCACACCAGCCTCCTAAACCGCAACTCCACCAGCCTCAGCGGGACGTAGAACAGCGCCGTCGCCACGAACGCCAACTCGAACCCAATGTCCCCCGTCGTCTTCGCGAACGGGCCGATGAACCACACCTGGTCCATCGACGGCACGATCAGGCCGCACGCGAGGAGGCACGCGCCGATGGCCGCGAGCCCGAGCGGGAGCCGGCGGTAGTCGTTCCAGTAGCGCAGGTCGTAGAGGGCGAAGTCGCCTCGGCGGATGACGAGGTGCTCGACGATGACGACAGCACAGAACGCGCTCGACCAGTAGCCGATCAGGCCGAGGAAGTTGCTGAGTGCGTCGTAGAACTTGTGCTGGCCCACGATTGAGAGCGGGATGATGCTGCGGGGGTGTCAGCGCGAGACGCATTAGGCGGAGGAAGTGGGACGTACATCGCTATGGCGAGGACGGAGAAGAAGTATCGCGGCACGTACATGGCCTGCGGGATGAACACCTGGAAGGACATGCAGAACGAGTAGAGCGTGATCGCGATGTTGCCCGTCGCGCTCAAAGCGAGCATCACTGTCAGGAACTTGCCGAAGTTCCCGACGGGGCTGAGGATCGCCTCGAGCAGCCCGCCGACGTTCCCGTTGTTGTACCCGTCGTTCCACGCGGGCACCGCGGACGCGGCAACGGTGAACGAGGCGCCGAGACATTGCAGGAGGATCTGGGGAGAGGTCAGGACTGCGCATCTAGAACGAGGAGGCGAGACGCACGATGGGGACGTTGAGACCGAGATAGGTGTACGTGAATACCTTCCAACTGCGAGCCAATGAGGGAGTATCAGCGACGCTAGGTACGAGGGACTTACGCTGGGACGTCTGGCGTGTAGTATAACGTGTAGTCCGAGCTTATGGGCGCATAGCTTATCACGAAGCCCGCGATGACCGAGGCGAAGCTCAGGATGGCGGCAGCAGTCGCTGGTTCTGCCGGAGGAGGGTTTATGAGGTGTTTGCCGCCAAGCCCGGCAGCGACGACGTATGCAACTAGCACTGGTATCCACATGAGTCGCTCGTACCTGGGCACACGTCAGCAACAAACGGAGTGCCATGCATATACACACACACCATACGAGGACTTTGTAGCCGCAGAAAGAAACAAAGAGTGAAATTATAGCAATGATTACGATCCCAACACTTTTGAACCGGTTAGTACGGGGAACGAGTTGTGAGAGAAGGCGACGCACGTCCAAGTAAGGTTTCCATTCGATACACTTGATAATGTCTGGCCTCCAAGAATACAGTTCAGAATGTTATACCCCATGCCCGTCGCCATACCCAAGATGCTCATAATGATAACGCCGAAGTAACTGGGATTCGTGGTGAGTACGAAGTCGCGGTGCCTATTGGAGTGACGTACCCGAAACTGTAACGTGCTTGGCACATCTGCCGGAGCCCTAGCCTCGGACCAAACGTTGCGCTGATATGGGATGAGATGACGATGACAGTGGAGGTAAATCAGACGTACAGATACGCTGGAGGGATGTTCGTGAGGAGGTTGATAAAGAGGATGACTAGGCATGTGTCTCGAAGCCCGAGACCGTATGCAATGGGCCCCAGCGTACCCGCCGAGAATCTAACAGGCCAAGATAAGTCAAGCACAAGCGCATACAGCCCATGGAGACGCACGAGAGGATGTTGAAGTTCGCGGAGAAGAAAACGAAGAAGACCTTGCTGTAATGTCTATCCGTTCGGTCCTCCGGGGCGACGGGGACGATGCCTTCACGGACGATGAGTTCAAGCCCTCCGTAACGACTGCAGTACCACATACCTCGTTCCTCCACTCCCCATTTCAACAACTGCTGCCTCCACCGGGTCTTCGCGAATAACTGATGGTTGTGCAAATCCCCCACGAGCGACCCGGCGTCCCTCTCCGAATCCGCCACAGGGTCAAATTTCTCCTGGCTCATTGAAGCCGTTCGTTATACTTGCGTCCAGCAGCCGTCCAGCAGAAATACGTGGGGTGTAGTCCTGGACAAGCAGTGCGGGATGCGATAAGCATGCGGTTGGAGAACTATATACATAGCTCCGGAGACAAGGCCGGATGAGGGCACCTTGATGCCCCAGATTCCGACAAACTCTATTCGCTACTCACGAGTGTCAGATTCTCCACCACCTATGCCGTCCTCGATTTTCCTTGTTTTGTGTAGGTGCGTGTACTGAGGGCGCGGACGCGTGGGTCGAGCAGGAGTTGGTACAGGGCTGCCATGCGGATTCCGGAAGCAAAAAAGTCAGGGTGGAGAGCGGGATGCCGGCGGCGCGGATGTTGCGGGCTGACTCGATGCATAATAATATGGCTGCTTGAGAGAGGCAAAGATTGACGAAGCCAGAAATGACAGAAAGCAATGTGTGTACGGTTGGTGTAGCATCAGGTCGCTCGCCGTCGTCCTCAGCAGGACCCCTGATAATCCCTCTAAAGCCTAGGTCGGCAGGTCTCGAGTTTTTGTCCGACCGAATTTCACAAGATTTGGACGGTCTGTGTCCGAAAATCGACCTAGGTTCCGCCTGGCGGCGGTTCTTGTCCGGATTTTCGAGACTGGCCTAGTTTAGGGTCGATTTTGTCCGCATTCTCTGTTCTAGCCTGTTTTAGCGTCCAATTTCGCCCCCGACGTGGATTTCGCTGTAGAGACACTGATCAGCACCAGTAGTATCGTTTGAGGGTATCAGAACGTCTATCAAGGATGATACAATATTACCTATGCCCGACCTATGCCCAGCCTCACCTCCGCCGCCTATTGCGCAGGCACAACTAGCTTGCGCATTCGGATCATTGAGTGACTGGAATGAAGATTACAGTGAATGTCGTGGACAAAGAGACATACAGTATCTATGAGTACATCGCAATGACCATCGAGCGCATACCATCCTCGTCGGCCTCAGGCTATGCCTGCCAGTGATGGAACGACGTCAGAGGATGTTCGACGCACACAGTCCATGGGTCGTCACAGTCCTAATGAAGATATCTCGACAACACAATGTATCTACTGTTAGGTCTAATGTTAGAGGCGTTCACTGTCTGAGCGGTGCGGCCTGTGCCTACATGGTATATCTCCCGCCCCAGAACCCTAACCCCGCCGGACCCCGGAGCTCCAACCCCAGGCTCCATGTCCGGATGCCCGACCGGCCTACCCAGAGCCACCTTGTTTTTGTCCGACATCCACGTCCAGCAATTTTCGATCTTGGACCTGATTTGTCCGGATTTTGACCAGGCCAAACCGGCCTCTAGGGCCAGTTTTTGTCCGGATTCCGACCTATGTGTTGGGGGTATTATCAGGGGTCCTTCCTCAGCTCCATGAACGGGAGAAGCAGGTGATCGTCGCGTAGCGTAGCCTTGCGATGCGGCACTCGCTCGCAGGTTGACACACCGAATCGAGTTCCATCATGGCTCGTTCCCGAGGAGCAACGGAGGCCGTCCCAGAATGAATGCAATTCTCAACTACATACATACAAACGGACGTGTGTTTGTACTGCGAGCCTCTTACTGCAACGATCCGTTGAGCATGAGGCGACCTACGAGACTCGAGACGCAGAGCGAGCGCTGATTACGTCATCATATTTGGCTAAGGCAGCTCGCTTCGGAGACAGCCAGCTGCAGCCCTTCCTTCTGTCCCTCCTTGAGTCTTGAAGCTTGACCAGACGTCCGTGGTCGCGTTGCTTGCAATATCTGAATTCTAATACCACAATCGACCTCAGTAAAGATGCACACTTCAGCCCGCTGGTTCAAAGATCAACTGATCGCACGGGACCATGAACGACGACTTGGGCCCACTATCAGTACGTCCGGCCGTTTGTCTACCGAGTCCAACAACCGTTTCTCAGTCCCAGGTATTTAACGTGATAAAACACACAGATCTACTGCTTATGCAAACCAGTGACCACAGCCCTTGCCCCGCCAAAGCTTGAGAGCGAGCTTGAGCCTTCAACCGGCCAGCGATCCCGGTATAATGCGCATCGACGTATGCCCTGAACTATCACTCTCGGAGCCTCCTTTTCTACCATCCGGCCCTTCTGTCATCTTGCTGCGGCTCGTGCGGCGATCCGCGTCAGCGTTGGTGATGCGCGCAATCAGTCGCTCCGACCGCGACTCTGCCCTCTCGCCCAGCTCAAACTCGTACGGGTTCTCCTCGTCGCTCGTGAATATCGGGCTGCTGAACTCCGCGTGCGGGCGCGGTAGCGCGGGGAGCGTGAAGTAGAACTTGGAGTGCGTGAAGCTCTCGAGGTCGTCGAGCGCCGCCCACGGGATCGGCACGCGCAGGTTGCACGAGTGCGGCGCGCCGGAGACGGTGAAGATGACCCAGTGCCGGCGCAGGTCCGCGACGGACGTGAGCCGCCCGATGCCCGACCGCTGCGCGTTGGTTTTGAGGACGACGTGTTGGCGTTTCCCGAGTTGTATCTCTGGTCTCGACTGAACTATCCAGGTCAGGCCTTTGCCCTCCCCCATGGTGGGCACATCCATGACGTGGACGTTAACTATGTCGTGCTCAGCGCATTGGATGCTGAGAAGAGGAAGGGTAATGGGCGGAGACGGACGCGTCGATTGCCTGCGGCGTTTCACGCCCGCTGTCTGTGCCGTTTGTGCCACGTCCATGGGCCGAGGGGTCTTCGACATAGACTCGGGCGCAGGAGGACGCGTTGCCTGCATGACGAGGTATGGCGATGGCTCTGGTAACTGCTGGCACAGCGGGATGATACATATATTCGCTTATACCTGGGCGTTTGTCGCCGCGATACGCGTCCCCTGCGCGCTTGTCAAACTGTCTCTGCATGCATACACTTCGTTGCCTCATCTCGTCGCTGACGGACCTTGCCCCTCAGACGGTTCTGGCACTGGGGGCGCCGTTGTTCGCTTCACAGTCGTAGAATACCACGAGTAGGACGGAGGAACATCGTTATCGGTTCCTGTGGAGAGGCTTTCACCAAATGGGCGCCCCTTTATCCAGTGCGTACGGCATCCAATTTCACGCACGTCGTGTCAATAATCCATCATCGCGCGCATCACGACAGATGAGAAAGACGGAATGGGATTCACACCGCCAGAGCGGCTATTATACTGATACAACACGGATATGTGTAGGAGCGATAGCTGGTAAAACGAGGCCAACAGCAATGAAACGAGAACAACAGCAAGGGAAGAAAGGAGGCATTACAGAAGGAAGATCAGAAACGGCGACATAGGCAATTCAAAACGAAGCGACGTGCAAAACTAGACGTAGGAGTATAGTGACGCGGCCTTGTCAGCCGGTCTTGCCGCAGCGATCATTCGCGGAGGGACCCCCGCGTTGGATAGTGACACTGACGGCACACTGGCAGATCCTGGGTGCTCTCGAGGAATCGAGAGGCCTAGACCAGCTCCGGGACCGAGGGACGACACCTGCACGCCAGTTGGTCTGACGGGTGGTCCACGAAGTTGTGAGCGCCTCGGCTTGAGGAAGGGCGTGGGCCCGCGAACATACATCGGCCTCACGGGCCTCACGATCCTCCTGGGTACGCAGACTGGCTTGGCGTCCTCCTCCCTCGGCGCGTTCCATGACGGAGGCGGTGGCTGGAGGTAGTCCATCTCTGGCGATGTCTCGTATCGGAGGAGCGAGCCGCCGTCCGGGATCTGGAGCGGGAGCTCGCCCAAGGCGGTGTCCTCGAGGACAATGGCGGGCGGCGACTGCACAGGTGAAACTCCGTGTCCGGTGATCTTGGACCAGGTCTTCTTGACGGGCCAGATGAAGTACTCTTGCATTAGTGGCGGCGAGGATTCGGGCAGCAGGACCACGCGGTGCTCGGGCGATGGAGAAGGCAGACGAAGAAGCAGGACGACGTCGAGTGGCGGCAGTACTTGGAGGCCTTGGTCCACAGCGAGGGTCGGCGGCGTAACCGGGAACGGGCTCTCCACACTCGAGGCGTCTGAGTCGGACGTGTCAGAGGCTGGGCTGAGCGGCGGGGGCTCTTGCGCGATGATGTCGTCGAGCATGTTCATCACCCTCCCTCGGCGCGTCACGTCCACGGTGACGAGCGGGAACGGCATGGACTCGTCGGGGACGAGGAAGGTAGGCTCCTGGGCGATGATGGCGTCGAGGCGCTTGAGCAGGGCCTCTCCACGGTCGACCTTCGGGCCTTTACAAGACGCCTTCTTGTGCTTCCCTGGGCTTGCGATGTTCTCGTGGTTCTCGTGCTTGGGGCCTGTCCTGGTTACTGGCGGGCGGAATGGCTCCGCGGACTGAACCGCGTTGGCAGTGTCGACGTTCGTCTGTGGAGGCTCGCGTGAGTCGATTGAGCGATGAGGATACAGGCCACTCACCAGTTTGGTGTCCAGAACAGGCATGCCCGGTGCGACGAGCTTATCGTGAGGGAAATCTTCATTTGCGGACGGTAGAGCAAGCAACTCGCTTGGATTGTCGCTGAACCCGCTCTCCGACGCAAGTACCTTGGGAGGGTCGGTGACCGGAACGGATGGCTTCCACGCGCCGTGTCAGCCGATGTCATTGGGCCAGATGTATGCACTCACTTGTGTGGTCGACTCGGACTCGTTGCATCTCTGGGTCCTCAAATTACCTATGATTTGACCAGGTGCTTGCCCTTCGACTTTCTCGGCATTGCCCGTATGGGTACCTCCGTTCAGAGTAGTGCTCGAAGAGCACCCGCGAGCCAAAGGCTGACGGTGAGCCTCCGCAGCGGAAGCATTGCGAAGCTGTTGATCTTCATCCTCCTTCGTGGTCCCAGACTGTTGGCGACGTCGGCGGAGGAGGTGCAGGAGGTATACTCCAGCGGCCAGGAAGAGGAGGATGGCGACGAGGACGAATGCGGCATAGATCAAAAGCCTCTTATTGTCCGTGAAAACAGTGGGGAAGCTTGAGGAGCCATGGCTGGTAGACTGAGGTGCTGCAGGCGAAGTCGGGATGGGAGCCATCTCGACCTGCTAGAGCGTCGACTGCCGGAGACTTGGCGGACTTGGGGGCGAGGAAGGTAAGGATGTGGTAGTCGAGGAAGAAGCAGCGATGTTCTGGCTGTCGGTTGGTCGGAGGATGGGCTGGTCCATTGGAATTCAGGCTTGCTTGCCAGCCGCGCATCGTCATTCGTGCTGATCGGTTGCGAGCATAGTCTGAATCTAAATGTCATGTGTCGTACATTTGAGTCGCGCTTGCTCTCTGTTAGCCTATCTTGATGTCACTACCTAGGAATAGGTTGAAATATAAGTATTATGCGGAGCGTGCTGCAAGGGGATTGTGGATGGTCTATGAGTGCTCTCGACGCTTCTGCAAGACGCGTCTCTGAAGTCGCGGGTGTACCCACGTGATCGCGTTCGTTGAGCGCTTCGCAGCATCGTGCTCCTCCCGCTCAAACGTAGCTGATCTCTCGCGGTCTTCATAATATGTCAGCGTACAATCACGAAGCATCTTCTTATGGATTCCCGAAATTACTGCGCTAGCCCGCCAGCATCATGTACGTTTATTTAATCTCTTTGGCCATAGAGGCTTGAAGCCCACTCCGGGCCCCCTCCCCGCACTGCTGCTGAGTGCCGGCGCCGAGGCGACCGTCGACAGGACAACAAGCATAAGTAACAGCCGCCACGTACTTATAAATGATGGACTGTACATTGGCGACAGCAGATCAATACAAGATGAGTTCATATCCGGCTTGGCCGCTTGGTGCGTGTTCAAACTTCATCACTTGCACGATACTTCGCGGATAATCTTGTGGGACGCCCTACTGTACTTCACTGGGGTAGATGAAAGGGCAAACATATGCTCCTTCCCAACGCCAGCTTGATGTCTCACTTGCCGCTCATCAGCCACATTAATGGTCGTCAGTCGAACAATTGTGCTGACGGCTTCAGCTCGTTGGCTTCCTGTACGCACTGGTACGGCAGTGAGACGCGGCTACCTGTCAGGCCTAGATGTCTAGTCTATAGCGCTCTACCAAAGACCGAGAAATACACCGATGCCCTCGGCACGCCTACCGCACACTATTGCAGTCGCCGCGACCCTCGTACTGCGATCACCTAGGCTCAAGCGTTCGACGAACGTTCGACCGCGTCGCTAGGGGATCCCCTTCCCTTTCTCGGATATCCGCGCCCGCTACGGACGATTCGATCGTACAAATGCACCATGGGCATGCGAGCCGGAAGGACTACGTTGCGTTTGCGCCGAAGAAAGACAATTTGCGACGGACGAGGACTTGAAGTGGCCGAAGGATGTTGGGGATGATACGGCCATGCGTGAGTGGTCACTGAAGGTGGAATGTAGTGGGTCGAGACAATGTCTGATACAAATGAATTGAAAGTGAAGTGAAGGCTACGGCATTTGGACTGAGGCAGAAAAGGGGTCACGACGTCGTATGAACCGACATCTGCGTTTGTGAGACTGTAAACACACGTTAATCACCAACGACATGACAAGGTCAATTCACGTCTAACGGTGGGTAAGGCTCACCGACTCAGGCTGTATCTTCCGACTGACAGCCGTCTCGCAATTTTCTCATCGCCTCCTCCACTGGCCTCCATGAATCACGTATTTCATCTATCTCGTCTTCATTAACGCATGTGAGGTTAGGGAAAATCGCGTTCAACACAGCTCCTATCTCTGAGGGATCACCCAACACAGGCGAGTGAACAGTGGAAAGATCGTCAAGAACATGATTGCAGTGGCTGCCATCGAGTTCCGAGAGAGGCGTGGTGATGGGTCTTGATGTGTCCACGTTGATAGCGAGTGTTTGCAGCGACGGACAGTGCTTGGCGAGGTGCATCAGTCCTTCCAGAGTCGTTGGAGTCAGGCTTTGAGGCGGCGCTAGCACCCATAGCTCCAGATATTCGAGACACGGCCAGGATGTGGCCATGTCTCTGACGGTGTTGTCGTCGAGGAGGAAATGTAGATCCGCGCCAATTTCTAGGATGCGCAGACGGCGAAAGACGTTGAGAGGCCTTAATGACACGGCGGAGAATAGCTGCTCAGAGCTGTCTCCATCGATTTGTACATTGATTTTCTCCAGGACGGTATGTGCACAGCACTGGCTGATTAGCCGGACCATGGTAGCCAGGTCCTCCGAGTCCAACTCCGTGCTTTCAACTTTTTCGACCCGGATATACAGCTCTTGAAGCCGTGGGAAGCAGCAAATCCTGAGAAACACGTTGGATTGAGACATGTAATCAGTTTGCAGGCTCAGCTTTGTGAGAGCAGGGAAGGTAACATCGGGCATGGTGATATCTTCATCGTCTTGATCTCCAGTGTCCATATATTGTACACTGAGCCACAGTTCCGTGAGACTTGAAAGAGTCGCCAGCCGAGGGAGGACGTCGGGGACCATAGACATGGTGAGCATAAATTTGAGGACCTTCAGCCGCTCCAACGACATCAAGATCTCGACACCGATAGATTCTGTGCTAGGTTCCCAAAGTACCTGGAGCTCTAGCTTTTGGACCTCCGGTGAACAACGTGGGAGATGGTGCAATGTCGGGACAATGATCTGTGAGGCAGTGGGCATAGCCTCATACGCTGCATCGATATATATTCTGGAAAGCCGTGGACCGAAGAGCATATGCGCACATGCATGGGAATCGAATGTCTCTCTCACGATCCAACGGAGGGTGGTTAGACTGGGGAGAGGGTTACGGGATGGCCTCGACGTAAAAAGCCAACAAAAAAGCCTCTCCGACTCGGAGACAGTGCCAAAGTCATTTTCCGGCGGATATATTGAGCGCACGCCATAATGTAATTGCCGTATCCGTTTGGCGTAGAAGTCAAAGCGCACCCAGTCCAGCTCAGTAGTTGGCCTAGTAGGCTCCCTGAGCATCTGCATATGTCGCTCAGGTTCAGTTTGCGAGTGAGCACCATGGGCTTGGACTTACTAATGTCTTTCTCGGGGGATGACTACTAGTAGAGACCATCCACAGGTCATCCGGCAAGCACTGTATAAGACGAACTAGGCGGTACTGCTTCTCCCATAGGACGTCCAAGGCTGGCTCGTGGAACGTGCGGCATGTGAGCACTAACGCGACAAGCGTCCGTGTGTCGACCGAGAGCCGCCGATCGCCGCCCGCCTCATTGACTATCAAACAGAAGAGCTCCGGGATAGTCAACGCACGATGCATCGTAGAGAGGGCTCCTGGGATGAAGGGGCCTCCGGGATTGGAATATTTTTGTATACGAGAGGACTGTCTGCAAGCGCGAGTGGCACCAGAGTGGCACCGTTCTGTGAAGACTGCCAAAACAGTAAATTCAATAGTCTCGATATATGAGCTACGGCCCATTACTCACTTCCTTGGATTAGGTGTTAGCTGTTGATCTCGATGTCGAATGGACGAAGGCCCGTGTGGCTTGCGTTTCGACAAGCAGAGGTCGTAACTTGAGAGCGGGGCCGCCGGGGCGACCGGTCACCGCGACGCGGCGACTCGCGCACGTGATCTGCATGACAGGCGCTCACTCATGATCAACAGTGCACGGGTGACGGCGCCCGGTCGATTGCTCGGACTCACTGGTACTCAGAGTCACTGCCAGCGGGACGTCCCAATTAATAGGACGTCCGTAAGATGTGCTCTTCTTCGCTGTAAATCTTACAAGAGATCTAGACCTATAAATTAGAGCTTGACGTGCTGGCTGCCTGATGTTTAACTCAATCTTGTAGGACACCCCTCATTGTCTTCACCAAACGGTGATGTTCGACAGCCCGGTTTGCCGCAATGAAGGACACGTATGTATCTCAACTGCGATGCATTCAACGCTATATGGATGGCTACAAGATGATACCAGACAAATCGACACATATCGAAACATATACCTAACCGTTTCCGTACATGGTAGAGGTCCGGTGAATCCCAAGTCCAATGATGCAAGGACTGCAAGCTAGAGAGTACAGATCAAGGCGAAGGAGATGAGTTGAGACCGTAGCCAGGAAACATGCAAGGTGAGACATATAGTAGAGAGACAAAGAGACGCGTATCGTACAAATCGAGATCCGGAGAGTTATCCGCCGAGTCCATGCTGTCCGAGTCCATGCTGATGTCATATGCAAGAGATGAGAACGGAAAGAGAAAATGGAAAGAAAAAGCGAGTCAAGACTGAAGTATGCCCCCAACAGTCCTGACCCGCGCGATGAACGGCATGCCACGAACCCGCAGGGCATCACGGGTTCGCGACATGTCGGACATCAAGAAAGAGTGGTGGTACAGTACGAAAGGGAAGGAACATAAAGAGAAATAATGATAGGCTGTGTGGCGTCGATGGTCGACGCGTTGATGAGCAGAGCGCGGCGTGCGTCTGCTGCGCGGGTTCTACAGGTGGACGCTGCAACGACATCAGTATGGATTGCATTAGCCAACCCGGGAGCCACTCACCTCTGTCCACCGGTAGCCCACATCGACCGAAGGTTCTCCTGGAGGATCTTCCGCCCCTCCTGCGCGTGACGGAGGGCGACGTCCTCACCCATCTCGTCCCGGAGAGCACGCAGCTCGGCGTGGCGGCGCACTCGGCGCTCCCGGAGGCCAAAAAGGTTCAGGCCAGGGTGCTGGCGGCGCAGGAAGCGCTTGCAGAAGCTCATCGTGGTAGGACACGGACCCTGAGAGCGATAGATGAGCATCGAAATCACGAGCATGTAACACAAAGAAGCTCACCTCGTCCTCGATGAGCGAGACGTTCGTGTAAGGCCCGCTCGAAGGAGCGGGGCGGGCCTCCATGAAGGTCATCGCGCTGAACGTACGCGGGCGCGTGGCAGAGCGGGGCAGCGCAAGCGGGGTGGGTACCGGGCCGTCTTGGAAGATGACAAGCAAGGGACGAAGAGCCAGAGGTGCGGTGGGCGTGTAGGTCGCGAGGTCGTATGCGACGAGCGGGCGAGGACCACCGATGAGCGCGTGGTCCTTGGGGAACGCCCGAGCCATGCGAGGCTTAGGACCGACCTTCCGGATGGCACCCGACGCGCCCTGAACGTCCAAGTCGGACGGTATGCCCGTGAGCGAGGTCACGAAGAACTGAAGCAAACGCGTTAGCCGACTGTATGCGATGTATAGATGATCGCACGCACCATAGACCAGTACAGAGTCTGCCCCACGAATCCCAGAACAGCTTGCAGGCCAAGATGGCCGATGGGTGTCGTGCGCCATGCCGTCCGAACCGGCTCGAGGGTAGCGACGGCGACGTAGGCGATGACGAGCGTGTAGAACACGACGAGGGCGTGGATAGCTCGACGTGAGCCAAGGTGATGGTGATCCTGGAAGCCTCCGACAACCGTACGCGCAGGCTTGACCACGTACGGTGTCTCAGGCGTCCAGTCCGAAGCAGGCAGTATAATGACGGTCTCGGGCGATGGCTGCGAATGCGTCCGCGGTCGCTCGGCCAGGAGGCAGGTGTTGGGAGGGACCCAGACGACGATGTCCCCTGGAGGCCGCACGATCAAATCCGTAGTCCATTGCGCGAGATCGAAGGTAGGTGCCGCGATGAGATCCTTGGTCTTGCTCCACTTCCGTACGTCTTCCTTGATGTCCGCCAGCTGCGCGAGGTATGGGTCGCCGGGGTCGTTGAAGAAGGTGAAGGAGGAAAAGGTTGGAGCGTTGTCGAACACGTCCGATGTGATCGGGATAAGGCGTTGGCTGCTCGATGAGACTGTCAGTAGATGCATGATGGGCAGCGGACAGTTGGACTCACGTAGTGTCGTACACGAACCCTGCCATACCAGACCCGATGTTGCCCACCACCGATCCTCCGACAACGTTTGAGAGCTTGTCCCCGATGCCACTGTGTATACGGTTAGCTATGGTGTAGTCATCAACGACTATGAGCGCGTACCTGAAGGAGTTGGAGACATGGTCGATGAACGACTCGACCTTGTCGATGATGAGGGGGCAAGGAGGGTTACTGCCAAAGAGGGCGTGGGCAGCGAGGCCTCCCTCGCCGCTCAGTCGACAGTAGATGTACGACTTGGGGGCGAGGGAGAGTGCGCCCGCAACGAGGAGGGCACCGAAGGTGAACATGGTTGATATTATCAAAAGGGGGGATGGAGGACGAGGGCGCTGAGAGGGGCGCTCGAGGGCGAGATGGGGAGACAGGGCGGTGTGGGCAGCCGTATTTATATGTTTGTGGGGAGGCTGTTGGGCGTTGTTTGGCGGATTAAACGGACTGCGTGCGTGACCGCGACGCGACGCGTCGTTTGCGCGCGGCGCGACCGACGCTTTCCTTTTTTGGCTGACAGGGTTGGTTCGAATTCTGCCCAGACGCTCCTTGTCTTTATACCACACCCATCACCCACGCCCCGCCCTCGCTGCGCACTCGCACTCTTCTCGGCCATGGCCTCAGCGACGTGCAGTGGGCCATTCACGTCCACATTCCGCCCCAAAATGTTTCTTCTGCAGTCAAACAAGACAGGAAGCGCATACATGCGCCCCGCCGCCAGGGAAACTTCATATGCAACGCCGCCGACAACGGCAACGCCTTCCGTAGGGTCGACAGAAGATTGGAATATGGCCAGGGAGGTGTGCGCGCACTAGTGAGTAGTCAGTACGCGATTCGCGGCAGAGCCAGACACTCACCAGCAACCTTCGAGGCCGATGTCTCATATACGACCTCAGGTAGATTACTAGGTTCGCCTTCCGCGCGTTCCTTTCGTCTTCCCGGCGGTAATTCCTGCTCAGATACGGCTTTCCATGTGACGCACTTTGCGCATTAAACACTGCTGCCGCACCATGGCAAATGTCTATCCTGCCCAGAGATGGTGAGTATTCAGCAAAATCGCGGAAGCGGGTGCACAAGCGCCAGCGGCTGGTAAAGATGTGATCTCAGGCGCCTCTCGGCTGAGAGGATTTGCCAGGATTTGCCTCCGCTCCCAGCCACTCCAGGCTCGCACCTGGCTCCGCATGCGCACTGTTGAGCCGCAGCGCCGACGCCTGAAAGCTGCGCTTGTTCTTGCTTGGTGGAAATCAGCCGCGAAGCCACGAATGACACGTCCCCCACACGAACAAACCAGATGCAATAGGGTTGTGAAAGGTCTCAACGGGCTGACGCAGTGACGGCGCCGGCGAGCTGCACATGCCACTCGCGCTTAGCCTGTGGTCCCTATGCATGCACAACCCCCAGCTTGCACAAGCCTGGGGATGGTGACATCGCAAATCACCAGCATCTAGCCCTTCACTATCGACTCCCCCGTGGGTTTCGTGGACATCATGGATTGTCCAATCGCTGTGTCATCGGTGACGTACAGTTTGTCCAGGTACGACGATTGCAAAGTCTGACTGGTACGACGAGGTTGCCTAGCCCGACAGACCATCGAAACGACGCTGAAGTCACGGACGCTGCCTCAATCGCCCACGTATCGTCCATCATGGGGAAGTAATAGGAACTCCGCGATGGAGGCGAAGGGGGACGACAGGACGACCAGCATTTTAGAGCTCAAGTGACGAGCTATTCGTTTTGGTCGCAGGCAACTGCAAGGTGACCTTATCTCCGGTCCAGGCTTAGTCCGTGCTTAGACGTACACAACTCGTGAACTCACCTCTGCAGACGCCAATGTGTACGCTGGGGTAGCAGATGCGAGGCCGATATATGCTCGTTCCCCAACGCCAGCTATTGCTGTTCATGAATTCATGGTTGGTCAGTACTCAGTAGTCGCCGAGGGACTCGCTCGTGATTGTGCCGGCAGCTTCGGCTCGTGCTTCAGTATCCTGTACGCAGTCGTACACTAGTGACCTGTTGCTCTCTAGCAGGATGCAGCGATAAGACGTGTCCACAGCGCATACTTTACATCGTCATGTGTACTGACTATGGCAAACCCTATAGTCTTTTGAAGACGGAAGCCTAGGTAGACGGCTGTGAGACTTCGTCAAGGCTACGTTCGCGAAGGTACCTACGTGTTCAGCAATGCGCATCCTCGCCCGTAGCAATCTGAAACGGTGGGGTTCCCAAACACATAAACATGCCAATGCGTCACTTCCATTCACCAAGGTCTGTCGACTGCGTCTCATTGTTCCTCGTATGGTCGTGAATCGACTGAACAGCTTTGCGCCGATGCGCTATAGCTACCCTGACCAACGACTGGACTGTAGCAGATGTAGTACTGTCAAACATGGACTGAGTAAAGGTCTGCAATACACATTGCGAGAACAGTGACGTACCGTCCGCGTCAAGCTTCGCACTGCGACCCAGTTTGATACGGTCGCGTCAGCCTGAGAGTCAGAGCATCACACCAGCCTCCGTGAAACTAAACCTATTCCTGTCAATCGCCGGACACACTGCATTGTCGGGTTAGTCTTGGGGCAGTCTGTGGCGCGTGCATGATGAGCCGTCTAGTCGAATCCCCAAACGATTTGAGCGCAAAGAAAGGGCAATACATCGTCGAGTGTAACCTGTGGAAATCCAGAGTCTCGTGAAGAATATGACGGGTGTGTGAATGAGACTCTAAAGCCCACAGCCCGTGGAGCGGTCGACCGACGCCCAAGTTAGGCTTTGTCTGGACAAGCGCCCGTGCGTCACCAGCATGTACGGGGCGGCACGTGATGACGAATTCGTTGGGGATGGCCGCCACCGTTGGGCCTGCGAAGGGCGTATATATTCTCTGCCCGAAAACATGTCCCGCCGCCTTTCCTTCCCTCCCCCCGTCCACGATGTCCACCGTCGTGCAGACACGGCCCGCGTCGCCATCAAAGGCTCACCCCAGTCCTCCCCAGACTCCGCCGCACAAGCAGGCGAAGCTTACTAAGGAGGAGGAGCCGGCCGACATGAACATTCCCGACAACTATGTCGCCTGGACCCTTAAGAACCAGAAGGCCCTTCCGCCCATCACCCGGGACAATTGGTGGAGGGAGTTGAACTACCTCAGCTTGTCTATCCTCACGATCACCCCGACCATTGCCCTCGTGGGCGCGTACTACACGCAACTTCGCTGGGAGACAGCGCTCTGGAGTGTCATCTATTACTTTGTGACTGGCCTCGGTGAGTCTATGTGTCGATGACCGATGACGCTCGTCGTTGACTGACACTCCTGACAGGCATCACGGCGGGATACCACCGTCTCTGGGCCCACCGCGCGTATAACGCGTCCAAACCTCTCCAGTACGCACTGGCAACCGCAGGCGCAGGTGCCGTTGAGGGCTCGATCAAGTGGTGGTCGCGTGGTCACCGTGCGCACCACCGCTACACGGACACGGACCTCGACCCGTACAACGCGCACAAGGGCTTCTGGTATTCGCACGTTGGCTGGATGATTCTCAAGCCGCGTAGGAGGCCGGGTGTTGCGGACGTGAGCGACTTGAGCAAGAATGAAGTCGTACGGTGGCAGCACAGATGGTACCTGCACCTGATCATCAGCATGGGTTTCCTGGTGCCGATGACTGTCGCTGGTCTGGGGTGGGGCGACTGGGCAGGCGGCTTCATATACGCCGGTGCCGCTCGTCTCTGCTTCGTTCACCACGTAAGTATCTCGGTCACTCCTCTGGTAGAGTTGGTTCTCATTCTGTGTTGTAGTCGACGTTCTGTGTCAACTCGCTCGCGCACTGGCTGGGTGAGGCGCCCTTCGACGACAAGCACACGCCCCGCGACCATGTTGTTACCGCTCTAGTCACGATTGGCGAAGGCTACCACAACTTCCACCACCAGTTTCCGATGGACTACCGCAACGCCATTAAGTGGTACCAGTACGACCCCACGAAGTGGTTCATTGCGACGATGCAGAAGATGGGGCTTGCGAGTCACCTTAAGGTCTTCCCCGAGAACGAGGTGCGCAAGGGCCAGCTCACGATGCAGCTCAAGCGTCTTCGCGAGACGCAGGAGCACCTGACGTTCGCACCGGATGTGAATGAACTCCCGGTCATCAGCTGGGACAGCTGTAAGTACTGATGCGTTTTTCTTTCTGAATGCTGGGATTGACAGTGCGATTAGTCCAGGAGCAGGCGGCTAAGCGTTCTCTTGTTGTCATTGGTGGCTTCATCCACGACGTCTCCGCGTTCATGGACGAACACCCTGGTGGCCGTCACCTCGTCACGAAGAACATCGGCAAGGATGCGACCACTGCATTCTTCGGTGGTGTATATGACCACTCTAACGCTGCGCACAATGTATGTTATCTGCTCTCTGCACTGGTACAGGAGCTCATGTATCATCTCGCAGTGGCTCTCTATGATGCGGGTCGGCGTCCTCCACGGCGGCACACAACACGGTCTCGAGGACAAGAACGTTCCGCCCTCGCAGCGTCTTCGCATCGCACGGTACAGCGAGCTCGGTTCTGGGAACGCGTCGTCGACGGCGTACTCGGACGGCGAGGGCCTCCTCGGCTGAGCTTCGTTCCTCTGTGGCCCTCGTGTAGCGCGTGAGACCCCATGCACGCACCCGTTGTTGTAGTATATGTCACTTTCCTTTGGATACGACGAAAAGGCAGCGTCGGAGATTGGTTGGTCGGTGATGCGACGCGTGGCTGATGGTGATTGTGGACTTTTTGCATAGATACATTCGCTACGCTGTAGATCATCGCACTATTTACGAACGGGATGACGGAATGAAAGGTTCATTAGACCTATTGCTTCGTGTGCGCGGGGATGCGATGAGAGATGTGGTCCACGTTCGCGCGTTTCACTATAGAGGTGCTGAAGGACTAATAAAGAAACAATCATGGCGCGGATGGGACGTCGCGACCTAGTACAGGCGAGTGACGAGGATCCCTACTACGCTCCCAGAGACAAAAGACAACGAAGACCCAAGAGACGATTGACACCGAGACAATTCACCGAGAACATAGATAGAAATAACGATAACCATGCCGTAGGTGGGACAACCGGCGACCCACCTGGCTTGCCCCCTCAACCCCCCGACACTGAGGCTCCAGAGCCCCATGTCGGCACCTCCTCTACCTCTCCTCACCCTCTCCATCCTCCCCGTCCTCCCCGTCCTCCCCGTCCTCCCCGTCCTCCCCGTCCTCCCCGTCCTCCCCGTCCTCCCCGTCCTCCCCGTCCTCCCCGTCCTCCCCGTCCTCCCCGTCCCCGTTCTCCTCAACCTCCTCGTCCTCCCTGGGGAGTGTGAGCGCCAGGAGGTCGTCCGCGATGCCCTCTGCGTTGGCGAGTCCGTCCTCCACTTGACTGAGGACGGCATCCTGCAGGTCGAGCCGCGCGATGCCAGACTGGAGAAGATCCTCAATGTTCGCGTCGTGCTCCGCCATCGCGCGCATGAGCTCGGCGATCTCACGCTCGAGCTCCTCATCCGAGAGCGCTGAGAGGTCTTCGGAGTCCGAGTGCGAGTCGGGTGTTGACTTTGTCGATGCTGATACTTGTGTGGGTGTTGTGGGCTCGTTGAGAGCTGTTGGAGCGATGGGCTATGCACATAGATATCAATCGCAGAGAGTGTGGAAGCGAAGTAGGGTAGCTTACGAGGAAGAAGTCGAGACCAATTTGGGCGACCCCTAGCACAGCCAGAGGAACGCCACAACCAATGCCAGAGTTATACCAGGATGTCGGGAGCATGCTCCAGAGCATTGCGCCCACGACGAGCAGATAGAGACCGTAGCCGGGGAGGTGCGCGGTGGCACCGACGGTGAGGCTGACCTTGCGAGTCCCGAGTGCACCCGAGAGCCGAAAAAGGCGCAGTAGCAGAGCACCAAGACGTGCCGTGTGACGCGGAGCCTCGAGGACGCGAGGCGCTACGTCAAGGGAAGCTGGCAAAGAGTGCAGGTCCCTGAGCAGGCACGTGTTCGGAGGAACATACACGACGAGCTCGGGAGCTGGAACGTTGAACAGGTTCTTCATCATAAACTGGCCAGGGCAGACCGTGCACATTGGGGCTTCCCAAGGGATCAGCTCGTACTTGGGTGCGACGATGATGTCCGTCGTCGTTGCGAGCTGCTCGAAAGTGCCGTTGTTGTCAGGGTCGCTGTTGACGAGGTGCAGGACGAGGTTGGTGAAGCCGTATACCGTGTAACCGTGGACAGAAGAGGTGTCGTTGACGAAGGCGAGGTTGTCGGAAGCCTCGGTGGCAGACATAGGAGCGATGTTGCCGCCGATAACGAAAGCCATCATGTCGGAGACCAGTTCGTGTCCGATGAAGGAGTAGCCGAGAAGGCCAGAGGTCGTGTTGTCGAACCCGCTGCATGCGTGATGTGATCAGAGAGTATGAGGCAGTGGGAGTGAATATGTAACGAACCTGAGCGAGTCCTCAACCTTGAAGACGACCTTGTCGACGGCGCCGATGATCCTAGGGCAGAGACCACCAGCGCCGAGACTGCCAACCGCACTCTGACCGAAGTCAGACGGGCAGTAGGCATGGGCGAGATGGCTGAGGGCCCGAAGGCCCCCAACAATGACGCCGAGGAGAACCATGTTGCAGTAGAGTGTTGAAGTTGAGCGAGAATTGTACTTGTAGTTGACGGTAGCGGAGCAAGAGACGAATGCCCTGTGGCCGGCCTTTTATGCTGCAGTTCGCCTGCAGTCTGGAGTGCAACCTTGGTGTCAGCCTCAACACTAAGCCACATGTTGGTTGGTCGACGTCAGCAACATGATTCGAGTTCTGACTGAGCTCACATTGACTCATCCGACAAGTATGCCACCGAATCACTCTCAACGTCGTACCATTATCAACGCACTGATGATCTTCACTCTGGCAAATCAGAGGTACGACGGGGCGAGCTTAGCCTGAGTGATCAGTGCAGGTCCCGCCAACTTGAATGCCGTCTGAGCCAGAGTTTTGAACTTGTGCCGTTCTCGTTGTCATCATCATATGGAATGCAACACTGAGAGCAGGAATTAATCATACCGTGGCCAAGAAAGTGAATGGAAAAACTTACATGATTCGTGACGGTGTGCCACTTCCGAGTCCTCAACTTGAACAAGACCGACCGTGACGGTAACGCGAGTCGTACATCGCGTCGCAGCCACACGGGCGCCTATACACGCTTCCCGCACGTCGACGCGTCTGCACTCCCGCGTCCTCTCACTCGCCCACCTGTATGTGGACACGGCATGCCAGGAACCTGGAGCGGCGCATTCCGTGCCGCGTCGCAGATCTAGCAAAACAACGGCTCCCGCGGACTGCTGCAGGGACACTCTGCGACCCTACTCCACATATTCCCGTACGCGGCCATCAAGTTCATCGCCTATGACCAGGTCGAGCATGTCTGTCCTCTCCGCTCTCTGCACCGAGCGCGCTTGCTGACTGCGGCACGCAGATCCTTATGCCAACGCGAGAATCACAGACGAATGCACCGCGTCTCGCAGCATGCGCGATCACTGGATGAACAACTCACCCGCCCTCGCCAGGCATGGTCTCTGTGTTCTTCACCTACCCGCTCCTCTGCAAACTCTATAGGGCACTCCCCGTCACACTTGTGGTACAATACCGGCGACATGCACAGTGCGGCGAGTACGATCTGCTTGAGGACGTCCGCCGCGGGGCGGAGCGTCTTCCCCGCCGCCCACGCCACGATGGACACAGACACGGTCGTCCGCCGCCTGCGCAGCTCGCGCGTGTGCCCCTGCTCCGCCTCCGGGTCCGCGTCGGGTGCGCGGTCGGGGTGGTGCCGGAGCGCCTTGGGGTGCAGCGAGCGCGAGTAGCGGATGGACTTCGCCGACTTGGGCGAGCGCGAGAGCGGTGAGAAGAGCGAGCGCGAATGCGGCGGGGGAGAGCGGAGAGTGCGGGGAGCTAAGCCGGGAGAGGGATTCGAGTACTAGTGCGGCGGGTGCAGTCTTCTGGTGGAGGACTGGGGCGACTGCGATGGTGTCAGTGTATTGTCTTTGAGCGCCACGCGCGGGAACGTACATGTATCGTTCTGCTACTGAGCTCCCGCTCTCTTCGACACACGCAACCCGCGCGCTCGGTTATTTGTCAAGTGTTGCGTATGCTGTGTATGTGTGGATGTTCAGCGCTGATGCAATCGATCTTTGAGCAGCAGACTAAAGGCTGTATCATTGTATCGCAGTGCACGGTGTGGTGAATGGCCTCGTTGCAAATGTTGAAAGGCACGTAAATACAGTACTGCAGCACACTCATGAAGCCTCAACATTATTGGGAAAGAACTTCTCCACATCAACCGCATAGTCTGTCGTGGTGCTTACGCGCGCATCCTTCGCCTGCTTCAATGTTGCGTGCCCGGTTTCCGAAGTTTGAAGCATGGTAGCCATATTGAACCAAACTGCAGACCCACGCCCACATTCGTCTCCTTCTATCACATTGTGCTTGTCCTTCTCAGGCACACTACCATCAGTGTGGACGAACTCGATATCTGTACTGCCAATGTCAGTTTAGCGATTCTGTCATAACAGATTGGAGCAATACGTGCCATGGACATCAATGTTGAAGTGCAGAAACAGGGATGATGGGTAGATTACTGGGGTCCATGGTGGAACCTCTATGACAATGCCTGCTTCCCAGATTACCAGCCATGATCTATGCTTGGAATTGAACTTTGCTGTAAAGAACATTAACAGGCTATAAATTTGGAACACTGGAATGGCTTACAGTTTGGTAGCACATACACCATAAGCACACATATACCCACCGGATTCTTGGCATCAGAGTGCGGCATACAATGAACACGGGGTTGATTTGGGAATATGCCATTGAGACAAAAATCCCAAAATCCACCAAACAGAGGATAGAAGCCTGTGTTCTCTGCATGCCACTCAGCTGATTTTTTGAACCTCTGAAAGATAGCTGGAAACACAGCCTCAACTGTACTCTCAATGAATTTACTAAGAACAGATGTGAGTTGTGAGAGGTGTATGACATTGATGGCTCACTTCAGCCTTATAAACAGCTCATCTTCCAGAAGGCCATCTACAAGCTCTTTGTTGTTCTTGTGCCAATTTGTCAACGTAACACGCTGCAAACATCAGGCTCAACATTGGTTAATAGCAAACCGTAAAAAAACATACGGGGCTGGACTGGCGATAATGACCTATAATGCGTGGGAGATGGGGACCGCGATGCCCTTTTGCAGCCTTCTCTTTCTCCTTGGGATCAAGTAGGGCGTTGCTAAGGAGCATGTTGTGGATGTGAACGAAGGCTTCCGCGTTGAGAAAAGGAGCTGGAAAGCCGCGATAGAGGAACAGTCGTCCATGAATGTCTACGACCTTCAGCGTTGATGCTGGCCTGACAAAAAGCATCAACGGCGATGGATTAAAATGTAAAGATCAAACTTACCCATCGCCGATGTAAGCTAAAGGTAAGAACTTAGCTACTTCATCTCTTATGCTTCCGTCTCGCCAGCGGGCTGTAATATCGTTACGCGACCATTCGGGGACATTTCGACCCTGCCAGCCCGTGCTGGTAATGTTGACGTCCGTCTTGATATCGAAAGACGTAATCGCAGCCGTAGTACCTGACGTAGACACCCGGCTTTGTAGCTGAGCCATATGCCGCTGTGTCTTCTTCCTTTCCTGCTGGATGTGCTGTCTGTAACGTGTGAGCGATGCCTTACCCGCTCTGTTCCGTTTCGGTCTGTCGCTGCTCGGATTGCTCGCAGCTTGAGCCTTTGGGCCAGCGACCGTTCTGCATACATGGGAAGGTTAGACTGTAAAAGAGATAGTTCGTAACACTTACATAGCATATTCAGGATTAGGGACGTTTAGAACTACCTTATTGTTCTGTTTTGTGTGATACGCAAAGCCTAAGTGACTCGGTTCATTGCATTGGTTATCAAGCGAACTAATGATAAGCTCACCCGGTGACTTCGTAGACGTATCGTTGGCAACTACCCGTACGTTGCCTGACCAATGACTGGAAGCTGCTACTGGTACTAGTTTGACGTCTTCATCATCGGAAATTTCGCCCTCTTCTCTGTCAGCACTGCTAGGGAGCGTAGCCACGGCAGACGGAACGGCTTCGGATACATCGCCTAGCAAATAGTCACTGAGACATTGATTTTTTAAAGACGGTTGACATATTTGGTACCTTCGGCGTCGGTCCCGCCACCCGTCGCAAGTGCCGACTCTAGGTCGTCACCCTCTATCCCTACTCCAAGAGCAGCGCAATCCAAAGCAATGCAACCCGCGTCTTGTACGTAATCGTGCATATTGGCTTCGTGTTCGTTCAATTCCAAGAAATTTAGGACAAGATCCCGTATGTCACACATCGTGTTGACAGTCTGCATATCCGTTGCGCGGTGCATGAACAGGTGAAGACGAATGTGCAGTAGAATAGATATATCGCTTACCATCTCAGACACAGGACATTGGACCGTCGTACCGCTGGGCATAACCATCACTTAGCAATTGAACACAGACAGACACCGACAGAGGGTGCCAGAGGTTGAGAATCTTGAGATCGCAAGCTGGTGCAGAACAACGAGCGTGCTGACGATCGCGTGCGAGCGCGCCACAGACGCCCGAAGCATCTGCGATCCCAGTCTACTACCCTGGTCCCAGCGCGCGAGATAGGCCGATAGGTCGCATGACCACGCATTGCTAGTGCCTCTGCAGGCTCTCCTACCCATCTTAACATCTCACCGCGAAACTGATTTCCGTTCTGACAGGCCCGGCACCCGCGCGTACGCCTCCGCACAGCGCAAACGCGCCCCCAACGCCGAGCTCACGCCGCTCTCCGCGTCCGCCTACTTCGCGCAGGCGACCCAGATCGCCGTGCCCGACTCGGGGCTCGACGTCCGCGCGTACTACACGCCGCCGCGGGTCAGAGAGGGCGGGGAACCGGGGACGGTGATAGTGTGCCATGCACAGCACAAATGTACTCTACATCTATTGACATCTTGCAATCTAGCTCTCGTGCATGCCTCCGCCCTTGCCTTCTTTCCCTTCGTCAGTCGTGACACCGACAGGCAGCCCGCTCCCGCTCAGCTTCACCCGCAAGCTCGCATACTTCCGCCGCTGTGCCGTGCTGAAGCTAGGCTGCGCCTTCTCCAGCGCTCTCTCAAAGTCTGGGACGCCCTTCGGTTCCTCGCCAGCAGTCGCCAACCCATCCGCCTCCATCTGATCTAGCGCGCCCAACGTCCTTCGCAGCGCAGCGACGCCCGCCTCCCGCACGACGGCCGCAAAGTCCGCCCCGCTATACCCCTCTCCCCTCTCCTTCACCATCCTCTCCACCTCCGCCCTCTGCGACTCCCCACCAAGCGGGACCGCCGCTTGGAACTTGTTCTGGGTACTGGCGGGCACAATGGCCCCGCGGATTGAACCGTGTTGAGGGTGTCGACGTTCGTCTTCGCTGGCTTGTGTCACCTGGACTGAGCCATACATTTGTAGGCCACTCACCAGTTTGGTGTTCCGGACAAGCGTCCCCGGTGCGGCGAGCCTATCCTCAGGGACCTTCTCGCTCTTGGACGACCGATCAAAAGACGCACGAGGGACATCGACCACCCGCTCTCCGATTTAGGATGTACCTTTTGTGGTGTCGGCGAGTGAACCCAACGGCTTCTACGAACTATGTCAGCCAACGCCAACGAAGCTGGTAAATTACGTGCGTTCGCCCTTCGACCTTCTCGACGTTTTCCTTGAGAGTATCCTTGTTCAGGTAGTGCTTGAAGAGCACGAGCATCCGCGGCTCAAGTTCAGACGTTATGCCTCCACGGTGGATGCATCACGGGGCCGTCGGTCCGCACGCGCTTCCCTAGCCTTGGCTTGTTGGCGACGTCGGTGGCGAAGGTACAGGACGTAGGACCGGCAGACAGAGACTCAGAGAAGGACGGCCACAATTTAAACTTCAAGGCGATCTTCAGTTGCACTCGGGGAAACACTAGACAGTGCAAATCATTGGTGTGCATTCATCACCACTGTGCAAACGCGATGTCCGTGGTGCCGGCCCCTGCCAGAGGGCGTATGGCGATATCAACACAATCATGATTCACGATGAGTGCGTTGTATCTGCTTGCATATTAAGATATGACCGATGACAATATCAGGTCCTTGTGTGAACCAGCGTGCAGCACCTGATGGTAGGCTCAAGAATCGGACTCTTCGACTGCTTAATTTACGTGCGACGCAACGATTACTCATCGGACCCAAGGATGCTTTGAGATAGTCCCGGATGTCCGTACTGTGATTTTCGCTCGAAGGTCGCCACGCGCGTACTTGTTGAACGCCGGTATAGACTAGATACAACGTGATTGCATTTTGCATTACATCCCCACTACGCCAAGCCAAGTTGTCTCCGCAGCAAGAGCGCATGTTGCTCGATCAGTAGTAGTGCCTGATAAATAGCGAGCCAATGCTTCTGTCGGAATGGCTGCACACACGGCGACAACTCCACGACCAAGGCATTGATGAATGTCCACTGGTATCGATGCGGGGTGGATTGCGATCTCTCAATCGCCGGGAAATTGACCTCGACTCTGAACAGCTCACGACTGTAGAGCACGCTGAAAACAAAGAACTCCCGGTTCAGCCCAACGGAAGCCTCTGTCTGCGTCAGCTCCTGATCAAGTCTCCAGCCTTGTTTCTTGCAATGTTCAGCAAGAAGAACAGTTACAGTTCGCTGTAATGCTTCAGCCATGTGTCGACGCGCAGTCATCACGGCCTCATCGGACATGTCAGGGTCTCCATGAAGGAAAACTGCTAGAGGTAGGCAGCCACGATGGGAAACAGTGGCACTGGAATGAAGAACCACACTGGAAGATTAGTCCGATTTGCATGTGGTGAGTTGAACATCGGCGCACCCCTTGCTTGTTGAGATAGCGGCCCAATACGGACCATGTGGGCCGAACAGCCTTCTTATTGCATCTCCGATGAGCCTTTCACTAGCTAATTCTTGAGCTAGTTGCTGAGATGGGGCGCGTGCATGGACTAGACTGAGTAGGCTGCCTATCTGATCTTCGGTTGCATTCTTTCGCACGAGCAGTTGTGGCATGTATAGCGGATACTCGGTGGGCACAGCACGACCCAGCCACCTCTGTCCACGGGTTCGGTTGTTGAGAAGATTCAGGAATAGCTTGACCCGTTCCGTCAGCAATTGAGTAGCGGTCTCCGTGATATCTTGTGCCCTTGAACCACTCTGTAAGTATATCAGACCTGAATTCACTACACTGTTCCGGAGCACCGCAATTGACAGCGTACCTCTGTTTTGTAACGAAGTTGAACGGGTATCGGCTTGACAGAATCGAATGGCCTAGAGGACAGTAGTTCCATCCCGACATCGTCAACATAGTCATGCAGTGATTCGGTGTTTACCGTTGGTGGCCATCCGAAGGCACAGAATGTCCATGTCACAGGACCAGCTGTGCCGCCGTGACAAATGTCAGCAGTCATTTTTTGGCTCCTGCGCTTCCGGTTCAGCACAGGTATTGTCATGCATTGTATCGCGACGTACCGAAGACCCTCGACTCGAACATCACTTTCAGACGTGAGCTCACAGAGTTGGCAATTTCCGGGATCATGACTCGGGGGTCCGTAGGCACTGCTAGTATAGCTTGTGGGCTGTGGAGAGGCAATCCTGATGCGGATATTTGTATGACTAATCAAGTTAATCAGCGTAGTTCAGCACGTATTACAATGATCATGAAGGCACCTTTGTACCACGTTCGGTAGCTCCTCCTCCTCCTCCTCCTCCTCCTTCTCCTTCTCCTCCTCCTTCTCCTTCTCCTCCTCCTCCTCCTCCTCCTCATGCGAGTCCGGCATCTCCAATTGAACTCCCTGGAGTTCGTCTATCCAGTTTTCGACTCGCAACACCGCTAGCATCCGCTCCGTGGCTTTTCGCTGCTGCTCTTCGGCCAAATCGTTCGAATCAACCGAGTCGGTGTTGCCTGCGTCATCCGTATTGGACTCGGATTCAAACGCAGATGGATCCATCTCGTATTCATCCCGCAAGACATCGCGACCTCTAGGCTCTCGAGGCTCACCGCCAGTGGATTCCGAACGTATATCGAACTCAATCGCCCTGTCTTCCAGTAATGACTGCAGTGCCTGCTCTTGCGCCGACCGAATATGCTCAGGCCAATGGACATGTTCTAGTAACGTTACCAAGCGGGAGATGTGATGCTGCAGCGAGAGGAGAAGAAGAGCAACCCGATAGCGGCCACGAATGAACTCGGGAACGTCTCCGTTGCACCGGGAAGGAAAGGGAAGACTGTCCACGAGTAAAGATAGGTATTGGCGTCCATCTTCATTGAAATATGGCATGTGCGCCACGAGGTGAATTTGCTCCGAGTCATAGATGAGGCCCATTGGCATAGCACAGGCCGGTAGCTCGATGGTCGGCGTCGAGCAAGCATTAGAGGATGGCAGTGTGATATTCTTGTCACCTGAATGGTGCACCAAGGATTGGAAAATAGCCTCTACACTGAGCTCGCTCGTCGACGCAAGAGTGCGTAACGTCCATGCCAAATCCCGGCTTGGTGTCCGGGTCGGCTCGCTGTCCGAGTGGTTGCCGCCTGGCCATCGTGAAGGACCTTTCATACAGAGCACTAGTGCTGGGTTGATGGCACTGATCGGTGTATAGGCGAGATGCTCTAGAGACCTCGAGTTCGTGGGGCTAGGTCCCACCGGATAGTACATAACGGCACAGTCGATGAAGCACAGGCTCGGTAGCTCTTCTGATTCTGCGTGCCAAAGGTCCAAGATGCCCAGATTTTCCCTAACAAGTAGAATGATCACTGTTGGCATGATATGACCTAGACCGACTGGCGGGACGTTACCTGCGAATGTAGGTCGAAGCCACACCATCCAAAGCTGTGATGACGGAATGCTCTGCTTGTATCTCCGAGTCTTGGTATTGCAGTATCTGAGCTACCTGGTGAATCGACATGTGTGTTCGGTGCGTCGCATGATTGTCAATGAATGCATTCGTCCATTCAGAGCTGGGGAGACGGTCCACGTAGCGCTCGACAGATGTGGAGAAGTGCACAGGAATGTCGTTCACCAAGCGGTCGGCCAGTTCGTCGTCAGTCAGGGGATAGAGGTCCGCTTCTATGCAACGAAGGTGGAGGCGGACTATGTCCCTGCTGAGATCCCGATGCCTACTAGTAGTCCAATCGTAGCGGCATTTGCTCCCTTCGAGTTCGTTGATGACATCCTCCTGACACGACTGATCAGAAATGCTCTACGGACTCGACAGACGCGACTCACCGATATCCAGTGCGATGGGATGTCTAGTCTTTCATTCCACGCTCGCTTCAAGTCATGGAGATAGGTAAAATGATGTTGGAGCTGGACCTGTAAATCTCGGTCGAGCGAGGCGGCTACTGTCGATAAGGAGCTGAAAGACCATTTCGTGGTTACCATGACTTTTTCAGGCTGGACTTGGGCAATTTCGTACAGGTGACAGCATACCTCGACATGAGTACTACGTTCAATTGCTGCAGGATCGGTACGCGACCGCCACTTGGCAAATCACGTGGTCGTGTTTCCCTCGACGTGCGCGGCGCGGCGACTGGCACTGGCAGCCTTTCGATCTTGCCAATGAGCTCAGCACAAACCTCAAGTAGACAACGCCAGCTGGCAGACCGTAACTTCGCCACAGTGCACGCTCATCTACAGATACAGAATGTCATAGCATGCCGCAATAATGGGTGAGCGATTCGATATGCCAGTCGAAACCGAAATGGCACTGATGTCGGACAGGCGAGGCTTCCAGCTGATGCTGACACGGTGGATTGCATCCTAGACCACCGGCCAGCAGAGCACAAAAGGCCGACCGCAGGACGTTTGCCTCTTCCTCCGCTACCGTCAACTTCCAAGTCAACGCACGCACAACTTCAACACTCTACAACAACATGGTTCTCCTCGGCATGATTGTCGGGGGTCTTCGGGCCCTCAGCCATCTCGCTCATGCTTACTGCCCGCCTGACTCCGGTCAGAGTGCAGTCAGCAGTCCCGGCGCTGGTGGTCTCTGCCCTGGGATCACTAGCGCCGTCGACAAGGTCGTACTCAAGGTTGAGGACTCGCTCAGGTGAGTCTCTCTTCTCAGTCGCGCTGCTCAATGTCCGCTGACCACATCGCGCAGCGGGTTCGGCAACACGACCTCTGGCCTACTCGGCTACTCCTTCATCGGACACGAACTGGTCTCCGACATGATGGCTTTCGTCTTTGGCGGCAACATCGCTCCTATGTCTGCCACCGAGGCTTCCGACCAGATCGCCTTCGTCAACGACACCTCTTCTGTCCACGGTTACACGGTATATGGCTTCACCGACCTCGTCCTGCACCTCGTCAACGACGTTCCCGACAACATTGGCGCCCCCAAAGTACTCGCAACGACGACGGACATCATCGTCGCACCCAAGTACGAGCTCATGCTCTGGGAAGCTCCGATGTGCACGGTTTGCCCTGGCGAGTTCCTGACGAAGAACCTATTCGACGCTCCGGCCCCCGAGCTCGTCGTCTACGTGCCTCCGAACACTTGCCTGCTCAGCGACCTGCACCCTCTGCCTGCTTCCACCGACGCTATGCCTCATGCACTCAAGGCTCCCCGTCGTCTCGGCTATCTGGGAACTATGCTTCTGCGTCTTCTCCGGCTCTCGGGTGCACTCGGGACTCCTAAGGTCAGCCTCACCGTCGGTGCCACCGCGCACCTCTCCGGCTATGGTCTCTATCTGCTCGTTGTGGGCGCGATGCTCTGGAGCACGCTCACGACATCCTGGTATAACATCGGCATCGGTTGTGGTGTCCCTCTGGCTGTGCTAGAGGGTGCCCGAATTGGACTCAACTTCTACCTGGTAAGTTGTCATAACATGCCTGTATGCGCCCGGCGGCTGACAGGTCTACGCACAGCCTCGTAAACCGACAATTCACCTCGCATCCCAAACACCGGTATCAACGAACTCAAACCCCAGCTCAAATTCGAATGCGGACTCGGACTCGGAGGATCTCTCCGCGCTCTCGGACGAAGACCTCGCGCGCGAGATCGCAGAGCTCATGCGTGCGATGGATGAAAACGACGCTAGAATGGACGCGTTTGGGAGCGGGATCGCGAGGCTTGACGGGGGTATGGACGCGTTGGACAGTCGGCTCGCGAGGCTGGACGCGCTGGACGCGGGCTTTGCGCGACTGGAGGAGGAGATTGGCCACGGACAGGGTATGGAGGGGGAGGGCGAGGAGGGTTGAGAGGGTATGCCGGGTGGTGCGCTGTGCGTGCCGTTCGACAAACTCTCTCACTCCTTTCTTGGTTATTGGGATGCATGGCATCCTTCGGTCAACGGTCACGGTCTATGGTTACGTTTACTTTATGTTCTTTATCTCTTCTCGTTCTTGGGTATTTATGGGTGTTGCAGCATGATTGTCGTCTCCGGCCTGTACTAGGTCACGGCTTTCTCAATGCAATTGGGTTCATTGACTAGATAATGTTCGACATACCGGTTCGCCGCAATGAAGGACACAAATGTATCTCAACTGCGATGAATTCAACGCTATACGGATGGCTACAAGATAATACAAGACAAATCGATACATATCGAAACGTATACCTAATCGTTTCCGTACATGGCAGAGGTCCGGTGGATTCTAAGTCCAACGATGCAAGGACTGCAAGCTAGAGAGTACAGATCAAGGCGAAGGAGATGAGTTGAGACCGTAGCCAGGAAACATGCAAGGTGAGACATATAGTAGAGAGACAAAGAGACGCGTATCGTACAAATCGAGATCCGGAGAGTTATCCGCTGAGTCCATGCTGTCCGAGTCCATGCTGATGTCATATGCAAGAGATGAGAACGGAAAGAGAAAATGGAAAGAAAAAGCGAGTCAAGACTGAAGTATGCCCCCAACAGTCCTGACCCGCGCGATGAACGGCATGCCACGAACCCGCAGGGCATCACGGGTTCGCGACATGTCGGACATCAAGAAAGAGTGGTGGTACAGTACGAAAGGGAAGGAACATAAAGAGAAATAATGATAGGCTGTGTGGCGTCGATGGTCGACGCGTTGATGAGCAGAGCGCGGCGTGCGTCTACTGCGCGGGTTCTACAGGTGGACGCTGCAACGACATCAGTATGGATTGCATTAGCCAACCCGGGAGCCACTCACCTCTGTCCACCGGTAGCCCACATCGACCGAAGGTTCTCCTGGAGGATCTTCCGCCCCTCCTGCGCGTGACGGAGGGCGACGTCCTCACCCATCTCGTCCCGGAGAGCGCGCAGCTCGGCGTGGCGGCGCACTCGGCGCTCCCGGAGGCCAAAGAGGTTCAGGCCAGGGTGCTGGCGGCGCAGGAAGCGCTTGCAGAAGCTCATCGTCGTAGGACACGGACCCTGAGAGCGATAGATGAGCATCGAAATCACGAGCATGTAACACAAAGAAGCTCACCTCGTCCTCGATGAGCGAGACGTTCGTGTAAGGCCCGCTCGAAGGAGCGGGGCGGGCCTCCATGGAGGTCATCGCGCTGAACGTACGCGGGCGCGTGGCAGAGCGGGGCAGCGCGAGCGGGGTGGGTACCGGGCCGTCTTGGAAGATGACAAGCAAGGGACGAAGAGCCAGAGGTGCGGTGGGCGTGTAGGTCGCGAGGTCGTATGCGACGAGCGGGCGAGGACCACCGATGAGCGCGTGGTCCTTGGGGAACGCCCGAGCCATGCGAGGCTTAGGACCGGCCTTCCGGATGGCACCCGACGCGCCCTGAACGTCCCAGTCGGACGGTATGCCCTTGAGCGAGGTCACGAAGAACTGAAGCAAACGCGTTAGCCGACTGTATGCGATGTATAGATGATCGCACGCACCATAGACCAGTACAGAGTCCGTCCCACGAATCCCAGAACAGCTTGCAGGCCAAGATGGCCGATGGGCGTCATGCGCCATGCCGTCCGAACCGGCTCGAGGGTAGCGACGGCGACGTAGGCGATGACGAGCGTGTAGAACACGACGAGGGCGTGGATAGCTCGACGTGAGCCAAGGTGATGGTGATCCTGGAAGCCTCCGACAACCGTACGCGCAGGCTTGACCACGTACGGTGTCTCAGGCGTCCAGTCCGAAGCAGGCAGTATAATGACGGTCTCGGGCGATGGCTGCGAATGCGTCCGCGGTCGCTCGGCCAGGAGGCAGGTGTTGGGAGGGACCCAGACGACGATGTCCCCTGGAGGCCGCACGATCAAATCCGTAGTCCATTGCGCGAGATCGAAGGTAGGTGCCGCGATGAGATCCTTGGTCTTGCTCCACTTCCGTACGTCTTCCTTGATGTCCGCCAGCTGCGCGAGGTATGGGTCGCCGGGGTCGTTGAAGAAGGTGAAGGAGGAAAAGGTTGGAGCGTTGTCGAACACGTCCGACGTGATGGGGATGAGGCGTTGGCTGCTCGATGAGACTGTCAGTAGATGCATGATGGGCAGCGGACAGTTGGACTCACGTAGCGTCGTACACAAACCCCGCCATACCAGACCCGATGTTGCCCACCACCGATCCTCCGACAACGTTCGAGAGCTTGTCCCCGATGCCGCTGTGCATACAGTCAGCTAAAGTGTAATCATCAACGACTATGAGCGCGTACCTGAAGGAGTTGGAGACATGGTCGATGAACGACTCGACCTTGTCGATGATGAGGGGGCAAGGAGGGTTACTGCCAAAGAGGGCGTGGGCAGCGAGGCCTCCCTCGCCGCCCAGTCGACAGTAGATGTACGACTTGGGGGCGAGGGAGAGTGCGCCCGCAACGAGGAGGGCACCGAAGGTGAACATGGTTGATATTATCAAAAGGGGGGATGGAGGACGAGGGCGCTGAGAGGGGCGCTTGAGGGCGAGATGGGGAGACAGGGCGGTGTGGGCAGCCGTATTTATATGTTTGTGGGGAGGCTGTTGGGCGTTGTTTGGCGGATTAAACGGACTGCGTGCGTGACCGCGTCGCGACGCGTCGTTTGCGCGCGGCGCGACCGACGCTTTCCTTTTCCGGATGACAGGGTTGGTTCGTTTTCTGTCCCGACGCCCCTTGTCTTCCTACCACGTCCATCCGCACTTTCCCCGCCCTTGCCGGGCCCTCGTCTTCCTCGCCGCTATGGTCCTAGCGACGAGCAACGCCCTGGCGACACGTGAAGTGAACAGAAGAGCGCATCGATGTGCATTACTACAATCGTCCAGTCAGCAAACAGAGCGCATACAATTTCCCTGTCATGGCCTCGGTCGCCGCATCCGGGGCGTGTATGCTGCCACGGAGGCTCCTGGGCCCTGATAGGACACCGGTCTCCCGGACGTGTCATCTAGAGCATGAGGCAAGCGTTCAGAGATATGATTCCCTGCTATTCACAGTGTGTGCACTCACCGGGACCATCCAGCGCACGACCTGGTGAAGGAAGGCACTCGGAGATTGGCGCAATGCCAAGCGTTGACGCAAAAGCCCAGGCACACTACCCCTTGTAAGTCGCTTTTGCTGGTCCTGTGCACCGCATATTGAGCATATGTTCACAGGAGAACAGAATGTTCGTAAATACCACCTGCTAGCCTGCGGAGAGACGGGTGACTGGTGAGCACTGATCGAGTACAAGGTAAGCAGAAACGAAGTTGCGCGCCCCGATGTATGGTAAAGATGTGATCTTAGGCGCTTCGCGGATGCAAAACTCTCCCTCCGCATTATCTCCGAGTCACCGAAGGTCGCCGACTACGTTGCCGGCAGCCAGCTCGCCCTCGGTGTTCTATCCCACCGCTATGCACGTATGCCTCAAGATCTCCTCTTGAACACGTTCCAACTTGGCACGCAAAGCACTCACAAGAGACCGGGTATGCGCTTCTATTACCCAGCAGGCAAGAATGGCTGTGTCATAGTAGTCGCTGACTTCTACATGCTACGGACAGGTTAACTTTGTACATCCTTTGGACCAAGTCATGGAGCAGATCATCTGCAACCTCTACCCGGAATGATCTCCTCGTCTGTAGGGCCGTCGCATGCAAGAATGTGTTCTCCGATCGTCCTCGCCTCCTTGCCTCTCCGACGCGTTCGATTTCAATAGTCGACTTCTTGCTTATTGGCGACTCGTCGTTTGCGAAGGCGCGCCTGCTCATTTGCATGCACGGCGGCGATGGACAACACGCGCGGCCAAGCGATTACCGGGGACTATTGGCGGTGGCGACCTTCGTCTCTGCCCACGAAGGGGCACAGCGTCTGGTTTCTCTTGGTGAGCCTCTGGTTTTCGGTGCCCCTAGCTCCCTTTCGCCTTTTTCGTCCTCAATGTACGTGCTCGTTTAGCCGGGCGCGGCTCTTGCTTGTCATCGTCCCCTTCCCGGCCCCTCTTGTGGCCCGCCAAATCAGGCTTCTTTGTGGCAATGCGAGTCCTATAAAGATTGGGCATGTCAACACAAATCCTGTCTCGACTGTACGAGAAGGGAGCATGACTGCGTGGGTAGGCCAGCCGCGACTCACTGGCAACCGTATCGGTCGTGCAGTACGATGACCCCATCGAACAGCGATTACTTAATCGTTCTACTCACCTGTTCTTGGGCGGGAAGTCCGCTTGAGTTCCCTTTCGCACATTGTATTCACCATTTCGAGGTTTCGTGCACGGATGGTCTGGATGGTGTGGGGCGTGAATCAGCCCCAGTCCTCCGGTGAATATATGCCTCTAGCCATACCTGTAGTATCCTCGATGGCAGCCCCACCTATGTTTGACTCCGTTCGTTTCGTTCTTTCCTGGATCCTCGCACTTCGTCTTGGCTCGTTTGCCTCCTTGTGGGCCACAACCGAGCGTGTATGTGGCCGCGAGCTATCACGGACCTTCGCAGCACTGGCCAGTGTCCTCTCTCTCATGGATGGTGTGGTGCGTTGTTTCCTTTCTGTCGCGTATGTTCGCTTTGGGATCACGTCCGCCTCGGCTGCTCGGCGATGGAAATGAAGGAGGAGGGCCGCATCCTTCAGTTCGCGGGCCTTCACGCTCGTCGCCTTCATGAAGCTTGGACTTCTATGGATTGTCTGGGACATGGTGATCTTCAGCTGGATAGGGGATTGTGTACGTGGGTTGCGTATGCTTGTTGGGGAGTAGGGGTAGGTGATGGCTCGTCTGCTTGTGGCCGGAGGGCCCAGGGCCACCTTGCTTTGTACCTCGCGTCGCGTCACGGGACCGCGTGCAGGGGGCCCCCTTCGCGTCGCCACTCGTGTGGCCACCCGGGGACAGCGGCTGTAGTCCACTGGATGTGCTACGTTCCAGCTCTGCGGTTTCCCCGACAGTGATACAGCATAGATATAGATACCCATGCGAGCCATTAAACTCGCCTCTGAGAGCAGTTGATTTGCGAAGCACGAGTGTGTGGAGGCTGGGGAGCGACAATTGAAAGGGAGCCAGAGGCCACTGGTGGTCGATGATAGAACGAGATTGACGATGCCAATGAGGGGAGGATCATGCACGTTCTGGTCATCGTGCGCTATTTATATTGCGAAAACGCTTCCTTTGTTGCCGCAGCCGTTGTCTGACAATGCATGATGGATTACGCGAATCGCATTGGTGACCCATTGAACTCGAACAGAATAGAGACACAAGACTCTATGAAAGGAGAACAATTGGCTGTCTGAGAAAGCCATGGGTGACGAAACAATCGCTCTCGGACTACAGCCTTTCCCGCTGCCCAGGAGCTGAGCACCGCACGACTCCACACTATAGGGGTTGCTCAAAGAGTCGAGATTGAATGCGACATTTCGAAGCACGCCTTGGAGTGGTCCTCGTATATGCGGCAGCTACACAGGCGGCTCGACGGTCTGATTCAGCTATGCTTCAGTGACTAATCGTAGTTGGTTGGACTCGAACCGGATGCAACAGATTGGAGAAAACACGCTACGTCCATAACTCCAGTTCTAGGAAGGGGTGGTGTTGATATGGCAATCACGAACCGAATCGAAAGGTGCTAGTACTGCTATGTACCCGTCAAGGAAATCAATGGCTTCACTACCGCTACAGCATCGAGAGTTGAGGAACTACTCACAGAAGACAAACACGACATACTCCTTGCGGAGAGCTCGTATGATTGGTAAGTACGCTGCCTGCAATCCTTGCACACTTGATTTCGCCTGTCGTGACCCGCCCGCCTTTCCATAGAGCCGTTTCATTTTGATCCCATACATTGTTCGTGGCCTACAACGTAAAAATGGAGAGTGTTCAAGTACAACGCGAACGTCGAGGCAATTGCAAAGTCGCACGCCGCCGCCCGGCGTACAGTAAAGATGCGATCTTGACAAGCGCTAAGCGCTTTGCGGATGCAAAAGCCGCCTTCCGAATCGACTCATCCGATATCGCCGAGGCCACGTTGCAGGCGGCTAAGCACTGCCGCTACGCATCCCTGACGCATCCTGCTTTCGTCCTTCGCTACTCCGCTACGGAGTCTCACTCTTATCGGTGTGTATCATACTGTGCCTGCCGCCTCGGAGACCGTGACCGTGTTTACAATCGACTGTGATTCCTCCGAAACATTGTTACACAAGCATCCTCCCCTTCTGGATTGGGTCGATCAGCCACGCACGCCGGAGCCTGGAGGGTATCCAACGCTCGAGTTAGCATTGATTAAGCTGATATTGATATACTAACCAGATATTCTCACTTATATCTGATCACTGGTCGCAAGAAGCTCGCCGGTATCGCCGTCAGTCAGGAGTAGCGTCAAAGAGCGCGTTCATCCTTCTGCAGACTGCAGGTTCAGGGAAGACACCCACCGGTACCGCAGGACGGACCAAATGTGGCGCGAGACTCAGGCACTGACCTGAATACATCCCAGGAACCAACACCGTACACATCGCAGGGAAGCTGATCCGCACTGCAATCCTCAAGACAATAACATGCAGAAGATGGTCGTTGCGTTGTCGTGCTACGAGAAACGGAGATGTCTGAGTCCTGGAGGTGCGACAGCAAACATGCTCTCCAGCTGAGCTGTCGATCTGACACACGACTGAAACAGGTGCATCGTCATGGAGTCGCTCAACTAGAGACCACGCATGTCATTCGGAGAAGCTTGGCTACCGAAGTCACATCGAGAAGTGCGTCTACCGACCTTTCTCCCTGATGACTAGGCTCCTTATTCAGGTGTCCCATCGGATGATCGTTAAGTGCTATGGCGGCCATTCTTACTTCGACGACCACACAATTGACGCCTCTCGGCAAGATCCACTCTTCATTGTTCACGCCTATCTCTGATTTCTCCGATTTGCCTTCAGGGCACCGAGCTATGTATTGCATTTCTGTATCGTAGTGCTGCTCCTTATGCTGAACAGTATGTTGTACCCAGATGACCGTAACACCCTCCATTGCCCGGAGGATGTCATCGCTGCAGTCAAGCGTCAGCCATACGCTTGAGTACGGGGCACACCGGTCCCAACAAATGATGCATATGCAACACCAAAAGTACAAGGAATTCCTCTACTGGACCTCACCCTATTCTCCAATTCTCTTGGACGTCAAGAAGTCTTGATCGGTGAGTGCTACGGACTCCGCCGTACGTATGATTTGATCGTCAGGTACACACTCCCTCGCTGTTCATTTGGCTGTCGCCAATCATTCAAGGCACTCCTATTCGACCGACGTCAGCGCCGGTGCTCATTACAGGGAAGCCTTTTGTGTTCGATAATCCCACTCCTGAACGAGAAGACGTGAAGCTTTGCAATAGAAAGCTTCTGTCGCTGAAAGCATTCGGTATGTTCCTTCACATTCTCGCGTGCGCGGCTTCGATCTAATGGTATGGACGGGCCCGGGGGACATCTGTTGGACAGTTTTCTTGATTACCTACTGCATCGCAGAATTGAACCTTGCGTTCGAGCTTGGAAGATTGGTTCGGCGGGACAGACCGTGCGATTGATGGATACATTGGAGGGCGAACACATCCCTTTCTAGCTCATGGCCGACAGTGAGGCCGTCGACGCTCATCGCGGCGATGAATCTCCGCACACGGTTTAAGGCCTATAGATACCGACCGCGCATGAAACACTCCTGACTTCTCTTCGTGAGGTCGTCCCGCAATCTCGGATACAGAAGCCTCCAAATGGGGATGACTTGAGGCGATGGTATTGCTGTGCGCCTTCTATTTGACTTCACTTACATAGATGCAGCCACAGAACGTGGCTACCGCGTGTCCGAAGCCGCCGATCGTGATAACTTGGTTTGGCAAAACATAATCACCCATGTGAGTCTCTCTCCTCTGGCTTCTGGCTGCCCAATGGGCAATGATCTGAGTTCGCAGCTCAACGAGAGGATATAGGGACGACCGGGTAGAAGTCAAGTTGAAACAGTGCCCTGGTGGGATACTATGCTAAGAGCAGTGCTGTGGCTGTGGGGGCCCGTCGACAATGGGTGGAATTCGACAACGCTCAGAAGTTGGGAGACGACGGCCTGTCCTAGCCTCTCTGACTCCCTCATCAAAGCATGGAAGTGTAGGGTCATCATTGACTGCGCTGTTCGTTCCCGTCTGGTGGGTTGTCGTAGCAGACGCCCTCCGCCCCTCTGCAAGAACAATGGGGACCACATACAGTATGTGACGAGCACACACCACTGGTTGTCATGCTTCTGTGTGTCGGTCCCTGGGCGCCATGACCTCCCTAGTGCTTCCGATATCCTTGTTCGTCTTTCCACTGATGATTGCTAGGAAATGAAGTGATAGAACCTGAAACGGCTTCTCATTTCGAAAATATTCGCGTCTGCGGAACCTGGGAGGCAATGAGGAGTCGTCCACCTTTGTTGTGGGTCGCGCGTCTCCCACATGATGCATGAGGTAGGGCGATGAGCGACATGCCGACCTAAGCACGGTGGCATCAGCTTGCCCAGTGGACTTGAGCTTACCTTCAGCTGACCTTGCGGTACCAAGAATCGCACAGATGCTGCTGGCTTGTGTGTGCACACTGCCGTTTATAAGCCGGCGTTGGCATCGCGTCCTTCCAAACTTTGCCCCGCTGCCTTCGTAACATCATCTCCACGCCGTTGGGACAGCTCTTCAGAGTGCAACGGCTCTCATCCTCGCGAGCCACTCTACGCTTGTTCGCCAACGTTCCGTACAGCGGAATCGCCGCCACCGACCTCCGGCTACGAGTCGTATCAACATGACCAACCCACCGACCGGTGCCCCGTGGTCCACTATGCCTGCACATCAGGATCTATACAGTACGGGTCGCCACCTCGTCGCGCAGCATCGACCTGAGCAACAGACGCTGTAAGCACTGTCAGCTTCCAACGGTCGAGCCGGTTCTAATGGCGTCGACCGCACCTTTCCCAGGACATCAGCGCCGTCCACACGAAGCGCCAATAGCTATGCTCAAAATCTACCTCCGTAAGTTCGCATATTGTTGCGTGTAGCCGATTTTCTAACTCTCATTCTATTAGGCGTGCTGTGTCATCGCGCAGCGAAGCTAGCTACCATCGACCATCGTTTCCTCAGTAAGTCCATACATTTCCGATGCCCCGTCCCTTTCAATACTCACATGTGGGTGTAGAGGCGCTCAAGCGGCGCAGCCATCGTATGCGTACCACAGCGCATATAATGCCGATACGTACAGCCCTCAGTGAGGCACAATACTTCATGAATTGACTCATGATGTGTCTGACCGCTACGCTCATGAAGGTACCCACGTGTCGGGGCTACGCCCTCTTTGTATACCTCAGCGCAGATGCCCGGGACAATTCCGTACGTAATAGCAGCGACTCTGATAGCACTGCCTGACGACGTTCTTCCAGGCCAGCGCTCCCGTTCTGGTCAGACGCCGGGGCCACCAGCATTCATCACAGCACTGCCTATGGACCGGCGACCGCCTACACCGATCAGTACCGGGATTTGTCTCCAACAATGTACAGCCCGCACCAAGCGTCTTCGCCCGGGTCCCCTTCTTCGTCTTCGCCCTCGAGTTATCACTCCGTTTCCCCCCACCAGCTCATCGGCATGCCGCACATTCCAGAGTCGATTCCATTTTTTCCTGCCGATCCCGTCCCTCGCGTTCCATGTCTCTGGCTTGGCTGCAACGTCCTACTCGATGATATCTCTACTGCAGGGATCAAACGCCACATCCGCGACTGGCATGCGGATCTGTCCGGGACGTCCCACAAGGACCGCAGGGCATGCTTGTGGGATGACGGCAATGGAAGCGTATGTGGCCGCGAGCTCGACGCCGCTAGCTTTGCCAAGCATATCGCGTCGGTGCACTTAAAGAGCACCGCACAGGAGTGCGAGTACTGCCACAACACGATCGGTCGGGCCGATTCGCTCGCTCGGCATAAGCGGGACCACTGCCCGCATCGTCCTCGCAAGTGAAGCCGAGCACATGCCATAATCATTTCGCGGCTTGGAGGGTGGTACGCCTGGTTCGTCTGGTCTTCAGGCTCTTGATAAGTTCTTGCACTACTTTGTGCGCCTACATCCCGCCTCCCATGCCGTGTGGCGCAGGCGCTATCCACAAAAGTATACCTCGTACTGGTTCATTGGTTATCTGGTTCATTGGTTATTCCCTTCGGTTTCGCGACTCTTCCCTTGGATTTTGTGTATTGCTATGCTGCTCGACTGTATCATATGACCGCCCCGCCTCGATGTAGCACGTTCCCCGCAGTACTGGATAGCTTCTGCGAAGAGATATGTCGTGATTGTCTTCTATGCCCAATCCACTCTCAATACTTTAGCGATCGTGTATTCGTTGCTTCTCCTGACACGTAACACAGCAGTAGCATCTCCGGTAGCATGCTGCTCCGCTTGCAATTGAACGTATCGATCTATATTGCATTTTCCCCATGATACTGAGTTGACTCAGTAGAACTGAAACCATGCAAGTGGCGGATTGTCGCCAATCAGTTGCATCCGGTCTGAGTCCACCCAACTACGATTAGCCACTGAAGTGCTTAAGGATAACCAGTACTACACCTTGTAACTCAGACTGTCGAGCCACCTGTGTAGCTGCCGCATATACGAAGGCCAGTCTAAAGCGTGCCTCGAAGCTTCATGGCGACCACGAGTCTATGAGTAGCCCTATAGTATGGCGCGGGGCAGTGCTGAGGTCCTGTGTACTAATCGGATGAGCGACAAGGACTGTAGTACTCGAAGCGCAACCAGCGGGGATTCCGAGAGCGGCTGATCACCGCTTATGGCGATATCAGGCAGCCGATTGTTCTGCTTTCGTGGAGATGCTTGCGTCCCTCTTTTGTTCGATTTTGTCGGGTTCGTTTCGGAGTCATCAGTGTGATTCGTGGAACCCCTTATGCATTGTCAGACAGCGGCTGCGGTGACAAAGGAAGCATTTTCGGGAACATTGTCGCAGTATAAATACCTATAGCGTACGGCGAACACAACGTGCATGACGCTCCTCCTCACCGGCGGTGTCACACTTGTTCCACCATCGACCGCCAGTGGCTCCCGAAGCTTTCGCTTTCGTCGTTCCCGAGCTTCCACAAACTTGCAGTAGCTCGCAGAGGCAAATCTGATGTCTCGAACCGATCTCTATGCTGGTTTACTCTCGGGAGAACAGCAGAGCTGGAACGTAGTATACATAGTGGACTACAGCCGCTGTCCACGAGTGGCCACACGAGTGGCCCAGGCGACGCGAAGGGGGCCCCCTGCACGCGGTCCCGTGACGCGACGCGAGGTACAAAGCAAGGTGGCCCTGGGCCCTCCGGCCACAAGCAGACGAACCACCACCCACCCTACTCCCCAACAACCGCAGCATACGCAACTCACGAACACAAGCCCCTATCCAGCTGAAGATCGCCATGTCCCAGACGATCCAAGCAAGTCCAAGGTTCATCAAGGTGGCGAGCGAACTGAAGGATGCTGCCCTCCTCCTGCATTTCCATCACAGGGCAGCCGACACGAGCATACCTGCAACCCGGTCAAACGCGCACGGCGGGCGACAACACAACAAAGCATTGACGAGAAAGAGTCAACTGGCCGATGCGACGAAGACTTGCGAGAGCTCGCGGCCACGTACACGCGCCGCGGTGTCTGTGGAAGATACAAAAGCACCAAGACGTAGTGAAAGAATACAGGCAAAGATGAAACAAAGGGCAGACACAAAAGGCGGAGTTGCCCCGGAAGATACTGCAGGTACGAGGGCCTGCAAGCGTTGGTCACCAGCATACTGATCCACGCTATCGATTGGCCCATACCTCCCAGGCGACAGAAACGAGCACGGTGAACACAACACACCGAAGAAACCTGACCCGCCCGAAAACAGGTGAGTTGGACCGCTGTTCAGTGCCATCGTATTGCACGACCAATACTACGATCTATCCACGAAATTGTGCTCCTCGCTCGTGCATCCGTCAAGGAATTATATATTGATTCGTACAATCGATACAGGGCTCGCATTGCACCGAAAAGGCGTGCTTTGATAAGCCACAAGAGGGGCCGAGAAGCGGACGACAGCAAGCAAGAGCCACGTCCGACTAAACGAGCACGTACGACGAGGACGGAAAAGACCAAAGGGAGCTAGGATCATGGAAAACCAAAGGCTCACCGAGATAAACCAAACGCGGTCCAAGGAGTCCCCCGTCGGCAGCGACGAAGGTCGCGACCGGCAATAGTCTCCGGTAGTCGCTTGGCCGCAAATACTGTCCATCGCCGCCGTAGACGCGAGTGAACAGGCGCGTCGTGACGATGTCGAGTCGACGATATGGAGGAAGTCGACTATTGCTTGGGAGATGCGATGCGAAGAGGCGATGAGGATCCGGAATCAAAGGGAGTAAACGCACGCAGTCTTGCATGCGACGGCCCTACAGACGAGGATATCATTCCGGGTAGAGGTTGCAGGAGATCTGCTCCATGACTTGGTCCAAAGGATGTACAACGTTAACCTGTCCATAGCATGTCAAAGTCAGCGACTAATACGACACGGCTATAATTGCGGCCTGCCGAAGAATAGAAACGCATACCTCTCGTGTGAGTGCTGCGCGTGCCAAGCTCAATATGCTCACCCAGAGCCGAAGAGGTAGTAGATCGTGAGGCATGCATGCATAGCCTTGCATAATGGTGGGATAGAACACCGACTCGGAGAGCGAGCTGGCTGCCGGCAACGTAGTCGGCGACCTTCGGTGACTCGGAGATAACGCGGAGGGAGAGTTTTGCATCCGCGAAGCGCCTAAGATCACATCTTTACCGTACATCGGGGCGCGCGACTTCGTCTCCGCTTACCTTGTGTGTGCGCAACGCTGTCTCCGCAGGCTACCAAGTGAGTGCTATTTGCGAGGATTCCCCTATGAATAGATAACCATTCCACGGCGCACAGGATGTGTAAGAGCGACTTACCGCTTGGCGTACTAGTACTCCCGCCGGACATCTGCGCCAACGCTGAACCTCGCCGCGGCGCCGTCCTCCCCCACCCTGCGGAAGATGGTGATCAGTGGGTAGCATACACTCTGAAAAACCAGGAATTATTGCTCTGAACGCTTGCCTCTTGCTCTAGATGACACGTCCGGGAGACCGGTGTCCTATCAGGGCCCAGGAGCCTCCGTGGCAGCATACACGCCCCGGATGCGGCGACCGAGGCCATGACAGGGAAATTGTATGCGCTCTGTTTGCTGACTGGACGATTGTAGTAATGCACATCGATGCGCTCTTCTGTTCACTTCACGTGTCGCCAGGGCGTTGCTCGTCGCTAGGACCATAGCGGCGAGGAAGACGAGGGCCCGGCAAGGGCGGGGAAAGTGCGGATGGACGTGGTAGGAAGACAAGGGGCGTCGGGACAGAAAACGAACCAACCCTGTCATCCGGAAAAGGAAAGCGTCGGTCGCGCCGCGCGCAAACGACGCGTCGCGACGCGGTCACGCACGCAGTCCGTTTAATCCGCCAAACAACGCCCAACAGCCTCCCCACAAACATATAAATACGGCTGCCCACACCGCCCTGTCTCCCCATCTCGCCCTCAAGCGCCCCTCTCAGCGCCCTCGTCCTCCATCCCCCCTTTTGATAATATCAACCATGTTCACCTTCGGTGCCCTCCTCGTTGCGGGCGCACTCTCCCTCGCCCCCAAGTCGTACATCTACTGTCGACTGGGCGGCGAGGGAGGCCTCGCTGCCCACGCCCTCTTTGGCAGTAACCCTCCTTGCCCCCTCATCATCGACAAGGTCGAGTCGTTCATCGACCATGTCTCCAACTCCTTCAGGTACGCGCTCATAGTCGTTGATGATTACACTTTAGCTGACTGTATGCACAGCGGCATCGGGGACAAGCTCTCGAACGTTGTCGGAGGATCGGTGGTGGGCAACATCGGGTCTGGTATGGCGGGGTTTGTGTACGACGCTACGTGAGTCCAACTGTCCGCTGCCCATCATGCATCTACTGACAGTCTCATCGAGCAGCCAACGCCTCATCCCCATCACGTCGGACGTGTTCGACAACGCTCCAACCTTTTCCTCCTTCACCTTCTTCAACGACCCCGGCGACCCATACCTCGCGCAGCTGGCGGACATCAAGGAAGACGTACGGAAGTGGAGCAAGACCAAGGATCTCATCGCGGCACCTACCTTCGATCTCGCGCAATGGACTACGGATTTGATCGTGCGGCCTCCAGGGGACATCGTCGTCTGGGTCCCTCCCAACACCTGCCTCCTGGCCGAGCGACCGCGGACGCATTCGCAGCCATCGCCCGAGACCGTCATTATACTGCCTGCTTCGGACTGGACGCCTGAGACACCGTACGTGGTCAAGCCTGCGCGTACGGTTGTCGGAGGCTTCCAGGATCACCATCACCTTGGCTCACGTCGAGCTATCCACGCCCTCGTCGTGTTCTACACGCTCGTCATCGCCTACGTCGCCGTCGCTACCCTCGAGCCGGTTCGGACGGCATGGCGCATGACGCCCATCGGCCATCTTGGCCTGCAAGCTGTTCTGGGATTCGTGGGACGGACTCTGTACTGGTCTATGGTGCGTGCGATCATCTATACATCGCATACAGTCGGCTAACGCGTTTGCTTCAGTTCTTCGTGACCTCGCTCAAGGGCATACCGTCCGACTGGGACGTTCAGGGCGCGTCGGGTGCCATCCGGAAGGCCGGTCCTAAGCCTCGCATGGCTCGGGCGTTCCCCAAGGACCACGCGCTCATCGGTGGTCCTCGCCCGCTCGTCGCATACGACCTCGCGACCTACACGCCCACCGCACCTCTGGCTCTTCGTCCCTTGCTTGTCATCTTCCAAGACGGCCCGGTACCCACCCCGCTCGCGCTGCCCCGCTCTGCCACGCGCCCGCGTACGTTCAGCGCGATGACCTCCATGGAGGCCCGCCCCGCTCCTTCGAGCGGGCCTTACACGAACGTCTCGCTCATCGAGGACGAGGTGAGCTTCTTTGTGTTACATGCTCGTGATTTCGATGCTCATCTATCGCTCTCAGGGTCCGTGTCCTACGACGATGAGCTTCTGCAAGCGCTTCCTGCGCCGCCAGCACCCTGGCCTGAACCTCTTTGGCCTCCGGGAGCGCCGAGTGCGCCGCCACGCCGAGCTGCGCGCTCTCCGGGACGAGATGGGTGAGGACGTCGCCCTCCGTCACGCGCAGGAGGGGCGGAAGATCCTCCAGGAGAACCTTCGGTCGATGTGGGCTACCGGTGGACAGAGGTGAGTGGCTCCCGGGTTGGCTAATGCAATCCATACTGATGTCGTTGCAGCGTCCACCTGTAGAACCCGCGCAGTAGACGCACGCCGCGCTCTGCTCATCAACGCGTCGACCATCGACGCCACACAGCCTATCATTATTTCTCTTTATGTTCCTTCCCTTTCGTACTGTACCACCACTCTTTCTTGATGTCCGACATGTCGCGAACCCGTGATGCCCTGCGGGTTCGTGGCATGCCGTTCATCGCGCGGGTCAGGACTGTTGGGGGCATACTTCAGTCTTGACTCGCTTTTTCTTTCCATTTTCTCTTTCCGTTCTCATCTCTTGCATATGACATCAGCATGGACTCGGACAGCATGGACTCAGCGGATAACTCTCCGGATCTCGATTTGTACGATACGCGTCTCTTTGTCTCTCTACTATATGTCTCACCTTGCATGTTTCCTGGCTACGGTCTCAACTCATCTCCTTCGCCTTGATCTGTACTCTCTAGCTTGCAGTCCTTGCATCGTTGGACTTAGAATCCACCGGACCTCTGCCATGTACGGAAACGATTAGGTATACGTTTCGATATGTATCGATTTGTCTTGTATTATCTTGTAGCCATCCGTATAGCGTTGAATTCATCGCAGTTGAGATACATTTGTGTCCTTCATTGCGGCGAACCGGTATGTCGAACATTATCTAGTCAATGAACCCAATTGCATTGAGAAAGCCGTGACCTAGTACAGGCCGGAGACGACAATCATGCTGCAACACCCATAAATACCCAAGAACGAGAAGAGATAAAGAACATAAAGTAAACGTAACCATAGACCGTGACCGTTGACCGAAGGATGCCATGCATCCCAATAACCAAGAAAGGAGTGAGAGAGTTTGTCGAACGGCACGCACAGCGCACCACCCGGCATACCCTCTCAACCCTCCTCGCCCTCCCCCTCCATACCCTGTCCGTGGCCAATCTCCTCCTCCAGTCGCGCAAAGCCCGCGTCCAGCGCGTCCAGCCTCGCGAGCCGACTGTCCAACGCGTCCATACCCCCGTCAAGCCTCGCGATCCCGCTCCCAAACGCGTCCATTCTAGCGTCGTTTTCATCCATCGCACGCATGAGCTCTGCGATCTCGCGCGCGAGGTCTTCGTCCGAGAGCGCGGAGAGATCCTCCGAGTCCGAGTCCGCATTCGAATTTGAGCTGGGGTTTGAGTTCGTTGATACCGGTGTTTGGGATGCGAGGTGAATTGTCGGTTTACGAGGCTGTGCGTAGACCTGTCAGCCGCCGGGCGCATACAGGCATGTTATGACAACTTACCAGGTAGAAGTTGAGTCCAATTCGGGCACCCTCTAGCACAGCCAGAGGGACACCACAACCGATGCCGATGTTATACCAGGATGTCGTGAGCGTGCTCCAGAGCATCGCGCCCACAACGAGCAGATAGAGACCATAGCCGGAGAGGTGCGCGGTGGCACCGACGGTGAGGCTGACCTTAGGAGTCCCGAGTGCACCCGAGAGCCGGAGAAGACGCAGAAGCATAGTTCCCAGATAGCCGAGACGACGGGGAGCCTTGAGTGCATGAGGCATAGCGTCGGTGGAAGCAGGCAGAGGGTGCAGGTCGCTGAGCAGGCAAGTGTTCGGAGGCACGTAGACGACGAGCTCGGGGGCCGGAGCGTCGAATAGGTTCTTCGTCAGGAACTCGCCAGGGCAAACCGTGCACATCGGAGCTTCCCAGAGCATGAGCTCGTACTTGGGTGCGACGATGATGTCCGTCGTCGTTGCGAGTACTTTGGGGGCGCCAATGTTGTCGGGAACGTCGTTGACGAGGTGCAGGACGAGGTCGGTGAAGCCATATACCGTGTAACCGTGGACAGAAGAGGTGTCGTTGACGAAGGCGATCTGGTCGGAAGCCTCGGTGGCAGACATAGGAGCGATGTTGCCGCCAAAGACGAAAGCCATCATGTCGGAGACCAGTTCGTGTCCGATGAAGGAGTAGCCGAGTAGGCCAGAGGTCGTGTTGCCGAACCCGCTGCGCGATGTGGTCAGCGGACATTGAGCAGCGCGACTGAGAAGAGAGACTCACCTGAGCGAGTCCTCAACCTTGAGTACGACCTTGTCGACGGCGCTAGTGATCCCAGGGCAGAGACCACCAGCGCCGGGACTGCTGACTGCACTCTGACCGGAGTCAGGCGGGCAGTAAGCATGAGCGAGATGGCTGAGGGCCCGAAGACCCCCGACAATCATGCCGAGGAGAACCATGTTGTTGTAGAGTGTTGAAGTTGTGCGTGCGTTGACTTGGAAGTTGACGGTAGCGGAGGAAGAGGCAAACGTCCTGCGGTCGGCCTTTTGTGCTCTGCTGGCCGGTGGTCTAGGATGCAATCCACCGTGTCAGCATCAGCTGGAAGCCTCGCCTGTCCGACATCAGTGCCATTTCGGTTTCGACTGGCATATCGAATCGCTCACCCATTATTGCGGCATGCTATGACATTCTGTATCTGTAGATGAGCGTGCACTGTGGCGAAGTTACGGTCTGCCAGCTGGCGTTGTCTACTTGAGGTTTGTGCTGAGCTCATTGGCAAGATCGAAAGGCTGCCAGTGCCAGTCGCCGCGCCGCGCACGTCGAGGGAAACACGACCACGTGATTTGCCAAGTGGCGGTCGCGTACCGATCCTGCAGCAATTGAACGTAGTACTCATGTCGAGGTATGCTGTCACCTGTACGAAATTGCCCAAGTCCAGCCTGAAAAAGTCATGGTAACCACGAAATGGTCTTTCAGCTCCTTATCGACAGTAGCCGCCTCGCTCGACCGAGATTTACAGGTCCAGCTCCAACATCATTTTACCTATCTCCATGACTTGAAGCGAGCGTGGAATGAAAGACTAGACATCCCATCGCACTGGATATCGGTGAGTCGCGTCTGTCGAGTCCGTAGAGCATTTCTGATCAGTCGTGTCAGGAGGATGTCATCAACGAACTCGAAGGGAGCAAATGCCGCTACGATTGGACTACTAGTAGGCATCGGGATCTCAGCAGGGACATAGTCCGCCTCCACCTTCGTTGCATAGAAGCGGACCTCTATCCCCTGACTGACGACGAACTGGCCGACCGCTTGGTGAACGACATTCCTGTGCACTTCTCCACATCTGTCGAGCGCTACGTGGACCGTCTCCCCAGCTCTGAATGGACGAATGCATTCATTGACAATCATGCGACGCACCGAACACACATGTCGATTCACCAGGTAGCTCAGATACTGCAATACCAAGACTCGGAGATACAAGCAGAGCATTCCGTCATCACAGCTTTGGATGGTGTGGCTTCGACCTACATTCGCAGGTAACGTCCCGCCAGTCGGTCTAGGTCATATCATGCCAACAGTGATCATTCTACTTGTTAGGGAAAATCTGGGCATCTTGGACCTTTGGCACGCAGAATCAGAAGAGCTACCGAGCCTGTGCTTCATCGACTGTGCCGTTATGTACTATCCGGTGGGACCTAGCCCCACGAACTCGAGGTCTCTAGAGCATCTCGCCTATACACCGATCAGTGCCATCAACCCAGCACTAGTGCTCTGTATGAAAGGTCCTGCACGATGGCCAGGCGGAGACGACCCGGACAGCGAGCCGACCCGGACAGCGAGCCGGGATTTGGCATGGACGTTACGCACTCTTGCGTCGACGAGCGAGCTCAGTGTGGAGTCTATTGTCCAATCCTTGGTGCACCATTCAGGTGACAAGAATATCACACTGCCATCCTCTGATGCTTGCTTGACGCCGACCATCAAGCTACCGGCCTGTGCTATGCCTATGGGCCTCATCTATGACTCGGAGCAAATTCACCTCGTAGCGCACATCCCGTATCTTAACGAAGATGGACGCCGATACCTATGTATGGTCGTGGACAGTCTTCCTTTTCCTTCCCAGTGCAATGGAGACGTTCCTGAGTTCATTCGTGGCCGCTATCGGGTTGCCCTTGCCCTCCTCTCGCTGCAGCATCACATCTCCCGCTTGGTAACATTACTAGAACACGTCCATTGGCCTGATCATATTCGGTCGGCGCAAGAGAAGGCACTGAGGTCGTTACTGGAAGATAGGGCGATCGAGCTCGAGATACGTTCGAAATCCACTGGCGGTGAGCCCCGAGAGCCTAGAGGTCGTGACGTCTTGCGGGATGAATACGAGATGGATCCATCTGCGTCTGGATCCATTTCCGATAAGGATGAAATCAGCGTGCTCTATACCCACAAGCTGTTCCGAGTCGAGGTCAATTTCCCGGCGATTGAGAGATCGCAATCGACCCTGAGTCGATACCAGTGGATCTTCATCAATGCCTTGGTCATGCAGTGTTCACCGTGCGTGGAGCCATTGCGACAAACGCATTAGCTCGGTACTTATCAGGCACTACTGGATGACTATCCGTAAGGATTTAGAGGCGTCTGATGGCCTCTAAACAGTTTGTAGCGGAGTTTAAATAGAGCTTAGAACGGGTTTCTAATCCGTAAGACGTGTTTAGATCGTCTACAGGTCGTTCTAAGACTCCCATGCGCTTCTTCGGTGCGAGTGACGACGAGTATGAAGTCGAGGAGGAGGAGCGCCTCCGTCTCGGACTTGCTGCTACACTCATCCTAGGTGCCCTTGACTCTCGGCTCACCAGGCAGGTGCATCGCCACCGGGCCTACCTCACTCGCCCAGAGCTCATGCCTGATCCACGCATTGATACACCTTGGCAGCGGCTCTGGCAGAGCCAAAATGACCGCGCGTTCATCACGACAATGGGAATCGATGTCGGGACCTTCCGTTACCTCCTCGAGAGCGGGTTCACGAGGATTTGGACAACGACTGCAATACCACGCACTGACACCGATCCGACCGGGCGACCTCGACTTGGTCGCCGCTCACTTGATGCTGCTGGCGCACTCGGGCTTTACCTACATTATCTCAACTCTACCATGTTCGAGAAGACCCTCCAGGAGGTTTTTGCACTGGTCCCCGGGACGACCAATCGATATCTCAAGTTCGCCCGTCGCGCTTTGCTGACGACGCTGCGGAGCATCCCCGAGGGGAAAGTCAAGTTCCCGGAAGTTCATGAGTTTCATGAGCTATCAAAGCTCATACAGGTGTGTAGGCCAGTCAGAAATCCGGGTATAGGTTTGCTGATTTGCTCTGTAGAAGCGACACCCACTCCTGAACGGCGCATTTGGTAGCATCGACGGGCTGAATATCGCGACGCAAACGTCTGATGACCCGGCCATCGAGAACGCAACGTACAATGGATGGTTGCATGACCATTTTACAAGTTGTGTTATTGTCTTCTCGACTAGAGGTGAGCGGTGTCAGTTTCGGTATTGGTTGTCGCTGAACATCGATGACAAGGGGTTGTCATTGCGTGTAGTCTCAACGCACCCGGTAGCTGGCATGACGCGAAGGTAGCCCGTCCGATCTACAAACAGCTCCGTGATAAGGCTCCCGACGGCTACTTCCTCGTGGCAGACTCGGCGTTCCCGCGAGGCGGTGCGGAGGTTGAAGACCATATTCACTCGCCGCGGCGGTCTGGGGAGCTGTTGCCTCAGGATCACCGAGAGCGAGCGGCTGCCATTGCCTACGACAATCAACTGTTGTCGTATCGGCAGACGGCAGAATGGGGCATGCGTCAACTTCAAGGATCGTTTGGCCGCCTCCGTGTCCCGCTTGATGTCAATGACAACGACGGACGTGCAGACCTTCTCGAGAACTGTATCCGGATGAATAATGTACGTGCCATACGAGTTGGGATTAGTCAGATACAGAGGGTGTATGAACCTATTTGGCGAGCCTCAGAGGCAGCTGAACTCTGGAATTCATTCGAGCGGATGGTGATTCGAGATATCCGGCGCGGAGATAGGGTAGCACGATTTCACATTGTAGACTCAGATTGACTCAATACATATTAAAATGTGTGTATTGTCTCTTGAACTATATACTGTCACTACGAAGCATGGTATCTATGTCGTGAGTACAAAGCGCTAGACTAAAGGTGAGTAAGGTAGAATAGGCTGAGTGAGTAGGGAGGGCATATGTATATGTACACGACATCGGGAAATGAGTGTGTTATCATATGAGACTATGTGATTCTGAAGTGTATATACGGCAAATAATATGATAGGGAGATGGGTATAGTACTCGCGCGATCATGTACCTCACTTACTCTGGGCCCTGGGGTGTGTTGCGTGCGATGCGGCGTCGACGGGGTGTGACGGTTACCTCATATGCGAGCTCTCCCGCTGGCTGTGAGTCCTCCACGCTTGCAGCCGCAGCCGCAGCGAGTACATGAAGCCCTGGCTCTCCGACCGGCGTGCTAGTACGCTCAGAGAGCGACGCCGCCGCCGATGCGTGCGAGAACACACCAAGCGATGGTGTTCCGGTGTTGGCGGGACCGCCCGCTGGCGACGCCGGCGCTTGAGGCACCGTCAACGGTCTGCGACCATCACCAATGGCAGACGGTGGTGTAGAGCTCGTCGTCGCAGCGCTCCGTGAATGCAGGGGGATGTACGCATCACCCGCCTCTTCGCGGGCAAACGCGGCCTGAGCGGCCATTCGCGCAAGGTCGGGCGGTGGCGAGTAATGCCGGTGGGTAGCCCAGTTTGACGGACCTGGCGACGGAGGTGGCGGTTCCGAGGGGAGGAGGCTTGGTGACTCGTGAAGATAGCGCGCTGGGCTTGACTCGTAGGTAAACGGACGCGGAACAGCAGTCGCAGAAGAGGGCGCGGGAGATGCTGGTAACCCGCGTGGCGTTCCCAAAACCCCGAAGGGGTGAAAATTTGCTGAATGCGTGCCCTGCGCCTGTTCCCGCCGGTCACGACGACGGAGCTCTTCTTCAAGTCGCTCCGCCCGCCGCCTTTCTTCTGCAAGCTGACTGCGCGTGTCGCGCATCTCATCAAAGAAGAGCTGCAGAACCATACCGTCGGCTTGTCGAGCAGCCCGAACGTCATCCCGGGCAGCTTGAGTAGCTGGGTCAAATGCAGTCGCGATGTTGCTGAGCAGGTTGTTGGAGATTCCTGAGCGTGTCTGGCGGCTCGCCAGTGCGCCAGAGCCTGCGCTGGTATCGACAGTGGCAGATGCTGTGCTAGATCGTCGCAGTGGGATGGACGGTGTGTTGTCACGGCGGTGCGTACTCGAGGCAATCGCCGTCTTGGCCTTCTTACGCGGGGGAGCTGACTGCACGGCATCTGGATCAGGCTTGACCTTCGGAGGTACCTCTTCATCTGAGTCGAAGATCTCGATGACGTCGGGTTCGACATCGCCTTGCTGCCGCTCAGGCTGCTCGACACCGTCAATCCCAGCGTCATCGTCAAGTGTGCGAAGGTGTGCACGTTCGTTGATGAGCTCCTCGATGGTCCATGCTTCTTCAACCCACCATGGCACCTCCGCTTTACCGGTCGGCTTTGGCGTGCGAGCGAGCTGCACAACATCAGGGTAAGGATCTTTGAAATTTGTATAAATGCACTGAATTTTACTCACCGCCTCAAACTTTGACCTCAGAGGTTTGACTTGACGTTCAGGCCGACCCTCCGTCAGCGCCCACTTGTTGTAGATCGACTTGGCGTTCGACCACTCGTCTGGACCAAGTGGCAAGAGCTTGCGGACAACGTCCATCAGCGTGCCCAAGTCTGCTTCGGTATAGGTCGCTGCACCTGGCTGGCGACCACCGCGCCTTGGAGCTGCCGGCGCCGCTGGCCCGGGTGCACCACCACCATGAGGAGAACGTCCACGTTTGCGTGCGGTCGGTACGCCTGAGCTGCCACCCTTCGAAGCTGGCTTGGACGCTGTCTTCGATGTCGTGGTAGGGTTTCGGACAGGAGTGGCCCGTGCTGGGACTTTCTGTGATCGGCTCGGGGGAGGCTTCACTGCACGGCCTGTGCCTGACCCGGGAGCATGCGCATGAGTACGGAGGATCTCCGAGACTTCCGGCAGCTCATCGTCGCTGCGTGGCTCCTCCTTCACCTTCACGGCGGGAGAACTCTGCGGCCAGTGAGTGCGGAGGGGTTGGCTTGGACCGGGCATGGCAGCCCCAGCCGCCGCCCAGCCTTCGGCCGGCTCCGAGCGGGAGTCAGTCCTGGCCTGTACAGGCGGCACCGGTGGCGGTAGGTCTTGGTCATCGAACCCAGGGTCCAATGGGCTACGATCTCGCGGTGAGAAGCTCCAACCCATCAGGAAAATACCCACCTGAGAATTCGCTGTGAACCCCAGCTTTTCCTAAGAAAATCAGGTAAAGACGTACATTCCTATGTTTCTGAGAATCGCGGGAAATAGCCATGCTCTTCCCCGTCGAGTCAGAATCACGAGATAACTTGATGTATTCTCAGGAATAAACCATAGCTACTCACTCTTGATATACTATTACAGTTCATTCTCTGACGAGCCGTTGCGATTATTCACTCCATTCGGTGACCATCAGACGGTTGTTACGTTGAACGACATTAATTTCCATGTGGTATAAGATAACAAGTCCGTGACGACAAAGCAAACTCAGCAAATGAGCGAGCAAGGAGAGCAACACATAGCACATGAACGAGCAAAGGAGAGCAACACGGAGCGAACGAGCGAGCAAAGGAGAGCAATTACTACGATTTACTATGATTGATGCTTCGTGAAATATGATGATGGGATCTATTCGTCGGGTATAGCGTTCCAGTCAATGTCCGAGCCACCAATCCGGATTCCTGTATTCAAACCGTGACCGCCGCTGAGATAGATGTCAGACGTGCATCACAGTAAGTTCGGGGAAACATACGTCGCGGCCTCGAAGATCTCATGCATAACGCGATGATACCGTTTTGGCCTCTGCTGGCGCAGCTCTGCGAGACGAATCATGTGTTCGCGGTACACAGGTGCACTTGAGGCACCAAATTCCGAACCCTTGACGAGTTTAAGATGGGCATCCATAATGACAGACTCAACCTAGTAAAACGGGGAGGATCAGAAGCTGCAACAGAGAAGAGGATGAAACACACAGCTGTCATAGCTAGAGCCACCATTTCCGGCGGTACCTCATACTCCAACGGTACACTCCGCATAGACGACGGGCAGAGTGCGATGTTCTGCGACCCAACGCCGAGATAGACTGCGTTTCCAAAAAAGGCCGAGCGCACCGCCGACTTGACGAGCGGACCTTCGTAGAGAGCGCGCCGATCAAATCCATCCTATGAATCCACCTTCAAAACACATGTGAATGCGAAGAAGCAAGTCATACGTACCGCTGGTGTCCACGGATAGATGTAGCACATCTCTTTGAGGAATGCAACCTTGTCGGGAATAGGGTGGACGCCATCCGCCGAATCATTTACGAGCTGGAACATGTGCTCAGCACATGGCGTCACAGCTCGTTTGATCGCAGTTCGACATTGCCCTAGCCGGTGAGCAACCTACGGAACAGTCAGCATTTGTGAGTATAGTATGCAAGGAATGGTACTGACGTAGACCGTCAGAGGTCTGATGTAGAGCTTGTATGACCCACGTTCCAGGCGGTCGGCGACGTCGCGCTCACCGGTATACCCGAGTGCATCAGCCGCCTGAACGAGTGCCTCGAGTGCCATTTGATCAAGGCCCGCTTTGTCCATGGGCGTTAGCAGTTGAGTGAGAGCCTCTAAGTCAGCATTGGAATCGCGGTCATCTTTGCGGCCAAAGACCACCATTTGGTCCCCGATGGTGTAGCTGTAGCGGATAACCTGCTTCATAACCTCGTCCTGAGCCCGCAGGTTTATCTTGACACTTTGCGGATTCTCGATGATATCGATCCTAGTCCGCGGGAGCCACGTGTCATCGTCCGCCGAGTTGTCAACTTGTACTGCGGTTGCGGTTGCATGCGCCGGAGCGTTGCGTCGCTGTGATTGAACCGTTGCCTTCGGAGCAGCCTGCACCGGCCGAATCACAGGCACCTAACGTAGTTGATGTGAGTTAGCACATACACATGAGCTCGTGTACGTACCTCCGTCTTCAGCTTTGCGCGCTGTTTCTCCGTGAGCTATATCATCTACTAAGTCACACAACAGCTATTCACTTGTGAGTTGAACGCACCTGCCGTTGTCCACGCGATGTGACTACCGGGAACTCATCTTCGTCCAACTCATCACTAGGGTGAGGACTTGCATCACTCCGCCTCTCGTAATAGTTAGACTGAAGGCCGGGCTCGTCCTCCTCTTCCGAGTCATTCACCATGATGGCGTCGTCGTCAGTAGTTGGAGGCTCCATGGGATACAATGAAACCGAAGAAACACTTGAAGATCGTGAGCTCCTTGAGCGGAATCGAGGAGGGCGAGCGCGCGATGCATCGTCTGAGTCACCATCTTGAAGGTCGCACACCAACTGTGAGCCTGCTGCATGGCAGGTCGTAACTCGTTCAATCACTCAGCAAACGTCACTCACCGGAGCCCTTACTGATGGTCACTCTCTTGTTGACCAACAAATCCAACCGTCAGAGAGAAGCACATCAGTAGGATAGGATGGGCCATACCTCTGCCTCGAAGTTGTCACACCGTTCCCACTGCTCCTCTACTAGCTCGTCATCGCTCATCTCCTCGTCTACATGCTTGTCAGTGGGATTACCATGCGAGTCCGCATCTTCACCATCGTCGTCCATGGTATCTTCAGCGGATTCGAGTGGGCGGCCCGTGACAGTCGCTGTTTGTGGCTTCGAAGCACGCCGAGGATGCAGCTGCGGCGCCGGCAAGTCTGAGTCCGACTCATTGATGATCGCAGCCTTGTATGGTCGCTCTGAACGTAGGAACATCACGGGTGAGGCAGGAGGTAGGATCGCTAGGATAGCGAGTCGCGACTCACTATCATTGACCTTTGCTGGCCGCGGATTGCCGACCTTTGCTTTCTTCTGCGGCTGCCGCTCTGTCTCGTCGCGATCTCCACTCTGGCGTAGGCTTGCCCTTGCTGCTGTGCTCCCACTCTTCTTGACACCCTGGGTGTTGACCGAGTCCGCCCTCTTGCGTTTCTCCTTGTGGACATTCGACAGACTTCCGGATCCGTCGACATTTGCTAAATTTAGCAAGTCAGAACCTTGATCGCGCTCAAGATAACCTCTGTTGACTTGCCTTGCACTGTTTGACTGTGAGTCGTCCCTTGCGATTTCACTGCCGTCTTCTTTGTCTTGGACTCAGCTGACTTCGTATCTACATCGGCGCGTGGCTTCTTGACCATTGGAGCCCACGCTACACGATGCACGGGCAAACCAAACGGTGAGTACTGAATCTTAAGCGAACACAATGACTTACCTTTCGATGCCGCCTGAGAAGCAGCACGAACTGGCCGTTGGCTTTGACTTGGGACTTTGACATACAACATGTGAGTACACCTACTATGGTTGAACACTGCCGCAAAACTCACGTTCTTCATGGTCAAGACCTTCTGCCACGGCGGCACCGTGACCCTCGTCGACCCTCGAACGCTGACCAATTCGGCTGCCGGGAACAATCCTAGTGGGCGCCATCCAACTTGGCTCTCATACAGTGGGCCGCTTGCCAGTGAGAGACAAGGCGTGAGAGAGGTATACAAGGTATAGTCGTTAGAGTTACCGGTGTATGCAGCTACTCAGCAACGGTATTAGTTCTATGTAGACGCATACTACAAGAACAAATCATACATGGTCGACGCCCTTGTCACGCTGGCACTGGAGCCGGAAGCCACGTATTCTCGCGATGAGGACGTCGGGAGAATTGGAACAAGGGAAGGAGTGTCTTCAGGTGAGTGGTGATCTATGCACGAAGGAAGGATTGATGATTGAAGTAAAGGCCGACGTGTACGATTATGGATGGGTTGGAGTCGTGCTGGCACAGGCGCGTGGTGACCGGTGAGGGATCGGGGTTGCAAGTCTGCGTGCGTGCAGCTCGGCAAATGGCGACCCTCGCTTGTGACACTGACAAAGCGGTACGTCTTGCGCGTTCAAGTTGCTATCGATCTCCCACATTCTGATACTCACAATTTTGTCTCACTGCTGAAGACCGCCTACTTGACTAGCATACTACCGCATATTTTGGTGAGTAGAGCAGTGCAATTGACTTGCCCCACGTCCGGACAATTTTACTGATGGCTCACTAGTCTTTTTGTGTATAATACCGCAATGTCGTTCAACTTCAGATGCAATGGATGTAGCCGTCTCTTCACGCAACATGGTGCCTACATTCGACACCTCCAGACGAGTGCTCTGCCTGCCTGCCAAGTCGCCCGCGCGCGGCACGAAGAATCTATGCGCCGGCCAACACGTCGGGCCAATCATCGCCGCGCTGCACAGTCGCAGTCAAGAAGCCGATCACCAGAGTCTTCACAAGCTAGCAGTAACGATACGCGACCCGCGGAAGAAGACAACGACGATGGGGATGACCAGATTGCATTTGAAGGTGACTTCTTCGGTTCTGCAGAGGACTATAGCATGGGCGATCTCCCGTTCAGCAGGGATGATGGCGAGGATCGAGGCGAGGATGGTGAGGATCGAGGCGAGGATGGCGAGGATCGAGGCAATGAGGCTGACGTTGACGAGTCGAGTGATGACGAGTCCTCCGATGAAGAAGCTGTGGGACTCGACATCATCGAGCCAAGCGACGAAGTCGAGCGCGACGGACGTCAGCTCCCGTCCTCGATGCCCGACCGTGAGGGATCAGCAAGTCCCAACCAGGATCATGTAGAGAACGATCGCGCAGCAGAAGAAGCCTTCCTAGGCCATCCGCCAGTAGGACGGGGCAGTGCACCCGGTGGACTACAGCCCGCTGCTCATGAGCAGATCCGACAGCCGCCGTCGTATGTGGTTCCATTCCCGGGTGGCAAGGCAGGCAAACCCGTGCCTCCTGGGTCTGGACAGGCATCTAAGCCGGGTTACGATACCTATGCCGAGACGGTCGACCCTCAGTCCAAGAATCCGTACGCTCCGTTTGCCTCTAAAATGGACTGGGAAATCGCACGTTGGGCAAAGTTGCGCGGATCAGGATCGACAGCTTTCTCTGATCTACTTGCCATACCTGAGGTACGTCATCTGTGCTTCACGCTCACTCACCAAGGGCTGACTGGTTTTACTGCAGGTTCGTGAACGGCTTGGTGTATCTTACAAGAACTCGGACCAGTTAAACAAGATCATTGACGAGAAATTACCGACCCGACGTCCGATGTTCCAGCGCTTCGAGGTCGCTATCGGCGGCGAACGTTTTGAGATGTTCAAGCGTGACGTTCTCGAATGCGCGCTTGCTCTCTGGGGCGATGCGGAACATACGCCATACCTGTGTGTCTCTCCAGAGCGCCACTATGCTGACGCGGACCACACCCAACGTCTCTACCACGATTTCAACACAGGCGAGTGGTGGTGGGCAACACAGGTATGTTGTAGGCTGTTTGTACAGAGTGTTACAAGTTACTCAGTGCTATGGTAGAAAATGCTCGAAGCGAAGGAGCCAGGCGCGACCGTGATACCAATCATCATCTCCTCCGATAAAACTCAGCTCACGACGTTCCGGGACAAGACAGCATATCCGGTCTATCTCACGATAGGCAACTTACCGAAGGAGATCCGCCGAAAGCCGTCACATCGCGGTCAAATCCTACTCGCGTACCTACCGGCCAGCCGGCTGCAGCACATTAAGAACAAAGCCGCGCGCCGCCGAGCTCTGGCGAACGTTTTTCATGCCTGCCTCTCCATGGTTCTCGAGCCTTTACGGAAGGCTGGTGTCGACGGTATTGAGATGACAAGCGGTGATGGGGTAGTGCGCCGCTGCCATCCCATCCTCGCGGTGTATGTCGGAGACTACCCCGAACAAGTCCTCGTTACAGGAACCTACACGGGACAGTGTCCCATCTGCAAATGTCCACACGACGAGCTCGGCAATTACCCCCGTGTATGTCCTTACCGCGACGTTGATGAAGTTCTCGACGCTCTCCATCTCTTCGGCACCGCTGACTACAACCATGCATGCGAAGCGGCCGGCATCAAACCGATCCAGCATCCCTTCTGGGAGCATCTCCCCTACGTTGACATCTTCCAATCCATAACCCCCGACATATTGCAAACTGCATCAAGGCGTCATCAAACATCTCCTCGCATGGATCACCGCCATTGTTGGCAAGGACGAGGTCGACGCACGTGTCAAGCGACTGCCCCCAAGCCACGGCATGCGCGTTTTCCACAAGGGGATCAGCGGACTGTCACGCGTGACAGGTACAGAGCACAAGCAGATCGCACGTTTCATCCTAGGCATTCTCGTCGACGTCCCATTACCGAGGAGCGACTCCGCGGAGCTCATCAGCGCCAGCAAAGCGCTCCTCGATTTCCTCTATATCGCGCAGTACCCGGTCCACTCGAAGATGACTCTAGATGCGCTGGAACACTCTTTGTCCGAATTCCATGCCCACAAAGGTGTCTTCGTAAAACTGGGTGCTCGTGTTCACTTCCACATTCCGAAGCTGCATATGCTTACCCATTACGTTCGAGCGATCAAGTACTTCGGCACCACTGACAATTACAACACGGAGGCCACGGAGCGACTCCACATTGATTTCGCGAAGGAGGCATATCGCGCAACGAATCACAAAGACGAATTCCCGCAGATGACGAAGTGGCTCGAGCGCCGCGAGAAGGTGTTGCAGCACGCCGACTACGTTGGATGGCGCCTACTGCGTGCAGAAGGTGGTCAAGACGGTACGATTACGTCGCGTCAGGGGGTACGCTGGCGTCCACCGGACATGGCATGTACGCTCCATCATCTCATGACGAAATACCCTAGCCGTAAGGCTGTTCCTGTCACCGAACTGGTCTCTTCGGAGGGCTATGGTGCGACATACCTTATGCCCGCTCTGGCGCGCTTCCTCATCGAGCACAACAATCCCTTACTGTCACGGAATGAGGTGGAAGCTCGAGCTGAATATATCCGCTTCCCTTTCACGGCTCTGCCAGTCTTCCACAAGATCAAATTTCGCAACATTGAACATCACGGCAAGGAAACTCTGGACTCGATACACGCTCGACCGCGGCAGCAGGGGCGCAACAGTGAGGTCATGATACCTTCCCGGTTTGACACTGCCCTCGTACATGTACGGCCCGGCCCACAAGTTGACGGACATGCTGAGCCACGGGAAGGACTGTCAGGTGCGTCATGTTCCCTTGATTTGCACAGCACACGACTGATGTTCATATACAGATATGCGTGTGGGACGAGTTCGTGTCGTTTTTACGCTCCCACAGAACGTTCTTCCCCAACTGTTCTCGGTGGTAACGACCCAGGGTACGCGCTGCCCGCAGCACCTTGCATACATCGAATGGTTTTCCCGATTCACACGCAACCCTGACACCCATACCCAAATGTACAGGATCACGGCACTGACTGGTCCTGACAAGATCGGTTCTGTAGTGCCACTTGCCCTGCTCGAACGTAGTGTCCATCTATTTCCGAAGTGGGGCGGTCCGGCGCCAGTACACTGGACGAAAGAGAATGTATTGGATCAGTGTAAGGCATACTATCTCAATCAGTACAAGAACCCGCACGATTATTACAATCTGTATTAGTACATTGTTACTTAGCGTTACGTGTCAATGCACTGTTGCACAATTGCTCTCAACTGCGGGCTCCTTAATGCTTCAACTCCCAAGATTGAATACTAAATGAATACTGTATTCTCGGATCTGACGGCATCATTCTCAGGTCACTCTCTGCGGACCTGGGATTGACCGCCGTTTCCTGAGAAAGCCCGAAGTGTCTGAATATTCTTGATAATTCCCGAACCTACATGAGATTTCTCAGGTGGGCTTTTTCCTGATGCCGTATGGGTCACTGTACGTAGACGGTTCATGCTCGGTAGAAGGTGGGAGGGAATACGGGTACGGATGCGCCACCGAGGCTTGGTTGGTACGGTAGTGTGAGAAGCCTTGATGAGCAGCGGGCGGCATGGAAGTGGAGTGAGATGAGATGTCGAAAGGAGGGGACAGGCTGTACGGCGGGGACGGCCCTTGAAGAAAATAGGAAGGTGTATTACTATATGGTGCGTGCGTGTGGAAGGATGGACGAGGCGTGCCGGCTTGACTGACTGCTGGCACAGGACCGTGGGTATCAGGAGAGTCTTCTGTCGTCCGAGTCTGTCCACCAGACCGGAAACGTTCGGTAGTAGGCTATAAGGAGGGTGCGTTCAGTCTCTGTATTCCTTCGCGTGGCTGACACAAGACGTACCACAGTAGACTCGGAACGGAACTCTGTAGTACTCAGACCATGGAGACCTTCGGATGCCGGTGGGCCGACGGCCTCGTCCTCTGAGAGTCGCCTTGCCTTTTGCTTCCCCGCGGCTTTGTCCGACATCGGTGGTTGGCGCTCCATTGGACTCGGAAAGTTGAAGGCTCTTAGTAAGCACTCGACAAGTCTGTTGAGGAGGAGCCGAGTTGGAAGATGATTAAATGAAGAAACGAGAATGCAGGATAAGAGTAGAATGAGAGTAAGGGATGACAGGTGAAGGAGAGTGCGGTAGAACGAGTGGATATGCGTCAGAAGGTGAGCAACCGTTGTGTTTTCTCTAGAGATGGATCACTGCTTGGACGTCTTGGATGATCACTGTTTATATACCACTTTCTACAGCCCACTCTCGACTCAGGCCAAGCGTACCAAAGCATGACGCCGTCTGGGGCTGGAACTTGGCATTGTGCAAAGGTACGCTGTGTCTCAGAATAATCTGCACATTTGAGCTCACCGAGACATCCGCGGCGAGTGAGCGATGGTTTATTCAGCAATGTTCATGTGGATGTGGTGCCGTAGACACAGCTTACGAAGAATCGAGCCTCTCCAGGTGCGCTCTATGCATGCTTTTGGACGTCCCCGCCATCGGAATATTTCCAAATATATCCATTCCAAATATGCTCCCATGTGCTACAATCCAAACCACCATGCCTGTATTGTACAGCCTGCTGCGGCGCAACCCCCTTGTTGGTCTCGCCATACATCGCTCACAGCGGCTATACCAAATGAGGAAGCCGGCGGGTCATTTTTAGGATTTAGTGCCGTGATGACCGCTGATCTAGGTCGGGGGGCTCCCCCCCTCATTTCAAAGTTGTGCGTTTACGACCGGTCCAAACCCTTCAAAGCCTCTGAAACGCAGACAGGCTCTAGCAAATATGATTTTCCGATCTCGATGTGCTCCATGCCGCGCGGCCATCTTCCGACCTTCCCTGTTTGAGGTTCGGAGTGTAGAGACTTTCAAACTCCATGCCTTTACGGCGGCCAGTGCCCCCGTTTGATGACCTTCATTTCGCGTTTAGAGCTCGCAAAATCCATCTAAACCCTTACGGATAGTCATCCACTATTGATCGAGCAACATACGCTCTTGCTGCGGAGAGAACTTGGCTTGGCCTCGTAGGGATGTAATGTACAATGCAATCACATCATATGTAGTCTATGCCGTTCAACAGGCGAATTTCGAGCGAAAATCTCCTGCCCACCAGAACTGGGCAGGTCAGTATATCGAGGACGACACGCGCAAATCACACAACAGGATGTTGAGAGCCTCAATATTGCCAAGCCCGGGTACGCCCTGCTGCAACGAGCTTCTCCACCTCACCGGTACCAGGTTACCCAATGCGAACTTCAACGCTAACAGCGCACAATTCGGCTGACCCGATCTTGGAGACTCGGCCATCGAGGGATACATTTGCAATCACTTGCGTCTGTTACTAGTCATCACCGAGGCGGCTAAGAAGATGCATGGGCCGAAAAAGAGCAGTCCGCAGACCTTCCCCCAAGCGTCCCAATGGCAGGACTTACTTGACATGCATATGACCGTGTACCACGTCTACGTACACGTCCTTTCTCCGTAGACAGTGGATGCGACTCTATGGACGTTGGCACAAGACGAACCGTCCTGGGATCGATTGTGCGGGCAAGCTCCAAGATAACGGAAGGTGTTGAGAGTCCTGCGTCTAACATCTCCACGGCAATCATGCAAAGATCATTTCATTCCGGCGAAAGCACGACAACAGACAGATTGCAAAAGATAACCACCACAGCCAGAAGCACGCCCTAGACGGAGACCACCGATCCGAAAGGAGAAACAGCACCCCGACGAGTCCACGAGTCTTCCACGTATCCAGTGGGCAGTGAGTGCTGGTGTCCATTTGTCGGACAGCCTCCGAGATGATGATAGACCGGAATGCGCGTCTCCCGAGTTCCGACAAGGCAGCTTCAGCTGGCGTTCGCCTGAGAAAAGGTAACAGACCGGAGCCAGAGTCGAGGGTGGAAGCCCGGCAAGCCAAGCAGCAGCAAGTCCCAGGGAAGGCAGAACCAAAACTCGCCATAAGCGCGTGCTCGAAACCCAAGAGACCGAGGACAAAGACCAGGAAAATGCAACGAAGATGGCGAGATCGAAGGCGGCGAGACCGGAATTGATTCCGGACGAAGATCGAATGCGAGAGCGGGAGTGAGTAATGACTGTTTCGGTCACATCTGAACGGAGGACGAGCGCAGACCCACGCGTCCTCCGCGACCAAAACCTATGAACCCAGCATTCATCAGCTATCAGCCTCGCCACCGCACTCCACAAAACCCAAGCGATACTCACCAGACATGTGCACTCCCACGCCTTACTTGGACTCGCGCCGCCCCGCGCCTCGCTGAGTGCCTCAGCAGCGGCTCTCGGGGCGGCGGCTCTCGAGCCCAAACTATCTTCCTCCTGCTCCCTCCTCTTCCCTCCTCCGACGCAAGGTTCAGATGAAGTGGGGGAGGGGAAGGGGCTCCCGCCGAATGCGCGCGACGATCGACGCGGGGACCTCGGGGAAGTCTATCGCGTACGTCGTCGACGGGGGCGTCGTCCAGCCCCGGGTCGAGAGCGAGGGAGACTTGGAGGAAGGTGACGGCGAGCGGAGAGAGGGCGGGCGGTTGGTGCGTGCCGGGGAATTGAAGCCAGACATGCTCGCAGGCGAAGATGTGTCCGAAGGGGCGCATATGGGAGAGAGCGGCGGCGAGCGCCGCCCCGCCATCTTCGCCTGTGCCGCCTGGAGTGCCCACGAGGGTGCCCAGAATCGCTCGCCCGAGGAGTAGGCATTGCCATAGATGTGAAACGAGGAAGTCGCGATGCCGGGGGAGAGCGCGGCGGTCGGCGAAGCCCGAGGAGGAGAGAGGCGTGCGAGGCGAGGCGGGGATGTGTAGACTGGTTGTGGGGTCGGAGGGGGTGCTATGGGTTTGGGTTCAACGGGAATCTTCGCTTCGACTGTCAGGACGGCCGTTGGAAGTCCGCGATCTATAGCAGTGACAAAGGCGTCAATCAGCCAGACAGCCCCGCGCATATAGTGGGTAGAGCTCACCATGAGCACCCCTACCACGACGCGACCCGGACCTCGAGGACTTGAAGAATGCGCCTAGCGACCAACGTCCAGTGGGCTTTTCGATCCCCACTTCCCAGTCATACCCCGCCCGTCCGCGTTTCGTGCGCCCGAGCCAGATACAGACGAGAGCGATGCAGATGATAACCCACGCCGCGATGCCGACCCCAATGAGCGGGTAACTTGCAGAGCCCGTCGTGGGTACGAACGCCGCGTCCTCCACTGTCGTAGTGGGGGAAGGGGCGGGCGGGTCCGCGCGCTCGATGCCAGGGTGATACGGGAAGGCGATGGGTGCCATGATTCAAATTGAATGTTGTGTGCTTGAGCTTGAGCGAGAGGCGAGTGCTTCAGCGGAGCGAGAACGCAGCAAAGATGATGGTCCGTACAAAGAGAGGGAGGAGGGAAGCAGGCCATAATTGAATCCCCTTGCATTCCTGACTGAAAGCCAGAACAGCGATGACAATAGTAGGGCTCGAGACTGCTTTAGACGCTGTGCAGACAGGATCGCAATGAGGGTGATGTATTCCATGATGGGACGGAATCTAACGAGCCACGAGTTCAGCATAGACATCTACTGGGCCACTAGGAAAACACGAGCACGACGACAGGTGGGATTTAGTGACCAGCCATTCCAGCATCGGAGTCGGGTAGATCGAGGTCGTCTTCGGTCGCGCATGGGCCCTGAGGCACACCCACGGCTACGTTCGCCCACGAGAATGGAGATGTATCGCACTGTCGGGTGTCATCGTGGCTGAACGGGGTGTCTGCGATGGCGAATGCCGTGCTACGCACGGTGAGTCTGACTGGTCTGGTGGTCGTTCGACAACGGCGGCGAGCGACTGAGCGATGTGTGTCCGTGTGTACGTAAGCGACACGAGGCTCCGAAGCGCTCCCGGTCACTGTCAGCGCACGATCGGACCTCGTATGTACAACACCAACACCCTGTTGGCCTCGACGACCAACTAACTGGGAATATTTGACTTCGACTCGGAAGCCATATAACGCATGCGTATAATACCACATCCAATTGAACTGAAGATCCACACAAGACTTAAACCTCAAGCCCGCCGATTAACGTTACAAACACCGCTGGGGTTCAATTGCATTGAAATGTAGTCTCTCAGCAAGAATTTGATTCACACATCCGACTTCTGCAACGCCAATTTCTATTCCATAGCGTGCAATACAGACTGTTCCAAGTAAGTCATTACTGAGTATTGAGGAGTGACAGTAACGACTCAAATTCGGCATGCGCTAGTTTCCCCGGGCCCCCTTCGCATTCAGAGCGAAGATGAAGGGCCCAGGTACTCAGCCCGGGGACCAACGACAAGGTCCATGCCAGGACCAGCCTCCGCTCGCCCATTGCAGGCATACGCAGAGCTGACCCGTACCCCGGGAAAGGAGGGAACATACTTACCTGACTCGCCCGCCCAACACCGCGATGGACACCGCCCACTATGCACTGTGTCCGTGCCCGTCAGCCCCTCCGACCAACCGCATCACCAATCGAAGCAACTCACGCGTTCATATTGCCACAAAATCCCACCACGCCGTCCTCCGCACTGTGTGTCGCGCCCCTCCCCCGGCACATTGCCAGCGGTGCGTCCTCCCTGGGCTCGCGGGAGCGCGACAATGAGAGGCTGACAGCCCGGATTCCCGGTTAGTACGAGTGGCTTCTGCCACCGCATACCGTGCAGTGCCGCGCCCCTGCGGCCGTACCATGCTGGTGGTCGCTCGCCGATCACCGCAGGGGCTTTGCTGTCGCGGGGCGTGCGAGGACGTTGAACGTGGCTGCCCACCGTGCGGCGCATTTATGCTAGGCGACGCCGAAAAGTGGTGAGCACCCCCGGTTGCATGAACCGAGAAAGGATGGACTTACCATCGGTGGGTCACAGAGTTGCCGTTACTATCAGTGGCGGCGGCGGCGTCGACGAGATACACCACGGGTCCCTTGATGACCGACGGTCTTGACGACAGTCGAGTCGACCCGAGGATCCAGATATGAGTGACCTTGTGAGAGAGGGAGCCGGTGGACTTGAGCTTGAGCTTGAGCCGAGCTTGCCTGCGCGCCAGACCAGACGGGGAGGAAACTAGAGCCAGAGTGAGAAGATGGAAGAAGCAGACAGAGGACAATGAGACTCCATGAAGCGTCAGGTAGGGTCTTTGTACCTCTTGGATGTTCTGTTAATGACCGTGCTCATTGCGTGTCAGCCCCACAGCCAGCCTCAACGGCGGGCGGCCAGAGGCCTGACGAGGTCAGCCATCTTCGACGTGTCATTGGCATCGCCCTCGTCCATTGCCTCGTGTTAATGTACGTGCCCTCTGGAATGTGCGGGCGAAGGAGACCGACCCGCTACATACTGGACGGTTGGTTATATTGCCTCCGTGACGCGGTCACGTGCCCTCAGTCTCGAAATATGGGCGATGCATAGAGTGCATTTGCATTCGTTTCAAAGATAGAGTCACAATTTCTAAACGCAAAAAATAAGTAAAGTACTGACATCCACACCGCCACCACGCACAGATCACCCGCCCGACATCGACCATGTCGGCCCACTCCTTCCAAACGCGCACATGCCAGTAACATAGCACAACGCGAATCAGACAAGCAACCACATGTTAGCGTGCATTGAACAGCACTATCGACAGGGGCCGAGAATCGGCGCGGGGCCAGTTCCTCCAACGATGTTGGGATGGACGTCACGTAGGGTTGCTTGGGGAGGTGAGGGAGGCGGAGTAGGCGGGATGGTCAGTGAGCGGCGAGCGATGGTGCGTGATGTTGGAAAGGTATGTATTCGGGGATGAGAAGGGGCGAGTGCGGCGATCCTACGTAGAAGGTAGAGAGATGGGGTGTAGGACCGAATGCATTAGGGCGACTAGTAATGTGATTAAAGAGCGGAGGGGCGACTAGGACAAGTTGCATCGGGTCAGCACTTGACATATACGAACTACCGTGCGGGCGACTCACCTAGTACGATAGTGACATATGCGATATCCGAGCGAAACGTCATAGAGATAGTCGAAGCGTTCAAAGGTGAGGTCCTATGCGGGAAGACTAAGAAAGTAGGGCGTAGGACCAAAGCATTATACCAGTGGAGGGAAAGATTAAAGGGTAGAGATGCGACTACAAGAAGCTGATGCAAGTCATTCATCTACGACTAAACGAACGTGCACCATAGCACTTACCGAGACCATAGGATACACATAACATGCGAGGCGGAGATTCAGGAGCGAGGACCAACGTCGGGAAAGCGAAGCGAGTTGAGCATAGGACCAAAGCATGAGATTAAGTGGCGAAGCGATTATACGTTAGAGGGGCGACGACTCAGAGAACACGCATTTAGTCGGTCGTCTCATCGAACTAGACTTCAAGAGCGTACTCACCTAGTATGTAGGATCGTAAGATACGAAGAAGACGGGCAATGCAAGGAAGCCAAAGGGTTCCGGGGCGGGGTGTGGCGCGAGGAATGCAAGGAGAAGGAAGTGCGAGACCAACGCATTAGGCCGAATGGCGAAGTGATTGAAGGCGGATAGGCGAGCATGAAGACCTACGGTCGGGACTTGTTACTCAGTCCCCAGCCAAACAGAGACATGCGGCAGTACTCACCGGAGAGAAGAAACAAACGCGATACAGGAACGGAAACAGATAATTCAAACGCGACCAAACGAACCACCGAATGCAGGTTCAGGATCGGCCACACCCTTCATGATCGCAAAGCCACATGCCGCTACGGTCTTCTCGGCGCCGGGCTCAGTTGGCACGACCTCGTACTCGAGGGCACCACTTCGCCACGATCCACAACTCGGGCCGAAGCGGGCCTGGAGGTCAGCGAAGGCGACATCGAGCTTGAAGCGCGCCATCGCGAGGTCGTCTTCCGTGTACGTCGCGGGGTTGCAGCAGACAGTGTACGGCGTGCGGCTATGGGCGTGACTCGGCTTGTCTGACTCCGGCGCGGGAGCAGCGTCCGGAGAGCGCCTGATAGGAACGTGCGGGGACCGCAGAGGAACAGGGGAGTGCTTGACTAGAGAGCGAGGGCGCGAGATAGCGATCGGCGGGAAGTCTGGGATGGAAAGCAGAGGCGGCGAGGAGGCGTAGGGAAGGGCGGGGTGGTAGGCGAGCCAGTCGGTTTGAGTAGAAGTCTGGGTAAAGCGGGGAAGATGCAATTAGGACGGGGTATACTGATGGTATGGAGCAGCGCACCTTCTCGAAGGACTTGCTCTTGAGCATCGGACTCGCTTCGACGTCGAGGCCGGTACTTGCAGTGTGTGCCCAAGGGAACGTTAGGACACGCCAGATTCGCGTCTTCAAGCCAGGCCGAGCCTTGAGGCTGTCGAGCTCGTCGAACCAGTCGGCGTCGCGCGGGGTCAGGCAGACGTAGAGGGCGTACCACGCGAAGAGCACCGCGAGGAGAGCAGCGACGAGGAGCATAGCCAGACTGATGCCCTTGCCTGTGCCGGAGGCGATGACCCCACGCAAAGACACAAGGAAGGACGTATCTTCGAAGACGGTGGAGGACTGGATGGGTGCCATTGATGCTTATTTGTGAGATGTTGATTTGTCGAGGAGAGCCTTGCGACTTGAGGGTGCGACGCGACTTTCGACAGGTGGAGGTGACGACAAAGAGGGAGGACATGCTGCGGTCCTCGGTTTTGTAGCACATTCCGCCGGCGACTGGTCGTCTGGAGAGCTACGAGACCTGACGTCGTCCAGCCTGAACTAGAGCGTCGTGGTTCAGCCTGATGGACGCTGCTATCTAGGCTGGATAATGGCAGACCTCGTAACAGTTCAGTATGCGCATGGAAGGCACAATCACAATGCACTCACGCGAGAAAGCCCTGCATCGACTGGCGTTGTATCCGTTGGGACATCTCGAGGAATATGCAGCTCAAAACATGGCCAGATGTCACCGTGCCTAGATGGTCAGAATTGCGATTACTCGATGGTCTGCATGTCCTTGCGATCGAGACAGGGTCGTTCGATGCTTTGCGATACACTGGTTGACTGTAGCACGCCAGAGAAAGGTCCATACGCAACGAATGCAGGGTGTGCTGAACCATGGCAGCCGGCGAAGTGGGCAGTACCCACTCGTTCAACGCGAACTTGAAGATGACTGCACGCTTAACGGGTCAGTCCGAGACGAGGGTAGACCGTCCAAGTGAAACTTCATCCGTGTTGCCCATGCCGTCAAATTGAAGCGAGCTCGACACGGGTCACTGCCCCAAGTGGTCAATATCAGAGGACTTGTTGCTGAGCGACTGACGATGTCAAGACTTTGAAACCACAGTGTGCGTGTCGACGTCGTACTAACGTGCCCAGACATGCTAGCCATTGCGACCAGAAGTCGCATCGATTCCGAGAGAACACACGAGAGCCAACTTGCCAGTGTGTGTAATATTCATGGTGCAGTGACTAGCAGATGAAAACGCAGCTGGCAGTCGACGGCAGGTTGAGAAGCGCAGTATGTGCAGAACACCACTAGATATGCGCGTGCGAGCGAGGAAGGTGAAGGAAACACGGATGTGTGAGTCTGATTCGCATGAAGGTGTCCATGGTGAGCGTTGTCACGGTTGTGCACAGAAGGAAGTTGGGAGGAGGATTGGAGGAGCATGGAGGACCTGGAGAGTCGGGAGTTGGAGGGGAGACTCAGGTCGCTTGCGACACCGAAGATGAGCGTTTCGGTGTATGCCGAACCTCGATCCTCCTCCTCCTCCTCCTCCTCACACGACGACCGTCAAAATTCGACACCCGTTTCCTGCGACACTATACCCAAGCTACAACTGAGACCACGCCGGACCATGCCACATCTACCGAGTCTGTATCCCATGCAATGTTTGAATGGTGGTCACACCGCTGGCTTCGTCAGCTACTGCCGCTACTACTACTAGACTCCAGCAACGTAGCTTTACTTCGAGCGGGTTGAAAGGACGGCAAATGTCGAGTCTGGAGCACAATGTGTTCGCTTCTACCATAAGGTCTTGGTACGAGAACATGCATTTACTATTCTACAGACACGCAACTGCTTTCGTCTATGCTCAGTACCTCAGCCCCTGCGACCCGACCTGCTCGCCCGCTGCGACAGCGAGGCTTTGTGCGAGTGCTTGGGCCATCGCACCACTGTCCGACGTGACGTTGATCTATCGCTCGTTGCGTGAGCCCTCTGCGGGAGATGATGCTAGGCAGACAAGCATGCAACGCACCATGTCGAAGCCCTCTTCGGCGCGTTTTGCGGATTGGGAGCCGGAGGTGCAGTAGATCGCGCTGAGAGAGCAGAGGTAAGTCCTGGCCCTCCATGTGACCTCGACAACGTACCATTTCTTCCCCTTCGCGTGCGCCTTGCGCAATATCTCCTGGATGATCACCTCCATATCCGGGTGTGGATCCGGCGACGGCGGCGGGTAGCCGTGCGCCAGGGATAGGTCGTAGGGCCCGATGAATACGCCATCTGCATCACCTCAGTGATTGTGATTCAAGCGTTCATACACGAGAATGCTCACCCAGACCATCCACGGAGAGAATCTCGTCTAGGTTCTTCACTGCATCAACGGTCTCGACCTGGGTCATGACTATAACGCCGTCATTCGCCGTCGCAAGGTAGTCCGCCACAGATATGCCCCATGCCGTCTGCGTGAAGGGACTGCCGAAGCCACGGATACCCTTAGGCGGGAACCGGGCTGCTGCGACCACAGACGTCGCCTGCGCCGCTGTCGACACCTATTCCAGAGAACATGAACACAGGCAGCACGCGCGAGTACTCGAGACGTACCATCGGCACCAAGACGCCCCTTGCCCCCGCATCCAGCACATACTTGATCTGCCACCCCGCACTCCCATCCGCACACGCCCCCGTGGCCGGGATGCGCACTATCGTGCTCGGCGCGTCCTTCCCCAGCCCAGAGATCGCTACGATGCTCTCAGCCGCCCCCGGCTGGAGCGACGTCATCCCGTGCTCGCAATCGATGAGCAGCCACGAGAGGTGCGGGGACGCGGTCGCGGCGACCCGCGCGTTGAACGCCCCGGGGAGGGTCAGCCATGCGCCGAACGCGGGCTTGGACGTGCGGAACGCTTCGAGCAGGCGGTGGGTGGACATCGTCGTCGTTCAAGTTGTAGATTGGGAGGGTGGGCACTCACATCCGATATATAGCGCACTTTGTTAGGGTTTCGGCGTCGAGGAACCGGGACGTGGAGAAGGGCTTGAAGCGGTGGCCATGAGACGAGGTACGAGAGGCAGATGACCCCGAAGGCTCTCCGTTGCGTCCTCCGGATGGATTTGCCGCATCAGGGCGACCATCGAAGTCCATCCGGCCCACTCTCGGATGACGCGGCCCGCTGCTCCTAACCTCCATTGGCTGAGTGTCGATCCCAACTTTCCCGGCTCACGGACTGGATCAATGCGCACATCTGTTTCGGTGAGTGTATCTGGCTGTTCAGGCGTTCACACCGATGCACTTGGACTTCCACTTAGCGCGCGCACTCGTGCGCTGGAGCGCTCAACGGCCTTACACCAGCTTAGCTCCGTATAGGCAAGGATCCTCGCTCAAGTTGAGTGTCATACGCGGACGTACATCGCACAGTGGCATGCGTGTACTCAAGGTTGACAACGCTGAGAGCTTGAGATCCGTAACACCATGCCTCTTTTGTTGCCTAACAAGAGGTAATGTTCACGTCGGTTATGGCGTAGACACAGCATGGCTGGATTACTATGGCAATGCACTATGTCTAGAGCTCACGGTGGTCCTGCTGCCCACTGACGTTCCGCTGTGCCTAAAATACTGCGAGCTTCGATTCAGACGGAACCCTGTGCTCTTATCAGTGCCTGACATTGACAACACCGTGACATAGACCCGCGCCGACTGTATGTGCCAGCTTACGCGCTGGTGCTACTAGTAGTGGCAGTGGATGTCGCTCAGCATTGGTATCCCGCCGGTCAGTGCTGTGGCTCCGAGTATTTGTCTCGTCGGTTTGAAGTTCAAATCTAGATTCTCGATGTCTATATCGCTTGGTTCTGATCTCCATTGAGTTGCTGACTCATCGTATGCTGTAGATCGTGGAGCAAGGCTCAGAGCGAGAGTAGGTGTGCTCTGGACTGGGATGGACACAATCTCCGACGTAGAACACTGCGGTTAAGCCCATCGCGTTGCAATCACAGCCTCGACAGCATTGACTGAATGGTTCGTCGGCTACTACTCGTTGACCCAGGCTGCTGCTGCGATAGTCGACGCTCCGTGAGACCTTTCCCAATTAGGAGTGCATCATCAATTGCGTAGCCACGCGGTTATTACCGCCCTTGCACAGAACAAGACAGAACACTGCGGCGCAGGTCAGTCAAGGCCTGTCGACAGAGGTTAGCGAACCCCAGCTTCATTTACGTTGACAGATTGCCGCCTCGCGAGGGCTTTAATAGGGGGACCTCTCCAGAGACACTGAACAACAACATCTCCTCTTTCCCGTGCCTGGCAGATTCAAGTTGAATGGCTAGTACCAACTACGCAATCACAGCGCTCACGTCGTTTGCCACCGCCGCTCTTGCATATGCCCTATGGAAAGTAGCGAAGATTATCGCTGGGCCATACCGATCAAGCATACGCAACCTTCGCGGTCCACCGAGCGTCAGTTGGATCCGCGGCAGTCTTCGCGACATACAAGCGGAAAATGCGCACGTCTTGTTCGAAGACTGGCCCCGTGAACATGGGCCGACCTACACGTTCCAAAACTGGTTGAACGTGAGTGGCGATTACCAGCGCTCTTATTTCAGTTGACACGTTCCTGACCATCGTTACAGTCATATGCACTGTTCACGAAAGACCCGAAGGCAGTGACCCATATCCTCAACCATGGGCAGATATATGCGAAGGGACAGATGGACGCGTTCTTCCTCGGCAAGATCTTTGGACATGGTGAGTAACCAATACGTCGCTTGTGTAGATTTGCGGCTTAAGCATCGTAGGACTGCTCACTGTGGACGGTAAGCGTATTCTAACGTGTTCCACCTTTTGTCGGAAACCTCATCCACACCAGGTGATCAACATCGGCAGCAGGTAAGGAAAGCCCAGTCTCGTGTGCTGGGTCTTCTGTTTACCGACCTTTAACTAGAGGCGCATCATGGTATCAGTCTAGTTCGTTTCGAGTTCGTAAGGTCCTTGCTCAGCCATCGAGTAGAACCCCGCATTTGGTCCCGCTCAAGTTCGAGAGCTTGCGGATATCTTCGTGGAGAAAGCACAACAGGTAACTATGGCCTCAATCCCGCATGCCCGTCGCTCACACGTCACGATTACTTCAGCTTCGAGACGTCTGGAATGAGCAGATAGCAAAGTCTGAGGCATCAGCTCCTATCGAGGTCACTTCTGGATTGAGCAAGGCGACTCTGGATGTCATTGGTCTCGCAGGTCGGTTCTGCATCATATAGCCATGCTCCTGACGGTTGTGATTGACTCGAGTATAGGTTTCAACTACGCGTTCAACGCGCTCGATCCCAGTGGCAAACCGAACGAGCTGAACGAGGCTTTCACGTCTATGTTTCAGATGCTCAATGACAGCTCGAGTATCAACTGGCTGCTCATGCTCAAGTATGCACTACCCATTCTGCGGATCTTCGTGAGTCCCTTCTGCTGAGTGGGTATGCCATGTATCCATAACATCTAACATATGATGCGCAGCCTGATCAGTTCGGCCGGGAGACAGCCGCCGCTCAGGCGGTCACCCGGCGTGTTGGGATGAAGCTCATCCAAGAGAAGAAGGCGGAGGTCCTCAAGGCAGCGTCTGGCGGGGCAGACTCTGGTAACGCCTTGCGGAGCCGCGACCTCCTCACATTGCTCATCAAAGCGAACATGAGCTTGGACGTCCCGGAGAACCGCAGACTCACCGATGAGGACGTGCTTGCTCGTGAGTGAACCGTTCCTCACCTCCCCGCCTCCGTTCCGGTACATAGCTGACGATATACACAGAGGTGCCCACGTAGGTGGACTTGGTGAACCTTGTAGGAGCGGGACTGCTCACTGCGAGTTAGGTTCCTCATCGCTGGGCACGAGACCACGAGCTTTGGTACCGCCTTCTGCCTGTGGGCCCTCGCGCAAGCTCAAGACGCTCAGCAGAAGCTCCGCGAGGAGCTCCTCAGCGTAGAAACGGACAGGCCTACCATGGAGGAGCTCAATGCGCTTCCGTACCTCGATGCGGTCGTACGCGAGACACTTCGTGTGCACGCTCCCGTGCGGGCTACGGGCAGGAGGTCTACGCAGGATGACATACTCCCGTTGAGCGAGCCTGTGACTGACAGGAATGGGCGCGTCCACCACCAAATAAAGTGCGCTCGGACTGATATGGACGACTTGGATGGTGTAGGCTGACCCTCCTCGTTTTTCAGGATCGACGCGGGAACGGACGTCACGATCCCTATCCAGGCTATGAATGTGTCAACGACGATATGGGGTGAGGATGCTGCTGAGTTCAAGTAAGTTGCACGCCACAAACTTCAACCCGCACCTCGTAACGATGCGTGGTCCAGACCGGAGCGATGGGAGAAGCCATCTGAGGCGATCCAGGCGATCCCGGGAGTCTGGGGCAACATGATGACGTTCCTCGGCGGCTCGCACGCATGCATTGGGTATCGCTTCGCATTGGTGGAGTAAGCAACTTTCCTAGACGTCTCACAGCGTACCCTCCCACTCACACCGTCAATATAGGATGAAGGCCTTGCTGTTCGTGCTCGTACGCGCGTTCGTCTTTGAGTTGGCGCTCCCAGCAGATCAGATCATCAAGCAGAGCGCCGTCGTTCAGCGACCGTACATCAAGGGCAAGGTCGAACAGGGCGCTCAGCTCCCTCTGCTGGTGAAGCCGTACCAGCGTAGGTAGCTCGTTGTTTGCTCTTTGCTCGGAATGTGTCAATTTATTCGCCTGCCGCCGCTGGCGGACACTGCGACACGCCGCAAGCAGTGCGATGTAAGTGGCATTGTGCAGTACGTGTTCCCCCGACGTCATGCGCATCGAGGAAGCGAAGGAACAGATCTAGAGTCGCAGAGCTCAAGACTGTCAGCCACGGGCTTGGACCCCGAGACTACGGTCACCAACCCCGACCCTGTAAGTCTTCCAAGTTCCACCAGCACAAATTTCCTGCTCGCTGCGCACCAGGCGGACAGCCTTACATATGTATGCGGAGCGGGCCAGCTAGCATAAACAACACCTCCCTTGATCCCTCGGAGTGGTTTACGGAGCCAGCGCCACCGGAGTCCGAGGCACGTCTGCCCCGCCGGGTCGGCGCGCCTTTCACAGGCATTCTCGGCACTTTCACCATTGATGAGCAACTTGAACTCGTCTACCAGGATCGCGATAATGACACACTATAACGCCGTGGTTTGTCCAGGGCTTTTCTCATGCAATTGCAGACCCCTAATGCACCTGCACTACACTGTAAGCACACACGAAACGCGGCCAGCCACACTTGCCAGAGCCGCGCACCAGCGCCAGCGGCGGGCCGCCGCCGCCGATTGGCCAAAGGCGCTCCGACACCCCTGTTTGGGAAAAACGTCGGCCTAGCTCTAGCCCTTCGTCATACGTAGCACAAGGGCGCGGTACACTCGACCGTCCACACCCCGGACGTCGACAGTGTCGTGCCTCTCGGGCTATTGTTTCGGCGGCTTGGAGGCGGCTCGACCGATGAGCGGGAATGTCTAGGCCCTCCATGTGTTGCGAGTTGCATTTCGGGGTGCTTGCCGAGCTCGTTGCTCGTGCCCTCTGCGTTAGAGGTACACAGGGATGTGGACTCGGTCGAGCACCCTCCTTTTTTTCTTCTCGTAGCGTCGAGGGGTCGGAGCGTTCTGGGATATAAAGGGCCCCATGCATCGACTTTGTCTGCACCGAGCCCGCTCGTTCCCTCCCGTCGACTTCGTTGCTCAGTCCCTCGCGCCTCGCACCCGCGACATCACTCCTTCGTACCCACCTATCCCTCCAACATCGCCGACAATGGTCCACTTCGCTACCCTGGTCATCGCGCTCTGCGCCTTCTTCGCCTTCGTGGCTGCTTCGCCCGTGGCGAACCTCGAGACGCGCACCACCAACACCGGCACGGTAAGCTTCGACGTCAGCTGTGAGGAGGGGCATGGTGCTTACAGTGGCTTTGCAGGGTACGTGGTACGAGGTCGGGCTGGGTGCTTGCGGGTCCACCGACGCCGACTCGGACTACGTCGTCGCGATCTCGCACGACATCTACGGGAGCGGCGACAACTGCAACCAGGTTAGTCTGCCTCGCCGCCATAGTGGTTTTGAATGCAAGCTGATGAGTATTTTGTCAGTATATGCGCATCGAGAACACTGCCAACGGCCAGGTCGCGTACGGCCAGACTCGTGATAAGTGTATGGGCTGCGAGTCGACTGCCATCGGTGCGTACCACACACGTCTTTATGACGATTCCCTCGTCTGATTCATAACGCAGACATGAGCCCGTCGCTGTTCCAGGCCCTCGGTGCCTCCCTGGACGACGGTACCGTGACTGTCTCATGGAACTTCATGTCCAAGGACTACAGCCCGTGAGCATCGAGCTCCGCCGCCAAAATTCCACCATATTAGACATGTACTCGCGTCATTACCGACGAGCCGCTCCCCAGGTGGAAGCAACTCGTCACCTTGTCTGTAGCATAGAAAACAAAATGTAGCGTTTGCTTTCGACAGAACGACTGTCATACGAATTGACAGGCATGAACTCACTGGCGGACTGCACCGCATGAAAGCTACTAGTGCCTGTTTGAAGCGGGGGAGTCTCCCACAAAGCATCTGAGCGAACGTCGGCTGTCAGTACTTCAGTATCGGTTCATATTTGAGACGGAGTGCTTACTAGAACGCTCTCAGGCTGACCGCATATATGCGTTTTCCGGGCCTGCATGGAGAACGATGTACTAGTGCTCGGTCAGTAAAAGGATGACACCGACTCGGCGTCAGTTCTCGTCAAGTACAACGAGGATTCGGCGCAACTTTGTGAGTAAAGGCTAACTTAGCCGAATGAGATCGTATCATCTCTGACACAGCGAGGCACAATCAACTAGGACCGGTACTACTGCCGCTGACCTATTGTTCGGGCTGGCAGGTTGAGTTCTAACTTCTGGTAGAGCGGCATGAGAGCTGCTATATCAGCCTGGAAAGAGCCACGAATCTATCAGCATTGCTCTCCCAGCGTGTATGTATACGATCAGCCGTTCAACGCACTCGGGACCGTCCCTGGACCGGGTGTCATGCACGGCGACACTTCACGGCGTTGGACACGCATGGGGATATTCCTTGAATTACTAGTAGATGCCGCAGCGTCGGCTGATGTAGGACTCAAATAAATCAGCGTAGTCACGATGCAAGTCGTCGAAAGGTGAGGAGGACATCGAGGTCAGGGACACGAGGGCGGGATACGTAGCCACGTGCCAGTGGAGGTTGGAAAACCGCGCCACCGCCATCAAACCGCCCCCATCACTTTCTGAACGAGTTCGGAGTAGTATGATCATAACTGCGGCCTCGCGGAATGCTGCCAGCAGTATATGCAGAATCATACAAAGACGGGGGGATCATCAATATCAATCCGGTATAGGGCTATCATACAGGGCGTAAGGACATAGCAACAATAGTAGAGAGCAGTGATGCAGAGCGAATGAGAGCTTGGAAAGACAAAGCAAGAGAACGGTATGACGAGGAAATTTGTAGAGTCTATCTGTCCTAGGTGTGAGGACATGTCTTATCGACGGGCCGAGACCGCCTTCCTAAGGCTTCCAGATTTTCACGGTCTGAACACAACATGAATGAGATGGAGGGTTCCGAATGGCGAGACAGACGAGATGACGCACGTAATCCCAGCACCCCGAGGCGATGACACTGACTCGCCTTGGCGCTTGGGCCTGCCCATCCTTGCCATCGTTGGATGCAACTCCTCCCAAAGTCTGCCGGCCCCATGCTAAAGAGGATACGAATCGTTCGCCCGTCTCCATCTTACGCATGCAGCGTCCGGTCTTGAGATCCCATATCCGGATAGAACCGTCGTCCGCAGCAGATAGCAGATATTGTCCGTTCGGATGAAACACGAGACCATGCACCCAACCGTCGTGTCCAATCTACGAGAATAGTACGTTAGACACGCGTGTAGTATTATCCAGGGCCAAGATGAGGCGCACCAAGGTATGCAGGCATTGTCCTGTCCGCGCATCCCATATCTTGATTTTCTGATCCCGAGAAGCCGTCACTACAAATGCAACGGATGAAGCATCGTCTGAAGCGGCAGGTTCGGATTCAGTGACCTTCTACGTATGGTTAATCGTCTGCAGTGCTCGGCATGTTCAACGACATGATGGACACACCTTGAGCCCAATGAGCTCACGAATGGCTGATACCGCGTTTGCAGGCACAAATACAGCATTCTCAACCACATTATTATGACCTCTTAGTTCTGCCCTTGTTGTTCCAGTCGTCGTCTCAACGACGCGGGCAGTCTGCGCTCAGCCTCAGAGGTGATTGTGTGCCCTAGCCGAACGAAGAATATGCGCTTACGTGGTCCATGCAACTCGTCACAAGGAATTTCCCATCTGTGCTCGGCAATGCTGTCCTGATCCAATTCTCGTGAGGTCTCATGACCTTGACACAATGCCTGCGATGAATGGTTGTTAGGACAATCAGCAGAGAATTGGAAGGACGCATGTACACGTACGTAGTAGCAATTTCCCATATACGGACGCTTTGATCGCGACTGGCACTCACAATGCGATCATCACCTGGTAGGAACCGGACGGTAGAGATAGAGTGGTCGTGTCCTCTGAACGTAGCGATGTTCTTGTACTCGTTTTCCGCATCCCACAACTTGATGAAAAGGTCGTGCGAGCCGGACACTGGGCGTGGTGACGAAGACCTCATTAACAATGCGTGCGGTACGCCGCAGAGGCAATGCGACTCACCGAGATATTTCCCCTTGGAGTCATACTCGCAATCGCTAACACGCCTCGTATGCCCTTGAACTGTCCGTTCCAGTTCTCCACTCTCCCAATCCCATACCTTCATCGTGCTGTCATCACTTGCAGACACAAGAACAGAGTAGCGGGGATGGAATGTGACTGCGTTGACGTTGGCCCTATGTCCCGTGAGGACTACTTTAGGAGGTACGACTGTCGGGAGCCAGTCTGGGTTGCTTCGTTGATTGAGGCTTGCGGGGTTGGCAGCAATGTTCGCATTGTCTTGCAGCGCCTGAGCCAGTCGAGACTCCAGGTCGATGATCTGGCGTCACATATGTGAATAATTGACCAAGTGTATAGCCTTCGACGGTATTCACCTTCTTCTGTAGACGTATAACGCTCGTCCACTTTTTGACCAGAAGTCCACTCGTCTTCTGGTTTGTATCTATAAAATTATGGGACGGCGGTGTCGATGTGGCGCGCGTAACTCGCGTGGTTTTCGCGTACGCCCACGAGAAACGCACATGGAGCGCACATGGCGTCCACGTTCGCCGCGTGGCCTCAGCCACCTACCGGCCGGGCGCTCTCTCCTCCCCGGCGCCTGCGACCCCGCCCGAGTTCAGCGCGAAATGCAGGACAACTCAGTACCGGGAAATAGGACCTGTGAGTACTGAGGGATGATAAATTAGTCAGCACCGGGAAAACATAACATATCAGTAGTGGGAAAACAGGACACATCAGTACCGGGCAATAGGGAATATCAGTACCGGGAAATAATAGGATGAAACAGTGGTGATATTCAAAACATCAGATCATATTCAAGAAGACAATTGCTGAATGTGTACCACAGGCCAGGAAACATTCAATTAAAATGAAATTACAAGACTGAACATATTGTGAGCACCGGGAAATCAGTACCGGGCAATAGGATACCAGGACAATAGGGAATGTCACACCAGCACCGGGAAATAGTAAGAAATGTCAGATTATATTCGAGAAGACAAAGATATCACTGAACCACAGGCCGGGAAGCATGAAGACTAACACACAGCATTGAATGAACTAATGCTGCCAGGCCGTGGCGAAGCCATGGGCTGGCAATGCCCAAGCATATAACCTTCAAAGTAACACAAAGCACAGAATGAAAGAACCGCCGCCAGACCTGAGGCGAAGCCCAGGTCTGGCATTGCCTAAGCATGAAATCTTAAAAGTAACATGAAGCACAGAATAAAGAAATCACCTGCCATGGGCTGGCAATGCCCAAGCATATAACCTTCAAAGTAACACAAAGCACAGAATGAAAGAACTGCCGCCAGACCTGAGGCGAAGCCCAGGTCTGGCATTGCATAAGCATGAAATCTTAAAAGTTACATGAAGCACTGAATGAAGAAATTGCCCCGTAAACCCGTGGCGAAGCCACGGGTTTGCGATGCTCGTCTATAACATTATGGGACGACGGTGTCGATGTGGCGCGCGTAACTCGCGTGGCAAGCCACGAGAAACGCACATGGAGAGCACATGGCGTCCACGTTCGCCGCGTGGCCTCAGCCACCTACCGGCCGGGCGCTCTCTCCTCCCCGGCGCCTGCGACCCCCGCCCGAGCTGTCCCCGAGGCGGGATTTCCGCGCGAAATGCAGGACAACTCAGTACCGGGAAATAGGACCTGTGAGTACTGAAGGTAGTGGGAAAACAGGACACATCAGTACCGGGCAATAGGGAATATCAGTTACGGGAAATAATAGGATGAAACCGTAGTGATATTCAAAACATCAGATCATACTCAAGAAGACAATTGCTGGATGTGTACCACAGGCCGGGAAACATTCAATTAAAATGAAATTACAAGACTGAACATATTGTGAGCACCGGGAAATCAGTACCGGGCAATAGGATACCAGGACAATAGGGAATGTCACACCAGCACCGGGAAATAGTAAGAAATGTCAGATTATATTCGAGAAGACAAAGATATCACTGAACCACAGGCCGGGAAGCATGAAGACTAACACACAGCATTGAATGAACTAATGCTGCCAGCCCGTGGCGAAGCCATGGGCTGGCAATGCCCAAGCATATAACCTTCAAAGTAACACAAAGCACAGAATGAAAGAACCGCCGCCAGACCTGAGGCGAAGCCCAGGTCTGGCATTGCCTAAGCATGAAATCTTAAAAGTAACATGAAGCACAGAATAAAGAAATCACCTGCCATGGGCTGGCAATGCCCAAGCATATAACCTTCAAAGTAACACAAAGCACAGAATGAAAGAACTGCCGCCAGACCTGAGGCGAAGCCCAGGTCTGGCATTGCATAAGCATGAAATCTTAAAAGTTACATGAAGCACTGAATGAAGAAATTGCCCCGTAAACCCGTGGCGAAGCCACGGGTTTGCGATGCTCGTCTGGCTGATAGTCGGACTATGGGGTATTGAAGGCACATGATAACAACGATTCAATGCGCCACCCGCCTCAGAGCATTCCTCTTTGAACTGTTCAACCGTCTTATGGTATCCCGCCAAGCTGAGGTAATCTAACATTGCCTTGTGCCTGAGTGCAGGGAACGGATGAGAACGAATGAACCGATGATACACTGATACCAATGAACGCACAACTCATGCTGCTGACGATCCGTAAGTCCGATCGACATTGCAGGCGGAAGGAGAAGTGCGAAGGGTTGGGCAAGGATTGAAGGAAGCAACCAGTGGACTCGGATGTTACGTTGGGTATGATATATTCCAACTTTCGAAACGCCACAACTACGGTCACGTTCTATTTGTTTATATTTGGAGGCCTTGGCGTTGGCTGCGTCTCGAACATGTACTTACTGTAACTTACATACACAGGCCCGGGCAGGCCATCATTGAACGAGTCCGGCAGACCAGGATGCCTGCATAACCGTACAAGTGACACTGGACATCACAGTACACCCCCACAGACTTATTCGCTACTTTTTATGCTCGACATCTCTCAGTCCTTGAGAGAGGAGCGAAAAACAGACATGGTCATAGACGAGCTTATCCGTCCAGTCCTCGCTTGAGCCCCACAGCTCCTTGAACTTGACCACCTTGTCCGGGTAGCTTGTCTGGAGGATCTCGTAGACGGCGCGCCATGACGCGTCGAGAGCACCGACGACCCAGCTGTGTTGAGCAGGTGTCAGCTCGCGACCATTCAGGTGTAGTGCAAACTCGTGTACGTACGCGTGTCGAGTGCTCAGGGCCTCGCCTGCGAAATGGAGCCGGCCAACAGCAGCGGGCTGTGTCAAGTGCGTATATGCGTAGGAGAATTGGCCAGGACCAAACATGCCGTATGCGCCTGCAATGCCACGTATTAGTGAATAGGCATTCAGTGGAAATCTCACATACCCATGGACTCCGGATGGACTGCCCAGCTATACTTGTAAGAGTCCACCCACTGGTCCTTCAGAAACGTGTAACCCTCGTCCGGCAAGAACCCGTGGACGGCCACGAGGTCCCGCAACACGATGTCCTTCACCTGTTCTTCAGACGCATCTCCGAATAGCGCGCTCCAGCGGTTGGCGTCCTCCGTCCAACAGTAGCTGACCATGAGCACCGTGGACTTCTCGCCTTTCCCCTCGCCGTAAGAGGGGTAGACGACGGTGCGCACCATCCGGTCGCTGTATGACTGCCCCCCGACGATCGCCCCGTACTGATACTCCGGCTTCTGGTACGTCTTCATCGTGCCCGCGTCAGTCCACCAGGACGTCTTGAACTTCACGCCGATTTTGATTGCGGGTCCGTAGCGCAGCTCGCGCAGGGCAGTGTCGTGCTCTGCGGTGAGCGACGCGCGGCTGAGGTCCATTGTGCGCAGACACGGCAGTGGGACGGTGCTAATGACGTGCCCGTATGAGCGCGGTGCGACTTTGCCGTCGGCGAAGGTCAGCTCGACCTGCGCTTGGTCGCTGCCCCCATCCTCGTCGGGGTCGAAGCCTTTAAGGGCGATGGCGGTTACTCGGTGGCTCTTCTTGACAGCATGAGGTTTGGTCAGTAGACCGTTCATCTTCTCCGCGATGACTTGTGATCCGCCGCTGTCGAGGACTCATTCAGTACATTGGGTGAGCGACAAGTCTCGCGATTGACGACTCACTCGATGCACCGCCATTCGACCTGTTTCTCCTCGTTCCCGCCGCTGGGCGGAAAGTTGAATGCCAGGGTCTCCAGGACCGTCTCCGAAAGAGCGTGATCATACCACCCACTGGACTTGTCGAACATCTCCAACCAATCGACTACGGGCGTGGGGTATGGCATGAGCCTCAGCTCATCGAGCTCCGGACGAGTGTCGCTGCGGTTAGCAGACATATACGCGCGGGTCGAGTACTGGTCGTACTCCATCATGAGCTTCCATCCCTTCTTGTCATCGCGCTTGATGTCTTCGGCCAACTGCTTGACGAAGGGATCCACCACGTTATTGACGAGGGCGGACCAACCCTCCTGTGCGTACTGAGAAGGAATGTTGCGGACATCCCAGGCGGTCGGGTCTTGGGTGGATGACGCGCGCTTCATGATCTTGCCGTTGTACAGCAGGGTGGAGTTAGGACTCTCGAATATATAATCTATGAGCGACAAGTTTGCCTCCTCGGTGAGCTTTTTGAAGAGATGGAAGGTTCGTTTCATCATCGGCGTATCTGGGAAGCGCATCGCGCCTACGTCCTGAATAGAAGCGGTGCAATCAACTATCTGACGATCCCAGCTGACGGAACCAGAGCGGATAACGTACGAAATAGTCATGTTCCTTCTTCGAGAAGTTGTAAGTGTAGAGCCTGCCGCCTACGCGGTCGGAGGCCTCCAAGACCTCATAGTCGATATCGAGAGACTGCAACATCATCGCGGCATAGAGGCCCCCAACGCCAGCCCCGATGATGCCGACCTTGGCTGAACGAGTGTCCGGTGGGCAGCCTACCAAGATCGCGCCATAGGGAGGGTAGTCCAACAAATCGAAGTCGTCGCCAGCATTTAGTGCCCAGGAGACAGGAGTCCGAAAGGCTTGTGGTAGGTGCATGGGGACTTTGTATCGATACTTGTCATTGATCCTGGAGTGGAAGTTGTCGATAATGGCCTTGCCGTAGACGGAGAAAGGGTCGGTGTAGTCGACAGCGGTGGGTTCAGAGTCCTCAGACGCCATGGTGCGAATGGATGCTGGGTAAAGTTGCCGCACCGCAACAGACATATTTATCTGTACTGCCGTGACATCTTGCAGGAAGCTTAGTCGGTCATGCAGAACGTCCGGGGCATGATTGTGGTTTCCGTGGAGTATGTTCGTTGACTTGATGTCATACCGCGAGACAAGGAGTGACGCACCAGCAGTGATATGGCTTGGAAGGACGGATCCCATCGAGGAGCGGCCATCGAGAATCCCAGAAGCGATGATCTGCCCATAGCTTATGGAAAAGAAGAGGTGATCATTGGGTATACGGCTCGAATTATAGGACCGCAGTCCGTCATTGACTGTTTTGAAGGATTGGTTGCCAACCTCATTGCCAGTGGGGAGCCATTGCATCCATGACACGTCGTCGGTCTTCGTATAATGCCGCTGCGTCTGACTTCTCCTCATCTTGCGATCGGAAGGCGAATGCCACTGTCTAAACTTAGGCACATTCAGCCACATTCGTAGTATGCACTGAAGTCTGGATGTCAGAACAAGCTTCTGTGGACGATCGTCATCAGACTGCTGCCTACATCCCGACCCAGTGTGCACTGAGACCGCTCACCTTACATGTACTTGCTGCTGACCTCGACGCAATGTCCACGTGCCCAGAGTCTTTTCAACGACAATCTTCCTCGGCTACAATATGCAAGTATCTGAGAAAATATACATCTAATGCCCAGCATCATTGAGCCCTAATACTACAACATTGACGGTATCGGGGAAGGAGCGACGTTTCCAAAGAGCGCAACAACAAAGAAAGCTACTCGTACAGAGTCACGTCTAGAGCCAAGCCAGCCAACTAGAACTGATATTGATGCGACACCTAAGGACATATCGCCATGGGCACTCACAAAAATCAAGGTCTAGACATCTACGAATGGCCGATAATCAATACGCCGTGGTGCCAGTTGCGCAGGATCGGAGTCTGCGAGTCCGCGGAGCTCACGGTCGAGTTGCTCGCTGTGGAATCCGAGCGCCTGACAGCCGCAGCAGGGTCCGTGACAGCCCAACTTGAATGCGCGACGGCTGGCCTCTGCGGGAGCCTCGTTCCAGGGATCGACTCGGCCCCGGGGAGCGGAGGCAGGTCCTTCTCGTTCAAGTTGACTTCCGAGTCCTTTGTCCTGGCCTCCGAACTTGAAGGTGTCATCACGAACGGCGTGATGCCATACGCCTCGGGCGAGTCCTGGTTGATGCATTTCCGGGGCATGAACATCGGGAGGCAGGCCGTGTTCGGAATGAGGTGGCGCGTGCTCAACACGAGGATGACGTTCACCAGACCTGGCAATGAAGCACCCGATAAGCACCGGGGCGCCGGCGAACTCGAAGACACGTCAATGTCAACTCACCCTGAAGGTTGAAGATAAAGTCTGCCAGGACTGTCGCCCAGAAAGGGACGTCGTGCCCGCCGAAGGACACAAAGCGGGCGATGGTTACCGGGAGAAGGCATACGGTGTACGCAATCTAGGGTATGGGGAACTCTATCAGGATTTTCATCAGGGAAAGTCGGGGTTTGTGCGTACGGGATGCCTAGCAGGACGGAGGTTAGCAAGTGTGTGCGCGAGAGAGGCAATGCGGATTATTATGCTTACCAGACCATCCGAGCGGCGACGCTCATCATTGCTGTGTCGGTAAAGTCCCGCGTAATGGCCAAGAGCCACCGTTGACCGCGCGGGACAAAGCGAAGGCACCATTTGCCGTCCATCTTCGTCAGGTTTCCTCGCACGCGAAGAACGATGACCGTATAGAGTAAGACCGAGCATACCGCCGAGACGAATTCCTGTCGTAGAGTGAGCTTCCAAACCTCAGCACTCGGTAGGTGTTGCGGACATACGAAGAAATACTCCAAGAACATCTGTTCCGCATAGTAGTTATTCGTGATCCAACACCTGAAAACAATCAGCATGCACTCCACCAGGCGAGATACATAGGTCTTACCAATACCCTGACGGACCGAAGTACGGCCCTCTAGCCTCCGTCTGGACAGCAGTCACGCCGATAACAGGTACAAAAATAATGAATGACCAGCCACCGATCACCAGAACCGTGCAGGTGGTATTGCTCATGTTTTTCCTCAAAAACAGAAGCATGAAAACGTGCACAGACAGCGCGACCGACCAGAATGCAGCCGCGACGTTGCCGGCATTCTTCAACACGCCCTGGGTGCTGCAGAAACTCCCGCCCTCCACGGCACCGTCCTTCAGCCACTGAAGGTCCATCATGGACGCGATCGCCTGGAGGTAGTTTGCACAAAGCAGGGAGACAAAGATCGGGATGACGTGCGTATTGCGGTAGCATGGTGGTCGAAAGGCGATGACCTAGGACCTGCGTGTTAACAAGACACTATTGATTACAGTGTACATGACTGCTCACCGCACACAGTGCGAACACCGCAATCCCGGATAGCGCGCCGGCAGCCACCAGGCTCTGGTTGGGGCAAGTTCAGATCTGGCGAAGAAGCACACCAGACAGAGGCTCACCCGTATTCCCGCCTTCTCTGCATTCCCATAAATAACGGTCAAAGCGGACGCATCGATGCCGGAGACTGAAGGAACCATAGGAAACCAAAGCAGAGCAAGCTCTGTGTGACGAACAGACCAGGACCGGCCGGAACACGAGAAGAAGGCCTAGTCGTGAGCGGCGAAAGGGAAAAAAGGTCGGAAGGGGTGGCGGACACGCTCGCTGTCATCACGAGTACTTACGAGGCAAGGGCCCTGAGTTCTCTGCACGTTCGCACATTCATCACAGATATCACACTTACTGTCATGATATCAAACTGTGTAAGGATAGCTGTCGCCATGGGCACGTTCATGAAGCAGGGGCTGTATGAGTTGGCAGGAAGATAAGAGAAAGTGAAAGCTTCGAAGCCAATCCTGGACGAGAAGTTGCGGGACTTGTGCGGATCCCGAGGCGGAGAGTGCCATAGCTACCCAGCTGACAGCCCTTGGGTTCGCGGGCGGTCCACTTGTCCGTAAGACGTAGTTCGACAACCTTTTTGGCGAGAACAACAAGAAGCGAGCTGAGAACATGCAATCAAGTGTTCCTGATCCATGGCCATATTGGACAGAACGAGATCATTGGTCTTTCTGAGGTAGATCTGTGGTTTGCACTGGTAAGCGAATGACGACTTGATGAAAGTGGAATTCAACAATCAATCGTTGATTGGTAACTCACGTTATTCAGTCTATCGCTCCTCAGGCCGTCAGGATTCTGCACGATTCGTCTGCATCTACACTGTAGGTGCATGGAGTGTTGTGGGCTTCGAAAAATCTGATTGAACAAGTATGTAAAACACTGCGTTAGCCTGAGAGAGCCTCGCCTGGGAGCGTGCGGGGTCTCATCATCTTCGTGAGATGATGCATTTCGCGCGCGCATGTATCGTCGCATAATGGTCGACGTAAATTGCCCTTTCCATAGGGCTCTCGAAGCCATCCGGAGTACGCAAACGGTTCTTATTGACTGAATTGCTCTTCTGAGCACAATCAGAGCATATTGGTTTGTCCCCTGACGTTTGGTAGGACTCGGAGGCAGGATGGAGGGACGCGGTGAAGCCTGAAGGTGGTGGGCGCTCCTGGACCAAGTCTGGACTTGATGGGTCACACGACGTTACTGTTCTCGGTCACGGTATTACAAGCGCGCCGGCATTGTGACTCAATAGCCCCACGCTGTCACACGCATGGCAGTAAGTACTGCTGGCGACTCGTTCAGGAACGACCGTGACATGTACCTGGACATCCATCTCATCGGAATTACCCTCACACCGACAGGCTAAAGTTGATGACTGCAACGTACCAGCTTTAACAGACCTTATTGACCGCGAAGGACTACCCAAGTTACACTAGCGACTGATCGCGCGCGAGTCATCCATTTGCTGCGGTATGTAGTTCTTGCTTTCTTTCCCCTTGGAATGATGTGAATTTCACAATATGTGGAGGGGTATTCGCCCCCATGTCACTTGAGGTCTGTATCTCGCGCCGGTATACTACTCAGCTGAGAAGGAACCGCGTCGAGATGCAGGTCAAGAACGGAAAGCTGAATGGATTGCTTCCATCTGTATTGTCGTCATCCACTCTTGCTGACGCATCGTAATCCCTAGGGTACAGCACTCATAGATGTGACCAGCATCATTAGTGGCTCTTCGAACGCTCATATAACATGGCCGCCGCAATCTGGCCCTCTCAATCTAGCCCTACTCCTGGATAAAAGTCATGGCCGCTTTATATTTAACGTTTGGTTTCCCATGTCGGGATTCGCCCAACAACGGATTGGCGGTTAACTGACCTCACGCCAAGTTTGGATTCTGACGGGCTCACACCGTCACTTGTCAGCCAAGTACGAAGGAAGGCGCTCAAGCGCTCGCGCGGTTGTCTCAAGCAGCTAGCAACCTTGTCCTCGGTCTCAGCTCCCATCTCCGTCGCTTTCATTTCCTGCTATCTATCGTTATCGCACTGCCCAAGATGCCCACCAACGCCAGCGCAACCCCGAAGACCGTCCTCCACGCGATTCACAATCTTCCCAAGAGGGTCAAGAGTAGCGGGCAACTGCGCTCCCGGAGCATCCGCCGCGGAAAGGAGAACTCTACATCATCGTCGCGCGCGCCCACTGCCTGCCGCACCCGTGCCGCTAATCTCATCATCGCCTCAGAATCATTCGTGGCGGCGCGGTGGGCGCCCTGGGACGGCAAGGTCGTCATCAAAGTGGCCGTCCCGTGCATGGACGACATCTGGAAGTTCAAGATCCCCGAGGGCATCACTCTCGAGAGGCTGACCCGGCGGGTCGAGGCAAAGGTCGGCTTCCCCCTCGCGTTCTCGTATTCGTACGCGGCAGGCGACTGCGAGCGCGCGGTGCGCACGGAAGAGGCGTTCCACCTATGGGTGGAGACGAGGGTTCAAAAGGGGATCAACACACCACTCATCGCGCGTGTCCGGGTGTAGGAGTTGGCAGGCTGGAGCCACTCACTGGCGGGGGCCGTCTGTCGCTCGTGCTGTTCTCTTTGTTTACTCGTTGGCCAGTCTGTCTCTCGGCTCTGATCATCTGTTGTTGTCAGAAAAGCCATCACTTCTGCGTCCTCAGAGTCCAAGCTCCTTCGTTCGCTCCTTGACGGTTCTTTCCGCGCGAGGTACAGGCTGCGGCGCCGAGGTCATTGAGCATAGCCTGTGGTCGACTGTCTGAGCTCAGTCTAAGAGTGAGCACCCATTCTCACATACACGCATGGCAGACACTGCCTCGTGTACAGCTGAATGCTCATACAAGTCACCGATAACAGGATACTTGGCAGATGAGAAGTCATTCTGACTGCGCAATCAGGTATCGTCCACATGCAGACGGCAGATATTCGGGTCGAAGTGCGCGAAACGACCAAATGTGCGACGATGACGAGACGCGTTCGGCCGCGTGTCGGCGCAGAGCACCAATGGCCCGCGCGTACGTATACTGTAGTCAAGTGCATGCTCATACGTTGGGGCCCGGAGGGGTGATGGCACCGCGGGACACAGTGCATGTGCAGCACCAATAAGCCGTTGACAGTATGTCCGAATCACATCGCCCCGACTCTGGTTCTGTAGGCAACATACACCCACGGAGCAGCGGCTGAGTACTGAGTTCTGGAAGTCGCGACTCGGAAGCCCTGTCTGGGAGTACGAAGACCTAAAAAAACAAGGTATCACTCGGTTACCATCCGACTCGAACTACTCGTGCACATCATGATCTACTCAATCGACTATCAAGCTGCCCCTAGTCTCTTATCCATATAGCTCAAAAGCTCCGGTCTAAGCTGGTCAAGGCTTGTCACACCCAGCAACCTCATCCCCGTCTCGATTTCCTCGCGCATAACTACAACTTAATATCAGCATCCTCTCCGCACATCACGAAACACCGTGGACGCACTCTGTATGACACGCCGGCAGCCATCCTCGCCCCACACGCCATTCGCATACAAGAACGGCCGCCCGAGCCCGACGCCCCGCGCGCCGAGGCAGAGCGCCTTGAGCACGTCCGTCCCGCGACGCACGCCGCCGTCGATGTACACTTCGTGCTTCCTGAGGAGGTCCGGCCGCTGTTGGTAGAGCTCGTAGAGCACCGTCATCGGCGCGGGGGAGTAGTCCAGCTCTCGTCCACCGTGGTTAGAGAGGATGATGGCCTTTACACCGTACTCATCGAAAGCCTTCTCTGCGTCCTGAGCCGCGGTCAGTGGGATTCAGTGGGATGCAGTACGTATGTCATTGAATGGTTCGCACCTCGACGCACTGGATGCCCTTGATGATGATAGGAAGTTTCGTTATGCGGCGGAGCCAGGGAAGGTCGTCCCCTGACGATGACAGTCATGAGCGACTATGGGGTATTTGACTCATCATCGCGGACTTACAGAGAATATCCGGGTCTTGATACCCAGAGATCGCCTGGAGGGACAAATGCCCATGTGCATTCTCCAGAGTGAGATATGCATGGCATCACTTACATGCGCAACGCCCATCCCACTACTCCCAGACTTCCCAAACGTCGACGGGCCATCCTGCACGACCATCAGCGTCCACTCAGCCCCACCAAACATCTCCCCTACCTTCAAATCCTCGCCCTTCGCTTTCTGATCGAGCTCGCGCTTCCCGGGAACCGCCGCGTCTACAGTGAGCATGATCGCCTTGAAGCCCTGCGCTTCGATCTTCTTCACAAGCGTCCCCGAGGCTTTCCGGTCCTTGTTAAGGTACAGCTGGAAGACAAGGCCCTGGCCCGGCAGCTTCACCGACATGCACTCTTCCGTCGAGCAGCTCGCGTTATTCGAAATCTACCGCGACCATGTTAGAACGTCGAATGAGCACGGGCATTCAGCATGAGGTGGGAGAGTCGGCTTACACCTTGAATGACGCCTTCCTGTCCGGCAGCGCGCACGGCGTTCATCTCACCATCGGGGTGTCCAAGGCGGTAGAGCGCAGCAGGGCTAATGAAGATAGGAAGAGAGCTAGGTAGACCGAAGAGCGTTGTCGCTGTGGAGATTTGAGAAACCTTGTTCATACTGAACCCTTTCACTGAGTGTGATGTGCGTGTGAGATATAGCTTCACCTACACCCGAGGCCGAAACCAGAACCGTTTGAAGGCGTTGCTGTTCTCGAAGTACGCTAGCAATGGGAACATGGTCAGTATGACAAGTACGAAGGTACGTCCATGACCACCTACTGGCTTCGTCGTCAGCGGTCGAACGGTAGTATGCCCACGCCGTACCGGTAAGGACCTTCTCTGCCAATACCTATGGAGAACATTGAGTGCGCGGAGAATAACAGAAACAGTGATAACGTACCTCTATGTCGTGCAGGTTAATGGCGGCAGACGGAGGAGGAAGGTTCCGCCTCGCTTCTGCTATGCGGATTTCCTCCTCAGTAGGCTGGTTCGCATCCTCTGGAATCGTCGCTGGGTCGACGGGTCCGATGTGGGCCTCCATAGGTAGTTGCTGGAGTGTATTCGGCGGGTGGATGGGGACAAAGGCCTTGCTGCAATACCATAAATTGAGTGCGACATACAAGACGCCCAGAAGCTGAAGACATACGTCGCATCCTTTCCAGCGTTCTTCAGGATCACAGCAGGACCTCCTGGATGCCATTCGAGCACTGAGGTGGCATCATAGACCTGGCCGTCGATGATGACCCAGCAGCTCTCCCGTGTATTGTGCTTCTGGACTTCCTCGTACGAAATGTAGTCAGGGGCGGCTTTGCTAGGTTTCGGGACCTTGTTTCTAGGAGCGTCAAGATTAACTGGATATAATGACGCGTATCCGGCCTGGAATAGATGGTTAACACTGGACACGAGCAACATATCAAAGCAGAGAAACAGACGTGCGTTCAGCATGCATTATGCTATAATTAAGTGCTATGACAATAGGCGGGGAGGCCAGACCGCGAGCTGGCGTCCTGTGTCCGAATCATTCTGAGGTTTGATGTGAATAAGATCAGACGTGAGACAACTCAGGACGCTGACGCCCCGACGATCTCACCATACCTCCGCCAGTCGACTCGCACTTTTGCCTGGATGAGCACCTGGCCTCCTCGTCTATTGCCAACTTGAGCTCTCACAGCGACCCAATTTGCCTCTGCTTTCCTCCTCGCGCAGAAGTGATAGCGTAGATTGCTGGAAACATAGCAGGTCTCCACCCGCCGGCAGTCTCTGGTAGTACGCAGGGTGGGTAACTCGATCCAGAAATCCCCAAGCGATTCACGAATAAGGCTACACAGCACTCACATATGACCCGATCACGATGCCCGTTGTGAGGATAGCAGCAAGCCATGGCCGTCCATTGAAACCAGCGTGAGAGTGGACGCGAGACGCTCCGCGTGTTCCTCGCCGTACGTTGCTCGTGAACAACCGAAACGACCTCGCCGCGAGCATTGTCTACGTTCACCCTCCTCTTTGCGGTGAGTCGAACCTGCCGTTGCGTAAGAAGACGAGGGACATCGGGAGAACACCTTCGTGGGTCTTAAGAGGTGCTCAGGCGGGCGTCTCTCCGTGCCTCTTAGGGGACCTGACCATCACGTGGACGTGTGTCTGCGGGGATACGGACCGAGCACCGGAGACCGGGCCCGTTCAGCAAGTCGGATTGAATGTAAGTTAGGTGCGAAAGCCACCATGTATTTACATGAAGAGGTTGAGGAAGGTTTGGACGACTTGACGGCTATGCAATCCTGTTGCTCATGATTTGTCGGCTGGTACGGCGCGTCCGACTCAAAATCGGGGCTGACTACCTGAAGGGGAAGGTGACCTACTAAAATTGGCAAGAAACCTGCCAGTGGGTCACCTGCGACCCAGCAGGACCCGGGCAACTCCCCTGGGTCTATGTCCGGAAATTGGGTGAAGGAGGGGCCCCGCAGGGGCGGAAACTTTGTCCGGTATTGGGTGGCGAAGGCCGTCGGACGCCTGATCTTTGTCCGGATATAGGGTGGTCGAGGACCGTGACCTCCAGACAAGCGCTCGCTTCCGATAAGATCACCGATATGGTATCGCTCCAAGCTTCAACCATCGACCCGATACTGAACGCTGAGCCGCTGTGAAACAACATAGCGGTATGCTCGAATAGGTTTAGCTCGGGCCATAGGTGGCCCACATGTCTGTGGCTCGCGGAGCCACAGGCCTTAGGCCACTGGTTGCCGGAGCTGAACGCGGTACACTCTTCAACATCGCGACGCGTGCGCAGATTGCATTGCGGTCTGCCATGTCTAACCTCCCCGACTTCAGTACGCGCGAGATACGCAGGATTCATATATTCCACGATGACCTAGAGCCTTTGGTCCCCGGAAGACAACAGAAAATACCCGGAACGACCTTGAACGCGTTCGGCGCATGGCTACAAGACCTGGCCCCGGGGTCAAGGCAAGATACGTGTTTCTTGTCTTCGTGGTTGCCCGCACTTGCAAGCAATGAAGTGCGGAGTGATACCTGGCATGGATCTATAGAAGGACATATACTTGCCGCGCAAAGAAACAGTTCCGGGAAGCGCAGTTCCTCACGCAAGTTCAATATTATGGCCCAGCAACTGCGCCACCGCGACCAGCGCTAAACGACAAATCCGCTATGACATAAGTCACGTGACCTGCAACTATGTCCGCTATTGGGTGGGCGAGCGCAAAATTATTGGGTGAACGGGGCCGATTTTGGGTGACCTGGGCGGACATAGATACGCGGGAGTTGCCCGGGTCCTGACCCAGCCATCGCCAGCCACTATTGACACTGTTACTGTTTCTGCTGACAGCCAAACTCATAGTCTCGATTCAGACGTTATAGCAGTGTCACGTGTGCCTATCAGCGGAGATCGAAAAACGCATACCACAGCCACTGCTATAACGTCTGGTCATTTTCGTAGAGAGGGGTGGGGGTCACTCGGCCCCGTGACGAAACGCGCCGCGAGAGAGGCGGCGGCGGGGGGCGCAGCGCAACGTTACTCGTCTCTGTCGCGCCGACGGTCGAAGTACATACCGTGACTTGCTCTACTGTGCTCGCTAACCTCAGCAATGCTACCAAATTACTACCGCGGCTCTGACGCTACACCAGCCGCTGGTCTCACAAACTCGATGTCAGGGCAACTCTCGCTGTTAACGGGATACTGAACATCACACACGCCCATGCTCACGCATCTCGTCGCTCTGACTCCGCGAAGGCCGACGAGAATGGCATGACTCCGTACGACTGGACCGCAGGTCAACGTTACGGAGGCGATCAATTTTGGGCTCGACTGCATCGTAATTGCGGGAACTGGCGCCGGGAAGATGATGCCTCTCGCAATGCTACTGGCACTGTTGGGGGCCTAGACAAAGCACGAAATAACGCTTGTTTTATCACCGCTTCACGAGCTCGACCTCGATCAGGTAAGCACACTGTGAAGTTTAAACCATGATAATAACCCCTCCACGCTCACATCTCAAAGTTGTCTACGGCGCCCGCTAGTCACGTCGGGCAGGGCAGCCTCAAATCTCGACACGGGCTTCCTGGACGTTTCTGTTGACGTTGTATGTGGACATGCACTTTCCGTTGCAGGGCTCGTACGGAGGTCTTCGCGCGGCGAGGTTGCAGAAGGGCGTCGAGCAGCGCAAACTGTGGAGCGCATGGACCCTGTGGGTTATCTTGATGGGCTGTATCAGGGTCTACTGCGTTTGCAGGGTACAGAAGAACTCACCCTACGGTTGGACTTACATTGTATCACGTCCCCTACATTCCGGACCTAACATGGTCCATGCTGCCGGCGGGAGGAGATTGCAGAGCTCGAGGTGATAGTATAGCGCGGATGTATACAGCAGATACACCTCATCTGTGTGTGCGCAACGCGTCGTGCACCGCGACGTATGCGCCTCTCTTGCGGCGCGTTTCGTCACGGGGCCGAGTGACCCCCACCCCTCTCTACGAAAATGACCAGACGTTCTGGAGGTGTGTGTGGTATGGGTTTTTCGATCTCCGCTGACGTACGCACGTGACACCTCCAGGACGTCTGGATCGAGACTACCAAACTCATATTGATAGACGTTTCGCGCTCACGCGACGTTATGTTTCCGGCCGAGGTGCCGGGCTGCCGCGCCACAGCTGCCACCACGTGGCACGAGGCAGGCTGCAGCCACCGCCCGCCACCCTCCGCCACCGGTGTTCGCAGAGCTCGGGATTAGCGCAAAGAAAGGTCTAAATACAATGAACTTCGGGCTGGCGGCGACCTTTACGCTAAGTATCGTCTGCTGTGATTGACTTTGTACGGTACACATACTGCTGCAACACAAAATCATGACTCTTGGACCGCGCGAAGAAAAGACGTGCAACGACCACGCAGCAATGAGAGCAGGGACACTGATGCGGGAGCGGCGCAGACATACCAAAACATCGCGGGAGAGAAGGCTGTCGGTTGCGGCACGCAGCGGGTAGCGGGCGGCGGGCAGCGACATGGCAATCATGTCCGAATTAGTCTGCGTGTAGTAGGGGAGCAGGCACGGTAGGTACCGGTGTGCATGCGGGCAGTCAGACGCGGGCGATCGTACACACGGAGGCGAGGCAACGTCGAGCGAGACCAGGTTGAGACCATCCGGAGGTTGAAGCCGTGAATCCAGTGCACAGTGCGCAAACACAGTCAACATACCTGCGCACGCCGGTGACATCCTCCCACTTCGACCGAACCACCCTGTTTTCCACAACCAGTGCTTGACCATCCGTATCTCAAAGGGCATCCACAACAATTAGAGCCGCGGTATCTAGGCTAGGATACACAGCTCGAAGGACTCTGCGGCGATGGTGTTCGGGTCCTCGCACCTTGACCTGGACCATGGCTGCCGCGTAGCCATGCTGAGTTGACCAATGTTCCGTAAGAGACTTGGGAAACGAGCTGACTCGAGCAGAACATCGAGACATCGAGCACGGATTGAGCGCTGAGCGCGGGTAGTCAGCGACTGGTCAACGAGGATAGCACTAGGTGCGTTCAAAATTGGCTGGAGCCCTGGAGCCCTGGAGCTTGGAGGTCGGAGGCGCCTGGAGGTCGGTGGCTGGACGCGAGGGTTGTCGGCAGTTGCCGCGAGCAGTCCCCCGATATTCTGCAGCGGTTCATGCTTATGTCATGCCAGTCACACCGTCTCTTAGAATAGATCTGAAAACCTACTACAGTTTGTGACCGTACAGTGCTGTTCATGAATTCCCCAAATGTATGTGTCGCTGTACTCGGCCGGGGCTAAGACTTGGATGAGGGCAAGGAATTGTATACGGTAGATGGACACATCTACAGTAATTATGTAAGCATGTGGCAATGACTGTAACTTGAAGTTAGTAGGTTCACGACCGCATCCGAAGCAAATCATTGACATCCCTCACGCAAGTATGCGATGCGCTGACGTCGATAATGATTAACTTCAAAGAACGGCGACTGGAATTATCGTCCACAAACCCCGAGCCTCAATCGCTCAGGTCACCCGTGTGTGACGCGTCGTTATGCAGGAAGACGAGCACTGGAGTCTGGAGGAATTTGCTCGCGGCAACTGCCGACAACCCTCGCCGCCAGCCACCGACCTCCAGGCGCCTCCGACCTCCAAGCTCCAGAGCTCCAAAGCTCCAGCCAATTTTGAACGCACCTACTGAGCAGTACGAACCGCGGGGCCGGGGCAGCTGTGGCGCGGCAGCCCGGCACCTCGGCCGGAAACATAACGTCGCGCGAGCGCAAAACGTCTATCAATATGAGTTTGGCTGGAATTTGAGCGTCTATGACATAGCCAATGAGCGAATTCTTGACCTGATCATCATACGCCGCTTTTAAAACGTCACATTGAACCTCAATTACATTTGCCAGTGAGAGCGGAGCCCCAGTATGTAGACAACCACAGTACATGACGATTCGTCTTCTCTTTCCCATCTCATCTCGAAACATCCCCAGCAAGGAATCCATTAACTGTCGAGGTACACCACAGCTCCCACCAACTGTGCATCCAAGCATCTGAGGAAGCGACCGCACTGGCACAGAGCAGCGAGTTTGACATTTTCACTATCGCTCATTGTAACGCGAAGGGATGGTCTATTTGGCGACATACATACAATGTATCCGGAGGTCAACTCCTGATTCGAGCCATCGGTGGAGGTTGCGGCGTTCCCCACGGATCTGGCAGACCATTCGGATAGCCTAATTCAGCATCCGAGTCGCTACCACAGCTTGTAGGGGTATCTGGACCCCAAGAAAACAGTGGCTCAGGAGGCCGCAATTCCAGGGGTCCGCAATCTCGACTCCGCCTGCGCTCGCTGGAATGTGAATATGTGAAAGAGCTGATATCTGTCGCTGGTTGTCGCCTAGGAATGATCACTATAGATTCGAGTATTTCCGAGACGTCCGCCGGGGTGGTGGGTGACGTCGGTCGTGACGCAGGCTCTAGGTGTAAAGAGGCCTTCTCCAGAGCATCCTGTACATCGAACTGAAGACTGGTGGGCACCGTTTTCCGAACGGAATCTTTCGGAGCGTCCCTGAGTTGGACTGCACGAGCAGTGAGTAACAATGATGGAATAGCCTGCGGCAATGGTCCGGCAATGGTCATTATTCTATCAGAACCGGCAACGACGACGACGTACCTGCATCTGCCCAAGCAAAGGCAGTAGTGCAGCTCGCATAGAGGTATCGATCGCGATCGTCACAATTGTGATGATGGCCACTGCTGCGTAGAATGCGGTCGCCTCGAACATAACACTGATCACAAAGCCATAGACGTTCCGCGGCTCTGTTGATTTCCAGAATCCTCGCAGCTCTCGCGAGACACGGTAGATCCGGATGACCATGATGGCAGGCAAAATAAGGTTGTAACCGAGTGCGACACCGAGGTAGACTAGGCCTGGCGTAGATGGTGTGGTGGTCCAGGTCATGATCAAACCTGTGAGGTCATGACGGAAATAGGACCCAGTGACTATTTCGTCCCTTCGTCAGCGGCGCACGAAGACATGTATCGGCGGTGGAACTTGCCGACGAGTCCAACAAGTATAGTGCCCATAGGCATCCATACTGATGGCGCATTATGACAAATCATGCTGCATCTCCAGAGCTGCTCGCGATAGTCAATACATTCCGTGTACACGCCGACATATGATGCAACCAACCAGTAACGCGTCGGAAGACCAATGGAGGACGAGATATCTGGAAAAATCGCGTCAGCGCAAGGAAAGTAGAAACATCGTGAGACTGACATCATGGTGACGGCAAGACTGAGTTTGTTCGTGGGGGTGTATGTAGTGAATAACTCGGTCACATCCAGGTTGTCACTACTCCCGAAGAAGATCTTGATATCACAGACGAGTTGCAGAACGATACTGAGTGTTGCGATAGTAAACAAGTAACATGTACACGCAAAGAATCGGCCGTTTATACGGGATGAGAGAGGTCGCAGAAAGTGTCTTAGGACGCAGGAGAAGAAGGCAGCATGGGCACCTGAGAGAATATCAACAGGCATTGCAGTGCGAATAGTAAGAGAACCAACCGTACGCCAGCATTGATAAGGCCATTCCTAGCATATTTGCCTCCTGAATTCGAGAAGATGAGTTTGAATGAACGCAGGCGGTAGTCATGGGTAGCAAGCACAAGCAGAAGAGTCTCCGCTTGGTCCGCACTGTGATGTCTGCCCACGACTAAATACCTCGTCCAACGTATACCTCTGAAACTGGCTGTATAATACACCCAACTGTAGTACATGGTATCATGCGGGCTCGCGTTCTTGCATTTGCAGCGCAGGCTATATGAAGGGTGGTATGCTGTGTGAGGCGCCGGTCACAGTCGTAATAGCTGTGTTGTATCCGGATTCCAAATATCGCTGGGCGGGCACTGGAAGGTTCGGAATCGGCAATCAGGGTACTGAGATCGTTCCACAAACTTTGACTGCACATGGTGGCCAAGTGCCCGGGGCACGCGAACTGTCATGATGTAGACCATTTTCGTCGCACTGGCTGTCATTGATATTCGTCGACCTACCGCTTTTCTATTGCTGTCGTATCTCCTCAACGGAGCTACTTACACGATCCAGCCACATGTCCAATATCGCCAACTGCATGCCAGCATCATGGCCATCTCCGCTAGATGCAGTAGAACCTGATACTATCGTTTAGTAATGTATTGGCGTTGTAGGCCGGCCTTACCGTAGCCCCATCGACTCAACTGCGCCTTCAGAGGATCCACTAGCGTGCGCGTCGCGTTTCTCAAGTTATCCTTGTCTCTGATCCCAGTCTGCAGGTGAAGGGAGACGTAAGTCACTATGTCTTCCAAGTAACGCCATACGCACCCGGTTACGGACATCTCTCATCAGGAGAACGTAGTATAAGGACAAGCATTCCACCAATCTCAGGGGCTCCTTGGTGTTCAGAAACTCGTCTAGCTCCAGTGTATTTCCAGGGGCAAACAAGTCAGGCGGATCTGGGCGCAAGATGATAGGTCCAAAGGCCTTCAGGAACGCGGGCGAGGCAAACACGTTCCTCTGAGCTTCGGCGGATCCTGGTGGTGCAGCCAGCGCCTCGAGTAAAGCTTCTTTGACTAGACCTACGGAGGCTACGCGCATTTGCGGAGAGGAGTCATCGTCTGTTAGGAGGCCCTGCAGGAGTTGTACCCGGACAGGTGAAGGTGCGAGTGCGAGGGCAGCGGATAGCACGCGGAAGGTGTAGTGGCGTATACCGGGATCCGGGTGTACGCTGGCTAGAGGGGGAAGGACATGCGCGAGGGGGACAATGAGGTCTGGAGGGAACTCGGGGCGCGGCACCTGCGAGACTAGGGGAACAATAGCATTGATGAGCACTGATAGCACCTCGTCCAGGGCCGTGTTAGCTTGAAGTGACATCAGGATTACAGGGAAGAACGAGATCAGGGCTGGTGTGTCGAATTTGTAGTTCTGGAAGTGTGCTAGAAGTATCATGGATCCCAACGAGGGTTGCGAGGCGCAGTTCTGGACTGTCAGTCCGAGAGCTGCCATGGACGCCTGTTGGATAACTCAGATGACACGCCTTCATACCGTGGAGTCGGGCGCACCCAGATGGCCTTTACAAAGTCTTCCTCTTCCGGCGTATCTTCGTCTTGGGTAGGAATAACTAGTCGCGGGTACTGTGACTCAAATGCATGTCGTGCTAGAGAACCATTTGTGCGGTTCGAGCACAACTCCATCGTCGAGAGTATAAACGGGATCAAGACATCCTACAGAACATCATGAGCCCAGCAACTCTCTACAGGGAATAATACATACGACAATACTCTTGCGTTCTATCTCGTCGACCTTGTCATCCGACTTGGCCCATCGTGTGATCTCGTCCACCAGTTGGTGCGTTGAGTCCAAAATCATGCGTCCTGAGGCGCCACTAGCGCTCCTGATGGTTTGCGACATGACCGACTGAAGTTCGGAGAGCAGTGATCGAAGTTGTTCAACAGGGGATTTCTTGCGCCTAGGCAAACGCGGTACAGCTTGACCAATTGAAACAATTGGGGGCGTTCAATCATGGAGGATGCCTACCTAGCGAGTATATGGTCAAGATTCGAGCGATCTGACGGACTAGCCAAAGCTCGTCGTCGGCAGCTTCTTCGGGCTCCTGGTCCAATTCTAAACGTTCCACGATCTCTTGCGAAGCCATAGTGGCTTCTTTGGCACTGCACTCTGTGCATATCAGTCGTATGAGGTGATCGGCACCGTCGCTGGGATGGGGTATCAGAAGTGGAAGGATGGTCAGAGGTTCCTGGTATCCTCACATAAGTCAAAGGTACAGGTGCACATAATCACTGGACGCACCAGCGAGGATACAAGATCAGAACTCTGGATCGCTTGAGCGAGCTGTTCCAGCGTATGGCGAGCATTTCCTTCACGAGCAGCTGAGGTTATAAAGATCGTGAGGGCCAGACTAGGATCCTATATCCTGATGTCATTAGCGATTGTCTCAGTGCAATATGGAAGTCTTGAGGTCTCTACCTCATCTGGCAATTCATCCTCGATACCCAGCTCTCGTCGAAGTTTAACCAGTGCATAATCCGACATGAATGATGATGACTCCTGCGATGTGAGTGCGTTCAATTGGGATCCGTCTGGCCTATTCTGTAGGTGGTTCTGTCCCAGAAAAGCAGTAGCTCAAGATACAATGTGAAGAGGTCACGGTGAGAGGCGAGCGACTCGGACCGGTGGTTGCGGCAAGAGTTACACTGCGATGTAATCTATAAAAGCGTGCTTGTAGAATGTGTAGTGGACCATCAGTGTCAGACCTAAGACACTGCTTACGAGAGTAAGAAAGTAGTAGCACTGACACTAATACGCCCGTTCCATACGAGTGTACTAGTGTACTAAGTGACTCAGTATTGTTGACCTCTGCCTATAACGTCCACGTCCGCCAACTCATTCCCGTCCCACTCTGGGCAAGTATGGCCGCAGCGACTGTGCATCCTATTCAGCGTCCCCTGAAGGGCTCTCGTATCTCCTCGTTCTACCCTGTGAAGGATATTCCACCACTCTCAGCGCTCGACAGCGCGTTCCAATTGCAAGAGTACATCTCACTGCTCATACGAAAGGACGTGCATGACGTCGACGCCATCGTGTCAATTCCGGGGAAGGGGAAGCAACGGGAGGGAAGCGACGGCGAAGGTGCTAAGGGTGACGATGCGGAAAGCGCAGAGAGTAAGGAAGTGACGGTGGACGAGGCGTGCTGGATCTACGAACAGCTGCGGTATGGCTACGACTGCTCGTGTGTACGCGTGTAAACTCACGGCGGCTTCGTAGACGACTTGCGCAGGACCTATCCCATCCGCTCATTACGATGCTGCAGCAGGAATGCACGCGACAGACGTGTCCTGAGATGAAGGCCGGAGAGTGGTTGTACCTCTGCGTTGCCCACGGCACCGAGGGCGCAATGGAGGTGAGTACCGCTTCTTCATCATAGTCGCGAGCTCATGTTAAACCTACAGCAATGCTGCGCCATCGACTACATCCTGCACACGCTCGACAGCGCGACCTCACTTCTCAACTCGCCGCGTAACTTCCCGTCCCGACTCTCCATCCCTGCACCCTCGCACCGGCACTTCTCATCCCTTGCCCGGCGTCTCGGACGTATCTTCGCACACGCGTACTTCCACCACCGCGCCGCGTTTGCGCAGGCCGAGGCAGAGAGCGCTCTCTACGCCCGCTTCCTCGCTCTCACCTCGCGCTTCGAGCTTGTTCCAGCTGAGTTCCTCGTCATTCCTCCCGGCATTGTCGGTTACGACGAACACGACGGTCCGGATGAATACCCGCGCAGCATGCTTGGTGCTGCGCTCGACCCGCGCCGTGAGCGCGAGCGCGGTCGCGAGGACGAGCCGCGCGGCATACTGAATACCGACGCACTCGGGGAATCACTGCCTGCCGGAGAGGAGAGGCGTGAGCCTAGCCCGCGAAAGATGGGAAGAAGCAGGACCGACACGATGGTGCACAGCGAGATGGCGAGCGTGGTGGAGGAACTCGGGCGCGCCAACGCTGCGGACGGAGAGGCAGACAGTAGAGAACGCGTACCTACCATCCGTCCGGGCGACGTCCAGAAGAAGGCCGAGGAGCAGACAGCTACTGAGGAACCCCTACAGACTCGGACAACGGAGGGGCCTGAGCATGAGCCCGTAACTGAAGCGGAGCCTGTCAGAGAAGCGGAGAATGCCGTTTCTGAAGAAACCCAAGCTCAGTCAAGCGATGTAACAGAGCCTGAAGAGGTACGTCGAAGACTTGCGCATGGATTAGGTGTTCACGAAACCTACATTTCAGGTTGAGACAGAGACAACGCATGACAGTGCGGCGCCGGCTGAGGAAGCTGTTCCTACAGAGGAAGCTGATATCACGTCGACGGAGGAAGCTCCTGCTGACGTCTCCGTTGAGCAGCACGAGGACTCGCAGCCAGAGCCTGAACCCACTTCCGAGGCTGAGCAGGCCGCGCAGGAAGCTACGGAGACTGAGGAGGAGACCGTAGCTCATGCAGAGGAGCTAGCTGCAGACGTGGTCGCCGAAGCCGAAGCAGCACATGAGGGGAGGGCGGACGAGGAGTCAGTGCCTCAGCCGGCAGAGGACGAGACTCAGCATGAGCCGTCAGTCGACGTAGCTGAGGCAGCGCCTGCCGAGGAGACTGCTGAGGTAGAGGAGGCGCAGGCCGATCTCGTCGGAGAGGTACCGTCGGACGAGGAAACTCACGAGGAGTCGACAACGACCGAAGAAAATACGGCGACCATCGCGGAAGAAGAGGTCACGCCGGACGTGCATCCTACGACTGAGGTGGCGGGCGGAGAGGAGTGACGGCCCGTCCTGTATATTGTTACTTCGGACTGACTTTGGAATACATTTTCGAGCCCCTGACGGCTTTGTTGTCTCAAGTTTCGTCGCTTCGGGATTACATGAGAAGCCGCCATGGGCAGCTCGAGCTGCAAGGTGGGACTGTGAGTGAGATAATGAGCATAAGCCCTAGCTTAGTTGGAGTCGATCAGGATGAGACGCACGCCTCCAGCACGAATGTCAGCGACCTCGCGTCGAATGTACATACTGCATCTCCACAATGAGCAGGGGTACGACACTGCTGGTATCTGGACAGAAGGCGTACGTGGCATTCACCGTCGCACTCGAAGTAGGGTATCTCCAACTGCAGTATTGCAGGCTAATGTACAACATCATCCAATCCGCGAGCAAAGTCCACTGCCCAGAACATAGATCATGTCATGATATCAGACTGCTGTCTTTTAGGCTTCGTACAACGACAGTGTCTTGCACTAAATGACGCAGGGTATTGGTCAGCCTGATGCCACGAATAGGTCCCAGCGTGAGCAGCACTTACCGTCCGCAAGGATATGTTGCGTGGACTTGGTATCCTGGGGACAGGAGCACAGTTAAGACAGGGGCAGGGTAGATCAGACGTTGGTATGGTCAACTTACGGTCACAGTCGTGAAATGACAATAGAACATTCTCGGCTCCGGGCTTCGTTCCTTATGGATCTGCGCGAACTTCCGCTTAAGGTCTATCCCCTCCATCAGCATTCAGTCGGCGCTCCTCAATAGCAATAAAAGACCGACATATAGATGTACTATCGAAATCGTTCGTCCGGTTGCCGTACGAGACTATGTACTTGCTTAGCTTGATGCCCGCCTCGAGCTTCGCCTTGAATATGTCGACCTTGTTCAGGAAGAGTACGATGCTCGTTTTGGCGAGTAGCGGGTTTGAGACGATCGTTTTCCAGAGTACGACGGAGTCTTCCTGCATCGGCCGAACAGTCTATTAGCTCATTGCGAATGAGTGAGTCGCAGAGTTACGCACCAGTCGGTTGACAGTAGGGTCTTCTTCGAGCGTCTGGTCGAAACAGCTGATGGGTGCGAGGAAGAGGATCGCGCTGATGACGCAGTCAGTGCCGAGTCGTACTTTGACAGATGAGCGGCGTACTTCATGTCGTCAAAGTACGGCGCCCATGCCGCTGGTTACGAAGTTTCAGTCAGGGGTTATCATCGTACACAATGGGACCGAACCTCGCTGTAGCCAATGTAAGTATGGTCTCTGAGGAAAGAGATCACACTATACTCACCAATGATCTGTGTCCTCCAACGTCGTATATCCTCCAGTCCCGCGTAATCCCGCCCAATGTACCTGAAGATGAAGGTCAATAGACTACGCAAAGCAAGATGGAGCTTACGTGCCTTCCTTGATGGAGAATCGATACTCGGTAATTCCTAATGTCTTTAGACGCGCGCGGAGAATGTCCTCTGGAAGATCCTAGTATCTAGAGCACAATTTTTTGGTGACTCACGCACCATCTGTTGGAACGTATCGAGGGGACGTTACACGCTCTAGCGAGTCGAGGAAGCTACACCCGGATGAGCAATACGTTCCGTGTTGTGGATGCAGAAGTACTCACAAGCCGGGCCGGTCTTCTAACCTTATACCTTGTATTTGAAGCAGCGAACGAATGGTCTCGTCGTTCCACAGGCGAATCATATCCTCCCCGCACGCGTGGATGATCCGTCCCGGATCCTGCCATTGACGCATAAGTAATGCTATAGTGAGAGATACAACTTCAGAGCTCGCCTGTGGGTCATTCCAGTCGATGCCGTCCCCACTGTCTGCGTCGCGGCTGTCCGACAACAACCTACCAAAGACGCCCTTCCACGCAAATAGGGAATTCACGGCGACCTCCTTCTGGCGGATGCGCTCCAAGTAGCTCACGTTCGACGCCTGGGCAAGGTGGGTCGCCTCGAACTCGGCAGAGCCGGGTGGCGTGAGCTTGCGGATGAGCGCCTGCTCGACCTGGAGGAGCGGGGAGAGTCGCATCTTGAGCTTCAGGTGCTCCGCAGTGAGCGGCGGGTATACTCGTGTACTCGAGTCAGAAGGTGTGCGGCTTCTGGAGGGGCGACCGCCGGTGGGGGTACTTGGCTGCGCCTGGGCATTTTGTGCTTCTGCCATGGCTTCGAGGATGTTATGGATTGAACGGACAACATTGAGATGAATCACGGCGCGCCATGAGGCTCGTTCGGCGCGAAATGCCTACGACTAGGATCAGTTTATGCGCTGTAGGAGGACTGGGTCGATGACTTGCTTTCGGAGAGTTCATAAGCTGGAAGTCTGTCGATCCTCAAAGTCAGCGTAGCGCACACAACGTTTCAGATATTGCACTCACTCTTGAGCGTAGTCGATTTCCCTTCGTGCCACCATCATGTCAGATGTCGGTAGCTCGACCTGAAGCACAAACGACAATACTTGCCTGATTCACTTTGACCTTCATATCCGACGGCTCAGCGACCTCCGACAAATGATCGACAACGAGCTCACCCAGAAGCAAGACTTTGATGGGTTTCGGGCCCCTCTTCTCTGCCCTTTCCTGTGCCTTCAGCTCCTCGTCAATCATCTCCGATACCTTCCTCGCATCCTCTTCCGCGGACAGCCTCGCGCTGCGATCCTCCTCGTTCTCGTCTTCGGGTGGCCTCAGCGCCACATCGAGCGGGTCTGGCGGTGTCAAGACGCCCGACATCTTGTCGCCGTACGCCATTCGTCGTCCCCTGTCTCCTCTGGACCGTCGTCGCGCCCGGGGCAGAGAGGGCTCACTGCACGGTGAAAGTACGAGCGAAGGGAGGCGAGTTTACCGAAAACGACATAACGACAAGCGCTAGAGATATGGCGGAAAGCGCGGACAAGTCGCGCTTATCCTCGACCGTAGCGTGGTACCGCCGCCGGCAACGTTTGATTGGCAGTTGAGTACACGCGGCACCTATCCTAGTCTCAGGCCTGCACTCAGCTCGCATATGCATGTTCTCCCTAGCAACAGCGCGAGATCGCCATTCGTTGGCACGACTTCACGTCGACGCTCGTACAAGTCGAGCGTATACTGGCCTTCAATTCGCGATCGACGTACATCCCCGCGTCACCGAGCGGAACCTAACAGCAGCTGGGTCTTGCCGGTGTGGTTACTGCCGATGAACCGGAGTCTAACGGAGGCTAACCAAGTTTGCCTGGTCTCGAATGCGTACACCATAGCACAGCTCATATGTACGCTTTCGCAGAGTCGGGACGACAACCACTCCGGCTGTGGCCCATGCTTCGTGCGTTTTTACATCCACAGGCTGCAATTCAATGTCCTGAGAGTCCTCCCACCCTCATGAACGGAAGCAAAGAAGCTTCTTCGATTCTTCAGCAGACGCTCAGCAACGATTGATAAATTCTTCCGTCGTCGAGGAGGTTAAGTAACGTACGATGATTGCGATCTTCGTCGAGCGTACCCACGCGATCTGCAACGCGGACACCCCGGAGCGACGGCCGCATCATAAGCCATCATATGATAGTACAGTAAGTAATTTTGTGGACAACTACGCAGGTCGCTCTAGGTTGCCGCATCATCATGATCACGCATTTCGCATCTAACAGCCATCTAACAAAGGACCCCTGATAATACCCCTAACACATAGGTCGGAATCCGGACAAAAACTGGCCCTAGAGGCCGGTTTGGGCTGGTCAAAATCCGGACAAATCAGGTCCAAGATCGAAAATTGCTGGACGCGGATGTCGGACAAGAACAAGGTGGCTCTGGGTAGGCCGGTCGGGCATCCGGACATGGAGCCTGGGGGTGGAGCTCTGGGGCTCGGCGGGGTTAGGGTTCTGGGGCGGGAGATACTCCATTTCGGCACAGGCCGCACAGCTCAGACATTGAACGCCTAACATTAGACCTTAAGTAATAGATACATTGTATTGTCGAGATATCCTCATTAGGACTGTGACGACCAATGGACTGTGTGCGTCGAACATCTTCTAACGTCGTTCCATCAGGCATACAACACTGCTTCCTCACACTGCTGTCCAGCTTCTAGGTTCATTCTTGCCATTCCTGTTCGGAGATATGACACAAAACAATACCGTCGTTGATCTCACCACCGACGACCAGGTCTTCAATGCAAAGGACTGGATTGGCGTAGGCAAGACGTGGCCGCAGGATGTCCCTGGTTACCTACAGGAAGCACGGTCGAAAGTGTTTACTATACCTAGGGAATGGTCTGCTATTTTCCCTGAACATGATCTACCCGTTCTCGACTTCGTAGCATGGTCACTACCACCGGTATCATTCGACATTCGTTTCACCCATCCAGGGACCTGGTTCACACAAGACGTATCAAACACCGACGTGACCGTGCTCATGGAACGATCTCTCCCAAGTCGGGACTACGTCGAGAGCCTAGAGAAGGCATCTAATCAGGCGTGGTTGAATGGTGCGCAGTCAATGCACGACTTACGTTATAACGACCGCAGAGAGCGACTGCCCCTCTACACGTTGACCGCATGGCATGACCTGCTGGAGATCCGGGATGCTCAACAGTCCTGGAAGAGCTCCAGGAGTTGGCTCGCACACGTTCGCAAGGACCCGAGTCTAGCGGCTGGTGCTGTTGAGGCTGAGAAGCTTCTGCTGTCACTCAGCTGGGATAAACCGTGTTCAACGCCTCCCCGACTTGGAGCCAGGACTTGTCTAACAAGTACGCGCACCTTGAACCGCCTGCTGGATGATAAAGCGTGGATATCGGGGAGCCTGATGGATGCTATGATTGAGCACGTAAACCGTCGGCTGCAAGACAAGAGGGAGCTTGCCTTCGAAGTGCTCATAGCAAGTCATGTAGTCATGCAGCAACTCCGTCGCGCAGTTTCGCTGCATGATTATGGGCAGAAGAACGTACCCATGCTCGCACGTTTTGAGCAGCGCGTCAAGCTCGATCGATACGAGCGGTTATACCTACCTGTCTTCGTGCATAACTGTCACTGGATTGCGGTCGAAGTCAATTTCTCACAGAGCACGATTGCATATGGTACGTACAGTACCTCAGACACACTCTTGATCATGCTAATTGAGAGATTGCAGGTGATTCGTTACACGACATGCCAGCTCCAGATGCGGAGATTGAAGTAATTCAGCACTGGCTACGAGTACGCTTTGCATGGCTACGTTTCAAGGATCTGGGCAACTCGTTAGCGCACGGAAGACAACACGACAAGAACCAGTGCGGGATGTGCGCCGTCAACACCATCACGCATGCGGTATTTGGTGACAAGCTTTGGGAGAAATCACGAAGCTGTCTGGAGCGGTTGCTCTGGTTCAATAAGTTAGCGAGCCGACTGACAATCGTCAGTACTACATCATATGAATGAGAACAAACACTTACACGTAGAGACACACAGCTGCAAGACGCTAGTACAGAGCATCCCCTTGCCGTGGACGGCCTCCGAACGACACCTATGGCTACACCTCCTCACGGCGATGATCGTCGGCGAACCTCCGCGCTCTCGCTGTCAAGTATCCTCAACCCAGTGTTTCCATCCGATGTAGCACCCTCCGCACGCTCGTCAGACACACGCCCTCATGGCGATGATCTCCGGCAAAGCTCTGCGCTCTCACTGTCGAGTATCCTCAACCCGCTGTATCCATCCAACGTGGCACCCTCCGAACACTCGTCAGACACACACATTCCACCGTCTTTACTGCCACCCTTACCGTCTCCTCCGATTTCACCACCTGTGTCGGAAATCAGACGTTCGCCAACTCCCTCACCAGTACCACATACCGCACCGAACACCAAGCCCTCGTCGTCGGCATTCTTTTCGATCTTCCAACCGGATACTGAGGCTGCTTGTCGCACTTCGCGGTCTTCAAATAAGAGACAGGTGTCGGAACGATCGCCATCTTGTTCCCCCTCGGAAGGCACTGGCTCCTTCACGAAGAAGAGGAAGATGACAGAACGTTCGCCGTCTTGCACTCAGCCCAAGGAAGGGACTAGCCACTCTGCTGTCCATGAGCGCAAACAGCGGCGGGAGCTTGACGCAGGCACCTTGGCCGTTGACGCGAGAAAGCTGGCAACCTTCAGGAAAGGGATTCTGTTCATCGATCAGCGAGCAGAGTTCGATCGCAACGACATACGCATAGTCAGGTGTTCAAAATGCGGCAAGGAGCCCAAGATGAAGAGGCCTTACGAAGTGATGCGCTTCCGCGAGCATTATCGCCGCTGCAAAGGATCCACAAGGCGAAAGGGAACAGAGGCGGGAGGAATGTCAACGCTTGTTGCATTGGGCTGGACTGCAGCATCTTCCTCGACGTCGTCCCGCCCCCAACAGAAACAGATCCTCGCACAGCCACAGCGAAGCGAAGTGCCATGTCCAGGACTCACCAGCCATTACCACGCATTCATAGCCCAGTATCTTCACCGCACGGCGGTCCACGGAGGTGGTGCGCGATCCATTGTGGTGCTGGCGAAAGAGCGATATGGCAAGACGTATGCGCGACTGACGAAGAAGGAGAAGAACATCGTATTAGACGCGCAGGCGCTTGAGCATCGGTGGCGGAATGACCATGCGCGTGAGCGCGTGTTCTCTACGCAATGTAGCCGGTTTGTGGAGGTAGGCGTAGACGAAGAGCTATCGCCTTGCTTTTCGTGCCTACATCTACCTTCACTCGAGGCATTCGCACACGCAACGAAGAAGCCAGCGCCAGCAAACAAAGACTTCATCTTCGTCAATCATCGCTTCCGGGACCCGGTCTTGGGCGAGCTGTATGCTAAGGTTATAGGAGTGAAGGAGCTCATTGACGAGGCTCAGGTATGTGTGTACTTCTATTGCTCAGTGCCATGAGACGCTTATGCAGGTGACGGGTCATTTGTTAGCTTGATTCCTGTAGTCCGTTTGTACTGTACGCCAACGGTGTATTGAAGGGAAAGTTCAAGAGCGACAAAATCCTCTCAGGCCTCCTTGAAGCGTTCCTAATCCGGAACGACAAAGATTTCCGAGGCGTCGGCATGCAGAACTTCAAGTGGCCATCAGGGTATGACGAGTTCGTCAACCTCATTCGTTTCCACAGTCCAAGCGCATATCGGGTTGTGGCGCAGTACCTCCCTAGTCGTACCGATCGCAGCTACAAGTATGTCATGAGTTATATCGCTGTGTCGTTGTTCTCATGAATATTTAGGCATTGCGAGGCACGACAGCCTAAACTGCATATGGGAATCGGTGATCCAACCTTCAACGCCGTGGTTGATCAGCTGGCGATCTATGAGTACAGTGGCCCAGTTGGTCTTAGCTGCGACGACACGAAGCTTCTACCCGCCCTCAGGATTTACTGGGACTCTAAAGAGGCAAAATTCTTCCTCGTTGGCGGAGTTGAGGGGCGATTGCAGGTGACGGACCCGGACGCACTCGAGAAGTCAATAGATGATTGTGGGGCAACGCCTGGAGCGAAGGTATGTCGCTACAGAGCTACTACAGGATGATATCGTACTGACTCCACACAATACAACACAGCTTCGGCTCTGGTGTATCCAAGTCCCGTTACCCAAGATACCACCCATCGTTGTTGCGGCGATCGCAATAGCAAACGACATGAATGCAGACAACCTTGTTCCCCTCTCGGACAAGATTCTGCGCGGACTCATAGCCCGGGAAGTCCAGGTCGTATCGTACGCGTGTGACGGAACGGAGGTTGAGCGGTCTGTTCAACGCCTGCTAACAGACCGTGCAGAGGAGCGGCTGAAGTACGTCATCCCCAGCCCCGATGCAGACAGCTGCTTGGAACCACACGAGATCGTGATCCCCGTGATCGCTGGTCAGCCTGTTGTGATGATTCAAGACTCAAAGCATGGCGCGAAGACGTTTCGGAACAACGCCTACTCTGGCGCCCGCTTTCTCACTCTTGGGAACGTCTACTTCCTCTATCGCCACATCAGACAAGCAGCCCGAGGCAAGGATAGTCCACTCTACGAACGCGATGTTGAACGACTCGACCGGCAAGATGACAACGCTGCTGCACGTCTGTACTCGGCACAGTTCCTGCAGTATCTGGCAAATGAACACCCAGACTTCGTCGGCGAAATTCTCCTTCTATTCGTCTTTGGTGAACTCATCGACGGCTACCAAAATCGGTCAATCTCGCACCATGAGCGCATCAAGATGGCGCTCCGTACACGCTACTTCCTCGAGATGTGGAAATCGTACCTCAGCGCAACGGGCCACTCGCAGGTCAAGTACTTTATCTCTAGGGAGGCAACCGATATCATGCGCATGCTCGTAGACGGGCTGCTTGGCCTAATCTTCGTACACCGGGACCACGTTTCCATGGACCCCAAAAGCGAGTCTATGCACGGCTGCTTCCCTCTTCTTCCGTGGTATCATGCATCCGAACCATGCGAGCATGTCTTCGGTGAGAGCCGTCGACTTGTCAAGGACTTCACTATGTTGGACTTCTACTTCATGGTCCCGAAGCTGCGCTTGAAGATTCGTGAGGCTGTTTTCCGCGCCGAGATGTCCGATCCAAAGGCGCGCGCCAGTGGCTATAACCATACGTACTTCGATGTCCATGGACTCGACATGCATGCCCTAACGGTGTTCCCGACGGTGGCCGAAATTGGCTTCATTTCAAAACAGGTGTATGATGAGGCGTCATCGCTGATAGCACTGACTGGACTCTCGCCTAGTCAGCTTGTTCAGCCGGCAATCCCAAGCATCTCATCATGGTACACAGAACCTGCTGATGACGACGACAGCTCGGACATCGACATGTACGAATCAGGTGTCAAAGACGATGGTGGTGATATCTGGAAGATGCTAGGCCACGATGAAGAGGACGATATAGCCTGTAAGCGGCTGCCCAGCGAAGATGACGAGATGGTCTCCCTGAAGCTCGCGGCAATTTCGACTACTATCAGTGACGTGGTGAATGTGTACGTCAATTTCGTCTCTGTGTGCTGACACATGCTAATGCTTATGCTTGTTGGTGAAACACCATTTCAGTGCGGCGATGCCTGACATCGAGGACGATGTCGAGGCCGATGTATGTGCTGAAGAATACCGGGACATCCGTGAGGCAATCTACGCGGCATTGCCTCCTGTTGATCTCCCCGCAGAGAAGCAGAAGCCGCTCGGGCTGGGTCATATCCTCCCTGCTCAAGTCGACTTCAGCGCACTCGTAGAGCTTCGCAGGATCCACCAGACGCGACAGGCAGAGAAAGGTGTACGAGTGCGTTCAGCCATTCCTCGCACTACTGCCGCCGGCGACGAAGAGAAGGAGTCGATACGTCGTCAATTGATAAGACGCTTCACATCAGGAAAACGTGCAAAGTCTCTGACGGTGCCTGTCAGGGACTTCAGAAGCGCTCAGGACACTTCAGGTCGCTTCAGATTGCTCCAGTTGATCAGTGCTCAGGAACTCCAATTTTTGGAATATATTGTCGTCAGACAGGTCTGTCAGACAGCCTCAGACAGCTCAGACAGACCGTCAGGCGGCTCAGATTGTCAGATTAGTCAGTCAGGACATGCTCAACAAATATATTTTTGGGCGACGAATCACTACCACTGTACTGTACAACACTACATAGGCTCACGCGATCTACAGCACGCACGTCGAGGTATTATTGTTCAAGCACTGCTCCGCACGCGTCGCAGCCGTCTTTGCTGCGCTCGTGCTTGTTGGTCGCGCACAGCACACACGGGGGGGGGGGCGCTTACAACTTGCTTGACGGGGTCGTCTGTGGGATCGAGCGTCGACTTGGAGCGCACTCACCTGTGCTTCCGGCTCTGCGGGTGGCAACCTCGGTCCCTCTCAGCATACTCGTCCTCCAGAAATCTTCAGCGATGTGCTTGGCGCATCGCTGTAGCTTGTTGCGGCCGTATGCGCTTGTTATGCACCGTGTTGCTGTAGCAGCGCAGGCTCGGGTGGTCGCGCTGCGCCGCGGCCCATTCCTCCATTGCGACGTGCGTCGGGAGGCTCAGCGAGCAAAAGACACCCGGCGTGCGCGGATGCACGTCGCCATACGGGTTGATGCCTAGCTGCGTGAGCCGGTTCAGCGCACTCTAATCGAGTAGGTCCAACACGTGCCGGAGTTTGAGTTGGGGTGCGTCAAGGCCATTGCCCCAGTGCATCAGCACGCGTTCCTGTGTGCGCAGCCGGAGAGGTGGGTTGCGAAGACGAGCTGTAGGGAAGGGGATATCTCGGTCATCGAGGAGGGTTATGACATTGAGAGGAGGCGTACCCATGTGTGCATGAACAAGAGCCTCTACTACTGGTGCACCTGGGGCCGTACTATCTGGGGGACGGACGTAGTAAGACCGCGGGCTGTTGTCGAAGTGGATGGAGATGGTGCGGATCTTGTCCAATGCGCTAGATGCCATCGCAAAGAGTTGCTCCACGGACGCAGGCCGCCGGTCTCGGGATTATACTGGTAGCCCTCAAGCTGGCAGAACGTGCTGTTGCGCGGGTTGCCGATCAGGCCCAGCAGCTTCGAGCAGTGATGGGATCCTCAGGCGGTACATCAGCGAGCTCGGCGACGATGAGGCGCGCGAGCTTCTCGGAGGTGCCCGTGCTCGCAGCGCCGTGGACGTTCTCCTCGGAGGGCGCATACTGCGTGTAGGACCCGGCAATCGAGCAGGAGAGCAGTGGTGGTTGGCTCGCCAACGACGTAGAGCGGGACAGTCAACCAGTGCGCTGCAGGTCGTCATGAGCGTGTTTGCATGCCTGAGGTGACAGACGCGGATACTCACTTGTATCGCCCGGCCCCAAGGTCGCCTCCTCCCCGACGAGCTCGAGCACGACCATCTTATACACCTCGCACTCGTCACGACCGCCCCGCCGAACTCACCGCATTCTGAACCCACGACGATTGTCTCCTTCAGCTTGTGCATGCCACGCAATTGTGGGACGCGCGGCGGGTCGGTCCACGTGCCGACGTTTTTTGCGGATGGGCCCACGCGTATGTTCTCGAGGTAGGCGGCAAGAAGGCAATGGCGAAGCGAAGGTGAGACGGCGATGAGGGTGCTGAGGCCGAGTGAGTGTGGTGAGAGGAGGGTAGCAAGCGCGCGTTGGTGGCGTGTCGTGGCAGTCGTGGCTGACTCGGAGGCGCTTAGCACTTCAACTGCGCCTGCGAGTCGTGACTCACACTACAGCCTCCACCGTCAGTTCACTCCACCCACTCTACAGCTCGACGCTCAAGCCCGACGCTGCGAATAGCAACCTGCACTAAACACGACAGGGATGTGAGGGTGGCAGAGAGTCGAGACGGAGGAATGGGGGCACGGCGGGGATAATACAGGCAAGTGCGAATGCTCGATGTTTGTTTAGTGACCCCTTCTTTGCAGACAGACAAGTGAACGTAATGTTCGTTCACTCCTGACGCTCACTCGCGCACCCGAGCACCCTCGCGAGTATCCCATGGTGCCCGTTCCCGTTCGCAATCGGCGCGCAATGGGCATCTTCAAATCGTCCATCACCTCCGAGTTGCTCAATCCCTCCCTCAAGTGCGCCGTCTCTGCGCGTTGTGCGCATTCTGCGCACGCGTGGAACATCTTCCTCGACCGCTTCCTCTGCGGCACGCCCCATAGCCTCGACATGGTGGAGGCGGCGCCACGATGGACAAGTGGTACGCGTAGCTTTGGACGTACGAGCGCGGGTCGAGAACAAGTGCGGGGAGTGGGGACGGGCAGTAGGATATGCATGAATGCAAGACCACCAGGTAAGTTGCTGCCCAATTTGCTGTTTATGCCGCGCCGCTCCCCGCACTGTCTCGTAGCGTAGAGCGTCCTCGAGCGCGCTGCGCGTGGAGTTCACTTCGCCGGGCGTGCAGGCGAAAGACCGCAAGTGGCGGCGCGTGCTCTGCGTGCTCGAGGGTACCATGTTCAAGGTGTACAAGTGCCCGCCCAGCATCGCGGGTGTCAGCGCGATCGAGTCGTGGTGGGAAAAGAAGGTTGGCTTGGGCAACATCACTGTCGTGAACACGGGCGCAGTGACACAGTCGGGGATCAGGGTGAGTGCTGTCTGAGGACGTGCCGACAGTGAGCGGACGGGAAAGGAGGATACGGACCTCACGAGCCCAGATCCGAACGCGAGGGAGAGTGAGCCGCAACAGCAGATACCTCCACCGACGCAGTCGAAGCTCCGCCTGCCGGGGAGCCTTCTGCACCCCAATCAGTCGAATAATAACTCCAAAGGGAGCTCGACGCCAAGTCGTCTGAGCATGTCGAGCTGCCAGTCTAGTACCTCATCTCAGACGCAACGGCGCCGGAGTATGGAGCCCTCACAAGATGACCACTCATTGATACGTTGCGCGTGTGTCGAGCGACACGCCCTCTCGTTGGACAAGTTTTGTATCGTCGAACGCGACCTCCCCACGGAGTGCCACGTCCAACCAATCATCCGCAACCTCCCCGCCCGCGACTGAGCTGCGTGCAAGACCCACATCGGAAGCCAGCACTGCAGTGGTTCATGCACCCGAAATGCATGCTGTCATGCCCTTTGCCGCGCCCAAACTACCTTAGACATTTGTAATATTATGATTGTAGTAGCTCTGAATACATTGCATTTGCGCCGATTTACATGCAGGGGAGGCTTCCTGACAAGCTCTGTGATATCTGCTGTCTGATGTACTGTGCTCTCTGACACTGTCTGGGACTTTCTGAGGTCAAATGAAATGATCTGATGAACAGCCAAGTCTGGAGTCCCCTGAGGCCTCTGACGGTTGGCTCTCAGACACACATACCATCAGAGATTGCACGTTTTCCTGATGCAACGAGATCCTGAAGAATCAACAAGTAAGAAGCACGGCTGGTCAAGATCGCTTACAACGATGGTGCGAATCAGATGCAAAGGCCCTAACTGGCAATTCCTTGAACGCTGCGACTACGGCTGCAGCTTCAGCGAAGAAGGTCTGCCTGATTGTTTCGGACGATGGGTCTCATTTGCTGACACAAATGCATGCCAGATTTTGAAGAAACGTCAGCAGTGCTTCAAGAAAGCAGGTGTTGTGCACGCCGAGGACCTTGCACATGGTCAAGTGTCGGACCTGCGACCTTTGCAAGTTGGCGATTTCGGCATTGTGGTTGGAGAGGACGGTTCAATAGTGATTGCCGAAGGTGAGTCCCGTCATCATGATATAGCTCTGCTTTACTGATATCTACCTGTTGATCCTAGTCATCACGATCTATTCGAAGACTGGCGGTAAGAACGGCAAACATGCGCACGTCGATAATGCAGTCAATATTGGCGCGGTGTCAAATATTGCAGTACAGCTGTTCGAGTACAGCTTTAACACTCAATTCCGCGCACTTACGAAGGCGACCTCCGCCTTCCAGACGCATAATTTCGCGCTGTTACCATCAGTGCAGTTCCTGTGCCTTCTCCGCCACAAACCTCACTCAGCTTCGGGCCCATTCGGCGCGATCACCGTTGATATGCACGTACAAGATCTTCCTTTGTTCAGGGAGCTTCAAAGATCAAAGGCACAGATCCACGCAGCCCTCAAGCTGTTCAGGAAACGCGGTGCGAAAGGTAAATCAGCAGCTGAGGCCGACGAGGACGGTGTGGTGGAATGACTGAGGTTCTGGCACTCGTTCGTCATTGCGATGTACTCATAGACATGTCTGTTTGTCCACGACATTCACTGTAGTCTTCATTCAATCTATGTTCCGAATGCGCAAGTCAGTTGTGCCTGCGCGATAGGCGGCGGAGGCGAGGTCGGGCATAGGTAACATTGTATCATCCATTATAGACGTTCTGATGCCCTCAAACGATACTACTGGTACTGATTTGTGTCTGCAAAGCGAAATCCAGGTCGGGGGCGAATTTGGACGCTAAAACAGGCTAGAACAGAGAATCCGGACAAAAATCGACCCCAAACTAGGCCACTTTGAAAAGTCCGGACAAGAATCGCCGCTAGGCGGAACCTAGGTCAAATTTCGGACACAAAACGTCCAAAATTTGCGAAATCCGGTCGGACAAAAACTCGAGACCTGCCGACCTAGGCTTAAGAGGGATTATCAGGGGTCCTTCTAACAACTACTATAAAATTGACCGGTTGTCAGCTTGGCGCGGGATGGCATGAGGAGGTTGCCTTCGGTATTCAGTGAGTTCGCTTCCTTTCCCGCGGACGCAGGTTGAGCGGGGGCCCAGAGGTCCCGGTTCAAACGCTGTCTTCTTTTGGTCGAGTGCTAGAACTTCCTTTGGCAGGAGCGGTGAAGAAGTTCGGAAACGGCCACAGACTCGGACTTCTTCATCCTCCTGAGCTCATCGAAGAAACTACGTACTGTCATTCCGTGGCACCCCCATGACCCTCTGTCGTCTAGAATTCTGAACGTGGCTCTTCGTGCGTGCGTTCCATTGCCAGACGTGAACGTTTGAACGTCTGGCTCACCCCATCCGTCGGTCCGCTACTTAGCTAGGTGCCTCTCCATGGATGGCGCATCGCCCCGCCCTCGGTCAAGGACACTTTCAAATTTGCCTCACGATGCGGGCGCCGTGTACCCATCATTGTCAATTGTATGGTCCTCCGTGAAATCACCACCTCGTCTCAGTCTATGGTCTTGTTTCGGGGATGTGCCACTGTCTCGTGAGTCGTGCCAACAGCAGATCATATTCGGTTCCTCAAAGTCGACGTTGAGCAAAAGCCTATATACGCCTACTGAGAAGACATGTCACGGCGCGGTATTGACTGGGAATTGACGACTTCCTCGTTACGCTCTCTTTAATGGGACATATGATAATTGTTGTCCGTTCCTGATAGATTGAGCCATTGTATGAAGATCACTCTGAAGAGCAGAATGTCCTATTGGGCGAGTACAGTCGCGGCGACACATGAGTGACTGACAAATGGGGTTTGCATACCATATCGACTGACCCCTGAATGGTCCCGGGGTCGGCCTGGGAGACATAAAGTTTCTCCCTGAGACGAGTGAGTTCATCGCGCCAGTTGTTCTTTTGAGAGTTACTGGGCGACATGGAACCGACGTCACAGTTGGAAGATGAGTTCAGCTGATATGGTAGACGATGATTGAATACGGCACTCGAACACGATCTGCTGTTCACGACGTCAGGCGTCGGCCGAACTGCGAAGGACTGACTCCGAGGAGGAGGAGCTTGACCGTCAACGGCCGTCACGGTGCAAGCTTCAAGTTGGACGCGGCGGATATCGGTCCTCGTCACCTCGCAGATAAATTTGAAGCTCAAGAAAACGGCGCCGATTCTCTGTAGCGTGTCTCTCGCGTTAATCCGGAAGTAACTTAAAGATGCTCACATCCGAGTACGGGATGTACTTTCTGTAAGTTTCGTTGACGTCTGGAGACTGGCCGCGACGGCGGAGACGCTCAGAGGTGGCGACGAGGTGATTTTGGGACTCCGCCACCAGCATCGCTTGTTCTCCTCCCCAATCGCAGTCGTCGGGTCGGTGAGAGTGGAAGCCTGGCGTCGGGTCAGTCGTCTGGCCAAATGAGCGCGTCCTACTATCGCGAGCAGACCCACTTCTACCCGAGCGTTCATACCACCGTCTCCAACAATGTCGTACTACCCGATGACCACACACAGGCCGACATCGTTGCGCAAGACAGCCCACCGTCGCACCCAGCCGGCCCACCGCGATACTGCACCGTGAAGGGATGCACGGTCATTTTGTTGTCGGACTACCTGCATAAGATGTGCGAAGCCTGCAGAGGTCGCCATCGCGTCTATGCCATGACGAAACGCGCGAAGCGCAAGATGGAGAAGGCAGCGTTAGGATCGCATGGCGGACAACCCGTCATATGGATGCCACAAGACGACGCGATCGAGGACGAGGACGACGAAGGAGAGGCTCCTCAATCCTCACAGTCTGTCGAGGCCGAAGAACGTGCTGAAGTGAGTGATACGATGCCACTTGCCTATGGAGCTCTGAGCATAGTGATCGTTCAGACCGCGGAGACCTTCCGCTTTCCCCCCGAATCATGGGATCACAATGCCATCGACCCGACGTTGTTCTCGCAGGAGTCTGCGCTTGCTGGCGCACTGACTCTTCCGGGGTCGTCAAACCATTCCTTGCGAACTCGTAACATTGCCCGACAACAAGAAGCATTAGCCGATGCGGCTTTGAACTCCCCATACGCCCCGCTTGCGGATAACCCGACTTCCATGAATCTTCAGACCGGCATGCAGCTCCCTCTAGCGTCGTTGAGCCCAGCTATTTTTGATCGCCCGTCTGACGGACGAGATGAATCTGCCCCTCCTCGAATCTGTTCCATCAAAGGCTGCAAGGCCCACGTGCCCGGGAACTCTTTTTTCAAGATGTGTGAGCCATGCAGAGACCGATATCGCAACTATGGCATCACCAAACGCGCCAAATGGAAGCAGGAGAAGGAGGTCGCGGTCGCCGAGCTACAGAAAGTACACGGAGAGGAGGACGATCGCCCAGCGGAGGCAGGATTGTCCATGTCGGTCAGTCGCCCGCCTTGTTATATATCCTCGCCCCGTGTACTCATTTCCCTTATGCAGCCGCTGCTCAAGTCGACCGAGCCCGAATGGCACGAGTGGCAAACTGACGGGACAACCCGCATGCAGACGCCCCAAAGCGCGGACGGCGGCGCGGGCCCGAGTGCGCCCCGCCCCGCCCGGATGTGCACCGTCTCGCACTGTCGCGAGATTCTCCCGAGCGACTACCATTTCCTGCGGTGCGACCGGCACCGTCTGCAGAACAGGCACCACAGCAAGCTCAAGCGCGTGCGCGACAAGGAGGTCAAGGTCGCGGCGTTCAACCACTGGATGGCCTCCGTCGGTCACACCAACGGCAGCGAGCCTCCGCCGGCGCTCGTGCCCGACGACGGGTCCGACTCGGAGGAGGAGCACGGTCCCTCGTATGATAATGAGGGCACGCCCGGGACTGGGATACCCGCAACTGGCCTCCCGCCCGCTGCACGCGGCATGCGGCGGACGAACCATGTTTGCTCTATCAAAGTGTGCTTCAATCTGCTCGCACCGACGAATCCCTGGCGGATGTGCGATGCGTGCCGGGCGAGGGACCGAGCGCATCGAAGGGAAAAGGCACTGAGGGATAGTGGGGTTATTACGACGCCGCCACCACGGGCGCCTCGGAGATCAAGGACTGCTGATGGAGTTGATCAGGAGCAGGCCGGAGGTGACGGAGCAGCTGGCGACCTACCGAAGAAGAAAAAGAAGAAAAAGAAAAAGAAAAAGGCGGTCGAAGAAGCTCCCGCCGAGTCGCAGCCAGGCGGATCGGATCCTGCAAGTACGACGGTGCAGCAAGCGCCGGATGTAGAGGTGTCGGGCGAGCCGCAAGCGCCAGGTTTGGTGTTCATGGCACCTCTGTTGCCTCCTCAGGTATGCTCTGCGATGATCCTATTGAGGTGTTGTCTCACAGCTCTGTATGCTTGCTCCGCCCACCGCCTAGTCGTCATCTGCAGCAGTCACTGAACAAGCCCCTCCGTCAGAGATACCCGCAGATCCAACACTACCCGCGAACTCAACACCGCTTGCCGAGGTACTACCAACAACAGATGTACCTCCACCTGCGAGTTCACATCCAATGGCTGAGCCGATCGCAGCCCCTTTCCAGATCGTCTCGGCTGAAGAGATCGTCTCGAGGACTACACAAGCAGAGGCTACCGCGGCTGCACCCAAGAAGAAGCGGAAGGTGCACAAGAGCGCTGCAAGTGGCATGCCCTCTGCTCCCGGGCACGTCAACGCTGAGGCGTCGTCAAGCACCTCTGGCGTTCCTGCTGCACCGTTACCCCCGCCGCCTATCCAACCTGCCCCTCCGGCTGCCCACGAACCACTTCCGTTCCCCCCTCCGCCTCCATTCCCTATCGACGCACCCCCGCATGGGTACCCCCAGTACTACGCACAGCCGTACGGCATGCAACCGTACGGCGCCCAGCCTCCCCCATACCCATATAGCCACTATGGTCCGCATTACCAGTACCCTCCACCGCCCTACGCGTATCAATCGCCATACCCTGCGTACCCGCAGCCCTACCCATACGCACCCTTGCCACCTTATGGCCAACAACCTTACGGACCTCCACCGTACTCTGTGGCCGGGCCTCCGCCGCCGGTTCCCCCACCACCACAAGGAACATACTCGGTCTCGTCGGACTTCGTGTCGCGCACGGACTACGCGGCAGCGTCGCAGAGCGTCCACCAGCAGGGTGGGACGTCGTACGGGGGCCCGGCGGGCACCGCACCGCACTACGCAACGTTCTCCGCGAAGACCGGTGAGCCGCACAACAGGGTGTCGTCTGTGCCATCGGTGTTGCGGCGGAAGCGCCCCCTAGAGGGAGAGGGCATGTTCTATGCGGGCAAACAACCGGCGGCGAGTGCCAGTAGCTCAACTGAGCAGGGAGCTGCTCCGCCGGTGCCTGAGCGTCCTGCGGCTTCGGCTGCGCCTGAAAGCGATCCTCATCCCGAGGTCATCGCTAGTGCGTCGAACAGTGGAAGTGGCCCAATTGATGATGCAATGACCCAAGTGGTGCGTACCAGACGAGGGCGAGCTAAACTGACTGGCTGACTGGGTGGGTTTGCCTATGCAGGTGTGTGGCAACCAGAAGTGTCGGCGCCCGCTCTCTGCGACCCACCATGGCGGCCTTTGTGCGCGCTGCAGGGAGCGTCTGAAGAAGCGCTCGGAGAAGGCGAAGCATCGGTTCAGGCTCGAGCCGCGCAGACTCGTTGGCAAGGCCGGTGCGACTGCTGACGATCGTGGCTCTGTCGAGAGCAGCGAGCAGCATGTGCACGTCACTGAATTAGGAGCCGCGTTGGCTGCGTGATGTAGGCAACTGCATTTTCATTGCGACCAAGTCGCACAGTCGCTGTATGGCTGTATGACCTTTCTCATGTAAGCGGCTTCGCTGTTTGTTGTAGCATTTGGACCGAAATGCATGTGAGACCCCTTAGCTGTTATATAATACAGTCTCGTTAACCCAGTCATGACTTAACTTACTTGCATGTATGAGGAAGTTTCCGTTTTCGGTCGGGAATTGGGATCGACGCTGACGTCATGGCGACGTATCCAGAAAAGGAAGTTCAACTGATGGACCCATTTGGCGCGCGTCGTTCTTGTTCAGTTGCCACCACCATCATTGACCATCGCCGACTCTTCGCACTCTCCGTATAAACGGAGCTCATATGCAACCCAATAACGCAAACGTAAATAAGAACAAATCGAGGCCTTCTGTCCCGTGGACGAAGGGATACTTCGCGTTTCCGCCAACTGTAACTCCGGATGGCCGCGTCGTCTTCACCTTCGCGGTCAATGGCAAAACCGAGGATCCGCAAATCCTGCGCGAACGCGAGGAGAAGGCTGCGCGCGCTGCGGAAGCTGAGCGGCTGGAGCGTTTGAAGGAAGAGGCCTGGCAGGAGAGGCTCCGGCGCGACGCCCAGTTGCGCGAGGAGCGCCTAGCGCAGGAACGCGCCGAGGCTCTCATCGGCGAGATGGACTGGGTGCGCAAGGGCGGCTCCCTGCGCGATGCGAACGGCCGCCGCGACATGGTGCGCACGGAGCAGCTGCGCGCGCAGGTCCGGATGCTGGACGAGGAAGCGCGGCTCATGAACCTGTGGAGTGGCTACGAGACGCGTTGGCGTGCCATGCTGGCGGGAACGGGCCCCGTTACCTTCGCAAACGTGCCTTGGCCCCTTCCTGTGGCACTGAAGACTGTCGACGAGCTCGTCCCGGCTGCGTTAGAAGAGTTCCTGTTTGGGTCCTTGCGACTGAAGGATAACACGGTTACGAGGCGCGAGCGCATGCGTGCGTCCCTACTGCGATGGCACCCGGACAAGCTTTCCGTTCTCATGTCGAGGGTCGTCGAGGAGGATGAGGCCGTGGTCCGGGAAGGCATCCACACGGTGTTCCGTCACCTCAAGGCCATGCAAGACTCTGACAGGCGAAGTCCTGACAGTGCCGCTGGCAAGTCATAGAGTTCGACCATCGATGTGATTGTCGAACAGTCGTTTTCATCATGGATATGGTCCTGCAGATCTTCGGACCCCAATGTAGATTATGTATGTGTACAGCCCGTAGATATGTAGTCGCCCTTGTATCATTTACGCCGCCGTGTCCATAGTGTACTTCTTGCCCTGTATCATACAAAGTTCCGCCGCGTCAAACATATGCATGTAGTAGTCAACCTTCTCTCTGTCGCACCTCCGAAGTGCCCCTTGCCCGCAATTTGCATTGCGCTCTTATCCGACTGTTTGTATTGCAATCACGAGGATGCTTGAGCGCAGAAGTGAATTCAACTTCCAAATTCCAATATCAATGTGCGTTCCGAGTCAACGCAAGATATACAGATGCCATACAACCAGGATAAGTTAACGCAATCGACTACTATTAAGTACACGCAACAGCATGATTAGACCCAGACGATCGACCTACAAGTATGTATGCACAAGACATTCAAACCACCCCTACCAGCTACGTCTCGCGGTACAGTGGTCGCGTTGGTGGCGAGTGAGCGAATCCGCGCGTCCGATGACGCTGTGGCAGTCGTCGCATATCCTGGCCGTACTCTTGAGGTGCACAGACGCGACGTGCTTCGCGTAGCTGTTCATGTCGAGCGGACGCCCGCAAACACCGCCGTCGAACTCCCACCTGCAGAACCCCCGCGCGCCTCTCGCGCATTCAGCGCGGCTGAGGTGGTGATGGTCATACAGGTGACGCTTCACTCCCGACGGAGTGGTGTCGATCAGCACGGTGTTGCATCCGTCCCACCGGCAGATGGGTGGGACAGATGGCCCAGGGAACATCGCGGGTCCGGAGACGTTGGCGTAATGGTGGTCCTCGAAATACGCCTGGTGAGGCTCAGAGTACCCGCCTTGATAGGCCGGCATCGCCTCAATGTTGTAGGGAGTGGCCATCTGCAACGAGGGTGGGTGGGGCCAAGATGGCTGGTCGTCTATGTGCGCCGCATGATTGACCACACTCCCGTAATGGATGGGATCTGTGTCCCAGGACTCCCAAGTTGTTGACCTGTAAGGAATGAGTGGAATGAAGATGGTGCCCTTTGGAGCGTTTGCGGACAGTGTGACGTACGGTGGGTTAGTGGTAGAGACGGAGGCGCCATATCGTAGCCAATCATGGTCTCTGCCAGTTGTGCGCGATGAGTTTAGTTCGAACTGTGGCAACTTATAGAACGTACTGAGCGGCCGTGTATGCATTGGTGTCGAGAGTTGAATTGCCCGCTTGATCCACAGTGTTCACATCGCTGGAAAGTGAGATCGACGTGAGTTTTTCTCATGAAACAAGCGGAACGCCGAGAATGGATATGCAAACTCACTGCGTGAGATAGGTGTAACCATACCCCGTCGTCTGTCCGTACGACGTCGCACCATGACTAGAAGGACATAGCTGGATGAGAGACATATCGGACGTCTTAGGCCAGTGACTTACGAGTATAGTCTCGTACGATAGCCTGAAGTGGGTACGAGTGCCTCAGTCGGTGGGCTCCTGAAAACGAGTAGAAGAAGCCTTCAGGTCAATACCACGTTACAAGAAGCACATTGGCGCTTACCCTCGTCTGTAAGAGGGATCCAGCGGTCCGATATACGGTGCACGAATGTGCTCGTCTCCTGAATAGTCGAAAGCGAATTCGCGGCGAACTAGTGGCGCCGCTTCCTGTCGCATCGATTGGAATCCGCCACTGTCAGATGTGAAAGCATGGAAAGTGTCCGGACTGTGACTGCCTCTGTGCCGGGAATTCATGAGGACGATCGTGGTCGACGTGCCGCAGGGTGGAACGCGAGCCTTTTTGCGCGCGTCTGACGTGGAAATATGTGGGGAACCAGCATATATAGGACCTCAAGACGCTCGGTGGGATGCCCGTTCGTTCCACCGCCTACTCCGAAGGCTGGGCTGTCGATGAATATGTCAGGTGTGTTAGTTTGCCTCTTCTTTTGTGGTTGACCTGCGTGCGCTACTCCAAAGATGGTTGCGGGCTTATCGTGGCGAATCGCCTCGGACATCCATTTCCACCGTATTGCCATTCCGTAGCTCGCCCCGTCGCTTCACCCTCAGTGAAATTTTCAGTGGAAACGACACACGCTCACCTCAGTCCTTCGATCTTTCAGGAGCGAAACGTACAGACGCGACCGCACTATGACAGTTCTGAGTGGTCTGCGACACTTCTGAACCTGGCCTGTATCCCACCGCCCTGGATAAATCCCAGTTCTGTAGTGAACCAGTCCGGTTCGTGAAATCTAGCGGAAACTTTACAAATCGTTTAGTCCGTCAGTATGACACGCACACAGATATAGACATGCACGCACAGAATATGGGACGCATCATAGAGCGAATTCCGCAGTTAAGATGATACGGCACGTATTCTGTCCCGCTGTTTGCACCCGACATCATCCCCTGAGGTAGGGAAGGTAAAGAACAGTACCGTTGACGTCACTCACGACGGTGAAGCTGCTTCGTATCGGCACGACACTCTGCAAATCAGCACCACGCCGATAATTCTTGCAAGGTATCTCACCAATGATTTCGCGCGAGTCACCACGAAGACAGTGGTCGATGGAACCTGGGGCTTTGCAATGCTCCATGGTTCGCGCTGGAGCCAAGTCAGTGGAAGACACCAAGGAACCGCGCTGAACATCCAGAGTGCTTGCCAACTACTCGCCACCGTCTGTCGGTGCATATGCACATGGGATCATCGCGAATAGCGTATTGATTACGGGCAATGATAGTGGCTAGAAACCTTAGCATCACACAACGGGCTATGGCCGGATTATGACCGCCTACGCCCCATGACATCTCGCCACAGAGCCCTTATGGTGACGTCAGTCCGCAGCGTTCGTTAGGAGAAGGAATGGTATGACTCACCCGACAGGACATGACAACGGTGTCGCTGCGATTTACCAGCGCTCAGAACCGCACGACGTAAGCTTCCCGAAAGCGAGTACCCAGACGGCACAAACACGGCCAACTCGGGCAGCGGGATCGTGCCCTCTGTGAAAGGGACTCTGTGAAAGCAATACCATCAAAACTTATAACATTTTAACGGTCTGATGTCCTGGTTGTTGGTACTGACATACCGCACTGAGCTTGGGAGTTTTGCAGACAAACAGCAACTTTAGTACGTCGTTGATACATTGCCCCAACGTCCCGAGCGGCATAGAATGTGATGTAACCCAACTGCGACTCTGCAGCTAGCGATTTTAGGATCGTCGACGTCTGTCGACATTGCCAAAGGAAACGTCTGGTTGAAGGAGCGATATCAATACTTCCTCCCAGCAAGGCGGGTCAACGTTTATTCCATCTTACTGCTGCGCGCGTTGAGAACAAGAGACAATCCGCTTTCTTGCATTTTCAGGATGCTAGCAACGGGTGGTCGAGGAGGATCCAAGATTCACATTGATTAACTCACTAGATGCTTTCCCGCAGAGGTTGGCACCGTGTTGTCCTCATTTCACGCTTTGAATCTCTGCGGCACGTCAAATTGTCTCGGTTAAGTAGCACCCTTTCGAAGTCCGTTGACCCCTCCTGAACTTTATTTGTAAAAAGGGTCAGCGCGCCCCTTTCTAGGCTGAGAAACGTGAACATGCCGTCGAGGTCCGAATTCTCGCCCTCTTGTTGGCTCATGCAGCCATTCCTACGGCTGTTCATGACCGTCCAAAGCGCCATAGTGTTGCACCTTGCATCGTGAGGCTACGATTGAGCATCCCAGCCTTTCAGTCGTACCTGCAGGACGGCTACGCGCGCTGCATCCAACTCCCGCTGTGACTCCGAATCCTTCAGGAAGGTATCCACTCCGTGATGTGATCCACATGGTATCTGCAGATCATTGTGGTACCAAGGTGGCACCTGTACAACAACAACGTCACGGCGTGATCAGATCTAGAACAAACGAACGACTGATATGCCTCGAACATACTCACGACCTCAGGCCTCAGGTTTTAACAGCGATGTCAGCAATAACTCCTTGCATTGCTTCCACGGTATCGAGGGTCCCGTTAGGTGAGCCACGATGTCGCTGCTGCTCCGCGCCTCGCACATCTTGAGATCGGTGCGTGCGGCTTGCGTTCACTTGTCGAGCGCTCTGAAGTCGTTCATGATGAGATGGGCCCTGGACCCTGGTATCGACTGGTGAAGTTTCTTACCGAGATGACCAGTTTCATACGATGTTGTCGGAGTGGCCGCCTGATGGGCTGCCAACGCCAAGGCGTCGTCACTGTACACCGTCAGGAAAAATGTAGTGACCGTGATGAATAGACTGTTGAATAGGTCTTCAGTTGGGCAAAGGAGTCGCTCGATCCCGTCCTCCGGAGCTACATCTATCACAAGTACCGCAGATCTTGTTGTAGTGTCGAACGGTCACGTCCAGTTGCAATCAGAGCCTAAGACGTGGTCCTCAATCGTGAATAGTTGACTGATGACTTGTACGCAGCGAAATCGTGGTAAGAGAGCAGTACACAACGGAGGTGACAGTTCATTGCAGCACAGCGACCAGGAGTCTTCATGGATGTTCTCAAGTCGCAGTTGCACTTGAGGTGCGACGACCAAAGGGCCGAGTAACGACTCGGAATTGAATGAGAGTTAAAGTTCAGATCAGTTCGGCAATCTCCGGTGGCTCATGGGCACGCCACAGACTCGGACAGGGGGTCGGACAGGCTCTGTTCAACTTCGTACTACTACCAGTACTAGCTTTCGTGAGTCGAAGGATAGGTCGCGAGCCTAGCCTAAGTCTCTGCAGGTCTCCTCTGTATGAGTGGCGTTTTCGCGGGAAAATACGTACGATCGTCACTTGAAATTACTAGCTCTCACTTACCCTGGCATCGTAGTCGGTGGCTTCACTTGCTAGCAAGCCATACATTAATGTACTTACAATTTACGCTCGACCACTTAGACTTACCGTTCGTCGCTTAGACGTACATCATGGTTCGTGTGCTGTCCTACTCGTAAGTCTTAGGTCTCGCTCAATGAGACTTAGTCTCGCTGACATTGACTTAGTGTCACTTACTTAGACTTAGTGTCGTCCACTTGGACTTACTACTCATCGCTCAGACTCGTGTCGTAGTTGGTGCCATCACTTACTAGTGACCATTTAGTCTCGCCGACAAAAATTTAGTGTCGCTCACTTAGATTTAGTGTCGTTCGCTTAGACTTAGTGTCGTCCACTTGGACTTACAACTCCTTACTCAGACTCGTGTCGTAGTTGCTGCTAGTAAGCCTTAAGTCTCGCTGACATACACTTAGTGTTGCTCACTTAGACTTAGTGTCGTTCGCTTAGACTTAGTGTCGTCCACTTGGACTTACTACTCATTACTCAGATTGTGTCGTAGTTGCTGCTATTAAGCCTGAAGTCTCGCCGACATAGACTTAGTGATGCTCCCTTAGACTTAATGTTGTTCGCTTAGACTTAGACTCGTCCACTTGGACTTAGTATTCATCTCTCAGATTCGTGTCGTAGTTGCTCCTAGTAAGCCTCAATTCTCGCTGACATAGATCCAGTGTTGCTCACTTAGACCGAGTCTCGTCCACTTAGGCTTACTATTCGTCACTGAGGCTAGTGTCGTAGTCTGTGCCATCACTTACACTGACTCATGCGACCTACTCTGATATGTTATAAACTGTAGTCGATGACTGTATGCTACTCGAGCAATCTCCAGCCTGCAGTCATGGAGCCTTGTGACTATCTGTACTACTGGCTTCGATGACCATCACATTGCTCACTATTCATCGCGATTGAACCGGCTCAGTCATCTATGGCATCGATCGCGATAACACACCTACATTGTACTATCTGCTTCACCGGTGTTCAATTGCCGCTCCCACAATCGCTCAGTGTTATCATCGCTCTTTACTGCCCTTATACTTTGCTGGAAACATGGACTTGAGTGACGATAATACAGGAGCCGATTCGCACCCTCAGGGACAACAGCTCCTCACGGAATTCCGGTCACGATACCACCAGTACGTACGGAATGTTGAAGACATCACAACAACCTCGACAGATCCAATCGTCATATCTCGCCTCAGCGATGACCTGCTGCAGTTCAGTCAGCTCGTTGAGCAGGTGAGTGTCTAGGTGTCGATACCTATTCATCGCTCTGAAGCAGCCTATATTCGAAGCATACAGGTGTATTCGATGCCTCAGAGCTCACGATCATGCGGGAAAGTGTCGCTCTCCTTCGACACGATGTTCACCTTCTATATAACGATAGCCTCGACCAATCCCATCATGGACGGCCTGTCATATTGACCGAGGTCCACAGTGGCGGTCGTGGCCGTCCGAGGATCGTCATTGACCCGACTTGGCTACGCTGGGCCTATGGTCACAAATCAATCGCGGAAATTGCTCGTTTCTTGAATGTACACCGTTCTACTGTTCGTGCCGCCCTCCTCGAGTATGGCATCACCGAGGCCCGGTCAAATCCATTCTCTCGCCCGGGAGACAGCCAGTTCAACGGTGACCTGGACGATGGCAGCCAACGTGATGATGACGAGCCTGCTAATGCCAGAAATGAAGATGGCGACGAGGACGAGGACGATGGTAGCCGTTCCGAGTTGCCCGAGCATGCGGGGGAGAACATGTATGTATCCGAGACCACTCACATGTGGGCTCGACAACTGATTTCGATCCCCATTGTGTCAGGGAGTCTCAGGCTGGGACTGATATGCCTCAAGTCACATCCTATACCCGCCCTCTCACCGACATCAGTGATGATGATCTCGACGATGCTGTCCGCAATCTGCGCAGCCATTACCAACGTGCAGGGATCACCATGATGCTTGGCCTTTTGCGAGGAAATCTTGGAATTCACGTATCAAGAGAGAGGGTCAGGCAGTCACTGCTTCGAATTGACCCAGTCCGACGTGTTTTTGATCGTATCCGGATCGAGCGCCGCAAATATCAAGTCGCTGGGCCAAATGCTCTCTGGCATCATGATGGTCAACATGGTTTGTCAAGCTGTTGTAGTATGGTCAGTACTCATGACTTACTCACAAGCATCATTGCACAGGAATAATTCGCTGGCGTATCGTCATCCATGGGTTCATTGACGGCTACTCACGATTGATCGTTGGCCTACGTGCGAGCAACAACAACCGTGGTTCGACTGTCCTTGATCTGTTCCTGAATGCATGCGGAGTCTATGGCGTGCCATCACGGCTTCGGGGAGATCATGGCACAGAAAACATTGAGACTGCATGCTGGATGTACGACAACATGGGTGCCGGACGAGGCTCATACATATGGGGACGGTAAGCCATACAGTTCAGACCCTATAACCATCTGAAACTTCATACAGGAGTGTTCATAATGTTCGAATCGAGCGGCTCTGGGTTGACGTCACAGCACAAGTAACGTCCAAATGGGCCACGTTCTTCACCGACCTCGAGCTGCGACATGGGCTGAACATCAATGATATGGACCACATCCACCTCCTACACTTTCTCTTCCTTCCCATGATCAATGCTGAGCTTGTAGGCTTTGCCTCGGGCTGGAACCACCACACGATTTCTGGGATCAACCGGACACCTTCCGACCTGTTCGGATGGGATATGTATGTCCACGGTGTTCGTGGTGGCCAACTTGCTTCGGACAGTGAGCGACCACTGTCAGAACAAGAGCTTGAGGATTATGGGGTCGATTTCGAGGGCCTCGCAGACGATGCCCTACTGGAGTCGCGCGAGGCGAACAATCCTCAGGCAGAGGATGTGTCATCCTTCCTCGGTCGCATACCCCCTCCCGATCGTCTCAACACCATCACTGTCGAGACCGAAGACCTGGACTTGCCAGGGGAGATGATACAGGGTTTACAGCAGCTGAAGGACAGAGTACATGACCAGGCTGACGACGAGACTCTCATAGGACTATGGACTGCATCACTTGTTCTCATGTCTACATACTTTGAAAATGGGAGCCTGTAGCCGAGGATTGAATATGCTCGATATGATCGCAGTACCGTACAGTACCATACAATAGCGCTATTAGTCATATACTATGCATATGGACAAGAGGTGGGTCAACTGTTCGGAAATTCAGGACGAGAAGGGGGACGGAATGCACTACGAGCTGCACTTCACCGACGACGGAACGACAGCAGAAGCTGACATTGTCATTGGGGCGGATGGTATCACGTTAGCGGTACGCACGACACCGCTGATCGACAGGACTTATTACAGAAAGCGACTGTGAACACTGTTTGAGACACATTACCACGACACCGAAGCGAACGGGTATCATCACTTACTCTTACTATCGAGCTATCGAGCTATCATACCGACCGACCAGTAGAGACTCAGGGCAGTCAATCCTGAGCATCAAGGCTTTCGGTACACAGTAGGCATGAGTTCACATATATATACAGATGTTCGACAGTAGACCACTTACCATAGAATGCTCGACTACCTGACGACATTGTGCCAGACACCAGTATTCTGGGAAGTCAAAGGCGATGGAATCTCATCTTGTGCCACTCGTCATCATTGGTGCCTCGGCCACCTCGACCACCTCGAGCAGGTCGGCATCCGTGTCCGCATCTGCGTCAACCTCTGCGTCGGCATCTCTGTCAGATGTACTCTTAATTACTATCATGAAGTCGCGTAGCTCCGCCTCGATCGTTTCTGGCTTCAGCAACAGTCGGTCGTTGGCCAACTTGTAGATCTGTCTGCGGGTAGCGCCTCTAAACAGCGTTGAGAGCGGCCTCCGTACAGGGAGCCTACAGATGACGTTGGACGATACCCCACAATGTAATTCAAACAGACGCACTCTCAAATCAGCACCACCATAACCCTTCGTGAGCTTCGCCAGGCCCTGGACGTCAGTCTCGCCTGTCTCGCCCTCCCAGCCAGCCCACTTCTTCGTCATGATCCGCAGGATACGCTCAAGAGCCTCAGAGCTAGGCAGTGGGAAGTAGAACTCTCGATCGAACCTGCCCGGTCTCCGCAACGCAGGATCAATAGCATCAGGCCGGTTCGTCGCGCCGGTCACGATGACCTGCCCTCGGCCGTCCGTACCGTCCATGAACACCAACAGCCTCGACACGATCGACGCGTGAATTTGGTCCTGCTTGGACGAGCACACAGGCGCGAGGCCGTCAATCTCGTCGAAGATTTTGCATGGCCGTCGAGGCGCGTAATGCGACTCCTCCTCCTCCTCCTAGTCTTTGGCACCGTCCGCTTCTTTCGCGGGCGAGGAAGGGCGGTCTGGATCAAGCACTAGGTCGTCTTCGCTCCCTGATTCTCGGTATGACCTGCGGATGACCTTCGCGTGACCCTGTATTCGGGCTGCAGCGGCTTGGGCTTATCCTCGTCTACTGGCACTGGTTCTTCGTCCACGTCCATGGATGCATTGCTCTCGTGATACTCTGATCCCGACGCAACGGATTCAGACTGCGCGCGGGCTGCCGAGCGTGTACTGGGTGGCATGAACAACGTCTTGAGGGGTATCTTGATCTTCAAGGGCTGGCTGTGGTTGGAGGTGGTACTGTGAGTGGCGAGGCCGTTCGGCGCAGTAGAGTCGAGACACCACCATTGCCGGGAGAGCAGCCGCCGCCGCCGCCCGGACCTGGGAAGGAAGTGAGCTCGCAATCCACGCGCTCCTCGGGATCACACACCGCACCGCAGGCTCGTACAGCCCCGCACGCGAGTTCCTCGTCGACGCGCACGCGCAGCACGCACAGGTGAAGGTGAGCACGTGGGTCGGGGGCGTCGCGCTCCTAGAGCTCACGGTGCTCGCACTTAAGGAGGCGCAGGCGCGCACGAAGGGCGTACCTGGCGTCGATGCGGCGCACGCAGACGTGCGCAAGGAGGAGCTGGCGAGGCGGAGAAGCGGGGCGTCTGGGAGGGCGCGATGAAGGAGGCGGAGGGAGGGCTCGAGGACGCGCTTGCGCGTAAGTTGTTCATGTGGGAGGGCAGAGAGCCGCGGCGCGAGAGAGGGAGTGCGGCACGGCGAGGTAACCGCGGCCGATGGGCGATTGGGAGCGGTGGAGCGTGCGGCGTGCACGGGGACGGGGACGAGCTGGCTACCGCCGTCCGCAACTACGCGAGAGAAGGACATTCAGGCGAGCGTCGGCGGCGAGGTAGTGGTTCAGCTCGGTCCAGGCATCCCGGATGACGCGCAGACGCGCCTCTGCATCGTCGCGGGCGACCTTGGTACGTTCCACGCGTGCCTTGGCGTCGAGGATCGCCTTGACGGCAGCGTCGGGGAATGGCCGGAGCTGGCCACTGGAAGGGGTGGCATGGGTGGCCCACGAGGGTCGCTTCCGAATTGGCTCGTCCTCCGAGTTGCAATCACCTGCAGGTATGAATATAGTGTCCACATCTGCTAGTGCGTTCTCGTTGCTTGCATTCTGTCACGTCCGCTGCTCGCCATCTGGCCGCCGCTGCCCCTTCCATGTTCTCGCCCTTGTCGCTTGCGTTCTGCCGGTGATCATCCTGAGAGGCGACCTGTGCACACACATTCCGCGCGTCGATAACTTGTTTGAGGCGTCGGGTGAACAGGCGCGATCCGCTGCACAGACATGGCTCGTGTCACTAGAACGCGATCGGCTAGAAGGGATGCGAGTGGTCGCGATGGGCCGGCGATGAGCTGGTTCGGCGCGTGGCGTGGTGCCTGCACAATGCAAAGCACGTCTTCGGGCGGGCACGTTCGTGATTGTGCAGCTCTTTGTGGCTGGCGAGAGACACCAGGGGGGCCGTGGGTGAGGAGCTGAGCGAACGCGGCGAATATACCATGCAGAATATGTTGCTGCGCCACGTCCGGTGCACGACGCCGTGTCGAGCTGCCCCACATAGCTCCCCATAAGTCCCCGGTATATGGTCGGATGGTCTTCCACAACGTGAACGAGGCGTGAGGTGGCTACCCTTGCACTCCTGGGCACAGAGATCGTGTAGACCGAGTTACACAGCGTGCTCGCCAAATCATGTTTTGAGACGTACCTTTGACACTAACTCTACTTCGCCCCACGCACGCCGACCTACGCGTTCAATGGAGCGTCCGCCGCCCTTACGAGCGCACCTTGGTCGATGTGCAATGAGGTGGTGTGACACCGTGCGAGTGGCAGCTGTGAGACGATGGCGTCCAGGAGGCCCGTCCGACACGGAAACCCATGTTCAGTGGTGTGTCGGCCTCGTCCAGGATAAGCTACAACGCAGGGTACGTTGTAATCACTGATGCCGAGCGAAGGACGCGCGGAGTATCACGCACCCGGCCATGTTAGTCCGCTTCAACGCCTCACGAACATCGAGCTCGTTCTCCAACACATTCCGGACACGACCTGGACCCCTGGGTATAGTGGTGTGTTGCCTTTGTGGATGTCGCAGCAGACGGGATTGATGCGGATGTATGAGCGCCAGGCGAAGCGCAGGACGAGGCGCGTTGGGGTGGCCGGACTGGCGGTGTAAGAGCCCGCCTGGCACGCTGGTGTGCATTGAGCGGCGCGTGTCGGTGTGACAGGCCGTGAGTGTGCGTGGTCTTGCGCACAGCGAGATTGAGCGTTGCAAATGGGGGGCACAAGACGGGGGAGGATAGCTGCGGCTGGTGGGACTACGGCTGCGGCTGGTGGGGACGGGTACTTACCTCGTTATAGCTCTGTCGGCCCCTCTGTCCCTCCCTGCCTCCTGTGTCCTCCTCGAGGCTCCAGCGTCGCGGGAGCCCGTTACGGCTGCTTGAGGCGCGGTGCTGCAGCACGCGCCGGCCATACGAAGCGGACGCGATTGCGCGTCCCCTGTGCTACGTCACGGGACCGTCTCTTGCTGATGGACCCGCGGGCAGTGTTGTCGAGGGTACGGGTGTGTCGGCGGGCGAGAGGGAGCGGTGGGAGGGCGGTGGGAAGGTCGCGCAGAGCCGGATAGGGGAGGTCGCCGGGCGCTGCGGGTCGTGCGCTCGGTGCGTTTGCACTTACTGTATCTGGTAGTAAGCCCGGGCCTGAGCCGCCGCTGGGCCGGGCTTGGGCTTGTCAGCCCGGCCTACGACATCACTAACCTGGATCGCCCGCCGATGGTTGTGCTTGAGGTCGTAAGGCGCGCTCTGGTGACGACGCGCAGACATGGTGTCATGCGCGTCCGCGCCCGCGCCCAACGGCGTTGGTCCATGTCGCGGTGCTCGGGGTGGCGGTTTGTGACATTACGGGGGTGGGATGCGAGTGCTCGCCGTGGGCGATGTAACGGTCCGGCGGGTGCGCACAACACAGCACAAAGCACGGCTTCGGCCATATCCGCACGTCTTCGCGTAGCTGACGAAAGGCACCAGGGGGGCGGCAGGAGGCGAGCTGGGCACATGAGAGATGTTCGAGCCGCGAACTACCGTACAGCATGTCTTGCCGTGACACGTCCGGTGCATGAAACTACGTCGAGCCTCCCAGCATAGCTCCTCGCATGTCTCCAGTATACACACAGCGTGGTCCGACGGTGTTCCGCGACGTGAGCAAGGCGTGAGACGGCTGCCTCTGGGATGGTGGGCGCCGAGGTCGTGTAGGGCGAGTTAGACAGTGTGCATGGCACATCACGTTATGGGACATACATTGTCGAGTCTATACCGTCCTCCGACAAAGTTGACGAGAGGCGCGAGAAGGATGCCGGTGGCTGTCGGTGCAAGCGAGAGCGGTTGCGGGCGCTGTTGGCTGGGCCGCACAGAACATCGCCGCGTTCAAGCGCGGCGTGGACGATTGCTGCAAGGGGCGGTGAGTCAGCGAATGAGAGTGCGGGCGACCTATGGGGACAATCGTCGCCAGTCGTCGCCTCGAGGATCTTTGACACTCATAGAGCTCTTGTGGCTGCGGCTGCGGGAGTGTGGCGAGCGACCGCGCCTGCGAGCGTGCCGCTCATGGTGGGTCGGACGACCAGACGCGTCGACGTAATGGATTTGGACCGAGTCGTCGCGGTTACGATGGTGAGCGTGGTAGGAAGGAGCGGCCTGGCTAGAGGTGCTGTGATACGGATGAAGGGCCGGGACACTCGCACTGCCAGAAGTGCTGCAGAGGGACGAGGCCGGGGTCGTGACAACCGTTCATGTAGCCATACCAGGGAGAGGTGGAAGGCTGGAGGAACATCCTCGTCAGGTTCGACGCACTCGCTAATATCTTCATCGTCTTCAGGCTGTCCGTCGACGTCGTGCGCACCTGATGCGGGCGCATCCGCGGGGCTGAGACCGGGCTGCATATCGGGGACGGCGGCCCGTCGACGTGGCATGCGACAGCGTGCGCGTCGTACCCGCGTACGGCACAGAGGGCGACGTCGGCGGCGCGTACGCGTACGCCGAGGGCTGGGCATGGGATGACGAAGATGCCGTGTGGATGCTCGCCGTGCGCGCGCCCTCAGTAGCCTTGGCGGCCTCGCTCGCCCAGTGGACCGTATTCAACCGCGTCGGCGTGGGAGGCGGAGGGATGACGGGTGCGGGGGAGTGCAGGTGAATGCTCTTGATCGTTGGATCATGCAGGATTTGATGCAGCTGTGCGCGCCGGCGCACTTGCCGCTCCTCCTCAGACATCTCCTGGCAGTTCACGTACCTCCGGGACGTCAGGTTCCGCCGAATCCGCTGTCCTTGCTGTCCTGGGCCTCGCGCCGCTCGTGGATGGCCGTGTGGAGGTTGTGCATGCCTGGGGACGTTGAGCAGCCCGCCATGTGCACGTCGATGAGGCTCCGCGGGAGCGAGCGCGCCATCGGGTCCTCGTACCTGAGGCGCGACGAGCCGGCGCGGTGCAAGCCGTTCTTAATGGGGATCGCCTTCGCACTGCGGTTGCGCACGCCCTCGTCCTCGCTGTCGGGGATGTCGTCGCTGAGCGCACGGAAGGTCTCCGACGTGAGCGGCGGGATCGGCTGCGTCTGCGCGACGGGCGAGACGTGGAAGATGTTCTCTCTCCCGCCCATGTCGATCTTGAGCGAGTTGGTAGGCTCCGGCCGCTCGTCGGCTCTCTCGTGCACGATGACCATGTCTTCTTGCGGAGGAGAGGTCTGAGGGCTCGGGCGGCTGCTGATGTCGTAGCGGGGAGGCATCGGGAGAGGATTTTGGTGATTACACTCGCACTCCCGGACCGCCTCAGTGAGTCGCTTGCACTCGTTCGAATTAGTGGGAATGTCGTCTCCAGGACAAACAAACCACGTACCCAGTCCAGTTGCGGTCAAGCTTCGTGAGTTACTCCCCAAGCTCTACCTCGGCATTCTTGAATTCCTGGCGGTCATGATCACGTAACCGCTGGAGCTCCGAGGCCAGCGTGGTAACCTTCGAGACTGCAGGAACGCTGCCGGAACGTGGCCTCACGCAGCTAGTAGCATTGGGGAGGGGAGGTGGGAGAAGAGAGGGAAAGGGCAGGCGGTGGCTGCTCGAATTGGTGCGAGGAGGCAGTGACTTCGTCGGGGTAGGATGTGTTGGTGGGGTGGCTGGGAGAACGGATAGCCAGACGAGTAGCCTGTGGCATGCACGAAGACGAGGACGAGCTGGCCATCGCCGTCCGCGGCTATGCGAGAGAAGGACATGCGGGCATCGGCGGCACGGACCTCGATGGTGTTGAATTGGAGATAGTGGCTGAGCTCCGTCCAGGCGTCACGGTCCTGGATGACGCGGAGACGCGCCTCTGCGTCGTCGCGGGCGACCTCTGCGCGTTCGACGCGTGCCTCGGCGTCGAGGATGGCCTTGACGGTGTGTCGCACGGCAGCTTCATCAACTGGATCGGTTTCAAGACGAGGCCAGAGATGGAGGGCACCGTCTACGAGGGCAAGTGGGCCGAAGAGGTTCCAAAGGAAGAGATCCTGGAGCTGTTTGAAGGCTGGGAGAAGGAAGTCCAGGATATGGCGCAGGTACGTGGAATGCCTCAACGGAGAACCGCTGTCTGACGCACGCGCTCAGTGCGTCGACACACCTACCCGCTGGGTAATCAACATGATCTCGGATTTGCCCTTCTCGGTACGCGGACGCGCAGCCTTGCTCGGTGATGCGGTATGTGTTCTGTGACCTACCACTCCCGAGACGGTCGGTGAACAGCGCCTAGGTGCACGCAATGGAGACGCATCTCGGGGCCGGCGCAGGACAAAGCATCGAAGTACGTCCGATGGTGCTACTGTAGCAGCATAGCCTAACGACGCACCTACAGGACGCATACATCCTCGGAAGACTGCTCGCCCATCCCTTGACGACACTCGACCGCGTCCACGAGGTCCTCCGGATTTACCAAAGCGTCCGGCTGCCGTTCGCCAACACGATCTTCAAGTACGCTCGAGAGACGGGTCGGATGTGTGAATTCAACTGGCCGGGCCAGTACGACGGGAGCGACTGCTCCAACGAGCGCGAGCAGCTGGATAAGTTGGGCAAGTCGATCTACCGAAACTGGCAGTGGCAGTGGCGCGAGTCGTTTGACGAGCAGTGGGATGTGGCGGAATGGGCTATCGAGCTGTTCCAGCACACCGACGCGCAGAGAGTGCAGGCGCAATGATGATCGGAGTACTTTGAATTGATCAACACTCGACAGCGTAGAATGTAGAATACTCACCGATGGGTGAGCCGTGATGGATATGCTTGCTGCGTTCCTTGAGGCTTGACACTCCGAGCACTGCACGAATGCGAACGACAGCACAATAACATCAGAACAATCTAACTACTACTTCATACAGCACGACACGCGGGATTAATGTTACATAGCAGCGGCGACAAAGTTCGTGAGTTCATGCAAGCAACTGAACACGGTATACCAAAAACGACTATTTACATTTCTTCCTTCTTGAGCCACTCGTCATCGTTAGAGTTGTTCGCCTCGGCGGCGTCGACGGCCTCGAGCAGGTCGGCATCCGCGTCCGCATCTGCGTCGACCTCCGCGTCGGCGTCAGCGTCCGCATCGGCATCAGCATCACCATCTGCATCCATGTCCTCGGAGCGTGAGCCGCCACCGCTCGCGCGCGAGGCGTCAGAGCCTCTCGGGGATCCTCTGGCGGACGCGGCGGCGCCGTTCGTAACACCGTTCAGGGGCGGCGTGTTGCTCAGTGAGCTGCTGCGGTCGGTCGACCGGTGGTTGCTCTGCAGCACCCGTCCGGCGGGGCTCTGCGCACGGGAACCCTTGGGCCGTGAGACGCGGTCTCGTTCCATCTCGTAAGCGTCGTCGTCGTCGCCAACGGATGCACCGGGCAGCGTGGCGATGTACGGCGGGGTCGGCGGCGATCGTTGGGATCCCAAGTGGCCGGAGGGCGGCGACGTCGGTTGCGTCCTTGCTTCCTCACGATCCCGTTCGTGGTCCCTCTCATGGCGTGAGTACGGCGACGTCATGGACGAGGCGAGACCGAGGTGTCGCGAGGATTGCGAATGCGGGTAGGAGTGGTTGACAGGGAGGGTATCCGAGCAGTGGAGAGAGCAATCAGGGCCGGGGCCGTGCCCATTGAGGGTGCTGTGGTGGTGGGAGGACGGGTGGATTGCCGCGGGTGGCTGGTGATGGTGGGAAAGGCCCATGGCGAGTTGTCCGTCCATGGTGCCGCGCCGCTCGACGCGCTTCATCTTTTTTCGGCAGCTGTGGATCGCGCGCTGTCAGCTACGCTCGCGGTGGGAAGGCACGAGGAGATGGTCTCACCGGTCGCACACTGTCCCCGGGCCTTCGGGCCCTGGACCCCACTTCTCGACGCATTTGCCTTCCTTGTACCGCCCTGGCAGGCCGCACTGGCGGCAGATGCGTTGACCGGATGCGTTCGTAGGCGGGAAGCCGCCACCGCCCATGACCGAGGGTCCTGAGATGACGGAGCCGTTGGGACCTGCAAATAAGCCTGCTCGTCAGCACGGAGGGACGCGGCGGTACGACAGTGATCAGTACATACCCAATGTAAGGACGCTTCCATTGGGCCCGAGGCTTCCAGAGCTCGCTGCGCCGGACAACTTGCTCTTCTTGACGGGCGCTCCAGTGACTGGCGGCGCAAAGATGTGTGTCTGGTAGGTCTGCATCTGGCCAGGGGCGCCGAGGGGGCCGTTTACGCTGGGATGGCCTGGGATCGGCGAGACACCGCCACTGCCAGGAGAGCCGCTGCTGCCGCCTGGACCTGGGAAGGAAGGGGATGGGTAAAGTTGTTCGTGGGTGAGGGCAGAGAGCCGCGACGCACCTCGAGAGCGGGAGTGCGGCACGGCGAGGTATTCGCGGCCCATGGGCGACTGGGAGCGGTGGCGCACGCGCGGCATGGACATTTGCTGCGAGGGGTGGTGAGTGAGCGACTGAGAGTGCGGACGACCTATGGGGACGCCCTGTCGCTCATGGTCGTCGCCGGTCGTGGCCTCGAGGATCATCTCGTCGACGCTCATGGAGCTCTCGCGCTGCGGCTGCGCGAGTGTGGCGAGCGACCGCGGCGGCAAGCGTGCCGCGCATGGTGGGTCGGACGCCCGGACGCGTCGACGTAATGGATTTGGACCGAGTCGTCGCGGTCAGGGTGGTGGGCGCGGTAGGAAGGGGCGGGCTGGCTCGAGGCGCCGTAGTACGGGTGAAGGGCCGGGACACTCGCACTGCCAGAGTGCTGCAGAGGGACGAGGCCGGGGTCGTGACGGCCGTTCACGTAGGCATACCGGGGAGAGGCGGAAGGCTGGATGGGTTGTCAGACGGCGACGGAGAGGGAGACGCGAGGGGTGCTCACCGATACACTGTACTGCCGCGTGCGGTCAGTCTGCTCACGCTCGCTGCGGATGCGCTTTGCCGGGGGAGGGCCACCGGGGCCAGTGAGGCTAGCGTGGTAGGCTTCGAGGCTGCCGGAACGTGGCCTCACGCGGCTGGTGGAGTTGGGGAGGGGAGGCGGAGGGAGAGAGGGAAAGGGCGGGCGGTGGGTGCTGGAGTTGGTGCGAGGCGGGAGCGACCTCATGGGGGGTAGGGTGTGGTGGTGGGATGGGTGGGAGGACGGGTGGCCGGACGAGGGGCCTGCGGCGTGGACGGGGATGAGGACGAGCTGGCCGCCGCCGTCCGCGACGATGCGGGAGAAGGACATGCGGGCGTCGGCAGCACGGACCTCGATGGTGTTGAGGTAGTGGTTGAGCTCCGTCCAGGCGTCCTGGATGACGCGGAGACGCGCCTCTGCGTCGTCGCGGGCGACCTCTGCGCGTTCGACGCGTGCCTCGGCATCGAGGATCGGCGCCTTGACGGCAGTGTTGGGGAAAGGATGGGGCTGGCCACTGGAAGGGGTGGGATGGGCGGCTCACGGCGAGCGTCGCTGGGCTCGTCCAGGCTTGTGGTACCTGTCATGCACCGAGCCTGTACACCGCCGTAATGGGCCAGTGGCCTTGTCAATGGTCATACCCACGGATATTGGCACATAATATGTCGTATCCGCGTCCAGCCCGCCCTTCAATATTCAATGCTGGGGATGCCACTCCTCCGGCGGTGGAGGAGGAGGAGGGGGGACCATTTAGCCACCGGCCGATAGCGCACGCGCGTCTCGACTTCTTGACGGGGTCGTCGATCGGGTGGGAAAGCAAGATCGGGCGCTAAACAGGCTTGCGCGCGTCGCTCAACTTCAATCGCAGCTTGATCACAGCTCGCTCTGCTGTCCGAAGTCATTGCTACAATGCCCCGGGCTAAGAACAATGCTGATTCAAGGAATAACAACAGTAATCATGTAGCTCCTGGCATCTATGAGCCTGTACATACTGAACTTGTCTTTTCAGTGATGGTACTGCAGTATCTCACCTCTGAAGAGGTTCTGCAGCAGCTCAGCAACTTAGAGCCTCACGATACGGATGATGAGTCGCCTGTCCTGCAGAACCTTGTGGACAAGGTCATAGGGTATCGTCCGTCCCTGGAACAGAAGTCTAGTAACCGGACTGAAGTGAGTCCTCTGCTCATCTACATGGTGTAAATTTGATTCAATTGTCCGATAGATCATAGATCATGTCATCAACCATGCAATTCAATTGCTGTCTAAAGAGCAAGAGCAAGGACATGACAGCTACCTGGCTCTATTTAGAGAGCTACAGAGCAAGCGCCAGGTATATATGTCCCAAGGGACTGCATCTCACTGGCAGAAACGGGCTCTGGTGAGACATCATAGGTCTTACAGAGTTCATTGGAGTGTACATGCTAAGTGCTCTCACTTTTTCAGATCACCATGCTTGGGCTTAACAGTAATGGGCCCTCAATCTCTGACTTGATGGCTGGTCATGCCCTCCCTACGGTCATCCGCAGCCGTGGGCCTACACAGATGACCCGCTATCAATGGATGTCAGAACGCAAGCGCAAAGAACATGTGCTTGTCAAGGAGTCTACAGGCTATTATGTTGTACCACCTGATAAATCTGTTATTTTCTTGTCACAAGCCTCAGGTGAGCTACACTTGCATTTTTTTTTGATCTGTTAACAATTGCCAGATGAAGGTCCACCTGAGATTGAGTTGGTAGTCATCCGCAATATAGCCATGGATGCCCCCATCTCTGGGGCCTTATACCAGTGGCTGTTTGACATTGCAGAGACTGCCTGCAGTGAGAGGCGTGATACTCGTGTATGTCTCTATATATTCTTTGTTCTATCAGGTTTTTTCTCACACAGTGGGCTAATATACAGCCAAAGCACCCTGGGAAGATGGTCCAGGTGGGCTTGAATGGTGGCCCCCGTCACGCCCGTGTCCTAGGATGGGCCAAAAGCTACACCAAGGTGCTCAGCCGGGACAGTCGGGAGCAGCATGATACCGACATCATTGGGGCCACAGGCATCGTATGGAGCCTCATCCAGTCAGCTGCGCCACGTGAGATCATGGAACATGTTGAACAATGTCTCCAGAATGAAGGGATGCCAGACATGGCAACACGTGATGTTGCAGAGGGTATATTTCAAGCTAGCTTTGACTGAATGTGTTGCTGACTGGCTGTGTGTCTAGGCCAAGGCTTTACAATCAAGGCTGACGGTATTGATTACAAGTTGTCAACTGCTAGAAGGTCTCCTCCGGAAGCCTACATATCCCGTGGATATGCTGCGTGAGTTTCAACTCAATCAATCAGTTCATAAACACACTCAGTGAATTGTCATTCCAGCTGGTCTCATAGAGACCCTGCATATGCCAAATGGGCATTCTCATTCTGTGTATCGCGCACTGTCAGCAAAGCACAAAAATCGTTGCCTGATGGTGGAGCCAATTTCGTGGACGCAGCCCTCAAGGTTGTTGTCAAGCAAGCCAAAGGAACTCTGATGATATTCAAGCCAGATTCCCTCCATGGGACAACCCCTTCATGTGGCGCCATGAACCATGCTATCACATTTGCATTCTCAAAGCGCATAGCTGATATGAAACGGGAGCTGGATGCCCAAGGTCACTCAGTCATATCGTTTGCAGGAGCGGGAGAGGGGGACTTAATGGAGTAGCTTATGTAGTACATGCTGCTGGCTCAATACCAATACAAGGCTATGCATATGTTAGGTTCACTCCACGTCTAGGCCGGCAAGCACAGTCCTCGAGATGATTGCACACTGCGCAGAGCATGGTCACATCTCTGGACATGCACGCATCAGTCTGGTGCCCCGGTATTCATGATGCAGACAGCACACTCCACGGGCAAGCAGACGTTCTTGCGAGTCCGCACCCAAGTCTCAGGCCGAGCGTCAGCTAGTGCGAACACCTGATTGAGTCGGGTGTTCCTGCTGTTCGACGATGAGGTGAGTTCTACTGCAGCAGTGATCGAGATTGACTTACCGATCGATACTTGACAGGACACATTCAGCCTCACGAAGCTCTCAGCCCAGTCATTGACTGCATAGAGGTCAGGCACCGACACCGCAGGTGGGTGTTTGCAATCGACCTGCCGAGCCTGAGGCTGCACTTGGTGGCTTCAGCCCGCCAGTAGGATTGGCCCTACACACCACCCGCGGCTTGGCTCAGCCGCCGTCGCCGCTGTCCACCGGATCAACCGACATACCACTTCTCGGTCGAGCAGGCACGCGGTGTACGCAGGCCAGGTCCGTGAGTGATCGCAGAAGGCTCGCCGGCACCGTGTCTACGGATACTTGCGCCTACTGCCCGAGTACTGCCCCACCGTCTGTTTGTGGCTCTCGGGTGCCAGCTGGTGTGTGGACGCCAGGGGTGAGTTCTACGTCAGCAGCAGTCGAAATACACTTACCGAGCAAGATTGGACAGGACACGTCGACTTGGATCGTCGACGTGAGTGTCGCGAAGCTCTCGGCGCGGTCATGTACTACGCACACTGCACAGAGGGCGGAAAGCCGGGTCGTTGGTCGCAATGCACTCGCCGAGGCTGCATGTGGCCCTCCCACTGGCATGTCTCATTCCACGACCGCGAAAGATCACAGCCGGTCCTACAAACTACTCAGGGCTCGACCCGTCGCCACAGTCCACCGGACGTATCGACAATCGCCACGGGGCGCCGGTGGTGGCAAAAGGTTCGCCAGCGCGGCGTCGAGCAAGCTTCGAGGCTGTGCGACGAGAGTGCGGGCAGCCGCGCAGATGAGGAAAGCGGTGCCAGCGCGTGCTCCCATATCCGTCAACTCGATACATACCTGCCCGTATTGCTGGGTCGTTCCACTCGTCAAGTGCACGGATTGGCTGTGAGTTGCGCTGGTGTCCGACGCGGGCGCATGCTTCAAGTTGCCCGCACACACGAGGGAGAGTGTGGGGAGCTGCGCAGACGAAGTTTCGTCAGCGCGCCACGTCAGGCGGTTTAGTTGAAGTGCCCAGCGAGAGCACGCTGATGGCGCGAAAGGGACGCATTTGTGCGTAGTCGTGTCGAGGACTGCGGCTGCGGGAGGGCGGAGCGTAGTTAGCGTAGCAGTGTCGTAGTGGTACGCAGCAGGCTTGCGTGCGCGAAGTATGCGCGTGAATGTTGGCGCCCGTGTGGTGTGCAGCCCATCCTACACACGACGAGACCTGAAGTGTCCTCTACATACTACAACACTCCCTGTCTCACGAAATCCGCCCGGTCTTGTGGTCCCCCACACCGGCCCGCCCTCGCCAACTGCCGGCCGACCCGTTCGCAGCGCGCCCTGCGGGTAGAGCTCCCCGTGTGTGACGTGCAGGTGAAGCCGTCGCCAGGCCGTGCAGGATCCCAACGCAGACGACATCGCACTGCCTGCGGAACGTCCGCCAATCTGCGAGCCGTAACGTAAGCCAGGTGACGTCAGCAGGCTGTCAGGACTTGAAGGTACTAGTGTACGTTGTAGAGGTCGGCGTTCGAGCTGGTGATCTGGGGCGCGTATGCATCCAAGAGGAGCATACGCCAGAAGAGGTCAAATTCCATCTTCCCGGCTTTGTCGAGCTCTTGCCACAATAAGCCAGAGTTCTGACACATTAGACGTGTGATCAGCGACCACAGACTGCCAGCGAATAAAGAGAAGAGTGCACACGCACCTGGAAGACACCCGTATCGACTTCGCCGAGTGCGATCATAACCGCCCTTTCGACACGCTCAGCTCCAGACACACGCTCAGGTGTAAGCACGGCTGCGCATCACTCTCAGTGCCCTTGTGATGGCTGCGGTACCGAGTCAGGCCTCGTAGCCATGCGATCAAAGACAGGATGAGAGCACTCACATTTCATGGAACCTTTCGCAGACGATGCGTGCCGTTTGTTGGACGCGTACTATGAGGAGACCGACGAAAGCGATGTCCGTGGTTTGCCCTTTCCGGAGCTGCCCGGACGCAGGCTCGATGCAGGGGCGGATGCGGGGCGAATAGCATGCCCATGCCTGCCGCACGCAGCCCGAAGCTCTCCGCCGTGCTTGTGTTCGCATGCGTATATGCGTTCCCCGCAACGGTCTCGGGTCTAGGTCGCGCGCCCATAGGGGTGCTACCGATAGTATACCCGCGTCGTCGTGGTGGCGGCTGAAGCGGCGGAGGCGTCGTTGCGGGGGCGGGTGTAGCGCGGAGCATTGCCATCGAGAGCGGGGATCGTCCGCGTAGCAGCGCGCTCACGTCCGAACCACCGCTGTACAGCATAGACTCGATCAGATCCAGATCCTTATCTTGCAGGATCGTGCGGTCCAGATGTGCATGCGGCTGTGCGAGTTGTGCATCCACCTGGCGCGGGGTCGGGGGCACTGGCCCGGACACCCCGCCCGCACCCATCGAGTTCACAGGCGATATCGGGCGCTCGCTGGCTGTGGCGGGTAGCGAGGAGGTCCGGAAGCGAGGGGGACTTGGCAGCTCATCGAAGATGGAGAGAACGGGCGGCCGGGGGACAGCGGGGGGTGTAGGGCGGGACATGGAGGAAAACAAGGATGGCAGCGAGGAACGCGGCGCCAGAAGGCAAAGGTGACGATGATCATGGCGTGTCGCCGGCGGTCAGAGCATCTGGGATGAAGACAAGGAGACCAGCACGGTCGACGGCGGGGTGGGCGGTGGGAAAACGGGGTCGAGAGCGTCGCAGCCAGCGACGACGACAAGTAACCGTGCAGGCCAGGCTTCCCACGTGCTCGCCGTGCTCCGATCTATGCTAGGGCAAGCATGTGGGCGCGTGGATAGGAGAGCCGCGAGTGGGCGTGCATGCGTGTCTCTGCACGCTGGTTCGCCCCTGTCTCGGCCGTCTTCGCGCTGGACACAGGTAGATTAGTGATCATTGGGTCATATTCGCAGGCCGCAGCGTGTCGAATGAGGGTGGACGTGCGCAGTGCACACGAGAGGGAGGGAAGGGCTTATAGGCTGTGATACTACTCACCATGGCTGCTCCTCTCCTCCCTGCTCTTCTACTCGATCTGCAGCTCTGCTGATGCTACACGCGCTGGGCTGCCCTCCTATGGATTCTTCGCCATCGGTAGACCAAGTCGCGCGCGTCTTCAGCGATTCGCATGCACGCGTCGCATTCGTGTGGCGTGCCAGTCAAGCGAGCTGGTGTGAAGGTAGGTTCGTCGCAGCCCGCAGGCCTGGGCTTGGTGCGACGCCCCGCCGTTGAGGCGCGTGAGAGAAGGATGTGGACGAAGGTGGACGATCGCTGCGAGAGAGAGTCAAGCGCGCAGAGCTGGTGCAGAGACGCGCGCTCAGGCGATGGTGGGTTTCCCACGAAGACGTGCCTGGCGAAGTCAGGCTCCAGAGCTAGCGGCGGATGAGGGCGGCTGGGACCCTCAAGGCGAGATCGTCGAGGAAAGGTGAAGGGATGGCCTGTATGTAACAACTACGTCCTCGCCGACCTCTTCGACCTCTTCGCGTTTCGCGCACCGGCACCCTGCCGTCTTCTCGCAGTCCAAGTCTACTTCCGATGGCCGGACCTCCGCTGTGATACATCGACGACACTGGTTCCCTAGGGCAAACCGAGCCCGCTGTCTTGTCTAAGCTGTGTGCCATCTCCCGGTTCTCTGCTCCCCGTCACGGTTGAGTATCGATGTCATTGAGATATTGCAAAAGACAGGTGACGCCGTGTGCCAGGATGGTGCCCGGAGCCTCGGAAAGTTTAGTCTCCATAGTGATCGATGGTATATCTCCCCGTGGTGTAGTGACGCTGACACTCATGGTCGGAGCGGGGGGTACAAGACTCGGAGCCGGTGATGGAGGCAAAGGAACGACACGCGGAGATATCTATCACGAATTTAGTGTGCGCAAAACTTCATGTAATGGTACTCACCAGTCTAATGGTCGGCGAAGGCATCACTTGAGAGTAGGAAAGGCTCAGTAGATACCTCGTCCTCTGCAATTGATAAAGGGACCGACAAGGGGTCGCGGCTCGAAAACAGATGCGCTCATAGAAATGGAGGACACCGTTGAGATAGCCGATGGCGTGAGTAGGGGGTAGACACGCAGAGAGCGGGGCGAGCGCGGGGGGAAGAGCCGCAAAACGTTCGCGCAGGGGCGGGTGCGAGCGCGCAGGAGACCGCTGGAGTGGGCGCGCTGGAGACGGCGGATGCGAGCGTGCGCGTTCGACGTGGACGGGAGCAATGGGAGATGGCGAGCGCGCGTAGCACGAGGGCAGAGGAGAGGCTGGAGGGTGGGGGTTCAAGGTACTCACCGATGCCATCTCCTCCCTGCCAACCTCTCTACCCGTCCCTTCGCGATGGATGTCCCGCGCGCTCGTTGGGGCTGGTCGACTGATCGACGCGCCTTGCGAGACAGTCTCGCAGTCGCAAGTCGCGCTGTTCGAGTGCGCGGTGCGCGGGCCGTCGGCCGCGTTTGCTCTTGCACGCATCGAGGCGACCTGTACGTCGGACTTGCGGGTGCGCTGGACCTCGGCCGTCCAAGGTGAGTGACCTCCTGTCGAGGCCTTACCGTACGCGCCGACGCGTCGGGCTCATCATCGCTCAGAGGGCGCGGCGGCTCGACCTCGGGCCTTGAACTGAGAACGGCAGAGCGGCTACCGGTACCGAGCGTGCGGTTTCGCACAGCTCGGTACGCCACTTGCGGGCCGTTCGCTCGAGCGGATCCGTAGGCGGTACCGTGGAAGGCGGGGCGCGAGGGAGACGGGGTTCGAGGAGGGTCGGCGACGCGGAACGTACGCGCGTGCGCGCGAAAGACGGCGGTAGGTGCGTGCGTTCGACGGGCGCGCGAGGGTGGAGTGAGGGCGGCGGGCACAGCCGCAAAACGCACGCGCGTGGGCAGGTGCGAGCGCGCGCGTTCGAAGGGAGGCGACGCGTCGCATTCGCGGGGCGCAGACGCGTCGGTCCGGAGCACGCCGGTTGGCAGTGGGGGCGGAGCAAGCGCGGCGAGCACCGCCGTGCGGGAGAGCGTTACCGTTGGGAGCGGTACTGCAGTCGAGATAGGGGTAGGCGAAGGAACACTCGGAGGAAGGGAGACCGTCGACGGTGTCGGTGTGATGGACTCGGAACTTGGCGACGATGGTACCGGCGTCGCAGACTCGGCGGTGCTCAACTCTGTGATGGGAGTCACTGGCAGGAGACTCACATCTTCCTCCTCTGTGAACGGCGACTCGTCCACTAGGTCGGAGGAAGGATGTCTCAAACGACGTCAGGTATAGCGGGGCTGGATGGAGTCGGTGGCTGCTCAATTGTGGAACGAACATCCGTGAGCGTTGGACCATGCTGTGAGCGCGACATTCTTGGTGCTTTGTCTGTCTGCGAAGACGCGACCTGCAAGAGCGCGACACGTCCAAGTGGTGAGCCAGGCCAGACGCGACGGCTCCCTGTTGTTGCTGTTGCCAGTCTGCACTAGCTACACAAACGCACTGCGCGCACGGCGTTAACGCACTGCCGTGGAACAAGCACGTTCTGCAGGTTTGTGCAGACCGATAACGTCAACATGATGGAGTCGCCAGCGCGAGCGAGCAGCGAGATGAGACATCCAGACAGGTGTAGGAGGGTGAGTAGAGGAGGGCAGAGGCAGCTCGGGTGTGGTGGTGGCGCGATACGAACTTGTGCTCAGTCCATATTTGGCCAATACAGCCTCAACATTCGTATTATTTCGTGAACTGATGTTATAGAAAATCCTCCTGGCATGCCGAACGAAGGCGAGGAACACACTCGGCCGAGAGCAAACATGGTATATTAAAAGTGAGTGTCTGTGAAATGAAGCGATATCGTAGGGAGAACAGATTAGGAAGGGGCGATAGTGGGTACGAGGCCATGTGAGCATAAGATGGCATGAGTCGTTATGTCAGGAAAAAGCGATACATGTGAACCTGGCGAGCCATATAGTATGGAATCAATAGATTCCTCCATGGGGGGTGGCGATCGCAGTCAGTATGTCCTCGAGCAACCAGCTATCTATGGCGTCGATGAGCGAAGCTGGTCCATCAGGGGCACCAGAGCCATACGTCTGTCGTACGAGTTGGGCCAGATACCCTGTCGGGATCGTTCCTGAGTTGAAGCAGGTCTGCCAGCTGACGATACCCTGCTCCAGACAATACCTCCGAGTGTTCGTAGGACAGATGTAGTCGCTGTCGTTGTCACCGACAAAGGTGATCTAAAAGTGACGACACATACAGGTCGTAAGCGAGAATATTCACAACTTTGGATGATGTCATGCACGAACCTGGATGGGTTCACTGCTGACGATCGAATCAGAGCCTGTCGCAGCAATCGCAAGCATACGAGGTCGGAAGCTCGGAGAGTCAATCTCGCCCAGCTCAACCAGTTCAGACTCAAACAGGCCTGCAGCTCGCTTTCTCTCGAACGATGCACGACAAGGGATCCCAGTTCGCTTCAGGAAGCCCCTGAGAACATCGGCGAGCTTCATGGGACCTGAGTCGGCAGTTGGGATCAAACGAACTGGCAGCGAAACCGAGTGCTTGACGAGGATATCGAGGCTGTCTTGCAGCATGGCATACCCAGTGATTCGTGTCGAGTAGCTTTCAATGACGAGAGCAGTCGGTCCACCAGCGAATGCCTGTGCAGCCTGGAAGCAAACATCTCGCCTCAGAAGGCTACAAAGGATCGTAATATGGCTTGACAAACCTTGGACAGGGTAAGACCATTTGCACAGGGCAGGTTGAAGCCCGAAAGAAAGGCTCGTGTGTCTGCATGCGATACGACAGCATCACTTCCTAGCAAGGCTCGATACAGCAGAATCGGGGCAAGGGCAGCATGACTTTCGGCATCCCGATTTGCATAGTGGGCGACCTGCAGCACACTTCGTCAGAATCGCCACCAGAAATACCAGTTCTGCAAACAACGACTCACATCAATTCCAGCATAGACCTCAAGATGGTGTGCGAGTGGTGTGAGGTCGTCAGTTGGGCCCATGTTGTCTAGCTCAACGATTTTCGCAGCAAGACGAGGGTGGAAAGCTTCCATGACCTCCCTCGTGATCGCTGCAAACTCGCAGCCATTCAGGAGGTAGATGAGCCAAGCTCCATCGATACCTGGGACAGCCAGCCCATTGACAAGAGATATCCCTGTGATCGCTCCAAGAATTGCGAGTCGTTGTCTGCGAGATTGATCAAAGCTTCGCAAGGGAGGACAGGCGAGAACTTGTGATCTCTCGCCAAGTCGTGCTGTGAAAAACGACGACAGATATTGTTTGAAGCCGGCGAGTAGGATCGTGATAGTCTGTCGTTCCAAGCCATCTCCTGAGGATACTGTAATCGAGTGCCCATCTGAAAGAGCCTGTACCCTGTTCGAAGAGTGATGATCAGTCAGAGGTTCAATCGCTCGATGGACGACTTACACTCGGAATGAACGATCTTTAGAGAGGATTTCTGAGAAATCATGGCCAGCTGCAGCCTGACCGAGCATGTCCTCGAAGACAACTGCACAGTGCGATGTATCAGTGCCCTGGACTTGCAGGTCAGGAGGGGCTTCGTCGCCAGAACAAGCAGCCCCGAAGACAGCATTCCTGAACTCTGCGAGCGACTGGCATGGCCGGGCAGGGCTGTATGGCCCCAGGGATGGCTCAAATGGAACCGACCAGGGCAGACGAGGAGGTACCAGCGAAAGGAAAAAGCTAGGCTGTGTGCCTTCTCGCCGAAGCCGATGGCTGTGGTACAACGATGGCTTCAAGGGAGGTAGCATTTCGAGGTGAGAATCGAGAACATGGGACACAGAGGATCAGCTTACCAGGCGATCTGGTGTTTCTTCGCTTGCAACCCGAGGGAGACGATTCTGTTCTGCTCGCGAAGGTCGGAACTGTGATAATGCTGGAGGAGAGTCGTCGATCATAAACATGCCCAGCCTTGGGCTCGTGGGAGGAGTTGGGCCTAGGACTTCTTCAACCTCCTCGTCAGCAGCACTCGAATCTACGATACACGACTCGCAATGAACCCCGTGAACCTCGGGCACGAGCCCTGGGTTCATGTTATCACGAGGTAGAACATTGTAGAAGTGCTCCGAGACACAGGTGTGTGGGCGAGGAAAACTGCCTGGTGGTGCATCTGGCAGACACAGCGAGACTGGGCAACGAGCAATGACTAATACAAGGACATGGCATCAATGTGAGTGTGCTGTACGACAGATCAAGATACTTACCGAAGTACACAGCAAGGGAATTGCCCTTAATACACAGCCGAGGTTTGCAGAATTGATGAACATAAGAGCGATTAGCCATGTTGGCGACAGTCATCTCTGGTGAGATCGGGTGTCGGCGAAGGTACGAATGTCCATCCCGAGCACTCGGGGTGCCCTTGTTATGAAGACCGAGAAGCTGCACCTCCAGGTGCTCATGGCGATGCTGCAACTGGCCTGGCTCCTGCACAAACTCGTACCGAAACTGCGAGTTCCTGAGGTCGGTGATGATCTGTTCGATGAGACTGACAACAGATGTCTCGAAGGTGCACTCGTATCTTCGTGCAAGGCCGATAGAGTTGAGCATATCGAACATCGACGAGTAATGGAACTGGAACAGAGGGAGCAAAGTTGAGGCATCCTCGTCGATCTATCAGACTTGCAAGTCAGACATTGTCATACAAGGACAAGAACAACACTTACGTTCGGTGGATAAATATGAGCGAGGATGCTCAAGCACCCATCGTTCGTCAGGCACTGCTGGGCGACCTCTTGCTGTGTCCCAGGTGGTGCAGCAGAGGCCTGGCTCTGTCGCGATCGGGAGCTTGAAGCCACTGATCGTGTCTGTCGCTGCCCACGACTCGAGCTAGCTGGACCTAAGGTGCGAGCTGCAGATGCGCGCCTCGCGACGTTCACTCGCTGTGACGTGCCTGGTGCCTGGGTTGCATTGAAACCAAGGAACGGTTGAGTAAGCGAGGGAGCAGCAGTAGATCCTGCCACAAGAGCAGCGGGGAAGCCGAGGGATGGCTGCCCCAATGAGACTGGATGCGACGACGAAGAGGCTGTCGGGATACTAAGGGCTGACGATGATGCAACAGGAACAGTGCTACGACGGCTTTGATATCGAGTGACTGGAGGTGCAACGACAGCTAGCTGGCTGCCAGCAGGAGGGTGATCGCTGGCAGCAGGTTGCTCTGAAGAGATAGTCGCCTGGCTGAGATAGCTAAGAATATGATCAATCTGGGCTGGAGAGCACTGCGAGAGGTCGACCTGAGCAGCATTAGGTAACTGCGAAGGAGCTTGGGGAGAGCCATTGGGGACTCCACGAATGTTGCGATTATTCATGATGCTGAGTACAGTCATGAGTGTCACAACGAGGTGCCTGAAGGACAACGCTTACTCACCGAGTAGTATATGTTATTGTTGGCGATAAATGAAGCGACTGAAGGCTGCCAAAGCCACAAGATAATTGTCAGGGCCATCCCACATTCGGTCAGAGAACATTGGACTCACATTTACGATGACTGAAGAAGAACAGCCAACAAAGATTGACTGTATGATGTGGAGCGACTAAAGTAAAGCAAATCAATGACAATGAACCACCAGCAGAACAACGAAGACTGGCCAATTAATGGAGAGGAGCTGACAAAGATTAGAGGCTAACCAATGAAGAACGACTCGACGATGGCGAGAGCCCGACGAGTGGCGAAACGACGAAGGATGACTGACAGGGAGGAAGCAGTGATCAATACCGAATCCATAAGCGACTGGGAGCTGGAGACTCACCGAACAACACAGGCTGACCGATGAAGAACGACTCGACGATGGCGAGAGCCCGACGAGTGACGAAACGACGAAGGATGACTGACAGGGAGGAAGCAGCGATCAATACAGAATCCATAAGCGACTGGGAACTGGAGACTCACCGAACGACACAGGCTAACCGATGAAGAACGACTCCACAATGGCGAGAGCCTGCCGACTGACGAAACGACGAAGAACGACTGAACGAGAGTAAATAGGTGAGAATGAAACATAGGGCCCATGAGCGACTGCACACTTACCAGAAAACAAAGGCTGACCGAACGACGACCAGTGACCGACAATGAGCGATTTGACGGTGAAGAACGACCAACGATGAGCAGCAGGAGGTGGTGGGAAATGAGCAACCACACGACAACGACTCCTGACTAGACAACGACGAGAGAGACTGTAACAGGTACTGTCGATGTGCTGCAGATGCGAGGACGAACAGTCGGCCGAGTGTCGTGCGACAAGGGGAAGTGCTGTAAGTACTGGGCAAAGGTGGCTCGTACAGGTGGTGATCGTAAACTGACCTCGTGTATCTTCGCTAAGTTCGCAGCAGCTTCGCTAAGTTAACGAGTGCCAAGCCTGACCAGAGGTCGGCAAGTTCTGAGCGAAAACAGTAAGTATTTGGGGCCTCGTGTATGCTGCGACACACCTAAGGTGTTTCAACCCAAGTTACTCGTCGGCACATGAACGAGAACCTGCAATCGAGCTCAGTAAGTTGCCTCGGATCTTCTAAGAAGCTTACCAAGGCGATCTGCGAGTGCAAGCGACCTCAGCACATTCTTGAACCGAAGTCCAAGTACATTGGAGAATCGTAAGTGTCGGCAGTACGATACACCACTGTGCCTAAGTACAGCATCTGCGACAAGCGATCAATGTAAGCCGAGATCGTACGAAATGAAATGCTCAATACAGCCTCATTGTAAGTCTTAGTGAGTGACTAAGTAGTAAGTGTTACCCGGCGACTAAGTTTTCACTGTAAGTATTTTTCCGCGATAACGACCGTCATACCTCTGCCACCCCACAACCCCCTGTGCTTTCATCGATGGACGACCTATACCTTCTCTATCTAACTATCACAACGTGCCTGCCACCCCCGAGTCATTAAAGGTGCTCCTCACGAATCCGAGCTTCTACCCAAGCTTACCTTGTGGATTTGACATGCAGTACTGGGAATGAGAAGGCATGGAATACTACACCAAATGGACGCGTACAAACAGCCTCGCCAGTGTGATCAACTTGAATTATGGCTGCGAATCCCGAGTCACGGACAGTGGCAGTTGACCGGGGAACACGCGTCCTGCACGCGTCGGACATACACTCTCCGTTGATGCTCTGACTTACTTGTCGTCGTATTGTCATGGGTGCTAGAAGCTGAGAAGCTCTTCATATGAACTTCGCGGTGTCCGTTCATCGACGCTCTGTGGGGCTGTGGCTATGCATGCCGCACCGGAAAGCCCAACGGAGGCTGTGATGTGACTGTCGGACCGGCGGGAGAAGGCACTTGCATTCGTTCTTCAATCGTGCGTGTTTCCATGATCCGCATGCATCCTGGACGGCGTTGACAACATACAAGCCATTACGAGTAGACATTCGATGCGGCTGTACAGTCGGCGCTGCGTCTGTTGGCTGTGTAGCTTGACCGGGAGCGAAGTCGTCCGTGAAGATAGACCGGGCCGCAGGCCCACCACAGGCCTTAGTCTCGTTCGCTGGTTTGCATTTACGGCGTATGTGACGAACAGCCTCGGCGTCGAAGCCTCTCCTTACGCCATAAGTCTTGCTGCGCTGTCATGCCGATTAGGATCGTTCAAACCGACGGACCGGCTCATTGAATAGTGATTCGTGTGACATACGCTTCGCTGCAAGCCACACAAGGGTTGTGACATAACCCTGACTTGGCTGACCCATTATATACCCATGCCTCGCGGACTGCGAGTCACCCTCGTCCCCTGCTTACTGACCACGTTCTTGTGTCCCACACGCTCGTTATGCCTCACCTTCGCTATAACGACAACCCGACCGCAAGATCTGCTCACGTAGGCCGTTCTCGAGAACATTGGGGGCTCGACCCACCGTATGCTTACCATAGTGTGCAACCAGTGGCATCTTCGTCAGTGCGCACCTCTCAGATATATTGACGATGATCCTGACTCGAAATCCTCTTAGTTCACATGTCTACGGGGCTACCACCGTGTCTAACGGTCGCTTGACTATTCATCCTACCAATGACGACAATTTGTAAGTCAATCTCCTCTTCTTGGTCGGAGCACGAATGAACAAGGCACAGCCAACGTCAGGTCAACTACCAGCCTTCCAATCATTACGCCCAGAACAATCCCCCTCCTAGCCTTCTCAGCCGCGACCAATTTGGAGCGAGCCCCTCCTTACACTCCGGCACCCCGAACTTGAATCCTCCTCCTGGCGTGCACACGGTCCCCTGCTGCTGGGGCTCCTGCACCATCTCTCTGGACGACAAGTCGCCGGGCGGTATGAAGCGACACCTCCATGAGTTCCACAACCAAGACATGACGGGTGGTCCGCCCTACACATGCAAGTGGGATACCGAGAACGGAACTCCCTGCGGGAAGCCGTACGCGAGCGAGGTCACACTCACGAGGCACATCGCCGCGGTTCATCTTAAGTCGTCCGCTGAGAAGTGCCCGCATTGCGGGATGCCGATGAGCCGCAAGGACGCGCTCAACAGGCACATCCAATCGTCGTGCCGCAAGGCCAATGGCCCGCCGCTCTAGATCGGAGGTCCTGCACCAAATTCTGGTAGGTAGGCCCTAGCTGATTTGATCGACAACCCGCTTCTCATTGACATACCTTCCTCCCGTAGCACTCCTGCCGCCAGCGGGTCTGACGACCCAGGGCGTTGGACGCTCGATGCCCGTATGAACTTCTACTCGCCAATAGAGTCACCCTTCATGCGCACACTGACTTCTTTCCCCCGTATAAGTACCTAGAGTGGCATACGCCTGATCCCAGTCACTACTCTGATGTATTTTTAACGAGTGCTTGACGACTATTCGAACTTCATCACAATGAGCAGCTGTCGCTTCGCCACATCGAAGATGTCCTTAAGTTCACTGCACAGCCCTTTGTGTATTGCCGTCTAGACTTCCCGCTGGATCCAGAGTGATGCGACGCTCAAGGCTATGTCATACCTGTAGCACAGCACTCACGGCGGACACAGAAGTATCGTCGACTTTGGAGGGCCGTGACGGCCACATAGAAGACTTGAGGCGCAGTCCTGAGGCCTGAAGCCCTGAGGGGCTGTGGTGATATTGTGATTCTCGGGCATGCATGCTGAACGTATCCTACAGATGAAACACTAGAAGGCTACATAGATGTCATAAGGTATAGTACCGATTAGTGCAGATCTAGAATGAGTGTGGTCCGATGGATGTGGTGTACGATGAGTAAAGTAAGGTAGTAATGGTCATTAAAGGCGATGTAAGACAGGGGTAACTTGAACATTGAAATATTGAAGGAGTATGCCGAACCACGACCGTGCGTGGTCCACGGGCATGCTCGAAGGCTTCCGTGAGCAGGTGTCGTCGCCTGGACGACCTTGCGCTAGCATCCTGTGCTAAAGGGACCTGCAAGTTGTCATCAATATGGGCCCACAGGCATAGAAGAGTCCACTCACATGCGTGAGCCGGCTGGCGACCTCAAGCATAGTACCCCTGCAAGACAGGGCAGTACTGTTCCTGGTGCCGCTTCAACGCGTCCTTCCTACTAAAGTTCTTGCTGCAGAACGTGCAGACCTTCCTGCCCTGACCGAGGTGCACCGTCGAGATGTGCCTCCCGTGCGCGACCGCGCTCCGGCACTCCGTCTGGCAGGTGCCCGCGCCGTCGTCCCACCGACACTCCGAGCTGCCTTGCGACTGCCCAGAGCTGCTCTTGGGCGGCATGTCAGCGGCGTGGTACTGCTGGAGGTGTCGTTTGATCCCGGGGCCGGTGACGTCGTCGAGGGGGACGCCGCAGTGGCCCCATCGGCACAATGCGAGGGGCTGGGGTGCTACCGGCCCGGGTGCTGCAGCCTGAGGTTGAGGTGGCATGTAGTAGGGATGGACAGGAACGCCGTTGCTGTTTCCCGCTCCACTGAAGTATCGATCAAATGAAAGTCAGCGTGGTAATACCTTCATGAGCCTGAAAGACTCACTATGTCTGATATCCGTACTGATGGAAGTTATAAGAGGACATATACGTAGTAGGAGGCAAGGGCGAGGCCGTGAAATAAGGCGGCTGCAGCGTTGGATGCACGGAAGGCGAATTAGGGGTATGAACTACAGATATAATAGAAGAACAAAAGAGGAAAAGAGAAATGACCACGGGAAGTCCCTCGTAGAACGAAAGGGGAGAGGAGGGGATGAGCCTCAGCGTACAGACGCGCCCGCTATATATTCGTCCTCAAGCGTCACGAGGTGGATCGTATGTGGTCTTCAGTAGTAAGGGATTACGCCACTGAGACGATAACGTATGCATCCTATCTGATCGTACGGCCACATAACATAAGTCACCCCTCGTGGAGGAGCCCATGAGAGCGCAGAAGGGCCCACTACGGTGGTCGGGAATCTAGCCTGCACAGCGAACCGGCAGCGGCATAGCACGATGTCGTATCCCGGTCTACTATGGTGCTGGCCCCGCGGGCCGAAGACACGACGCTCACGTTGCCTCCCGCATCTGAAAGGCCGCCCGAGGATCTGACAGCGGATCGTGGGTCACCGGTGAAAACGTTGGATATTACTCTGCTTCGTCGAAGACGCGACAATGTTGGAACCTGATTCTTTGCCTGGTCAGCGTTCGCGTATGGACAACAACAGAGCCAAATGAGATCCCAATTGAGCCTCGGTAACGCCCACGGACATAAGAGGCTCATTCCGCAGCCATTCAGGGGGATCCCGCGTGTGCTCGAAGAAGACAGTTCGCCGCGGTATCACCCCACGAGAGCATAATTATCGGGCCCGCGATAGTAGAGCTCTTGACGTGAGAAAGCCTGAGCAGTAGATCAGTGACAGGAATGTTCGGAAAGAGTAGAAGCCATACCCCGGGACACATGATGCCAGAGATTCCCATGCTACGATATGCAATAGTCAATTTCTCAGAGCCGCCGTGGGAGTCCCGCGGAGAGCCTGCTTGCGTTGGAGGATTGCAATGCAGATGCTACAGGAAGTATTGCGCATCTTCTAGTCCCAACATCTGCTACGCGTCCGGCCCGACAACCATAGTGTGCGCGCAACGAGAGGATCCCAGTACCCAGGCACCAGGCATGGCGCTCAATCATAAAGGCGCACGTCGTTCTATGTCATCATCAATATGACGGACACTTTCCGTGCCCGACGGGCCATAGGGCGCGCGGACTCGCGAAATAAGGAAGACAAACGTTTGACGCGTTTGACGAGTTCGATACAAGTCATACCACAAACGCGCCTATAGATCACGGCCCACATCGACAGCGATGTCAATGGCCGTCATAAACTTGAAGAGCTCACAGAACAGCCCGGTAGGGTCTGATCGGGCTACTGGCCGGAACCCAGACTCGGAATTCACGGCACCAGACTGTGGCAGGTAAGTAGACGGGACTGACTACTGCCAGTACCACGCAAAGCCCACTGGCAGAATGCCAATTGTAGAACGCATCACCACAGCTTATCTGATCCGCTGTATTGCAAAGCCGTCTGTCCTATGGCGGCAAGTTAAGCAGTTTGCAATCCGAGCAGCAACACTCTCATCATGTGGGTGAAGACGAAACGCACCGACAGCGATGGCCCGATCTCCGTTTGCATACTTTGCCGGCCGTCCTTACACAGCACGTCCTCCAAACGCATTCACTTGAGAGACCGACATGGCAACCTAGCCTGAAAGCTATCGAAGGGGCAAAAGACATCGTCAGCGAGCACTTTCAGCGACATGAGTCCATCAACACTGATAAGCTCTACGCACTAATAACGCTGCCGTCAGGTATCACATAGTTTTTTCTCGATGTACTGGCATGAGCTCGCCACACTAGTACGCGTTTCTAGCATGGGTAGGACATAACGTGTTGAGATCGATCGAACATCGTTTCAGTCGTCTGGATTTCCCGCGATGGATGTGAACGTCGATCAGTGCTTGAGATGAGATTTTTGCGCTGTTGCCCACAGTGAACCAAGGCGAGGCAAGCTCGCGTCCGTGGACACGAGGATCGTGGACGCAGACTCTGCCAGACTGAGACATCGTGGAAGTCGGAGTCAAGCCAGAATCGGAGGAAAGGCGCCGAAGGTGATCAAGCACTTGAGTGGCGCCGGCTCCATGTCGTACCAACGGGCCAATCATTGAACTTGTCTAGCGGGATGTATGAGATCGCGATGAATGGACCGAATGTGCAGGGTGATGACTTGGTGATGACTGTATCGATTCTATCCAGCCCGGCCCTCCATGACATTAAAAGCGAACACGAGCCTCGTCCTTCTCAATCAGCAAAAACAAAACCCTGATGAGATTGGAACAATAGTCTCCGTTCTTCTAGAATATTTTGTAATGCTTCGACTCAAAGTCATCCGGCGCCGTCTCTTTACTAGACTCCCGAGTCGACCAAATCAACACAACGGGATCTCTAGCGTGATACCTGCCGATATGTAGCAGTAACGTGCGTTCGACAAGGTTGAGGCGGACGTTACGTGACTTCCGATGCTGCCAGTGACGCCGCACACGATGCGGTGTAAGTTCATCTCATACATACAGGTATAGCGCGCGGTCGCTCCGGACACTGTACTGGCACTGACAGTGCCTCTCAGGATCGCAGCGCCAGACCCTCCGACCGAGCAAGAACCTCAACCAGGGCATGTTCAAGGGATAATACATCGTCGGCACGATAGATCGGGAAAAGCAAGGGGGGAGGCAGTACTACATGTCACCATTCGAGACGCCAGTGTGTCAGTCACAATAATTCAGATCTCACATAGAAGGATTCTAAACAGGCCCAGCCTGAGTATCCGTTCTCAAGGGGCGCATTCTCACCGCACGTCCAGTGTCTTTAGCTGCCCCGCACAGCATTCCCACTACTGTGCAACCCCTGAACCACAGAGAAGCTCCTGAGATCCATGTACTACTCGCACGGAGGAAGGGGACCCGAGTCGAAACCTCCAAGCCGGCCGACATCGCCTCCCAGGCTACGCGCCGGGGGCGTGGGGCAGCTAGTTTGTTGGTGACGCGTCAAGGCGTCTCCTCGACTGAACGTCTTCTTGCACCAACCGCAAATTCTTCTCCCATACTTGCAATGACAAGTCGAGATGTGGCGCGCTAGCGTGAGCAGCGTCTTGTACTCTTGTTCGCAGGTATGGCCATCGTCCAACGTCCAGTGGCACGTCAGCACAGTTGCGAGGGCTTGGCGCCAGCCGACGCCCGCTTTCCCTGCAGCGTTGGAGGCTAGACCGCCTGGGGGCGTAATCGCGCGATTATGGAAAGCTTGAAGGTGGCGTTTAAGCCCTCCAGGGCTATGGTCATCGAGGGGAATGCGGCATGTTCCCCAACGGCACGGAAGGTGGCCAGGAGAAGAGTGGGACCCGTGCCGACCCGTGCTATTTTGTTATGTGTTTTGAATGTGGATGAATCAGACTGTGACGAGCGTTTCCAGAAAGAAATCTACACGTACGAGGCTACAACGATAGGTCTGTCACGCAGGCCGTACTGCATAGTCGAGCCTGCCTGAGCATGCGAATCGAGGTCACATAGCATGCTCACCGCAATTTCAAGAGTTACTCACCGAGCCTTGAGGATGATGAGAAGCCAGGCGCTGTTCAGGCGCCCACACCTTCTCAGGATCAGTGTGCGCTAGCGATACTAGTCTGTGATGACAGCGTCCGTGAGACTGCCAAATCTACGATTATCACAGTGAACAAGTTCTTACTCTTTGTGGCAGACAGCATCTAGTACGGCACCCTGGCGGCTGGCTGTTCCCGTCACGGTCATAGGTAGGCGTCCGAGGAGTGTGTATGGCTTCCGCGCAGGCGCGCCAGCAGCATGATCGTATCGCTGTCGATATGGAGCCATCTTTGTAACGAGACGGCAGGATAAAAGAAAGACTAAGGTGAGAAACGAGCGAGATAGCGAGAGGCTGCGCCGTCGACCTACATGATTTATAGACAAGTGAGAACTGATGTCACTGGCTTGCACACGTTCAACACGAGGTGGTTTTGATGTCGTATAAACATCGTATAGACTGGACGAACCGGTAAGCAAGGTCGGGGCGCGACCTGCATGCTCCCCAGTCCACCAGGCACGCTACAAGCGGGAGGGTGGACGCGGATTCGATTAGGTCCGCGAGCTGCCCTTGACACAATAGCCACGGGGCTAACCGCATAATCTGGAGTAACGTGCCGTGTAGCGGGTGCCAGTGGCATGGACACGGCGATCTTACGGCCTTCGAGTTCTCGAAAAATTCCTACATTGATATGTGGTCAGAGCCAGGCCAGAAATGCGTGCAAGTGAACACCGAATGCTATGGTATCGCATATTGCGTTCGAGATTCCGTGGCCGGACCCAAATGTGTCAAGGCACGCAAGATCGGCACTCCATTTGAGGAAGGGGCGCCTTTCCAGACAGATATAACGTTGTGTAGCATGTTCAGCGAATCCACTGGAACGCAAGCGGGCACTGCCGTTGCACGCCCGATCCGGAGATGAGGCTGGCATGATCGGGGGGGCTGTAGAAGAAATCCTGCGAGTCGTGAAGTCCACCAAACTCCAACTGCTGCCGTTATGCCGGATCGTACGCGCAGATACACAAGGGAGAGATACAGGGGGCTCAGGTCGCGCGCGGTCGCCACCTCGACGAGGCAGAACGTACACGGCATGTCGTCCTCGAGATGGCGGACACCGGACATGCGGTATTTAATCTATCGGTGGACGGATGCCGTCAACGCGAAGAGACGTCAAAGTTCAGTGACATCGCGAACGTCAGCATGCTGCAGACTCACCGGGGAATCGGCGCTGCAGAGCGGAAGTCTCGTAAATGCACCGCCGCATAACATGCTCCTCTTGCCAACGGCGTGCCACTGCCACGAAGCCATACACTGGGTATGGTTTCCCCCGCATAGCCACGTAATACTGCAGCGTTGGCAGCCCAGTAGCACAGGAAGACTGCGGTGTCCTGGGCGGTGGTGGAGAAGTTCGGGGCCCAAGACAGTCCGAAGTGCGTAGAACAGCATGCAGACTCGGAAGCAGCCCAAATTTGAATGGTGATAGAGTGGTGAATGAACGGTCGGAGTGTTCCGTTGAATACACTGGGGTCACTGTCAACATAGTCCAGTCATGGCTATGAGCCGCTTGACCAGTGCTGGTGCCTTCCGGCCGCTAGTAGTTCTATGGAATGACTCGGAGCGAGGTATTGAGACGACGACAACGCAGTGACCTACCAGTGCGACGTTGATACCAAGTGGCTCTCCGTCCCATTCATTTGCATGAGGGAAACGGTCGGTCGTGTGTCAAGGACACTGTTAACGAAAGACTCGCAACTGCATCGCCCGGCGCCGAACCACTGCCACAGTGGCCAGGCCTGAGGCCAGCCACCGCCGGGTAATTACTAATATCCGCTCTTTACGCATGTCATACTTATCCCGCGAATCGCCGCGCCAGCCATATACAGTCTGTTCGTCTTGCCGGATCCTTGGCCTGAGACCTGGGTCCAATGAGAGTCGAGTGTTAGACGTCCACGATGGACTCGGACAAGGCTGCACTGTTACACGCCGCGTCGACGTCTGAATGCAATCGACATTACATAATACATAATGGTTGCTTGTAGCCATCATTTCATAAGTGATAGTAGAGTCGGACATAAGATGGGAAATGTAAGTCATATGTTAGCGCTACTAAGTGGACATGACGGGTAACACGGAAAACGTCTCATACACCGAACACAATGCAATGTACAGAGGACAGAGCGATAGGCAGATGACCGACAATAAGTTAGATCATACCCGGGTGATATGGCACATAGATTGTTGAACAATAGAGGGACGAGTGTACAGATGTGTCGTGAGTGGTGAAGCTTGAGAAGACCGTTAGATGAAGCAACACAGTGTGTCGTCGAACAAGGAGCGAGCCGCGGTACTTGAACTTGGAGCATAACGGGTTCAGACCCGTGCATCCTGTGTGGTACGAGTCGCGTTCGCCTTGCAGTGACGCCTGCAAATGATTCGAGATTAGCTATGCCTTCAGTTGGTAGAAATGAATCGGCCGACCGTCTGGTTCGGCGCAAGGGGCCGCCGGACTGCCCGCCAGAATAGCCTGGATGGCGAGGACAGGTCGCCGTCTGGTGCCGCCTTAAAGCATCTTTCCTACTAAATTCGATCTCGCAGAACTCGCATGTCGCCCGCCCGACGCCCAAATGTCGAGACGATATATGGCGGGCAAGCGTACGGACCGTATGATAAACATGCGCGCTCGGACAGGGTTCGCCGTTCAAGGTCCACTGACAGACCAGCGCGCATGCAGCATTGGATTGGCCGCCACCAGCGCTGCTCGCGTTTCCGCATGGAATCGCATCCTCGTGGTGTTCCGTCAGATGTCGCATCATTCCTCCGCTGCGGTGATCGTCCAGCATGATGCCGCATGGACCCCAAAGGCAGGGCTGGAGTGCAGGATGAACCTGGGATGGGGCCACATTTTGATGTCGCGCAGCGACACTATTACTTTCGCTGAAAAGAGCAGTCCGATAATTCAGACAACGGCTTCATAAGGTAAAATCCAGCCCGCGAAAGTCACTGACGTACCGTGTGCTAGATAAGGCCGGGATTACCGGATAACTCGAAGTCTGGCTTGTTATTGGAGTCTAAAATTGCATCACGCTTCATCAGTCGCGTGGTCATAGCGAAGAAGAGATGCACCAACTGGTTGCCAGGAATATTGCGTATCCGCAGGCTGTGAGACATTGTGGTTCGTAAAGTTGCCATAAATAGACGGCTGTTCGAGACTGGACCGGTGGCAAAGTCGTGAGAATACAACGTCCTTCCTGCTGACGTTCGTGACTCACTATCCATACGGTGCCGCTGTCCACCGATGATGCTCCTGGGGTCTTCCTGATGGCGCGAAACCGGGCTGAGGGCCGGAGGCCGTGTGTGGAACCGACAGAGGGGCGTAACGAACGGGGTACTGGCTGGAGTGAGACATGCCAAAGATTGGGATGAGGGGCGTCAATAGGCGTCGTGAAGATATACAGTTGCAAGTTTGCAGGGCCGCTGTTCGTCGTACCTACAACATATATATCATGCAGCATCTACAGCCGGTGGAAAGGCAAACCCGCGTGCAAACCACGTTTTGTTCATATTTGGAAGGTAGGGAGAGTTCAACGAGGACCGTGGACGCGTGCCTGTCATGTCAATGTCATCGCGGAGTCGAAGCTTGTGGTGGTGGTCGCTGGGCGTCTAATGTATGTCAACCGCGACCGACGATGAGCGCGACCCCACAGTCATTGAGAAGTTCCGACGCATAGAAACGGCACGAGCGTAGGTTTTCAGTGTCGCAAGCCCTTCCCTGAGCCCGGCATCGACCGTCGGCTTGTATGCCTGCACTCAGCTGAGACGAGCCAGCTTCAGGCCCCACTGCAGTACCACCTATGTCGGCACTGTGTTTGAGTTCGTGCCAGTGAAATCAGTGGAAATTGACCCACCTCACAGCCCGCCACGTTGATTCCAGGCGTATTGGCGTTGCAAGATTGCCACTGTAAAAAAAGTGCCGCCATTCAGGAGGGCGGATGATCCTTTGATTGAAGTCTATTCTGCTTGCCCGGAAGGCACGCACTCGGAAGCTCGTGAATTGCAGGAACGTGTGCGACGGATGGCGAAACAGACTCCGGGGTGCAAGGCCTACGCAGCCAAGGCGGACTTGACAAGGTTGGCCCACCCGCAGGGGAAGCACGATGTGGACGCATATCACTAGCGAGTAGTGCAACAATGCGCTCCCGGGCACCATACACACGACGAACAAGCCAGCCTCGTTCACGGCTCGTTGTTGACATCGCACCCTCTCCTTCACCACTAGAATCAGGCTTTGCAACCGTGCTGCCAACTCGTGACACGCCACACTCCCAGGGTTCTGCCATATTTGGCAGATTTGTGGCGGGCGCGCACTCGTGTGATACAGCCAGTCGGCCTGCAGAGATGGACCATAATCTATATCACCACGCACCCTGATACGAATGATTTGCCACAGGGTCGAGTCACAGTCAGTGATGACTGCCCCAAGGCTGTCCATAGAATGGGAGGGCATTGACCTACGTGTGGCCTTCTGAGCTTGAGAGCTGCCTATATTGGTAAGCCGGGCCCAACAGGACCACCGCGCCCGTACCACAGAAATCACAGCTTGACTGCGCTTGCGGTCGGATGCATGCCTCGGTGGCCCTAAGGAAAACGATGCTTCTGCCACCGATCCCCGTAGGGCGGAGGGCGGAGGAAATCCTATCGGCATCGACGAGGCGGGCGGACCACAATCTGCAGTGGTCTGATGGCGGGTGATATGTCAATGCAGAGAAGAAGTCTCGACGGGGATGCAGCAGCAGAGCAGACATGAGGCGAAGGGACGGCCTGAACGCTCAATAACGCCACTAGATTCTCACCATGCACACGTCGCAGTGACATTCGTCTTTAAATGTTATTCCTCCCCACACCGCCCCTCACTCTTCGTCAGCAATCTTGACAAGCAGCTTACCGACCGTCTGCCCGCCAGTCAGGTCCTTCTGCGCCTGCTGCACGCCCTCGCTCGTGAGCGAGTACTCCTTGTGGACCTGCACCTTGAGCTTGCCCTCGGAGGAGAAGCGGAAGAGCTCAGAGGAGTAGAAGCGTCCCTCCTCGGCCGTGTAGACGTAGTTGCCCATCCTGCGCAGCGCGTCAGCTTCGCATTGCATGAAGGGAATAAGGAAACGCACGTAGGTCGGAGTAGCTTGAGGTTCTTCTCCACGAGCTTCAATGGCGGGAACGGCGGAACGGCGCCCGATGCGTTCCCGACGGACACGAGCGTACCCTTGCGGCGGAGCATCTTGAAGTTATCCTCAAAGCTGCAATAGCCGGGCCCTGTGAGATTCGCGCACTCAGAACAGTGGGCCGACCGACTCACGTATCCTTCCCCACTCCGTCAAACACAGCATGTACGCCCTCGCCCTTCGTGATCTCCAGCACCCGCTCAACCACATTTTCGTCCTTATACAGGATAACGTGGTCCGCGCCGTAGCTCTTCGCGAGCTCCGCCTTCTCTTTAGTCGACGTCGTCCCGATCACGATCGCGCCGCGCTCCTTCAGCAGCTGCGCGAACTGCAGGCCGAGCCCGCCCGCGATGGTATGCACGAGGATGTAATCCCCCCGCTGGACGTTGTACGACTCCGTGATGAATGTGAGGGCGGTTAGGCCCTGGACGAACAGGCCCGCGGCGGTCTGGAGCGACACGGACTCGGGGACGGGGAAGACCTTGGTCCAAGGGATGCTCGCGTATTCAGCGAATGTTCCGACGTTGCCGGCGTACTGGACTGGCATGAGCACGTCTCCTCGACAGAAAGGGGGATGCAACGCACAGCAGCCACTTTCGATCCAACCTTTAACCCCCGCTTCTTGAACTCCTCATCGTTTACGACGCTGGGATCGGACGGGAGCGCAGCAACGGTGCCCGCGCCTTCTGTGCCAAGCACGTATGGGAATTGGTCGATCTTATAGAGTCCCTTCCTGTTCGATCGTAGGCGATCTCAGCCCCATTGAAGCACATCCAGCGCGCGCCATGCGGCAACGGGCAGGTGGATTACGCACTCACCTAAAGTACGTATCAATGAAGTTGACACCGCCGTAGTGCATCTATAGGGACCCACGGCGATCGAGATTAGCCTCGGTTATGGAGACGGACATGTAGAAGACGTGCCTTTACGAGTACATTGCCGGGTGCATTCTCTGGGAACGGCAACGTCAGGTTCTCGATCACGTCGAAGTCGCCCGTCTTGTGGATGCCGACGGCTTTGATGTGTGACGGGAAGGACATCTTTCGGCTAGCGGAGGTCGAGAGGAAGCGGGATACCTGCGCAAGTCTGCGGGGAGCTCTGGGTCCAGTGATCATAGCAGGCTTTATGTAGGTGCAGATTGAGTACGGAGATTATATGCTTCTTGCTGAGTCACTTGCTGTAGCACTCGAGATCACGTCACAGCACGCAGCTTTGGTTGTCCCGGGAGTAAGGAGTAGTACATCTGTGCGTGCCTTGAGGTTAGAGCAGCGGCCAGCCGGCGAAACCGCAAGTGACCTGGGAGGGAGCGAGAGGGCGTCGGCCATCGTCCGGGCGATAGAGTAAGGCGGCCCGGACGATTGGTAATGGTGCAGGAGTCCAACATAAAATGAATATTCGCGTTTCTTGCATCGGACATGCTGGACTGGCTGCATACTGCGCATAGACCACAGGAGACGTGCCAAGTAGCGACAAAACCTCAGTACGCTGCTACGCAATTAAGATAGCAGAGCTGGACTGGAGCAGATGAGTTGCGCTGTATTCCCACGCGCTGTGAGCTGGTTTGACTCATTCGCGCCCTTGGGTTGATCGATCGAGATGCAGCATCGCGAGATCCCCGCGTGGGCCTCCATCTGCCTCCATACGAGCATCCTCCAACGCTCAACGTCCCCAGCCGATTTATACGAGCTGTTGACCTGATGTGTACCTATCACAATAACTATGTACGCTTTATACCAGTAAATCGTATTCGTCGGAATACGGACCGAATGATCTACTTACGTAGCGAAACCAAGATTCGAGCCCGATACAGTACATGCATGCATATGACGCGCGACAATCACATGTCGCGCACGGCGATGGGCTACAGTGAACTTGAAAGGTCGCCGTCGTACACCATCATCATCTCCTCGCTGGCCCATGTCCCCTACGCGGTAGAGACGCTTACTCTACCTGCATACCACTTCGACTGTACCACTAGCCCATCTGCCACGTGTCCGAGATATCTCAGCGAAGTGCCAGTGACGAGATGTCGATCAGGAATCGGCTTGTCAACGCCAAGGGTGCTCCGCGCCCTTTGCTTTTGCTCATATTCTCCTTGATTCTCCTCCGCTCTCGCCTGTACACAGGACCAAGATCAGCAATACGCAGGTTGAGGGCAACTGCGTCCAAGCAGAACATCAGCGAGGAGGAGTTAACGCGGGCACTGCAGCAAGTATACGTGAAGGATGCGGATGGAACGACGCGACTTCTTGTACCTCATGAAGGTCACATCGAGCAGGTACGTTCGTACTCTCTCCGCTGTCTCTTCTGGAACGCTGGCAGAGCACAGTGTTGCTCACGTCCGCTCAACCCAACCAGATCCCCATCCGCCCCACGCCCCCATCTGTCATCGCTGACAATGCACGCAACTTCCCTCCCATCCCTGCCGCACACAAGCCCGGAATAGACAAGACCTTTCTTAGACAACTGCTCGCCATCCTTCGCGTCGCATTACCGACCTACCGCTCCAAAGAGGCCTTCATCCTCTGCGCACACACCTTCTTCCTCGTCTTCCGCACCATCCTCAGCGTCGCCGTCGCACGTCTCGATGGCCGGATAGTGCGCGACCTCGTCAGCGCGGACGGGAAGGGCTTTCTGAAGGGGCTGGGGCTATGGTTTGCGCTTGCGGTTCCGAGCACGTACACGAACGTCATGGTGGGTGGTATTCTGGGATCGGTTGTGGAACGCGCGCTGACGCGCGCCTTCGCAGATTCGCCACCTCCAAGCGACGCTTTCACTGAGGCTGAGGACACGCCTGACGCGATACACGGACGACGTGTACCTGTCATCGTCGCCAGAGTTGCGATACTATCGTGTCGCGCTAGAAGGCGGACTGGACGACGTCGACCAGTACATTACGTCTGATATTGCCTCGTTCTGCGACTCTCTCACCGGTATTTAGTACGTCTCCCATAGCGCGTGTTGTTTGCTTCAGTCCACTGACAGGATGCATGGAACAGCGGGAACGTCCTGAAGCCCTCTCTAGATCTCATCCTCTTCACCTCTCAGCTCTCACGGACCCTCGGATTTCGAGGCACGTTCCTGCTTGGGCTGAACTACTATGTCACTGCTAGGATCCTGCGCGCGGCGACGCCCGCTTTCGGGCGACTGGCTGCGGTCGAGGCTCAGCTCGAAGGAGAGTATCGCGCCGGGATGGGGCGTGTTGATAGGGAGAGCGAGGAGATTGCGTACGTGCCTATTTGGAACGTGCCGTGGAAGGCGGACAGGCATCTGATAGGCACATAGCTTTTACAGCGGCGGGCTCCGGGAGAGGAGCATCCTCTGGAAAGCTTACTTGAGGCTTATTCGGCATGTCAACTCCATCTACAAGGTTCGAGTCGTTGTTCCTACGTACTGCAAGCAGCCCCGGCTAATTGACCATGTATCAAGATTCGCATTGCATACGAGTGGACGGAGGACTTCGTTATAAAGTACTTGTGGAGTGCTGCCGGATACTGTCTCATTTCCATCCCCGTCTTCCTCACACGGCGAAGACATGTCGGCGTACAAGCAGGCATACCGACGGTCTCAAGGCCCAATGACGAGGTCGCGAACCGCACCGAAAGTGAGCCATCGCCGTCTCCCCCACAGTACCAGTCACTCACCGCACGCTTCAGCCTACATCTCCTCCCGCCGCCTGCTCCTCTCCCTCGCCGACGCAGGCGGACGCGTCATGTACGCTTACAAAGACCTGCTCGAGCTCGCGGGGCTCACCACGCGTCTCTACTCCCTCCTCGCAACCCTACACAACCTGCCTCCTCTCCCGCCCACATCCGACGCCGCGCATGAGGACCGCATCGAGCTCAGGGACGTCGACGTCGGCATACCCAGCGTCTCGCCCGCCGTCATCGCCGGGGTGCCAGAGAAGACTGGGTCGTCGTGGATCCTGGTTAAGGACCTGTCGCTGGTGCTCCGCCAGGGCGAGCACTTGATGATCACGGGGAGCAACGGCGTCGGAAAGACTGCTGTAGCGAGGGTCCTCGCGGGCCTCTGGGCAGCGCAGGGCGGCGGAGAGGTGAAGCGTCCCGCGGGGAAGCAGGGCGTGTTTATCGTCCCGCAGAGAGCGTACATGGTGACTGGGTCCCTACTGGATCAGTGCGTCTGCGTCTGCATGTTGAGCCTGGAACCGCGCTGATGTGGGAGACAGGATCATCTACCCGCACTCGTATCCGGAGTTCTTGGAGTCGGGCAAGACGGAGCAGGACCTGATGGACATCTTGGCCGCGGCGAACCTTGCGTACTTGCCCGCTCGGGAGGGAGGCTGGTCCACGAGGAAGGAGTGGCGCGATGTGCTGAGTGGCGGCGAGAAGCAGCGGGTGGGTCTGAAACCCTACAGTCCTACACTGACATGGCTCACGGCGGGTATGCTCCCAGATGGGCCTTGCGCGAGTGTTCTACCACATGCCGAAGTTCGCGGTCCTTGATGGTGCATGACATTATGTGACTTCCTCTATATGCGTCTAACACAACCGCTCCGCCCACAGAGTGCACAAGCGCCGTCTCCAGCGACGTCGAAGGGCGGATGTATGAGCATGCAAAGTCGCTCGGCATAACGCTCATCACCATCTCGCTGCGCCCGTCGCTGATGCGTTATCACACACAGCTGCTCACGCTCGCGGGGGACGGCACGGGAAGGTGGACGTTGACGCGCATCGGCACCGCGGAGGAGCGCATGGGCATCGACCGCGAGGTCATCACGCTCGAGAGCAAGCTCGCGGAGGTTGAACAGTGGGAGGCACGCGTTCAGGAGCTAAACCAGATGCTTTCTGTGCAGGAGCAGTGATTGAGGATACTGTATGGATATCGGGTTTTGTCGATGTATTGCAATCGATATTGTGGAGTAGACAATGTGTTACATGGGAAACCGCCGAAGCCATGGCTTCGGACTGTTAATAAGTACAATGACGATGGGGACAGCTAAAAGACTCGAGTACAGTAGGCAGATGAGGGTCATGACGTCGTCCTGCGAGACAGTTTGAGTGTCTAAGCTTGAAGCTTGAAGTTGAACGTTGAAGCTTGAACTACTGTACGTTCTAAGTACCAACGTTCTAGCGACACCTCTTCCGTGCGCTTCTACGACGGGGAGGCCCAGTGGCACAGATACACTACTAAGTAGCCCCTCAATCGTGCAACACTACGAGCGTCTGCGTTGTGCTCTGCAGTTTGGCGATCTCCATTGGCCAAAACTCCTTTTGTGGAAATACCAGGGTGAGATGTTGCAAGCGTTCCACAGAGGTAGCATCTCGACGATTGCACATCGAGGACGTGATAGCTCGCACGACCTGCTCCGATTCGGCAGCGGACCCTGGAAACGGCACACCATCCTCCGTCGCAGTGAATTCGAACCGGATACTTTTCAGCTTCGGCCATGGCAGCGGCTCATGCTGTGATGGCGTGTCGGGTCCAATATCACGTAGGAAGTTGAAGAATAAGGGATCTGGGCCACCAAGACACAGGTCCTCGATATGCGGGAATGCGCTGTATAAGCGACTCCAATTGTTGCCAAACGTATCGTAGTTGTCATCTTCGCCTTGGACCAATATGCGTAGTGTTAATACGGACGAGGGGAATACCATTGGCAGCTCGTTAACAATCTGCTCCTGAAGATAGCCCTTGTTCCATCTCCCGTGCATGGCGTGTGACAAGGTGAATGACGACGGACCACTAGTCTGAGCCTCATCCCGTCCAGATGCTACCAATTCTAGGTGTTGACTGCCAATTGTCACCTGCACGCCCTGTAGCGCGGAGAAAACGGGTAGAGCTGTCTTGTCGGCCGGAATAATGCCTGCGAGCAGGGTTGACAGCTCGTTACTATCTTGCTCGTCGTACTCTCCGAAGTCTGTGGAGATGTCGATTCTGACGGTGCGTGGAAGAGAGAGATGTGCAAGAAGAAAAGACAGGCTCGGGTATTCGAAGTCAACGTCGTCCAAATCGAAATTGCTGAGGTCAAGTCGTCGTAGGTGCCGTAACTCCACGATGTTTTGGCCAGCGTGTATAGGGGGAACGATAGATTCAAAGGGTGCTATGGGAGAGTCAAGCACGAGACACTCCAGGGCAGGACAACTGCCCAATGCGTCAAGCAGTGCGTTCCAGCTAGCGTACGGCACGTAGTCCAACTTGAGCGATGTCAGAGAACGCAGGCTGGCAATGCTCGCAGGTACTCTGACCTCGCAGAGTGTCAAGGACTCCAGATTTGGGAAGCGGTCACCATGTATGCTGATAGCCCCGTTCGGAGGTGGAATGGATGCAAAGAAGGTCCATAGCATGTCGTCGCAATCGTCGATGGTCAAGGAAGAAATCCGCTCCATGCGATGCTCGATCCAGGGGTAAGAGCTGCACGTGTCCAGTTGCGCGACTCGATGCGAATGCGGGGAGAGCGCATTCAGAAGGGAAGCTGGAGAAGCACTGGCAGGGGTACGCTGACCCTGCATCGCGATGGAGAGGCTGACATCCCCCGATCGGGTTAAGTACATCTCGAGGATGTGTAGCGGCATCGCGATCGTCACATCGGACCATAGCATCGGCAAGGAAACCGCGATATCGTACCAGTGATGGCAGACGAGTAGTACGGTGACGAACGACCAGTGCCGAGGATGTTGCAGTCGTACAAATCGAAGGATCTCCGCAAACAGCTCGGTGGGAAGCTGGTTGATCGGTACTGTCATATTGAGGAGACAGTGTAGCTTGACGAGGTACTTTCGCAGAGATGCAGGGTCCTCAAGGCGTAAATGTTGCACGACGGCATCAGGGAATGGCGAAGGTGGGCGGATGCCACCGTGGGCCACATCCAATTCGGAAGCCATTGCGTTACTGGTTCCTGAACCGTAAGACGTACGGGGACGAGACAACTATGAGTCGACGTTGAAGGCGTTAAGGATGGTTCATTACCCGTACCGTGTCTCGTTGTATCCAGCTACCCTTCTGCCCGTGTAGGACGTTGCGTCACGGCTCGAACTTGCCTGGGTCGAACGCAGCTTGGAGAAGACGCGCGACTTCTTGCTAACGTCTATGTTTGTGAGTCAGATTGTGCACTAGTCATACATAGTAACGAAGTCAGATATCACCTCGGACTGTTACACTTGAGTGACTGGGTGAGTGCAAGCCTGGTGTTCGTGCGAGACGTGCGGTCTGCCTATGGGAGACTAGTGACACGGTAGTAAAGCCGTACCATACCTTGCGTAGCTTACATAATCCACTGTCGTGTACATCGCGCATCGGGCGCGCAATGCGATCTTGACTTCGCCGTCATCCCCGCCTCGCCGCCGTTCGCTTACAGTGAGTTTTGGTAAGCTTCACATTGCTCCTACGACCTGCTGAACATGCTGTTGTAAAATTTTGGCTGAAGCAAAGTCATATAGTGCTGCCTCCCCCTGTCGTCAAGACACCGGATGAAACTTTCGATCCTTCAAGTGAAAGATCGATAAAATTGACAAAATCTTTTTCACGATATTTCGTATGAAAGATTGTCAATAAAAGTCAGAAACAATCAATTAATCATTCAGACTCGAAGTATCAGGAACAGATCACAGAAGGATTCATTGACAAGTGTCTTTGATCTGTTTGTGATCCTCTAGGCAAATGATTGAGAACATGATATTCAAAAATTCTTGAACACTATGTGGCTCAATTGTTCTGAAAGGATTGAAAACAGATTGTCACATGGGGTGTTACAATCTTTTCTCAATCTTTCAGGCTGTCACAATCTGTTTCAAATCCTTCCAGCTGTTGATATCTTGGTGAGATTGGAAACAATTTGTATCCCAGGGGTTCAAAACAATTTGCCCAAAAGGATTGACAAGAGATTGTGACACTAGCTGTGACACTGTGCCACTTCCCTATGACAGAGCAGTGAAGGCAATTATGCCAAACCTATGATAAGCTGCCTTCTGCTGGTATGCTCAGTCATTTTTGGTCCCTCATTCATTGCCTGCCATCACATGAGTCTCATTAGATGCACTCAGTGTATAGGGTTGTACTTGTGATTGTACATTCCTAGAGATGTGCATCTCATTGTATGACTAATGAACATGTCCCAGACCTGTGCATGTCCAGATGCAATGAAAGAGGGACCAAAATTGACTGAGCATACCAGCAGAAGGCAGCTTATCATAGGTTTGGCATAATTGCCTTCACTGCTCTGTCATAGGGAAGTGGCACAGTGTCACAGCTAGTGTCACAATCTCTTGTCAATCCTTTTGGGCAAATTGTTTTGAACCCCTGGGATACAAATTGTTTCCAATCTCACCAAGATATCAACAGCTGGAAGGATTTGAAACAGATTGTGACAGCCTGAAAGATTGAGAAAAGATTGTAACACCCCATGTGACAATCTGTTTTCAATCCTTTCAGAACAATTGAGCCACATAGTGTTCAAGAATTTTTGAATATCATGTTCTCAATCATTTGCCTAGAGGATCACAAACAGATCAAAGACACTTGTCAATGAATCCTTCTGTGATCTGTTCCTGATACTTCGAGTCTGAATGATTAATTGATTGTTTCTGACTTTTATTGACAATCTTTCATACGAAATATCGTGAAAAAGATTTTGTCAATTTTATCGATCTTTCACTTGAAGGATCAAAAGTTTCATCTGGTGAGAGGCTAGCTTATCGTGAGAAGTTCAACTGGTACGAGTACTGGCGCCCTGTGGCACCTTTGGTCCTTGCGCGCGAACAGACGCGAACGCCCTTGGCAATTGCAAGCCTACGACTGCTCTCAGGCTAGCGTAGCTGACAGGTGGGTGTATACTAGTAGTCATGACGTCTAGGTTGATTTTAATCGTGGGTGTAGGCAGTTGTACATATACGGGTTGCGTCCCAACGAGTACGTAGAGTACTGGAGTTGAAGCACGGCCTCTCAAGAATCGACTCATGCCCGAGCCACAAAGTGCTCTACCAAGTACATAGCTGCAGCAAAAACAGTGCGTGTGCTGGCCTAATAACATCGCTTCGTCTGAGTCGGCTACTCATGAGTCGTAAGGTACTCCAACAGGACTCGGGCTTCAGAGCAATGGACACCAGTCGCGACATCCGTCCCCCATCCCCACTCCATGATGCAGTCCTGCAACATCTTCCCCTTGAGGACCCTATAGCTCTACGAAGGTGCCTCGTCAAGCTACATTGTCTCGTGAACTCGACAGTACCGATCAACACGTTGCCCGCCGAAGTGCTCGCGGAGATCCTCCGATTTGCACGTCTGCGACGTCCCCCACACTGGTCTTTCACCACGGTACTGCTCGTCTGCCATCATTGGTATGACATCGCAATATCGTGGCCGAGCCTATGGTCCGACATAACGATTGCCATGCCGCTGCGTATTCTGGAAGTGTACTCAAGTCGATCGCGCGGCGCTGGCCTCTCTCTCACGACCCAGGGTGGACGCACCGCTATCGGGGCTCCCCCAGATGCCCTACTGCGTGCGCTCTCCCCCCACTTCCATCGGGTTGCGCAATTAGACACGTGCAGCTCTCAACCCTGGATCGAGCATCGCATGGAACAGCTGTCTTCCCTGATCGTCAATGATGACATTATCAATCCGCTGGCCCGCTTTGCGCCAGCGAGATCGCAAGTTATCACTCTAGCTGGTGACCGATTTCCACGACTGGAATCCCTCATTCTCCGCCAGCTTAGAGTTCAAGTGAACTTAGCCAACTTACGCTCGCTCACGTCGCTCACAATGGAGCGTGTATCGCACGCTAGCTGGAACGCACTGCTTGTCGCACTAAGCAGTTGCCCGGCTCTGCAATACCTCGAAATCGACTCTCCCAAAGTACATTCTGTGACTTTCCCTACGCATGGCAACAGTGATGTCATCAAGTTGCGGTACCTCCGAGGCCTCATTCTCGACCATTTCGACGAACACTCAGGCCTATCGTTTCTTCTCGCACATCTATATCTCCCACGCGCTGCGAAAATTGCTATATCCACGGACATGGGAGAAGGCCACGACCTGGTGACAGGGGGGTTTAACGAACTATCAACACTGATCGCAGACACCATCCCTGTTAACAAGACATTTCTACCCGTCTTCTCTGCGATACGAGACGTACAGGTCACGGTTAGCAGTCCTCGGCTACAAGTGGTGGTGTCTACGCCGAAAGAGGCTCCCGCAAGCACTCCGTCCACGTCGTTCGCCTTGTCATGTACTCTGCGAGACAGGTGGAATACGAGAGCTGTTCAAGAGCAGATCATGCTCGAGTTGCCGATGGTGTTTCCTGCGTCTTTGTCAACACTGCACATATGTGTCAAGGACGACGATGATGGCAACTATTACGGGCCATACGGTGTTAACCTCGCTGAGGTTTGGAGGGGTTTGTACGACGCATTCCCACAAATCGAAGACCTATGCCTTGGCGGCCCTAATGCAATCTTCTTCGACGATTTCCTAGGCGATTTTGGGCCTGGTGCTTCACTACAGCATCTGCCACTGCCATGGCCAAAGCTGAAGCGTGTTTGGTTTGAATACACTGCGACGGCGGATGGGGCGCTGCTGGGAGGGCCTGACGAATCAATGCGTATCATATTAGCAATTACTACCACGATGTGCAATCGTCGAGACGCCGCCTCTGCGGAACCCTTGCAACATCTGACGGTGATACTTCCAACGCTGGGGGTTCAAGTGGGGATGTGCCTCTCGAGATTGCGGAGCACAACGCAGAAACTCGTTGTTCGCGATATCCGTGGACAGGGAATCGTGCTGGAAAACTGAGGTCCCCCGAGTCGTTGCAACTTCAAGTGGGCATCGGCGTCGTATGAAGGCCAGGACTGTGACTTCGGAGGAGGTATCGGTCGTCCAAGTTACTGGAGACGTGTTAACGTAAATTCATGTACATTATGAAGATGGTACGATCTCTTTGCCATCGCCTCTGTTATCCTGGGCAGCCTTCGGCGGTTGTGACTCTGAGGCTCTGCGTCGGGAATTTCCATATATAGGAATTGATGCGCCATCACGTGCACCCCTGTTCCGATAAGTTACCTTCGTACGATAGCTCACAGTCACAGGCGCCTCCTCCACTCTCCTCCATCTCCAACCAACTGCACCCGCCTTTGCTGGCCGCATACTGCATAGATATCTCAGGCTGTCAACTCCGAGTCAGTGTTCACGGCCCTTCGACTCAGGCGTGTAGGGCGGGTAGGAGCGGTGCCGTTCCCCACGATCTGACTCAGCACGCCCTCGGCTTGAATAAATTGGACGAAGAGTCGCGGAAAGCATTCATCGCCTTTACTCGCCCTACATTCATGTCTGCAGCTATAACCTCGACGTCGCAAGAGACGGGCCCTAATCCCACGCCGTCACGAAACCGAAAACCTAAGGGACATCCTCGAGGAGAGTTCTCTGCTCCTTCCGCCCCTGCTGGTCCATCTACTGCTAGGGAGCAGCCGAGGTGGCAGAGAAGGCCTGCTGCAGAGACTGGGGATAGGTCAATGCAGAATGCTGGTCCTGTCCGCGGCGCGGGCGTGGACGCTGTCAATACCAATGGTTCAGGAAGTCCCTCACAGTCCAGGTCTGGCAGCCGCCCGCCACGCCGCCGTCATCGAGCGAATAAAGATGCGCAAGGCGGGCAGTCTAATACAGCTGGGGTAGCAAGGGCACCCATCTCCTCTTCTGGAGACGCTGGTACCACGTCGGAGAAGCCATCTGCTGCGACCACGGGGAAGAAGACGAATCGTCGCGGGGCCAAGTTCAAGGGTTCCCTGTCGGAGACTACGTCTAGCAATGCAGTCGACGGTAAATCCGCAACAGACTCCAAACCTTCTGATAAATATCGTGTCGCGGTCCCCAAGGGCGACGACCTCACTTCGAGGCTGATTTACGAACTCTCCACGCCACCTTTCCCCGACTGTCTCATCTGCTTCGCTCCCATGCACCCAGCTCAACCCACCTGGTCGTGCTCACCGTCCAACCCTGTCTCAACGATCCTCGACGACGATTCGGAGCACCGACGCGCCGGCGAAACCGCGCAGTGCTGCTGGACGACATTTCACCTGAAGTGCATTCGATCCTGGGCAGCCAAGAGCGTCAAGGACATCGTCGAGGCATGGCGGGCTCGAGGAGAGGAGCGAGAAGGTGTATGGCGGTGCCCTGGGTGTCAGTCAAAGCGGGTTCCGGTACCTAGCAGCTATTGGTGAGTACAGATGTGCTTGTATGCGCGCATATATGCTAATATACTCATGAAGGTGCTTCTGCGGATCGACCCCCGAGCCCAAATCATCCCGTCTAGCGACCCCGCACTCGTGCGCTAATCCGTGTTCGCGGCCACGCGTCTGTGGGCACGCCTGTCCCCTATTCTGCCATCCCGGCCCTTGTCCTCCCTGCCAAGTAACGACCTCGCTACCCTGTCACTGTGGAAAGGATACTCTCATGTTCCGGTGCTCCAGCCTGGCACCTAGCAAGGCGACCAACAGGGCCGCCGCCGAGCTTTCCTGTGGAAAACGATGCGGGCGCAAGCTCAGGTGTGGTAACCATGAATGTGAGGACATCTGTCACCTAGGACCATGTGGCCCCTGCAACGTACGCGACCTCGTCAAGTGCTACTGTGGACGCGAAGAGAAGGAGGTACCCTGTGGTGACGGTGAGGAGCATCAGTGTGCCCTCGATGATGGAGGGAAGGAGACTAGATGGGTCGGTCGTTACCAGTGCAGCCATCCCTGCGACAGACCGTTCGACTGTGGTATACACCGCTGCGCTAAGCCATGCCACTCACCTTCACCGACTCCCGCTTCTTGCCCGCGCTCTCCGTCCGTCGTCGCGCATTGTCCATGTGGCAAGCACTCGCTCGACCCGTCCTCGGCGTCACACTTCCCACCGGGAACAAAGTTGCCCCGCACGACGTGTACGGATCCCATCCCGACCTGCGAATCGATCTGCATGAAGCTACTCGAAGGGTGCGATCATGCCTGTGCGGTACGGTGTCACACTGGCTCTTGCCCGCCGTGTACGATCATGATTGTCCGGCCGTGCCGCTGTGGCTCGACGACACGAGACATCCCCTGTTTCGAGGCTCGTTCTTCCGAAGAGGGCGGGGAAGAGATTCTTTGCAGCAAGCCATGCGGCGCTCTGCGTGCGTGCGGGAGGCATCAATGCAACCGCCTGTGTTGCCCGCTGGCCACCGTCGCAAACGCGACGAAAGGGAAAGGGAAGGGAAAGAAGTATGCCCAGGACTCTCGCATCCTGGACGAGGCTGGCTGGCACGAGTGCGACCTGCCCTGCGGAAAGTTGCTCGCATGCGGGAATCACTATTGTGAGCTCCGTGATCACCGCGGCGCTTGTCCCTCTTGTCTGCGGAGCTCGTTTGAAGAGATGATTTGCAACTGCGGGCACACCATTCTCGAGCCTCCCATCCCGTGCGGGACGCGAATCAACTGCCACTTCCCATGTGCTCGTCCACCGCTGCCTTGCGGTCACCCGAAGGCCCAGCATGCCTGTCACGAAGACCCGATGCCGTGCCCCCCATGTCCGTTCCTTGCCAGCAAGCGCTGTGCCTGCGGCAAGAAGACGGTGGATAACGTCCGCTGCTCGCAGGAGAAGGTGTCGTGTGGAACGCCCTGCGGGAAGCTACTCTCGTGCGGTTTCCATCACTGCGAGCGACTCTGCCACGGCGATGAGTGTGGGCCGTGCCATGCGACATGCGGAAAGCCGAGGAAGCTCTGTTTGCCTGCGCTGCATCCTTGCGCTCATCCATGCCACGCACCTGCCGCATGCGACGAGAGCGAACCCTGTCGTGCGATTATCCACATTTCTTGTCCGTGTGGGCGCATCCGACAGCCGATCGCTTGTGGGCGGAGCATGAGCAACACAGCCGGACGAGAGGGCTCGCAGTCGCTGAAGTGCTCGAACGAGTGCATGGTAGCGAAACGCAATGCGCGGCTGGCTGAGGCGCTCGGCATCAATCCCGACAAGACGGGTCCCGCGAAGGAGGTTGTGTACAGCGACGAGTTGCTCACCATCGCGCGTCGCGAGCCCAAGTTCTGCCAGATGGTCGAGAAGAGTTTCGCGGACTTCCTCAGCTCGGAGAAGAAGAGTCAGGTATTGGCGCACATGCCGGAGCCGAGGCGTAAGTTCGTGCAAGCGCTGGCGGGCATATACCGTTTGGACAGCCAGATCGTCGACCAAGAACCCAACCGCAGCGTGCAACTCATCCGGAGGATCGATACCCGCACACCAACCCCTCTACTCTCCGTCGCCGCTGCTGCCGCGCCTACGACCAGTATGCCTACACACAATCTGGGGAAGCTCACCGACCTGCGCAGTCCTGGGTCGGGACTCCAGCCTCTTAACAGACCGAAAGCGATCCCTGCGCCTGTGTCGACCCCAGCACCGGTCTGGAGCGCAAGTGCCGGAAGTTCTTCCGTGGGAGGTTGGAGAGCGGTTGTGACTGGTCAGACCCCGCAGTCGCAGCGCCGGCCTGCGAATGCGTGGGGCTCGCCAACGAGCAGCGCGTCCCGGCCTCCTTCTCGTCCGACGGCCCCTGCGACACCACTCAGAGTGTCGCCAACGCCTGCTGCTTCCTCGACGAGCGTGCAGGCCCCAGCAGATGTACCTAATGATTGGGAGGATGACGTTTGAGTAATAGATGGACTGGACACGTAGAAATAGATTGCATGTAACAACACGCCAAGTAACTTATCCTTACTAGCCAATGCGAAACGAAAGCGAAGGTCGATTTCACAAAGAAGGACGCCGGAGTGTGATCTGCACCTGCGAAGGGCACCTGCTTGACGGCGCATTCGCAGGGCAGCTGAGCAATGTGAGTATCATGGTCGTACATCATTTCCGTCAGTACGAGCTGACAGGGCCTCGTTGTGTAGGAGGAAACCACAACGTACGGTTTGATCAGAGCCCTCAATTGCTGTTTAAGTATCATTGCCGCCTCTACCGGTACATCATATTGTCTCGGACGTCGTAGACGGGTCCGAGAGCACCATCCTGGCACCATCAATGCTCTATTGTGACCTGCAGAAACCTCAGGCTGGGGTCAAGTCCAACACCAGCTTGCACTTGGGAGTTGTACCTCAACAATCCTAGACAGCTCGCCCAACTCCAAGCGATTCCGCATTTAAATCTTACGGTTCCTCGTGAACCAAGAACTCCGTGTCTTCATCGTCACTCGCTAGGTCTTCTTTGATGGTAAACACGAGCTCCTCGGTCGCGCTCCGTAATCGTGCCAAGTATGCCGCTAGCTCGGACGGTGCCTCCGCGAAGACCAGGTCGAGATGTTGCAAGCGTTCGATGAAACCATTAACACGACTCCGACTGCATATCGACGCAGCAATATTGTGCATGATTGAGTTACGGTGCCACTCGTCTGATTCACCCGCGTTTGCAGTGAACTCGAGTCGTACACGCTTCAGTTTCGGCCATGGCAGCGGAGCACAGTGCTCACGCCGCTGCTGCGGTGGCCACGGGTCCAGACTCGGATCCGGCGGACGCATGTCTTCAAGGAAGTCGGTGAAGAACTCCAGGGATGGGCCGCCGAGATCAAGTTCTTCAATATGCGGGAACGTGGCGTATAGACCCTCCCATGACAAGCCTTGGTTACTATTGTACGGCACATGCGAGTCGTAGCAATCATCGCCATTGATGTATAGGCGGATTGTCGTCACAGAGGGGGGGACAGTGTTCCTAGCTCGAGTACAATTCGCCTTTGGACGGATCTCATGTTGTATAGATTGCCTAGGTCACAGTACAGGTCGACTGACAAGGCACTAGGACATGGCTCTGTCGACGTGAATCCCTCGACTTCGAGTCGACAGTTTTTGGTTTTAACTTTGATGCTTCGTATCGCCGAAAACATGGGAAGAAGGATCTTGTCACGGGGAACAGCATCGGCAAATACTGTGACGCTCGGGTTGAGACTATCATCGTTGTAGACCGTGACGTGATGAAAGTATAAGCCTGGCTCCTTCCGGGTGGTAATGTCGATCGTGGCTGTACGCGGAAGGGAGAGATGTGCAAGGAAGAAGGCTAGACTCGTATGCCCCTCAAACTCCGTGAGGGTGAGTGTGTGGAGGTGCCGCAACTCTATTATTTGAAAATCGGCAGGTCCAGTAACAGCCATTGAGTCGGCATCAAAGTCGACAATGTCGAGATATTTCAAAGCTGGACAGCCACTGAGCGTATCGAATAGTTCGTTCCAGGTGTCGTACGACTTGGACATCCGATCGAGTACGAGCGACGTCAGATTATGCGCATCGACGATACTTGCTTTCGTCCTGACGAATTTCAGCGACCTCAGGTTTGGGAGGCGGTCACCATGTATACAGGGGGCCGGAGAATGGGAGGGCGACTCGGAAGAGCTGCGCGGCGATACAGGAATATCGTTCATGGTCAAGGAAGACAGGGATGTCATGGGGTGCTCGACGTAGGGATCGAAGCTACGTGTAGCCGGGTGCGTGATTCGGTCGAGATGCGGAGAGAGAAATCCACAAGGACTTGAGGAGTACTTGCTTTGATGACCCGCGTATCAAGTGAGAGGCCAGCTCCGCGGGACCGGCGCAGGTGTATCTCGATGATTTGAAGTGGTATTTCGAGCGTTATTTCGGTCCATAGCACCGGAGAGGAGACTGCGATGTTGTACCAATGACGGCAGACCAGCAGTACGGTGATGAACGGCCATCTCGAAGGATAAGGAGCCCGTACAAGTCGCAATATCTCCGTGAACAACTCGACAGGCAGCCTGTTAACCTGTGCGGTCGAGTTGAGGAGGGACTGCATCTTGAGTAGGCAGCCCCGTATAGCCGTAGGGTCTCGCATGCGCAGCAGAATATCATCGGGCAGGGGCGACGGTACGCGAAACTGTTCTGAGCAAGTGGGGGCATTGCACTGCCTGCGACGAATATATGAGCGGGTTCTCCACCATAACTGACTGCCGTTTGACCTTCAGATCGGAGTAAAGACCCTCCAGGCAGCGCTAGCGAGTGTGGCGGGGTTTGTCTCGATCCTATAAGTAGCGCTACGTGAAAATGACCAGGAGCACTCAAGATTGCAGATCGAGGTAGTAATGCCGCGTATGATGTCGTATGCATCGCTGTTCATAGCGGCGCACTCGAAGCGTGCACGTTTCAACTTCGGCCATGGGAGCGGAGCATGATGTGCACGCTGCGGCAGTGGTGTGGGACCAATGTCGGATAGGAATTCGTCGAAGAACCCCAGGGATGGACCGGCAAAGTCAATCGCCTCGATGTGGGGGAACATATCGTATAAGCTCTTCCAGCTCTCGATGCCAGTGGGATCTAGCCGCATATCGTAGCATTCATCGTCCGTGATACGGATGCATAGTGTCGTCGCAGATGGGAATAATAATCCTAGCTCGATCATGAGCTGCTTCTGGAGGGATCTCGTGTTGTGATTGTTGTCGAAGTCGCAATACAAGCCGACCGAGGGTTCGTGGATACCAGTATGGTCTAGTTCCGCTAGCAAGAAGCCCTCGACCTCCACACGGAACCGGTTAATCCCAACCTTGATCTTTTGTATCGCAGAGAACATAGGGAGAAGCGTCTTGTCCTGGGGAACAGCGTCAGCGAACATTGTGTATCCGGGCGATAAGTTGACGATGACACCCGAGCCGTCCATGGCGTCACGGTCGATGGGTCCCTTCCACATGGTGATGGTGATAGTAGCAGTACGCGGAAGGGCGAGATGTGCGAGAAAAAAGGACAGACTCCTGTGTCCCTCGAACTCTGAAAGATTGAGCTCCCGGAGGTGCGGCAACTCTATGGTCTGGCGGCCTGCTGGTGTGACGACGGCCATAGAGTCAGCACTGAACTTGACGAACTCGAGATACTCCAGAGATGGACAGCCGCTGAGCGAGATGAATAGTCCGTCCCAGCTGTCATAGGACATCTCATCGAGTACGAGCCGCGTGAGACAGCGCGCATTGACGATGCGTACTCTTGTCCTGAGCTCGACAAGTGTCAGGGACTCCAGCTGTGGGAGGCAGTCACCGTGGATAGAGACAACCGAAGACTGAGGAGACGAAGAGCGGTGCTGCGTGGCAGGGCTTGAATCATCCAAGGTCAAGCAAGACAAGGACATCATGCGATGCTCGGCGTAGGGATGGAAACTACATGTTTCCATGTGCGTGACTCGACTCTCGAGATGCGGAGACAGGGCCTCCTCAAGGGCGGGTTGAGGAGCACTTGCATTGATGAACCGCGTGTCAAGTGAGAGGGCAGCGCCGCGGGATCGGTGTAGGTATCTCTCGAGAATTTGAAGTGGCATTTTGAGCGTTATTTCGGTCCATAGGACCGCAGAGGAGACCGCGGTGTTGTACCAATGACGGCAGACGAGCAACACAGTTACGAGCGACGGTTTCGGATTCAGAACAGGGTACTGTGCGCATACGAGTCGCAGTCTGAGAATTTCCGTGAGCAATTCGACCGGTAGCCTGTTCACCGCCGCAGTTGCATTGATCAGGTATTGCAATTTGAATAAGCAGTCACGCATAGCTGTGTGGTTCCGAGTAGGCAAGTGCCGCAAAATATCCTCGGGAAGGGGCGACGGTATGCGAAGAAGTTGGTCTGAGTCATGATCAGAGGCCATCGCACTACCTGCCTGAGCGATATGTGAGCAGACCCTCCCTCGCTATGACATACTATCTCTGGGGAAACCTACAAGCTCGCTTGTACTGGACTTCTCCTGATGATTGCTGCGTGCTCTACGCGCAAGTGACAAGGAGCGATTCGCGATCGGAACAGCTGCAATCAAGTTGGCTGCAATTCCGAGATCGTGTCTAGTTAGAAATTCAGACACAATCAATCAAGATGTCAAGCGGCACTCACCTGAACGTTGGTTTCGCGACAGAGATGTACAGAGAGCCAGGACCGACTGGGCAGCCTAAGTCGCGGTGTCGAGCACTGAGCTTGCTGTCACAGTGTGACCGTGGCAGGCATGTCACGCGGCCAAGAACATACGGCGCCGGCGACTTCGACTCTCAGCATCACCTCAAATCGCTACAACGACAAACCCCATGAGCATCAGACGATATGATCGAGTCTCGAGGACGAACAGAGCTACATGCACAGAGATGGTACATGTTTTATTATATACTACACCGAACCCTGGTGTTTATATAACGTCGACGACTTGGCGTTCATACCGTGACATAGGTTCCTTCGCCCTACTGCAAACATAATGGCACCCGCAGGCCCCTCGTAGATGTCAATCACTAGCGACACCCTATAGCATAGTACTCTAGCACTCACTTCACTCTCACACCCTTATCACCCGTTCGATAGCAGGATCGTCCAGTACGAACTCTTTCCCAGCGACATTGCATACGAGATCTTCCGTGACGCCTCGCAATCGTCCCAAGTACGTCCGCAAATTCGGCGGTTCCGCGGGAAACACCAGCACAAGATGTTGCAAGCGTTCCACCGAGACGGCGTCGCGACGGGCACAGATCGAGGTCGTGATGGCTTGCATGATCGCCTCCGATTCGCCGGCGTCGAGTTCCCCATCGGTGCACTCGAACTTGATTCGCGTCAACTTCGGCCAAGGCGGCGGTGTCTCTGTCCTGGTTGATAGCGCCGGGCCGATGTCGGACAGGAAGTCCGTGAAGAAGTCGAGAGTCGGTCCAGCAGCGTAGAGTTCTTCGAGTTGCGGGAACGCATCATATAGGCTCTTCCAGCTCTCCGTGAGTTCCAGGTAACCATCCCGTGTGTCGTACATTTGGTTGTCGGCGAGGTATATATGTAGGGTGGTCAACGTCGGGGGGAACACTGTGCCCAGTTCGGATTGCACTTGCTTCTGAACAGACCTATGATTGAAACACTCCTCCAGGTAAACGTCGATGACAAACGATGCAACACCGGTACGAAGGCCTTCCACAGTGGATGCTCTGACTGTGACTTCACGGTCGTCTTTGATGCTGAACTGCACATCCCGGATTGCAGGGAATGCAGGGTAGAGTTTCTCGTCCGTTGGAAAGATGTCCGCGATGACAGTGTCCCGTAGGTCTATGGCCTGACTCCTATCAATGAAGGCTTCATATTGTTGCCCCATGGTGTCCAGGTACGCGTAGACGCTCATCATCGCCGTGGGCGGAACTGACAGACGAGCCAGAAGGAAGGAAAAAGGATCATGTTCGTGACGACACTCGCAGAAGAAATCCCGGAGGCGCCGGAGTTCGATGATAGGCTGGCCCGTGGTGACGGAGGTCGAGTCCATTGAGCCATATACTTCGAAGGTTTCGATGGTGAGGTTCTCCAGGGCCGGACAACCCCTGAGTAGGTCGAACAAATCGTTCCAAGTGTCAAAGGTCATATTGTCCAATGCGAGGGACGTCAAGGAGCCTGACATGTTGACGATCCGCGGCTTGACTTCCAGCGCGACAAGGGTGAGGACTTTGAGCGCTGGGAGATGGTCACCGCGGATGACGAGTGTCTGGCGGGCCTTCGGGACCTCGGGGTCATAGCTATCCTCGATGTGCAGAGAGGACAGTCGCTCCATGCGACATTCAAAGTAGGGCTGGGTGTGAGGGCCATGCGTATCCAAACGCACAATTCGGTTAAAGTGGGGAACGAGTGCGTCGAGGAAGTCGTTCCGAGGAACGCTGAAGGTTTCCGCTCGGGCAGCAACCGAGAGCGGCCTCTTGCACGATCTACGCAAGTAAGCTGCCATGACTTGAAGTGACATGTCGCCCGTAATCGAAGTCCACAGGGTCGGCGAGGAGACGGCGAGATCGTGCCAACGGCGGCAGACCAGCAGCACCGTGATGAACGACCATTCTTCATGATGGCCGTACCTCGGAGCGAGAATGAACTCAAAAATCTCCGTGAACAATTCTGGGGGTAATTTGTTGACTGGCGAAGTCGAGTTGGCGACGATGCTGAGCTTGGTCAGCCAACTCCGCATAGCTTCAGGGTTTTGAGTGAGGAAACGCTTCAGTACGTCCCCAGGAAGTGGGGAGGGTGTGCGCAATCGACCCAATTCCGACATAGTTGCACCTATGTAAGGATATGTGAGTCAGGTAATCGCCCGTCGCAGACCGATTGAGGGGCAGGTGAGGTTACTCACGGTCTCGCGTCTGGCTGTCTTCGAGACTCTATTACAGTCCACAAGAGTAGTATCACAAGAGTAGTATGAAGCGTGTTCGAGTCTTGTTTCGAAAGCCAGATTGAAAAAGGCTAGGCAAAGCGAGTGTGAGCCACCGACTGAATACGTAAGGCGACTCGCACTGCAGAGCTGACTTACTTTAATGTCCGTGATGGTTGTGGTACAGGCGCATGAGTAGGGGGACAACGCCCCTTTATACGGGGCGTGGCCATCCAACTAGGGTCGCACGCACTATATGACCAGCGACAACCGGCCACATGCAGCGAACCGCCAAAGCAAACAGAGCAGTTGCCATCGTGACCATGATCCAAAGCGTCCCCTGTCGCAGCTAAGCGTCGCGCTGTGGCCATTCTGCGCTTTAGCCTTTGTCTGTCAAAGCGTGTCGAGTAGCCTAAGTAACGTGGCGTTATACTACAAAGGCGCGGTGTGTGTACGTTCAGATCTGTGATGGTAGAACTGTAGCTCGTTCAGCACGGCGACTTTGTAGCGAACATGATCCAACTACTAGTACGTACCTTGTCTTTTCGGTAAACCGTTGGAGTAGACGTCGCAGGGGCCGAGCACTTGCCACCGTTTCATTATGTACTCTCGTACAACATGCGCGTTGATTGAAGAAAGCGTGGCCTGTCGAGATCTCAGCACGAGCAATACCCACCTCGGACGAGTCCATTTGGTTTACTCACGGCGTCGTGACACTCCCTGCCTGTGCACAGCTGTGCACTTCCTAGTCCGTAAGCGCTCGTGCAGCTATGTTTCCCAACTTAGGCTGCACGCACAATAACGATGTTGCTTGTCCTCACCGCTCGATCGGCCTTGATACTATCTGGTCCGCCGAAATTTACTGGATGAAGGTGGGATGAGAGTACCTCCTGGTGTCGTCAAAAGAGTGTCGTTCGCATGTGTGGCACGATGCACGGTGAGTCGCAACAACCGAGTCAGGCAAGAGCGATGCATGAGTTTGTATCTGAAGTCAATGGGACTCGATGCGGTGGCCTTGGTCGATTGGATACATGATGTGGAGAGCGGTTTCTGGCGTTCTGCGGTGAGTTCAAAGACTGTTTTTTTTTTACCGCAACGGAAGGACGGAGCGGAACAGCCAGTGTAACTCGGAGGACAAAGCAACGATTCTTGATGTGACTTGCTTGCCTCAAGGCCAACCTAGTGCTCGACCATCGCCGATCATGGACAGAACTCGAACAAAGCAAATGAGTGAAGCAAACCAGATGGTTAAGGCCGTTGAAACGTTGAGGGCCGGGACCGTTGCCACGGGCTGGCACGTAGTAATCATAGGCGCCTGGCGCCCATCGCTTGTGCAAGCGTCAAGCTTTCCGCCGACTTGCTCAATTCCTGGCAACGAAGGTCAAGTTGCTGCTAGTATGCAGACGAATGACGCATCACAGGATGGGCAGTAATCACTACTTAGCAAGATCGGATTCGCGGCCAAAAGCTCGTTTTGTTCGTGATATTCGTGATATAATCGATATAGAACAAGCAATCAAGAAACGACGTCTAGGTTCATATGCGGACAGCAGTACAGGCGTGTAATTACAGAACGACAATGCGTACGGAGAGAATATCATACACGTGTGACTGGCAGGATATCAAGGTATGAGGAATGCACATAAGTGGACGGTGAATCCTAGGTCAGTCGAGTCGTCCGAAGGAAGGCGTGAAGAATCGTAAAGTACGTACATGTCCACAATAAATATGCTATGCGCACCGACAAGGGATCGTACACCAGTTTCATTCTTCGTTCACTGACCGAGGGGCACCTCCACGTCTTCGTACCCCTCGCCGGTCCAGCGTCGCTCTAGCCCGACGCGCCCTGTGCCGTCACCACTGACATGCAGCCACGCCTCGAGTCGCCGACCAAGCTCGCCACCGCGTCCGCCACAGTAATCGCCCGTGCCCTTCAGCAGCTTCTCTTTCTCCTTCTCGCACTCCATCACTTTCTTGGCCATTGGGACCTTAGGCACACCCTTCCCGCCTGCCTTCCCGTTCCCATTCGCGCTCGCGTCGGCCTTCCCAGGGCCCTCCGCCTTACGCTCACCGTCGCTCGACGCTGCATCCACCAGCGTGGGGCTCTCGCTGTCCTCGCTGCTCCCGTCTGCCTCGCCATCGCCATACACCTCCGCAGGCACTTGCTCGGGCGTGTGCACACCGCTCTTCTCGCACTCCCAGCTCTTGAACCATTCCTCCTCTTCCTCCTCCGGGCCAAGAATGCTGTTCACGAGGCCCTCCTCCCATCCGTCCCACTCGATGCACCGGTGGGCCATCCGCAGCCGCGCACCTGCCGCCTCGTGGTGCAGCCATTCCTCCACGACGTGCGTGATGTCGATCGGCGTAGGGTGCCCGTCGGCGAAGGATGGGATGACGATTGGTAGCGCAGACGACGCGAAGGGCGGGAACGCCGCAGGGCGCGACGCGAGACGCTCGACGGTCGCGCGGAACAGCTTCGACGTGAAGGGCGAGGACTGTAGGAACGTTGGCACGTGCGCGCATGCCCAGAGCGGCCGCGTCGTCGTCGACTCCCAGTCTATGATGCACGTCTGCAACGATCATTAGCAGTTGGAAGTGGCCAGACCGGACGGGACTACGTACAATCTTGGAATGGTCACGCTCGTCCACGAAGACGTTCTCCAGGCTGAGGTCGTGGCAGTCCAGGCCGAACTCCTCGCTGCTGCTGCTGCCGCCGCCGCCACCACCGCCATCGCCCTCCTGCTTCTCACTACCAGGCAGTCGCACACCCAGCCTCTCCATCATCTTCACCACCCTCTCCATCTCCCGCCTCACCTTCTCCTCTCGCTCCTTCAGATGCGCGACCAAAAACGTCGACCGCTGCATCCGCCTGTAGTCCCGATACATGTTGTCCCCAGGGCCCTCCCACTCGTCCTCGCTCTCGTCCCAGTCCCACTCCTCGCTCGTGTCGCTCTCGTCCCCAGGTAGCGCCTCGACGTGGTGGTGTCTGCTCGCGTCGACTTCACCCGGATCGAGGTGCAGCCGGTGCGGCGCTGCCTTGCCATCGTTCTCCCGTCGCACGCCTTCGACTTCGCGCGCCGCGCATGCCTCGAGGTACGTGTGCGTCGTCGTCCACGGCCCGCGGTCCATCTCCGACGGGTGCGGGAGCTCGCCCCGGTGCGAGCCAAAGAACGGCCAGGAGACGATCGGCCCGACGTGGAACTGCGACCGTGCGGACGTCGATGCGGAAGCCGGCGTCGCAGTCGCGGTCGACCCTGCTGTTGACGACGGCGCCCGTGTTATGGCGGGCAAGTAAGATGCCACCGTCGGTGTTGGCGCTGCGGACGAGAGGTACGGAGGTACAGCGGTAGGGGGGCTCGCGTCAAGGTCAGGACCAAGATACAGGGACCCGATGCTGGGGAAGCGGTGAGCAAAGAGCGGGATGATGAGCGCCGCAACGTTCTCCATCAGTGCGGCGAGCTGCTCGTGTGACAGAGAGTGAAACACCTTCGAGAGTGGAATGCCTGGCGCCTGCACGGTGTTCAGATTCGGTAAGCACAGGAGAACGCAGTCGGAGCACACCTTGGACATGATGATGTACTCGCCACCAAGCCGGTTGAATGGGTTTGCATCGTAGTGGTAGACGTCCGGCACTGGCACGTTCGTGCGCTCACGAAGGTACTGCATCGTCGCGATCTCGGATTCAGTCTTCAACCGCGGCATGAAGCGACGCGCGACGCGAGCGATAACTTCCCTCCCGCTCACGAGCGTGATTGAGTATGCCTATGCACGGGTCAGCCTGAATTTAATGGAAGTAGGGATCGTGACGGTGACAATGTTCCAGGCAGCGGTGCCCTACTGCATGCGGACGATGAGACATAGTGTCTCATGATAAGGCAAGCTTGTGGACTGTTACTCCAGCTGGACTGCCCACCTTCACATCCAGATACTGAAGCTCGCAGCGGCCACCGGCGGTAGATGCCAAGGAGCGAGGTCATAGGTAAGCATGCCTTACGAAGCATGGGTGTATGGCAAATGCACGTCGGATGGCTCTGCCGTGGCGACGAGCCCACATCACTGGCTCAGCAGACAGATGCATTATATCCACGTTGTGCGAAGACGAGTGGAACGGCGGCCGTGAGCACCGCTCCATTCGCCTCCCCGTCTGTGGCATGGTTGCTTCCCACAGCCATCTCGGCACCGCGCATGTCTATTCCAGAGTGAGAGCGATCGAGAGAATGGACATGCCGGCGCAAACTCGAGGGTGAGCACGGGAGCGCGAGAGCGTCGCCAATCATACTTTAACTCTGTAGCCCGGTCCCGATGTGCACGGCGTTCTGTGGACGTCTACCATACTGCCCAGATGCCGCATTGATACGAAGCCGGACCTCCACCGCCCGACGCCCAATCCACGACAATTCAAGACAAGGTTGGGCACCACCACTCACCTTGTGGAATGTGCCAGCGCCGAGGAACTTGATCCTCACGACATTCTCGCCCATCTTCTCGTGGACAATATCCTTCAGGAGCTTCCGGTCGACTTGGAACGGCGGTGCTCCATGTACAGCCGCGTCAGCTTTCGCCTCTGCCTTGCGGTCAGCATGCTCGATGTCCCAGTCCCATGCGAGAGGCGGTCTGGAACAGAGGTCGTCAGCCATCCCGCGGTGGGTGGCGGCGGAGTTATTTGGGGGTAGCGAGGCGTGCTCGCCGCGGAACATGGTGGTCAAGGGCGCTTCACACGTCGGACTGCAAGCCTCGGGTGTCGTAGACGCGGTGGTGACTGTGCTGGATGAGCTGGTAGACGAAGGAGAGTTGAAGCTCGCACGCGAACTCGAAGTCGAGGATGAGCCGACACTCGAAGTCGAGGATGAGCCGACCGACGAGGGGGAGGAACAGCGTGAAAGGAGGTCGTAGAGCCTGGAGAAAGGGCGCAGCAGAGGGAAGTTAAGCTAAGCGACGCAGTTCAGGGCTGATGAGATGGGCGTACGAGAGCTTCCTTGGCCGTTGGCTGCCGTGCGCGTTGCGAGCGAACGCGGGCTGGTGGCTGAAGACGCCGCCACCTTCGCCACTTCCGTCATGTGATACCGCTCCCGCCATCCGAGTCGCGAACGTGCGATGGTCAATGTTGCAGGTAACTTACAGTACGTGGTGTCCGTCGGCGCAGCGTACTCTCTATATATCCCTATGCTACTCCTCTGTTCGAGGCTACCGCACATCCTGACTCGCCCGCATTGTCGCCGCACTCGCCATTTGTTTTCGTCGTCGGCCGAATCCTCAGAACCCATCAGATCTTATCGCCAGATGCGGATCTCGATGGCGGACCGCCCATTTCCCCGTTCGCATTGCGCGCGTCCGTATTGGGTAGTCCCCGCCTCACCGCCTGCCCTTGGCAGGCTTGGATATGGGGCGAGCCAAGTCCAGCCGTTCTCCCCCGCGGTGCCCCGCAACAACTGGACAGAGCTCGGCGAGCCTGGTCCAGCGGGGAAGTCGCGGCTGACGCTCTAACGGACGTGATAGGCCGATAAGCACACCAAAAGCACACCATGTTCATTTCCAACATTGCGAAGTGAGATCCGGCCGTTTTCCGTGTTGCACGCTAATGCTGTTCTCTACTCGTTCAGTCGGCCTGCTGATCATGGTCGCGTTCTCGATGTGGTCGGGAGCTCCTGGGTAGTTCGGTCGATGGGCCGCAAGCTCAATTGAACAGCGGACGGGGACGGAAGGGCAAGGTGAGCATCGTTCCGAAGCCCCGACGAGCGCGAAGGTCCACGTCAAGTCAATAGGTGGTTGACGCACTGTCGATATGTCAATGTCCGTGAGTTCGCCGAGCTTCTTGGACGTGTCTGACGCGTGGTTACCACTTAGATCTCGACAGTCGCGCCACCATGGGACTACGATCCTCCCACCCGCTCCGGAAGCTATGCAGAATGAACGGAGTACAGTTTGAGTACGGTGGATATAGAGCGGATCCGCCCGTGTTCAATGGTCCGTGTGCCTTATAGCTGTTCCGCTCTGTGCTTCCGTTGCGGTGATACACATCCCAAGTCACCGCAGAATGCCAAAAACCGCTCCACAATCATGTACCCATTCGAGCGAGGCCACTGCATCGAATTCCTTTAATCCCAGGATCAAACTCATTCATCGCTCTTGCTGAGCAGTTGCTTGGTTGTTGCAACTCACAGTCCACATGCATGCAAACGGCACTCTTTTGACGCCACCGAGAGGCGCTCCCAGCTTCGCCGACTAGTTTTTCGGCGGGCCAGAGAGCATCAAGGTCGATCGAGGTGGGTAGTGCTCGCACTGAGATCTCGACAGGCTACGCTTTCTCCGTTCAACGCGCACGTTGTACGAGAGTACGAGAGAGCACTCTGGGTTGGCTCGGATCCAGTGAATGTTGATTGAAGGCTTACATCCTTCTATGGGTATCACATAATGAAATGGTGGCAAACGCTCCGCGACGTCTACTCCAACGGCTCACCGAAAAGGATACTTAAGGTACGTGGTTGTTGGATCCGCCGAAGTCGCCATGCTGAAAGAGCCACGGGTCCTCCGGCACAGGTACCGCGCCTTTGTATTCACCGCCGCGTTGCTTGGGCCACACGACACGCTTTGACGGACAAAGGCTAACTTGAAGGCGCAGAGTGGCCACAGCGCGACGCTTGAGTATGGACAAGAGTCAAGGGGTGGTTAGTATCATGGTCACGATGGCAACTGCTCTGGTTCGCTTTGGCCGTTTGCCACGTGCGGCCCATTGCGCTGACTATGTAGAGTGTGTGGCCTTTCAAGTTGGGTGGCCGAATCCCATATAAAGGGCGCGGCGCGCCCAGAACCCGATGCGCCTTTACCACCACCATTGTGGCCACACAAGTAAGTCAAATTTGCTGTGCGGGTCGTGGAAGCTCTGTGCGTGTATTTCGTTGTCTTACGTTCCGAACTGCTCTGCGTAGCCTTGTTCGACATCGTTTTCAAGCCACGACTGAACCGCACGGTCATACTACTGGTGTGGACTGCAAGACTTCAAAGCCACTGGACGCGAGCCCGTAAGTAGTGTCACATCTAACCCTCGATCGGTCCGTGGATAGCGATTACTTACACATTCTGGCAGAGGTGCGACGATGCCAGAATCGGGTCGATTGCGCACGCCCTCCCCACTTCCCGAAGACATACTGGGGCATTTTCCAACTCAGGATCCTGCAGCTATGCGGAGCTGGCTAACGAAGCTTAGCATCGTGACCGAATCGACTTCGCCAGTCAACAAACTGCCTCTCGACATCTTTGTCAGTTTAAGTGCATCTACTTTCATTCATTAATGAATTAAACCCTGGATCTGATTTACACACTTTTGTACCCCTGTTAATCTAATCCTAATTCAATGCAGTCTTAATCCATTGCTCAGCTCATATGCCCAATCCTGGTGTATTACAGAGGTCTCTTGATGCACTCTTAATGCACTACTGATCCACTTATGATGCACTGACTTAAGACATGCTTGATCTCAGTGTATTACAGGGGTACCTTATTACACTATTGATCCACTAAAGATGCATTGTCCAAGTCAGTGTATTACATGTTTAAGGCATACATGTATGCAGTTCTAAGCCGCTGGATTAGTTTTAGATCAAGGCAAAAAAAAGCGGACATTGGGGGTTTGAACCATAGACATCAGAAAGCATTACATAATCACATCATCAAGTCGGACCAGAGGAACACTAACCACTACACCACAGGTCTGTTAGAAAGGCTGTAACACAATGTTATATGTCACATTACTGGGATGCTGGACTTAGACATACTAGCAGGCTGCCCGTGCGGTCGCACAGGAAGTAGTATGTACTGAGGCATGGCAGAGACTCATTTGCGATCAGAACATCAACATTTTGGCAGTGCGTTACATTTCAGGCCCAGAAGCTACTTGTTGGCGATACTACGGGTGTGCTGCTCATCTGGCTTGCGCGTGGCACCAGTATCTACGTATTCGAGCTCTCCACTGTCTTCCGCGTCACCTGGCTCCGACTCCTCCAAGCGTGGCCGCTTCGTGCTTTTGTTGGCAAGGGGACTTGTTGTGAAGTCGTAGGTAAGCTTTTTGATACCTTTAGAGGTTGCACTGCCCGTAGGTGGTGTAGCTGACGGTTCTGTGAATGTAGTATGTCAGACATGAAGTGGAACAATCATGACGAATCATATCACTCACTGTGGATAGGAGGGACTGGGAGTCTGTCGAAGTAGACGATGTTATGTAAGCGGACATTGAACCACTGCACCACCTCATCCGCGCCACGTGTAACGTCCTTGAGAAAACCTTGAACGTGGAAGCGTGAATCGGTGTTCTTGGGCATGGGCTTGCCCCTGCTTTCATAGCGCTTTGAGGAGGGGATCTCGACCCGCATCGGGAAGTTGCTTGGCTGGCGAAGTGGCAGCTGGGACACATACTGAGTTGGCAGTACGTCGAACATTGAGATGTTGTTTTGGATATTGGTGGCCTGCCCGCATGCAAAGATGAACGGGGAATGCGCTGGATCAGCTCCGGGCGCAGGGATGAGCTATGGTTCGAGTTTGACTTAGAATGTAACTGAGCATGACGGAGGCACATTCATACCTGTAGAATATCCCCAACAATGTCGTAGTCGGTGGCGCTGAGCACGGAGGAGTTCACCCTCGCATGTGGCTGCATCTTCACAATCTAGTCGCACATCATGAGTCACAAACAGCACGTGTGATCTGGATTAAAGATTCGTACCGTTGCAACAATAAAACATACGATTGGCCCATCCCCAAACTCAACACCTCCGTCGTTCCAGTACCGGAAGTTTGCAATGAGCGGCTGATGAGGATTGCCTGAGTATATGCCAGCATCCAGCCATACACTCCTTGGCTGCGAAGTGTCAATGATACGGGGCCGCTCGACCACTGCAATACCTGTGATGACAGAGGAGGTCATGTTGGGAGCGGAGAGGTTGCGACGGGAGTGGGGGGAGACACGTCAACCACTGCAGTGTCCTCACCTGCCTTTAACTTGTGCGGTGAAGGGCCCGGTACGCTGGAATGCCGGAAAGCCATGTGGGCATTAATCGGGTGCTGTAACCACCTCATTCACCCGTTGACATGGCATGGAAGAGCCCAATGGGCCCGATGTGCGCTACAGCCTGTCCGAGGTGTAACGTTTAAGCCAAGGCACCTCAAGTCACAAAACGGGTAAATACCACGTCATGTGGCCGAACTCTAGCACACCCGGACTTCAGGCTTCAGGCTTGCATTTGTATCAGTCACAGTTCGAGGACTACAGTAAACAATGTTCAATCAAGTAGTACTTCCGGATACACAATATTGTACGCGCACTCTGGCTCATCATCTGGTAGGAGAACCTTGATGGTCTGCGATGAGGTGGAGCGTGAAAGCGCCACATAGAGCTGCCCATGTGTGAAGACAGGCACTCGGAGGTCAAGCCCGACGTACCTGACCGACTGGCCCTGGGACTTGTTGATGCTCATCGCAAATGCAAGGCGCACGGGGAACTGCCGGCGGGACAGTCTGAATGGGAATTCTCCATTGCTCGTGGTCGGGTTGAGCGTGATTCGGGGGATGAGGGCAACCTCGCCATGGTGATCGCCGCCGATGAGCTGGACCTCGAGGACACGGGACGACATCTTCTGGATGATCATACGGCTCCCGTTGCAGAGCCCACGTGATGGCGAGATGTTCCGGAGGAGTATGATGGGGGAACCGACCTTGAGTCGGAGTTCGCCTAGAGGGAGGCCAGATGCCTTCAGGGACCGCAGGTACTCGACAGGATACTGGTTCCCTGCAGTGTGATCATCATCAGCACCGGCCTCAAGGATGACACTGTCCGCGCTGTAGAAGACCTGTTCATCACCCTGCATTCGATCAAGGATGCGGTTGTTCAGGTCGTCGACGTCAGCATTTCGAGCAGAGAGGATCATCCGTGCAAGGAAATAATCAGGTGGCGGAGGTGCAGCAGTGCCGATGGCCGGATACGTCGAGTCAATCAGGGTGTCAGGGCTTTGCGTCAACATGTGTGGGGGGAGCTTGACGGAATGAGGGTCACCAGCCGTGCGGCCATGGCCAATGTCAAGTAGCCAGCGCGCAAACGCAGGAGCATCGCGAGCTGCCTCAAGGCGCATGTTCTGATGCAGGTGAAGAACCTCAACGTGCGCCCATAGAGGAGAGGACCGAAGGGACGCTTCAACAATGTCAGAGCGTGAACCTTTGACAACCACAGGCAAGATCTGCTGGAAGTCACCGCCAAACACAACAGTCAGACCTCCGAATGGGCGCTGATCATTGCGGATGTCACGCAACGTGCGATCAACAGCTTCAAACGCCCATCGGTGCTGATTGGCAGCTTCGTCCCAGATGATGAGACGCGCGACGCGGAAGAGGTTGGCGTACTGGCTTTCCTTGCGTATAGCGCAAGTCGACTGGGCATTCAGGTTCTCCACAGGAATCTTGAGGCGTGAGTGAGCTGTGCGACCGCCTTTCAGCAGGAGCGATGCTATCCCCGATGATGCCACGCAGAGGACGATCCATCCTTCTGCTCGAACCTAGCAGGAATTTGTGTAAGCACACACCGCCTGAGTAGCAGATAAAAGGCAAGCCAACGCACTTTATGACACACCGTGTTATAGACAAATGTTTTGCCTGTGCCGCCTGGACCGTTCAAGAAGAAGATGCTGCCCTGCTGGGCAGTGACAGAATCAATGATCCTCGAGAACGCATGGCGCTGGTCAACATTGAGTTGAGGGATGCGGAGATCAGCCTCTTCATCAGGAAAAACGTTCGTGTCTTCAGTGGTCTTGTGGAGAGCCAAAAGTGACATTATGTGTCACTATGTGCCACAAGAGCCTTAAGGTAAGTCAATTTCTTATTTTGTCTTACTTAAGTACACGTTTACTTAAATGAGAACAAAAAAGTACCCTTATTGTTCTGCCCCCTTTCACTATTGCTACTTCGTTCCTTCTAATTAAGCACTCAAACATTGTGTTCTTTTTTCTCTTAATTGCACTTCAATGCGTGGTGTCTTTGGCTTCCTTGGTGCTCTTCAGCATCATGCACAATAAACTGCCGTCCATTCATACTATTGATAATACACGACTGGAAACGCATAGCAATGAAGCAGCTCTGCCGCCCGACAACCGTAGACCGACAACCGTAGACGATGTTAATATGTGTGACGTGACTTCAGAGACAATGGCGAAGGAGAGCAGGAGACAGAGCGAGATGGAGAGCGAGAGACGGCACACTATCGTACATCGAACATGCGCAACACACGATTCTTCCCCAGAGTTCAGCGACTCAGCAACGTCATGGCCAGTATGGGTATCTAGATGGGGCAGACCATAACTGAGCTCAGACCTCCGGTTACAATCAAGTCCTTGCTCAACTTACCTTGAAGCATAGACCATGACAACGTAGCCAGGAGTCCTCTATCAGACTGTCCCTGTTTGGTCCTCACGAGCCGCGCCTTGTCAGGATGAAATTTGACACTAGATTATGGATCATCCTCTGTGATGAGATGACGGACATGCGTACCTTCACGTTCCTTAGCATCCCCGGCTCTGTCCTCCCTCTCGTCTACCTCGTCGTGCTCGATCTCATCTTCCCCACTTCCGTCCTTCTCGCTGACGTCCTCTGCAGCCACGTCATCATCTGCCTGGGCATTGTGGCTGCTGCGCACAGAAGGGCCCTCTCTACTGATGACGTTGTCGTCGCCCTCCTGACCGCCTTTCTCAGGGCTCGACGAACTGGATGGCTTGGTTGCCGAGACAGTAGGAGCCTTCCTTGTGCTCGAAGGCTTTCCAGCAGGCGAGCCATGCGGCGTTGCATTGCTCCCTCCCAAAACCACGATATCTTGCTCTTCAAGGGCCACATCGAGGAAACCAGTATGCACGCCCACCTCGTCCACATCGTCCGTGTCTTCGAGCCGCGATCTGAGATAGTCAGTGCATTGAGGGATTGATTGCAAAGCAACTGCACACAGCTTACATGATGGACTTCCACACAATACGCTTCATATTCACGTAGGACGGATTGTGCTGAGCCTCCATGAACTCCAAGATTGCCATGACGCCGTCCCATCTGTAAGAAGAAAGATAAGCCTCGATGTTCTGACATATGTGATGAACGTACTTGGCAGCATACTGCTTGTTCGTGAAGAAGTTCTTTGCACCTGGCTTGGCAAACTCCATGAGGGCGGACTCGATCTGTGCGTCACGAATCCGTGAGACCCCATTGTGGATTGAGCTCTGATAGCCATGCGAATGACGGTCTGGACTCACAGCGTTGCACACCACAGCGATCAGGTTGTTCGGCACCTCGCTGAACTCTTCCGTGGCCGCATGCAGGTTCGCGTCCGCTCGAGCTCCAAGGCCCCAGTGCTGGTAAATCAGCTCTGAAATAGCCGGGTGGAGGAACACCTCCCCGCGCTTAAAGTCGCTCTTCTGTCACCCAGATCATTAAGGTGTACTCTGCAATGAACTCGCACTCTCACCTCGGCATCAAAATGCTTGCGCGCATCTAAGGCAATCGTCATGCCACCGAAGACAAAGTTAGGGATGTTACGCAAGCCACCAACGACGGTCGTCGGGTGAGTGGTGATCAACCATGTCGCCAGGTTCCTCTTCTGCTGAGAAGACAGGCTGTCGAGCTCGTACATCTGAGAGGTAACAGTTTTGGCCTTCCTCTTCAGCTCGTTTCGGAACTGCGCTGCGGCCGCCCAGACCTAATGGAAGTCAGGCACTCGCGACTCTTCATGACAGACAGAAACAAACGCTCACCACTGTGTAGACATTCTTGCGCAGCTTGTCAGTCTCCTTAGTGTCCTTGTTCCCCTTGTTCCCCTTCAGCACTTGGAAGGCGGTCCTTATGGACTTGTCAAGCCCCCCTGCCCTGCCCAGTTCATAGGCGTCCTGCAGACTGCTCTTGATGAGGTCGTCCCTCTCAGGAAGACGGCCGCTGCTGACTGATGGCTCAGACGTCCAAGCGTTCTTGAGAGCAATGCGCAGACGGAGGCAGTTCTGCGCCGCAGAGACGAGGGCCTTGATGTCCCTGGGGAGCTGTGTCACCTTGGCGCGTGTCTGGCGCCTACGCCTCTTCGCCCGTTGCTTCCCAGTGCTCTTCGACTCCGCCACGGTCTACACAGTCAGTGGGGACAGCGTTCGAAAGGATAAACCACGTACCTCTACTCCGTCATCAACAAACTCGTCACCATCCTTGTCCTCGTCCCCGTCCTCGTCCTCGTCCTCGTCCTTGTCCTCGTCCTCGTCCTCGTCATCTTCCTCTCCCTCTTCCTCGTCCTCATCGTCGCCGTTGCTTCCATCATCGTCTTCACCGCTTTCCGTACCGTCAGAGTCTTCGGTGTCGCGCTTCTTGTTGCTGCTGCCGCTAGGACGCATGTCCTTCTTGGCCGTGGTCACCGAAGCTTTCACCTTCCCAGCATCCTTGTCTTGAGCCTTCTTGGAGACTGGAGACGTGCTCGTGGTAGGTCGAGGCTACACAGAGGGCAATGTGAGAATGGGCTGCAACAAACGGTGTATGACAGTACCCATGGAGGTATCAACACATAGGGCTCTAACCGTACCTTGGGAGGTGAAGATGTTGTCCGAGTCGACACAGTGGACACCGGTTTCTTGGTCGCGTCCGCCGAACTTGAAGAAGCGGGCTGCGAATTCTTCTTTGTTTTCTGAGCAGGCTGCGCACCTGTGTCGTCGCTATGTTCCTCAGTCAACTGAACAGCCTTGGTCTTGACCTGCCCTTTGCCCTTCGGCGCAGTGTCGTGCCCTACACCGTTGTAAGGATCACAATATGCCATTGGCATTTACGGATACATAAGGCTATCCCCTCACCGAGCATCTGGACAAAAGCGGCTTCGTCCTGATCCAAGTTCTGCTTTCGCCCTTTGAAGGCGGGCTTGGGCTTGGGCTTGGGCTTGGGTTGAGCTACAGAACGCACTCAGTGTCAGTTCCTGAACGCGTATGTAGCACGCACGCTGGGACGGCTCTACAGCCGACGTAGTGCTCTTCTTTCCTCTGCTCCTCTCCTTAGATAGGACAGTCGTGTCCTCCTCCTCTTCAACGACCTCCACGTCCATCGGCTCCTGGACATCGTCACGGCCACTCCCCTCGTCAGATCGGCCTTCATTGTTCTTCGTACCTTCAAGCACGTCGTCGTCTTCAGCTTTTTTAGCCTTCTTCTTCTTCTTGGGCTTGGGGGGCTCTTCGCTGGTGTCACGCTGCTCAGCGTCCATGGCCTCTAACTTCCTCTTACGGATCTCTATCATGCAACATTATCAGAGTCCTCGATTGCAACAAATACACGACTTACTTTCCACGCGCTGTTCTTTGGCCAGCGAGGCTTTTGTCGTTGCCTTCCTCTTGCGCTTCAACTCGGCCATCTTGGTCAGCTCAGCGATTCTCTTGTGTAAGGCAGCGTCAGAGAGGTCCTCATCGGGAACATCACTGTCGGAGGGAGCTCCCCTGTCCTCCGCAGCATTCGCACGGTTCATCTGCGTGGCGCCTGTGTTCGCGCGAGCGCTGTTACTGGTGCCAGGGGCCTCCTGGCGAGCGGCTGAGCGGGTGCGTGAGGCCATTTTCAACAGCAACAACGCAGGGCAGATGGGTGTACAAGACTGAGAGTGTGCCAAGCGTACGCTAGGAGGGCGGAGATGTGTTGAACCCGAAGGCCGCCGAGCTTATCGAAGTTCCGCGGCCTCCCTCTTCGCAGTGATAGAAGCAACTTGGGACACGCGCAGCTTAATCAGCAAAGTCCCATCGAGGCCGTTGAGCAAGTCCAAGCGATTATCAGCTTCCTGAACGTGTTATTTCAGCTTGTGACGACTGCTGCGAACATCATGAATGGACCAGTAGGGTTACAGAAGAACAATTGTAGGGAAAATAGGTCGGAGAGTACGTCAAATAAAATTACGGTTACTAGACCATCCGTTGCGCCCATTGTGCCATTTGGCCATTTCCCGGTCAGTATGGAGTACAATAGAGGCTCTACGACCCTTGAAGTGTAGGTTGAAGTGAGTCAGATCACAAGAAGGGAATACGACAAAGTCGCCGTTACGCAAAGGAATGGTCAAACCAGGTTCATAGAGGACTAGTTCTCCGCCTTCAAAATCACCGATCGCGAGGACTAAGCACATGCTGTCATCCTTGCTATCCCTGTGAGCCGCAGTTGAGACGTTGAGGTTGATGACCAAGCCCAGAAACGGCGCAGAGACTGCCTGGTTGTTGCCAGGCAGTATAGACGCGTATGCGTCTAGTCGCTCGTATACATCCGGGATCATCGCCTTGAACTAATAAGGGCATCAAATTCTCTGTGGGAGATACAAACGAGGCAATTCATTCACCTTCATATCCAGCCACTCGAACACTGGACCTAGGATTTTCTTCACGGACTGGTAGATTGAGACGTTCGTCGAGTTCGCCATGTCCTTGGAGGGGTACGGTATCATTTGATGGTAGTTTGTCTTCAAACCACCAGTCCTCTTCAAGTTCATAGGAGGTACGTCAGTCGGAGCGTCGTGTCCCTACAGACGTATGTGAACTGTCATTGAGGAAGATCCAAGATTTATAGAGCACTTACAGTCGTGCAATGACGGTTGTACCAGGAGAAATGAAGTGCCTGGAAGACATGGTCACCGCGCTCCTGAGCGGTATCAATTACCTTCAGAGCGTCGGGCTCAAAACAATCGGCCAAGCGATCGATGAGACGATCTCGCATGCTTTGCTCCATAGACTTGCATATGCTGGCAACAATGTCCCCGTGGCAAGAGTGTACGGTGAGTACGTCGCTATTGGAACAATCGTCAGCCTC